GGCGCCACAGACTACCCGGAGGCACTCGTTCTGTATCCCCATCAGGCTCTTAGCTGGCCCTGCCGGTTCCTCACTTATAGTATGCCACGCAGTCGCCCCGAAGGCGATCGCGCTACGGATAACCACCGTATATAACAGCCTCGCCCGTATAAGATCGCAGCCCCACGACATATTGACTAGCTTTGTCAGGGCTAGCTTTTGAGTTGCCATTTTTGTTTTAACACGCTCAACATGGGCGTGCCACGTCAGTTTGCGGTCGAACCAGACTCCTAGGAACCTCGCTGAGACTACCGGCGACACTGTGGCGTCCCCAAGGCGAATACTTTGCGGCAAGGGCTCTCGGGCCCTAGTAAAGTGCATTAGCTCACTCTTGTCAGGAGCGAACTCCATCCCGTGCCTCACTGCCCACCGCTGACACGTAGCCCATGCGCTCTCCAACCGGCGGCAGGTCGTGTCTGGATCGGTGCCGACGCTTAGCGGGTTCGTGTCGTCCGCGAACCCGACTACTAAAAGTAGTGGGTGCTGCTCCGCTAGCTCCTCGTACAGCGTTGAAATGTATAATATAAACAGTATTGGGGATAGCGGTGACCCCTGGGGGACGCCAGCTCGTAGGGGGATCAGCTCTGACTCCTTGCCATCGAACCGGAGGCGTACCGTCCTATCCTCCACGAAGCTGCGTACCCACTCCTGAACCCACTCCGGGTAGCCTTTCCGGGCTAATATGGAAATCAGCCGTCTGTAATTGACCGTATCGAATGCCCCCTTGATGTCTAGCTGTAGCAGCGAGGCGATGCCCCGCGTCTCCACGCCGTATAGACCACGTCCTCAACTATACGTATTGCCAGTTCGGTGGACCTCCCAGCGCGGTTACCCATTTGGCCGTTTGGTAGTAGGCCGGCCGCCTCAGCTACTTTGGTGATACGCTGGCTCATCGCCGTCTCTATTACCTTCCCTACCGTGCTAAGCAGGGCAATAGGGCGCCAGCCGCCAGGAGTCTGCTTCTGAGCTGTCGTTTTATTAGGCTTAGGGATAACAACCACCCTCGCTGAGCGGAAGCGCTCCGGGTAGTACCCCAGCCTAAAGCTAGCTGTTGTCAGATCCGCTAGGATCTCCCATAGGGTTCACCGCAGGCCTTTAGCAGGCCAGTGGGGATCAGGTCGTCGCCGGGAGCCTTCCAAGCAGCCGTTCCTTTGATGATAGACTCGATATCCATTGTAGTCACCTCCCTAGGGACGTTCAGCTCTGGTCTCGTCTGTAATAGGCCGCGATCGAGGTCCGATAGATCTATACACGGGTCTGGGAAGAACCTCTCAGCTAGTAATTTTGCCTTCTCATCATGTGTACGTGCCGTAAGCGTGTCGCCGGCGTCCCTCCGGAGATCTGGTAAGCCGTGGGCCTCAGGGGGGGCCCAGCTCCGTAGCCTAGCCCACCTCTGCAGTGCCCACAGGCTTTTGTGATCCTTCGCCGTCCCCTCGAGCTTCTCGTGCCAGCTACGCGTCTGCGCTTCGCTGATTTCGAGCCGTTGTTTTTGGCCGGCTCTTGTATATTCGTCCCAGTTGGTCTGCGACCTTGCCTGGAGGTAGTCCCGCCGTCGTCTCTTCGTCTCAGCGCAAGCCTTGCTAACCTGCGGGCACCACCACGGGACCCCAGCGCCTCGGCCAACGGTGCGTCTCGGGACCGCCACGTCGGCGATCTCTTGGAGGTTCCGGATAACCCAGTCAACAGCCTGGTCCACCTCCGTTATCGTCTCAACCGGCAAATAATTCATAAATCTCTGGCTTGATTCGGCTACGATGAGCCACTTATCCGCCATCGCCCAGTTCCACCCTTCGACACTGCGGCGGCCCTCCTTGACTGCTTCCCCGTTGGATATTACCCTAATCACTTGCGCTCTGTGGTCTGAGCCCTCTAGGCCCGGGTCCCCATCGTAATCAATCCTAGCCCCTTTCGTCACCCAGGCTAGGTCGATAGTTGAGTCTCGTTGTTTGTGCCTTTGCCGTGTGATTTCCCCGAACGGCGTAATGAGCTCTAATCGCCAGCGTCGCGCAAACTCCACTACGTTGTCGCTGCCCCGTGACGACTGTCCGTGGACGTCCCACAGCGGGTGATGTGTATTGAAGTCCCCTACGAGGACCTGTGTCCCCTCTGGCGCCCCATTAGGGAGGTCTTGGAGCGGGCTGACCCAGCGGCTCCCGGTCTGGTTTGGTGAATAGATAGACCAGATTGTAAGGGCGTCCGGGCCTGCCCCGAACGTAATACTGCTCCAGTCCATCCCGGTACGGGGTCGCAACGTAGCCACATCGTATCGTTTATGGACGTATAGCGCAGCTCTGCCGCTGCTGTACACTACTTCGTACCTGGACGACTTCGGGCAATAAATCGCCTTCGTCCGCCGGTTGATCCATGGCTCTTGAACCGCTATTATATCATAGTCACCCCCCTTATCCAGCGCTAGCGTTGCGTTCGCCTTTGAATCTGCGATATTCCAGTACAGAATAGAGACTACCATTAAGCTGTCGATGGTATATCTTCGTTCGTACGTCCCTTAGTGAGGAAGCTACGCATTGCTGACGCAGACCGTTCGGTTCGCTCCTGCTCCACTCGCGATCCGCCCAGGGGGCGGCCCCGGGGTCGTACAACTGTAAACCCGTCGCTGGTCAATGAGCTAGGTGGTGTGAGCCTGCCCTCACTAGATAACCCGTCCGAGTAGCTGCGGACCTCAAATTGTCGGGGGCGGTGAGCGTATGCCTCGCGTACGCGTAGCCGCTGCTGTTCTGCCGTAGGGCAGTCCCTGTCCCACGCCGTGTGCTTCCCTTTGCAGTTCACACAACGTTTTTTGCCGCTAGGTGCCTTCTCGGGGCAGTCTTTTTCACCCCCTGGGTGTGCCGTTGCAGCGCAGACGCCGCAACGCGCCGTCTTCTTGCAGTGTTTCGCGATATGGCCGTATTCGTAGCACTGGTAGCACTGCCGAACCCGAAGATTGCCGTCGTACGGCTCGCAATCGAATATCTGGGCCTCCCAAATAAGCCCTTCGGAGCATAGTTCCATCGCCGTCTCCACGCTATCCACGTGTAGTATCAGGGCCGCATACGGTGCTTGCGGCGCCCGGGGGGGTTTCTTTTAGCCTTAGAGAGGTGCGTTGTATTGTCCCGCTTCAGGTCTTTAAGTAGCTGGCTCTCGTCGTGGACCTCTCGCAGCCGTTTCGCAGGCAGCCCCTTCGCGATCACTGCAACTTCTCTGCGGTTGAGAAGTGCCTTATCGCCGAAGGCACTACGCACCCACCTGCTGTCCGTGGTCGCCGCTGAAGCCGACTGCTTAAACGTCACTACGGTATCGCCACTGCGCAGCCTGCGGGCCGCCACTGCATCGGTGCTGCCGCGTGCACTGTTCACCGCTTTTACGACCTCAGCCGCCGATCTGTTCTTCATATTAGGGTCCTCTGTCCCCCGGATCACTACCTCTCTCTCCCTTCGCTGGGGCACTACAACCCGCTGCTGCCACACTGGGGCTTCACCGGGTCCCCGTCCCTGGGCCGATCCTGAGGCGATTGAGGCCCAGGATCGAGTTGTAGGCAAGGCCACGTTCTTCACCGTATCCTGCATGGTCTTCTCAACCATCGTCTGGATCGCCGCAGGAATTTCGGCAAGGGCCAGAGTCACTGCCAGTACGTCGGCATGTGTGGCGGGTCTGTCGCCCCCCTCCTCCAGCGTCCTGCCGGCTAGTTTCAACCCCAGCCAACGCTCCATCAAACCCCCCATGACCTCAATCTTCTCACGTGGGACCAAGTCGGCAATCTCTTGTTCTACCTTTTTTAGTTCTCTTCCGATCCCTTCCCTCTCTGCGTTCTTTCTGCTGGTGCGCTCCACGTTCGGTGCGTGGGCACTTTCGTTGGTGTGGGGGTGGTGAAAACTCTGTTCGAGTCCCGCCCGTCCCCCGTCGATCACCATCGGCGCCGCCATCGCTTGCGTCAGTGTAAAGAAGACGTACGTAAAATTTCGTAACGATTGAATCGATATTGGTAAAGAAAAAAGAGGTTGAAGTTAGAGGCTAGCGGTGTTGATGAGGCATTTTGGGTGTCCCACATATGGGGGTGTCCCGGATGTGGGTGTGGGACGTTAAAGCGTTGGTGCTGTTGAGGCTTCAGAGTCTTGGTATGACCATCAGCGTCGACGTCGGGTGACTTCTGGTACGTTAGATATATAGTACCGCTCTCGTATTCTTGCGGAGGCAATGGTTACGGATATCTATGTGACGTAGCCGTGTCTGTAGCTCAGCAGTCTCTTCAACGATTAGCCGGATCGTTTGCTTGTTGTGAACTTCAACGGTAAGGCTTCCATCCAGATCAACGGCAAGTTGATAGACTAGGCGATGTAGTGCTATAGCCACCCTCAAAGTAGCTAGACACCCCCTTCATCTTTGCCTCAGTGCTAGAGGTGACCACTGTATCTTGTTTTGTTGACCGCTAGGCAATAGGGCCTCCAAAGAGCTTAATAAAGTAGCCCATTGTTGACTTACGACCCGCAGTGTCATCACCGAAGCTAGAATCACTGGAGACTACCAAGCTCCAGCCTTCCAGGCTCTCACTTGGCCGTCACCTTTATCCTCTCGTTGAGGGGGTCTGTAGTCTCCGTATTCAATAACCAAGTGCTTGGTACCAAGGTAGCGGAGGACATCGCCATTTCTATATTCCCTCCCTGCACGGCAACCTCTTCGCATCATTTACCGCCACCATAGATACTGAAATTAGCGAAACGGGCATCTAGGGCCCCGTCCAACCATAGAATTTTCACCTAAGGGTCCGCAACCGCTGCCCTGCTCGCAATGAAACTAGGGCATAGACGAGGACCCCGACCTCATCAGTTTGATGCCTATGATCGACCCTATCGGCACAGACTGGATTTCCGAGAGGGGAACCCATAACTTCCCCAATGGTAAGGCGACCCCGTGGCGCGCCGCATTTATCACGATGATATGCTCTTCAAGGTGGCTGCTGCAGCTCGTCAGCGAAGCCCAGCAGGATCGCGGTCAATGGCTTGTAAGTGAGGCCATGCGGAGACGTTCTCTCTGCTGCATGGGCTCAAGGCTGTGACGGCCCCGTATCCAATTGCGTTTAATAACAACATGATGGCCAAGATGATGGATGCCGAGATCAATCGGGGGCCGGCGTACAGCAAGGCCGGAGGCAGGGCGCCCTCGTTTTCGTACACGACGAGTGGGTGCGTCACGGAACCGTGGTATAAGGCGAGTTTTGGTTTGTTGTCGATGATGCGCCGAGTCTCCGGCATGGGTATTTTAGAGGCGAGTGTGTGCCGCCCATGTTGCTGCACCCGATTAAGAACGACTAGGTAGTTCGTTTGGGGTTGTTAATTTAGTGTCTCTATTTCCGTCTTTACTCGGACCTAAATAGAAGGATTATGTAGGTAGGCTCAACCTCTCTTGAAGATGTTCGGAGATATCGAATCGTGGATAGGATGAAGTGAAGAACTCGTCCTCTTGTTGGTGGATAGCAACCCGAAGCTCCTGGTTCGTTGTTGGATCTCGTGGGGTACGAATAACACCACGAGATTGTCCTTTGTCGAGCTTTCTCGTTCTCATGCATGTTAAAATATGCCTTACTTCTTCCTTTCGCAAATTGCAAAGGACCACGCCGCAGTTTTCGCACCAAACAAGTAGTAATATAACACACTTCCCTTGCAACAAACAGACAAGTACTCCAACTCTTGTGAGCACAGAGGTTCTTGCACAGTTTGTACAGTCTCTGGTGTATCGCACTCTCATTAGTGAAGGTTAATTTCATTCGCAGACCACTAGAAACAGGCTGTGTGTCTTTCCCTTCTCTCTTTTCGAGCTGATGAGGAGATAACGAATTGTCTGGTAAAGACTTCGATTCCGGAAGGTCTTCCTGCTCTTCCAGGGAGGTATTGTCATCTGAACATTCTGTGCGTATTCGCCTGAGTTGACTCGAATTACTGGATACCTCAACTGCTTCAGTCTTGTCCTGATCAGGGCTCTTGTATTGAGTGAGCACAGCTGAGTTCCGAGGCTGTGGCCGAGGTTCTTCGAGAACAACAGGATTGAGGGTTTCAACGTTCTGAGGTATGGCTGCTATATTGGTGACTTGATCGAAGCAGTGATCATCAGCCGACATGGCTTTCTCATAGCCTGTAGCTGGTGACAAACCTTGGTCAGAAGCGGTCTCATTACTGAGTATCACAGCTGGTATAGAGTCTGACACATATCGGCTAATGGAACCGAATATTCGACACGTCTTGCCTTGATCGAAGGCAGATACATCGGAGCTATCAATTATGAATTTCAGACTGGATGTAACAGACAATTCCAAGTCTTGCGAGTCAGACTTCGGAATCGGTTCTCTCTGATGCGTATAGTCGGCGAATTTCCAATATTCCTTCATAGTAATAACCAACTCATCCCACGTCTTATACTCCTATTCGAAAGCTCGAATAATAAAACGAGTGTCGTAGTCGCATCATCGTACCCAAAGAGCAGTCTTTGTCGTATTTGATCTATGGATATCGTACAGAGAAATAGATGTCCAGAAACAGAATATATCAGACGCATCTCCACAACATTCTCGGAAGACAGTTATGAATCGGATCTTGAAGATAAGGGAGACAGAGTCGAGTGGCTGACACACGTCAATAGAGAAATGCTAGTGTCGGGCAAACCAAGTGCTATGTCTTGCCGATAATAGCGACAGAGAGATCTCCAGAAGGACTCGAAATGCAACCTGTTCGTCCGTGTCGCGGTAGCCGCGTTTGCGGCGGTCAAATCATTGGCCCTGAAGCGACGACGGATAGAAACTTCATTCGTACAACGAAGCTACGTCAGGTGCAGCCGTATTTGCGTCCAGACCTGACGGCTGAGAAGTTGTCCTTTTTTCTACCCAGTAAGAGCACGTTACCGGAACTCTGGTAGTACTAACTTAGTCGGCCCCGCCCAGGCGAACGTGAATATCCATATCTGCATCGGGGCTAGCGCCGTCTCAAGTTAGCGGAACCGCAAATACTGAGGGATTCAATCCTCTATTGATGACTCTGCGTAGATCCTGTCTTGATTGATCTATTCGTCTGCGCATCCGTTGTATTGTGTAGCTATTTTGTACTTTGGGGAAGGGTCTGACCCCACTAGACTACAATTGCCGCTACACCGTCTTTGGCCTAGGGCGTAACTGTGGCGCTCAATCCCACAAAATACCCCATAATCTGTTGCTTGGCAAAACAAAAAGATTTCAACGCGACGTGAATGGTGTGCCGATAACTTTCACGTTCCTTCCTAGATGACCATACGCGATCAATATGGAGATTGATCCAGCAGCTAAAGCGTAAGGCAGAAACCACTGTATTATTGACCGTAACTGACCAAATCTCCTAGGGAGGAGGTCGTACGGGTCGACCTTTTTGTCGATTCTGGATCCACAACAGCAAAAATTTGCTACGCGAGCTTCGATTCGCACCTGAGAGTTGTCGAAGAAGGAGACCTTACCAATTGGCCCGATGCGAACATCCATGCGAAATGCAACGCCCAGACTCCCCATGTACCTAGTCGAATCTATGTCGACGAAGCTGCTGGCGAAGTCAAAATAGGCTACTCAGCTCCGAATATTGCTGACAGCTTTAAATTCTACCTTCTCGGACGCGACGAGTTGCGCATAAATGACGAATCTAAGCAAAACCAAGCCATCCGAACATGTCTATGCTATTTCCTACAGCACTTCCGCACAGAAATATTGTTGAGCAAGTACCCACATCTTCAAAGGAAGCGTGCAGTGCACATCACTTGGACATACCCTGTCGAGTGGGAAAATGAGGAGGAACAGCACCGTCAAAAGAGATACAACGCAAGATGGGAAGAATTACTGGTCGATTCATCAAATCTCCCACAGGATTTCTATCCCAAAGGATTTAATCCCGGGAACTTCGATCCTAATGACTTCAGTCCCGACACGGAGAGCTTGTCTGAGCCCGACGCCATAGCTAACCAGTTGATCCCTTATTTTCTTCAGGAAAATAAGGGCGACGCCCATCAGAAACCGAAGGACAACTGTAAAGACATTGTCTGTGTTGGAGTTGGAGGAGCAGCATTCGTTAGTTACCAACTGCTATGCTGCTGAAACCTGTTTTCTGCTAACCTTTGCTGCTAGAATATTGCAGCCTTGCGTGTCTATCTTATTGATGGGATACCCCGAATCTTGCAATTAGGAAACAGCATTGGTTAGTCAGAATCATGCGAGGTGCTACTTTTCTACAATATTCGCTGACCATTACTAGGTGGTAGGGGTGGCGTGGAAGAGATGGGGCATGCATTCGATGTAGAGGTGCGAAAGAAGCTACAAAGCGATCATCCAAATCTTGAACCCGCGATTTGTAACAAGATTTGCCGCCAAGCCAGATACCACTTCGAAATGCAACAAAGCCATTGGGGCAATGATGAAGATTCACAAACCGAGATAAGTATCAAGATAGGTGAGGAGCACTATGACTTCGAAGTCTCTACCGAGAGATACTTCGGCATTGGATTTGACGAATTCTTCAACAACATCAACAAGTTCTTGGGAAATCTGAAAGAGAGAGGGACGTTTCCTTCACTTGAAACAGCCGCCGCAGATGGCGGAGCCTTTGGCTTGAAGAAAATGTCAACCAAATTTGGCGAGACAATGAAAAAGTACGACTTAACGGCAAAGTTTCCAAGCCTCAATACCAGGTAAGTCCTTCACATTTTATCAAGGCTGTGTATATACTTGAGCTAACTATCGACTTCCTTAGCATGACTGTAAGTTATGGTGCGAGGCAGGCCGTTATCCATCGATTACGCCTAAATAGAGAGATTGCCGTTGGAGAGTTCTTGAAGAGAACCCGCTTAGCAATTCAATTCTGCAAAGGTCCTGAAAGATCTGGCGAAGTAGAATCTAGCGAAGAATCTGGCAAAGAAAAGGGATGTGCAGCAACTCTGTGGTGTCCCTCAGATGCGAATATACCGAACGTAACCAAGTACAAGCTTGATGCCGAAGATCTACCTGGCTTCTTCATGGTCCTATGCGCAGATGAAGAATGCCTGGGGGAAAAAGAATGCCTGGACGAAGGTACATTCGAAATCGACGAAACATATTGCTACCCTCTTACGACTCAAAAGATACCATATAGCCAACCGGGACCTATCAACATTAGCATGTGGAAAGAGAACGAGCAGTTCCATCTACGGTTCACCCGAGGCGGTCGATGGGGCGGTACACACGAATGGTTGTTTGATTCTGCCCATGTTCAGCTTGGCCAGAACAATATTTTTTTCGACGTCAGGAAGATGGATTCGCTTAAGCCGCTTAAGCGAAAGAGGACCTAGCCGGCGTCGTGATAATAATCACGGTCAAAATTGGTAACATCTTCCCATATCAATTTAGAAGAATTTTTGCTAACTACTTATTCCTCCGAAGGAGCAAATATACATGAGCAGGCGTAGATGGTTTGATTTTTTGTGTATTTACAGATAGGCTTGTCATCTGGGTAGTACGCATCGCACAGGTAACGTCCCACACCCACATCCGGGACACCCCCATATGTGGGACACCCAAAAATGCCTCATCAACACCGCTAGCCTCTAACTTCAACCTCTTTTTTCTTTACCAATATCGATTCAATCGTTACGACATTTTACGTACGTCTTCTTTACACTAATATGAGTCAATATACCGAAGATGATATTTATCGAGCTCTTCAAGCAATAGCTACCGGTCAAAGCCTCCGAAAAGCAGCATATGAGCATGGTGTCCCAAGGTCTACTCTTTCACGACGGATTCAGGGAGCCCAGTCAAGAGATATAGCTTTCGCTGATTACCAGAGGCTCTCTCCAGCCCAGGAATCTCATCTGGCTGAATGGGTTCGAATCCAGGCTGCCCTAGGCCTCCCACCAACCCATCAACAGCTCAAAGACTTCGCCGAGCGTATCCTACAGATCCACGGAGACACCGAACCACTTGGAAAGAACTGGGTCCAGGCTTTTATCAAGAGGAACCCTTCAGTCAAGGTCCAGAGAAGCAGAGCTATCGATTCCCAGCGTATTAATAGAGCCTCAGCTAATGTGATCAGGTAATGGTTCAAATACCTCGCTATCCCTGAGATCAAAGCTATTAAGGCCTCGAATCGATACAATATGGATGAGACAGGTATTCTAGAAGGTAGAGGATCAAATGGTCATGTTCTAGGATCATCTGAGACTCGTTCTATACGGAAGAAACAGCCTGGATCTCGAGCTTGGACATCTCTTATAGAGTGTATCTCTGCGACTGGTACTGCACTACCCCCACTTGTGATATACAAGGGGAAGTCTGTCCAGCAGCAGTGGTTTCCTCTGGACTTGACTCCATACGAAGCCTGGAGGTTTACAGCAACAGAGAATGGGTGGACGTCAGACTCTACGGCTATTGAGTGGCTACAAAAGATCTTTATTCCTTTGACTCAACCAGAGGACCCTGAAGAGACTAACCGCATTGACCACCTTTTTGCATGCACCCCCATTTTGCAGGGTCTAACTGAATCAACCTAAATACTTCGTCCATATTATTTATATACAGAACATACTTAATTCAAGTGTCCGAAGACTTAGATATATTCTTTCGAGTCCTCTTTTTAGGAGGGACCCTTCCTTCGAGAAAAGTATCAATTTCTGACTGCTTATCCGGTAAAATAGGCCGTATTCGCTTATTTCGCTTGTCCTGGGCTGTTCGGATCGCTGATAAGTTAACGAATACTTTATTCGGGTCTGGCTCGACGGGCTGGCATATATCTGGAGCGTATTTATCGAGTTCTTTATATAGTTGCTCGTTTTCGATACGTAATTTGGCATTCTCGGCGGCCTGGAGTGTAAGGGCCTTGCCCGCCTTGCCTACTAGGGTACGAATCTTACGAGATACCCCGCCCTTGGCTTTCTCTATCGACTGTAGTTGGCTAGATAGTTTCTGCGCTTTCTGAGGAGTAAAAGCAACTAAAGGTGGTGATATATGAGGCGGAGGATCTGGTGTATGAGGCTCCGGGGGATCACAAGATACGTCGACTAGTCCTTCGGAGCCTAGGGGCTATATACCAGTCTTCCGCCAGCCAGAAAGTCTCGGATCTTGGTCGAATCGGACGCTCTAACTAGGCTAGCATCTACGACGCGCCCAATCTTGGTACGTATCTGTGGATGGCGGCTAACGAAGTGATCCACCCAGTGTTGGCCGAGTGTATTGTTATCCCCTTGAGCAAGGAGGATTTGGGCAGCGAAGTCGGCCACATAACGCTTGCTAGGAGCCCGTCCACACACTTCTTCGTGTAGGATCCAGTTCACGATAACCTCGTCTTGCTCTGGAGTCAACTTTTGTTGCCTGGAGGCGGCGTCGCGATGCGAATTACCGTGACGAATACGGTAGGACAGTGTAGTCCCCTTGATACCGTACCGATGAGCTGCTACGGCCTGGGAAGAGCCCTGACGGACAAGCTCTTTAGCGCGTTCGATTCGCTGCTCAAAATCGTCCAGACTATCCTCCACTGGATTAGCCATTTTGTACGTAGATAGGGAGCAATTGCGAGGTAAATTGAGAGACGTCGTGTTATTGAGGCGTAGAAATTCCCTGCAAAATGGGGGTGCATGCAAAAAGGTGGTCAATGCGGTTAGTATTCAAAGGCTGTCATTGGATAGGTAGCAGAGCTAACCACGGCTTGCAGACGAGCCGGGGTCAGTGATTATTGGGTGCTCTGGATCCGCAAGGTCGACTGGGGTGTTGACCATGCTGTGGGCAGAAAGCTTGGATATGGACCGGACGCAATGGTGTTGGTAATGGCTATGACAATGGCTATGGCACCGGTGCCAGTGCTGGTGTTCCGCGCAGACCTGTCGGGTCGAATGGTGTTGACCACATGGTCTAAGCTGTTGCTGAACCGACTGAAGCGCTGGACATTGTTCAGTTTTTCACGTCCTGATGTCGCAAGAAGAAGTGGCACACCTAACGACCTACTTAGCAAAACCGGACAGTCCGATAAGGCTGAAGGATAAATTTCGCTATATAGGTTGAGCTGCATTCTCCGTTGGGCTAAAGCTTTTTCCGGCTCTAACTGCTCCTTGCTTGCAAGGCGCCGCCCATCCACAGCACAAAGCGGATCCAGCCCTCTAGTCGCCGCTAGACCGCTATCAACCCTGCGATGACTTCACGAGCCCAACTATATTGCCCGGCGTGTCAGTCTATCTGTGGTAGCACAACAACCAAGGCCAGTACGGCAAGGACCCTTCGACGCATGATGGGATAGTTGCACAAGGTGAAAAGGACCATAGCCCATAATCATGCCGTCTTCATAACTCACAGTGACAAGTACTGTTTACGCGGTCCTCTCGAGAGACATCTTCACGTTAATACCGAACACCATCGGAACTCGGCCATAGAGCAGAGAAATCGTCTGTCCGCGTATAATTAGTCATTCGATACGCCGGTGAAGATGTCTTCGGATTAGCACGCTTTCGTTTCAGTTCATGACTCCCTCAAGGCCCTGTAATAAATGTTCCCTTTTGTGGACAGCTCCAGAAGGCTCTCCTGACCATTACTTTGGATGGGGACCCTTGGCTGGGGACCCCTAGCAAACTCCGTCTCCGCCGAACATGCCATTGGTCTTTTAACAATTGGCAACATAACATAGAAGCGTTTATAGTAGAATTATCTTAAGCTAAAGAATCTAAGTTGTAGAAGTTGAAAGTGTGACAACTGGGTTTCTCTACCACCGCTCAGCAGGTATGAGCTTCGTGCTTCGTGCTTCGTGGCTTTGTTAACATGTGTAGATTGGCTCTAACTAGCCGCGCCGTTGACAGAGACCTGAGATGAAGAAATAAGTCATGTATTGTTTAGTGACAAGTATTGCGGTTGAGTTCTAACTACTGGCGAGATATTATAGGTAGAAACCTGATGTACGTTCTGGTTAGGGGAGATTTATACGAAGGCCAAAAAAAGATGTTTTTTTTCTTCTTCTCTATGATGGCTACTTCTGGCTTGATGCTGGGTTTTGTAGGCGTTCGGCTCTGCACTTGGCCGTACTTTCCCATCTAGGGGCGGTACTCGATTCATGCTAGCTGGAGCTCTTCTAATCACCACCACGGGGTTGAGGAGAAAGCATATAAATTAAAGGAGAATCATGGTATCTCCCAACTAAGAATGCTAATTTTGATGGTTGTAGCCTAGGCTTGGAGGGGAAATGCGGGTTTGGCCTGATTGCCCTGCCTGGCGGCGACCTCATAAGTGTAATTCTGCCTAGAGCACAGCCTGGTTCGGCGAAGACAGCTGAATACGGATTGCCCAACCTTCTGTTGCGAGTTACGGCACATCATACGTGCTGTCTACTGTAAGTCGGGACAGAGCAGTTTCCGACAATAGTAGAGCTGTCATACAAGGCCACAGCCGCATCTCTAATTGAGTAGTCAATCAAATTCCCGGAACCAGGTTCAAGTGCAGCCACGTAGTCGAATCCATCAGACACACCACTGAAACCGCCAAAGCTAGCTCTCACGGCGATATCGTTCAAAATGCCCTCCTTGTTGACTGTAAAATTGCCACCAGGCGAGACCTCACCAGAAAGCGAGTTGGTCACGGAAGCATACTCGAGCGCAGCAATGGTGGCAGTCACGCCTAACTGCGCTGCCATGGCGCCAATGGAGCAATTTGCGTTGTTGGCGTTGAGAAGGAACAAGTTGGCTGCATACATGGACGCCATGAAGCGGGCCAATAGGGTGCTCTCAGCTGCGTCGCTCAAAGCCGACTCGCGGACGGTGAAGGCACTGGACGTGATGGGGGCAACGTGGTCGGACACGCGAGCCAGGATGTTGGGGGCTTGGCCGTCGGGCAGTGACTGACCCTGGACAGTGAAGGGGTAGTTCAGGATGGTGGCGTACACAGCACTGCCGTTGGATGTGGTGCCGCTCAGCAGGTCTGCATAGCGTGCACTGGTGCCTCCAACCGTCTGTTCTGGGTTACTACTTGGCTAGACGGAGAGGGGCAGCACAACGGGGAACTGCTTGAACGAGGAAAAAGAATAGAACGTAAGCTTACCATGAAGTAGTAGTCATCATACAGCTCCAGACCAAGATTGGAAAGACCTTTCCTCAGGAGATAGGCATACCCGCTGACGGGCGAGTCGACGATGATGGGCTTGCCAACCAACTGCGACGCGTTGGTTATGGAGGGAATCGACGCGATGACAAGATCCGGTCCTTGGTCCAGCTGCCCCAGCACGGTGACATTCTGGTCCTGGTTGAAGCGGTAGTTGAGTGCATTGTCTACGGTGGCCGTGAGGATGTCGTACTCGCCAGACAGCAGTGACGAAAAGGCGGCGGTGCTATTGGGGACCTGATTATAGATGACATTGAGCCCAGTGGCCTCGAAGAAGCCAAGCCGGTTGGCCACCGAGTACGTGGCCGTCTCCAGACTGTGTTGCCTTGTCAGTTTCAATTTCCAGCCCATCTCCACGAGGTACGCGTGTGGCTCACAAAGCTCCGTACTGCACCGTATCGAGCGCGGTAGCACCAACTAACGGCAACAACGCCACAACTGCGCTGGCAAACATGTTGAAGCGTAGAAGACTAAAATACCACGGATAAAAGGCGAGATGACGGGCGAATGCGACGGGTTTCAGCAGGTTGTCACTTTGTAGAAGGCATGGACGCGAGGAGACTGAGGGAAATGTCGGGAAAAGTCTGCGAAGCTCATTTGCGCGGGTTTCATCGTTAGAGTTGTTCGCAGTTGATGCATCACAAATCGTTCCCGCGAACCAGGGTCGGAACGACGTCGTCAGACAAACCCGTCGCAAATCCGCCGCGACCGAACGCTGGCCCGGACAAAACCCGGGCGTCCGGGGCCCTGGCCTGAGTACAAGCTACTTCGAACCCCAGTGGACTGGGCTGGGCTACGCCTTACCCTGTGACTAGAAAAGCTTGTGTGGTACTCTTGTGTGGTACTCGTGTTGCGGACGAAAATACTCGGATTTGATGTCTTCTGGACAAATCGTCCTTCCGGGAATAGATATCGCGATTCATCAACAGTTCACCCGGTATCTCGCCACCCTGACTATCTGAAAACAAGTTCATCCCTTATTGGCCGTAATTCACCAGATGGGACGCAGTTGACAGTACTCTGAAGTCGTCACAGCGTGAGCCACCCTCCGTAACCGGCACGCTACCTACCCCAGTCGCCGTATCGCCGCCCTACCGTTGTATCCAGATGAGATGAACGAGCGGACATCTGATGTACCCATTCTTCGGCGGGGTTGCAGCCCACCGCTAGCCGCCACTGCAGAACTTGTCCCCGGCATTTTCACTCAGCAGATTAGATTAGACGAACCTTAGATTCCATACTTGCAGTGTAGCCCGAGCTTTCGCGGACAATTTGTCAGAGATTGGAATTGACCACCACGGGGCATATCCTTAGCGTGGTTAGCGGCGCGATTCGAGTCTGCACGTTAGCGAGGCACGAACTCGTGCAGTCCCAGTCGTACGGGCCTGACTCACGTGTTCAACCCTGGGCGTTCCGTACCTGCAGAAGCGAGGGCGGGCAAGATCGTGCTTTGGACGGGTTAGAACATGCTGAGAAATAGCGCCCAAAGTAGGATATCCAACTCAGCCCGGTGCTTGTATCTGTTGAACTACTCAAGTGCGCCATCGCGCATAGCGCTCTCGTATTATCCCGTCTGGTGGAACGCCTATTCGATCGCTGGCGCGGCGTCTGAATGTGACAGGCCGAAGTAGTTCCTTCTCACTAGACAGCACCCATGCAAATCGCCGCGAGATGGAATGGCGTGTTCGAGCGGAAAGGCATCTACTTTCGGTCTAGCCGAGCTACGACGAATCCTCCACGGTCCACCACCATGAACATCGAGCCAACGGTGTTCAACGGGCGGTCCCGCTTCCCCGGCTACATTTCCACCAAAAAGCGGGAATTCGAAAATCTGGCACGAAATCAGATGGGACCTCCGATCTGTTAACGTTGCGCATGTTAGTGTAGTCACAATGCAGCATGCCGGCATAGCTGCATGCATGGTCAAGTGTATCGTAATGGTAACATGAAAATATAGAACTAACAGAGTGGGGGAACCCAAGTCATTCTAGTTATAATCTAAGCAGGCCCCCTCGAAGTCAACGGGCGGTGCCAACAGCGAACCCATCTCAGTCGGCGGCAGACGGTCGTCCTAGTGACTCCTCGATGCCAATGCTAACCCGCACTTTCATCTGACCTCGCGCGCCCCTTATGGATTCCTTCGCCGATTGGAAGCGAGATGTCATCGACGATGGGCTTCCGAATCCGCGCGGTGAGCAGCTGGCGCATGTCTCTATCGTGTTCGCCTGTTTGTCGTTCGTCTTCGTTGCTGCCAGGCTACTCACGAGATGTTTTGTCAACAAACTTGCCGGGCCGGACGACGTGCTTATCGTCGGATCGCTGGTGAGTCTAGCCATAGCCCCCTGGGTTGCTGATCCATTCATCCCGGCGTTTAACGATGTTCCAGATTCTGGCTATATGCATGACTGTATCCTATAACGAAGGTTAGTTCAAGCTGCAACCCAGAATATCTCTCTTGTCCAGCATATCAGGGCTAAATAAGGGCAGAGGCGAGGAATGGGTTTGGATTGCATTTCGACCAAGTAAATTATGGGCACAAGGTGAAAGCATTCAAGGCAAGTGACGGAATCATGCCACGCACACGTCCGCTCCGGAAGCTAACTCGAGCAGTGGTTTTTTGCGGCACAGATACTGTACAAGGTCGCTACCTGCCTCACCAAGCTATCGATACTCATGCTCTATCTGCGCATCTTTCCCGGTCGCAACTTTCGGATCGCTTCCTGGGTGACGATGGGCATCACCGTTACTTATTCTCTTGCGGCTGTGTTCACCACCATCTGGTCATGCAATCCGATCCAGAAGGCATGGGACAAGAAGCTTGATGGACACTGCTTGGACATCATCTCGGTGTGGTACAGTATGTTGCCCCTTTTTGTGGATTGAAAGGTGGGCTAGAGTCATGTAACACGGAGACTGACGAGTCAAACCCTTGAATAGGTACATCGATCATGATTATTATAACCGACGTCATCATTATAGTGCTGCCCATCAACGAAATTCGCCGACTCCAATTGTCTACAAGGCAGAAGCTGCTGCTATCTAGCGTCTTCAGTCTAGGCCTATTCGTTATTGCGTGTACTGTAGTACGCATGTACACTGTCTCGCCCAAGACCACCGCCGAGGATCAGACATGTGAGTTCATCTCCTCTGCATCCATGACTTTCGCTCTCTATTGACAGCACAGGCAGATTACCAAGCCATCTCCAATAGTTGGACATTCCTGGAAGTCAATGTTGGAATTATTTGTGCCTGTAAATCCTGTTTTTCCCTCCACCCCCACGCAATTCCAGTGCCGTTATGTGTCAAATATGGCTCTAAGACCGACCACTCCAACAATAACCGGTCCCATCTACATTGATGTATAGTGCTGATGGAACTTCATCAATCACAGGCCTTCCAGTGCTCAAATTCCCTTTCTCGAGGCTATTAGCTCGGGTTCGAGGAAGGAAGACGACGGCAACTCAGAGCGGACCTTCTGATTATGGATTGAAGACGATTGGGCAAATGAACTCGCGACGGAAATCAGCAAATACCAAGCCGGATCACACGGGAGACAGTGTGGAGGATCTTATCCTAGGCGAAGCTGCGGGCACTAGGGAGTTTGCTTTGCAGACGACTGTTTCTTCCCAAGTGACTCAAAACGAGAGATATGAGTATCCGTGATATCTTTTGATTGAAAAACAAAGTGCTGCCAATTTGCAAGCCTCGTTACGTCAGGTTCATTGCGTTGCCTGTGTTACCACCTCGCCAATCTGAAGTAGGGCACGAGTTTAAGGCAGCGAGTGCTTGGACATATATGCCAGATCGCCCCATGGTGCCCTAATAGGTCAACTGGACAACCCGCCAGCGTAAAGCATTCCATGTTCGTGTCACAGAATATAGAGACAGGCGGTAATGGCCTGTCCTATCGGTATGGCAAAGGCCAGCTCTCGGATATTTATGTCCTTAGATTTGGCTGGATAACCACGACGTCGGCGTCTTCTCTGTTACAGCCTAGAGATATGTCTCCGCTCAGAACTTCCCATGACCTCACATGAGCCAAAACCATCAAATTTCCTATGCTTCAGTTGCCCCGCCTAGTTGACCGTTAACTGACGTGTGTATCATTTTTTTCTCCCCCTTCCCTCAGTTGTACTGCAATGAACCAGTGTAACTTGGTATATAATGCGCCAGGCAGAACGCAGCAGGGGGGGGCTGTGAGGACATCATTATCCTGCACTGCGCTAAGTCCGAGCTTGACATGCCAATTAGAAGTGATGTTGACCGACTAAAATCCATGAATTAAGCTTAGCGGTCAGTTTATCTCGTATCTGTTGACTATCAGATAAGTGGTGAGGATATGTGTACATTACTACGAGGACTATATTGACCCCCATTAGCCTTAATATCGAAGCGTTAATCTGATTGCTACGCCGCTCACCTCCGTTTGTAACTCGAGACACCATGTGTATTCCCTTTATTTCTCCAGGCCTCACAAGAGGTTGCACTACAACAGCTTGACGACCATGCCCCTTCTGTTTCTGTGATGTTAGTCCCAAACGCAAACTCGTATACGAAGGATGTTTGTTTGGAAGAAAGCGAAGAGAAGGGAAAAGTAAAATTAAATGTTTATTAGGATATTAGGAAGCGTTTTCGGGAGATCCGTGACTTCAAGCAGCTGGGATGAAGTGATGACTTGATTCATATCGATTTGGCTGATACTGCAGAAGACTATTAGACGCTCGACAAAACAGTCTTTTCCAATATAAAGATTAGGCAACTCCAAGTGTTCGATATTGTTGTAACTATTTGCAACCACCTGTGTACGCAATGCTGCGTGATACATAGCTCTGCGTATGGCAATGCAATTATCTACCGTTAGCTCACATACCCTATAGTGCTTTCCATCTACTTTGCATGACATGCGTTCGTCCCATGTTCATTGAAACGCTAAATCGAAACATGTAAGGGATCCCCTGCATTCAGTCCCTGCCGTGACGCTGTGGACATTGTAATATCCTGAGCACATCATGGGATTCATCCCCATGGTTTCTGGACTTCTACTCCGCTTTGTCTCTGCTCCTGGCTCTATTGTTGTGCAAACAAATACATGACCGGCCATTCACGAGAGTCAATATGGAAACGCATCAATGGGCCCTCGAGTTGACTGCGAGGTTGAAGAACAGCAACCGTCATTAACACGACGATAGTGGGGCTCTTATATCTCCTGCTTCCAGGGTGTCCTGGCTTGATGTAGCCGTCGTGACGCAACGCTTCCCGGGATTCCAGGTTGAAGACGGTCATGCGGTTACCTACCTTAGGGGAAAACGCTTATTTTAGTCTACAGGGGTCTCAAAGGATCACGCTCTACTGGAGTTCATGACAGGTGTCAGGATTTGATATGCACTAACGTACCCCACGGTCCAATTGAACACTTTCGCGCATTTCCGTACAACCTAGGTTTTATCCCTTATTTTCCACCTTCTACAATGGCACGTAATTGGGAAGAAAGCGATATTCAACTAGCGCTTCAAGCGCTTCAAAATAACCCCAAACTAAGCGTACGATCCGTGCTACGGATCTATAATATCCCTCATACAACCTTACGTCACCGATATCGCGGCGGTACTTCACGACAGGATATACGATCACCAACGCAAAAGCTTACCTATTCCGAAGAAGACGCGATCGTACGCTACATAGTCGACCTAGATTCACGATCATTTCCTCCTCGAATAAGTGGCGTTGAAGATATGGCGAATCGACTACTCCACTAACGCGACGCAGGACGCGTCGGTATTAACTGGGCTTCGAGCTTCGTACGACGACAACCAGACCTCCGGACGCGTTTCAATCGAAGAATCGACTACCAGAGAGTCCTCTGCGAAGATCCCGACGCGTACCGCGCGTGGTTTTATCTCGTACGGAATACAATTAATAAGTATGGAATTCAAGAGGAGGATATCTATAATTTTGACGAGACTGGGTTTCTTATGGGTCAAATCTCATCCGAGATAGTTGTAACGACCTCTGATCGACGTGGAAGACCTAGAGCAGTACAGCAAGGGAATAGGGAATGGGTTACAGTTGTCCAGGGCATCGGATCGGACGGCTATACTATCCCTCCGTATATCATCTTTGCTGGTAAAACTCACCTATCTTCGTGGTACGAAAATAGCCTACTACTAAAGGATTGGGTTATCGTGGTTACGAAAAATGGCTGGACTACAAATGAAAGAGGCGAGGACTGGATTCGACATTTCGATCAACATACAAAGCTTCGTACGAAAGGTGTTTATCGCCTCTTAATTCTCGACGGCTACGAGAGCCACCACTCGACCGCTTTCGAGCTCTACTGTAGAGAGAACTCTATTATTACACTCTGTATGCCTTCTCATTCGTCGCATAAGCTCCAACCTCTCCATATCGGCTGTTTTCGTGCACTGAAAAGAGCGTACGGTAAAGAAATTGAGGATCTTATGTGGGCACATATTACCCATATCTCGAAGGAGGACTTCCTCTCCGCGTTCTTAAAAGCGTTCCAGGCAACTTTTACGATATCAAATATCCAGGGAGGTTTCCGAGGGGCAGGACTCGTACCGTACGATCCGGAATATGTGATTTCGCAGTTAGATGTGAAGTTACATACTCCAACACCTCCGGGTACCTCGTCTAGCCTTCCTATTATCTGGGAGTCGAAGACCCCAAATAACCCAATTGAGGCACAATCCCAGACCGAACACGTGGAAAACCGAGTTATACGACATCAAAATAGCTCTCCGACAGCTACACTTACTGCACTTGACTAGTTTGCGAAGGGTACGACGCAGGTTATGCACCGGCTTGCTCTTTTAGAGGGTGAGAACGCCGCGCTTCGAAAGGCAAATGAGACACTTAGCCGGCGGCGTTATACGAGAAAAAAACGTTTACAGTATGGAGGATCACTTCGTATACAAGCTGGAGAAGATTTACAGTCTCAGAAGCTAGTTAATGGAGAGTTAGATAATAAATCGCGCTGGAGTCGTAGTCGTACGAGGAGGCCAGAGATACTTCAGCAACGCTGTAGGACGTGCGGAGAGCCCGGTCATAATATGTGTACTTGTCAGAATAGTAAAGAGATATCTGAAGAAGATAGTTCCGAGTAGTTTTAATTATTTTTTTACGTTATAGTTGAATTAACTTATATCTTATTGTACGAGGTCTTAAGAAGTGTTCAATTGGACCGTGGGGTACGTTAAGCCCAATAGCTCAATAGAGTAATTTTACCATGGGTGTTCCAAGACTGGTTGTTCCCTTGATTCACGAGCCACGACTCGTCGCGAACCATATCAGGAACTGAACAAGAGCATGAGTGGGAAAGTCCACCAATTGCTCCTGTCGCTGAACGAGCCAGGGCGGGACGTAGTCCCCCCCTGGTCACTAGAGTACGAGGAGCCAATTTGCGGGGTTGGGGTGCCGGCGTCTATCCCAACGAGACCGTTCGGAGTTTAGTCTCAATTTGCCATCTAGACCCATGCAGTGGGTGCTGGAAGGCATTGTCTTTGGCCTGTTCCACCTGGGTCATTCACATTCTGAAGGAGCCATGCTCTCGGTCCTGCCACTTCGTTGGGCATTCTTATTCATCCATCACAGTCTGCTGGATATCTATGTCACAAAACGTTTACGCAGAAAGGTCATATGACACAACGGTGGCTATGTGATATCATGCTGAGGCGGTCTTGCTACTCTCTACGTGACCACCGATCGAACATTACGTGACTTGTGCCTTGGCGAGCTCAGGACAACTTGGCATGCTTCGTAGGGAAACGTTCATCTTTTAGTTCCCCGAAATTCAAATCGACTTTGTATTTCTCTTCAACCGGTGCATTCCATCACGGCGCCGCCCAATTGCCACCAATGCATGTCTGCGCGTTTCTTGGAGTATCAACACCACGCCCATCATAGTGTACAACAACCGGCAGATGTTCATATTTCAATCATGCAATATCCTCCTAGCATGCCGTAGCCAAGACAGCGCCCCGCCACAGAAGTCTTCCTCATGACCCTCCTACACGCGCAACATTGGGTATCCGTGATTCAGTCCTTCATTGCCAACCTTCCGTCTTACTCTATCGCAAGCGGCGTAAGATCTCCCGAGTTCCTCGGTTCGCTACGTCAATGCATGCGCTTCATCCGTACTCGTCAGGCGTTCTCCTTCCTGATGAAAACCTCAATGAGTCCCCTCATCCGGTCCTCGGTGGTCTTCTTTTCCTTTGCGCTAAAACTCTCCCCACCTGAGACGGTTCTGCACACAGCAGTGCCAACCACCTCGGCAGCCCGCTTTTCCCAGGCAAGCCGGCGCTGGATTGCGCCTTCGTCTATGCTGCCATCGGTGCTGCTACTGCTGCTTCTCGCCCCCCTACGGAAACTTATGGTACGCGCGACGCCAATCCCCTTGCGCCCTACGGACTGGGCTTTGCTCGGGTCCGCTAGGGCTTGCACCTGAGCCGGCGACAGGGGTACGAGGTCGGCCGCGACTTTGGCGACCATGGCTGTCACGAAGACGAAGGAGATGTTGTGGTACGGTGCACCGCCGAGGATGTCCAAAACAACTGTCTTGTCATTTTCGATTTCCGGAGCCAGCTTCGTGCTGGTCTGGGTGGATAGGGTGGGCAGAGCTGTTTCGATCTTGGCCCAGAGTGGCGCCGATACAATGCCGTCGGTAAGGGAGGCGAAGAAAAGCAGAAGCACTTGGCTCGTAACTTCCAGGCGTACCCGGGCCGAGAGATGAGGTGGAAAGGCATCAAGCAGTGGCGTATCGGTATCTAGAGCTTCTATCAGCTTGGCTCGAAGTTCGGTCGGGTCGACCTCTGAGCTGTCGTTGGTTTGGTCCCTTTGAGAAGAGTTCTGGGTGTGTATATGATCATCGCCGTGGAACGGCCAGCCCGTCACTTCACGAGGCAACTTGGCGTCTTCGCCTTCGAGCATGTTCTCATCCGCCATGGCTCGTTCGGCCAACGTCTCGATAGTTTCCGTCAACTTGTACAACTCTGCCGGCGCAGATGAATGCACAGGCAAGCTGTGAGGGATAGGCCCGCCCTTCCACGGCTTGTCTTTCTCGCTCTTGCGTGCTGATTCCTTTTGGTGGAGGCCCCGTATACCTCCGTTACGTGGCGGGATGCGGATGAGTTCTTCGATGCTGCGGCCAAAGGTTGAGGGCAGCCATGTGCCGTGTATGGGAATAAAGTGATCGCGACCATCGGCGACACAGAGGACTAGAACGTCGTTCAGAGAGTCTGTACCTTGGTTCAATGAGCGCAGCTTGTTGATCGACGTGACGTGCAGGGTTAGGAGGGCTAAAGCGGTATCGCCGGGCTCCAGCGTGATGGCTTTCCCCGCTCCCTTTTTCGATTGCTCCGAAGTCTGCTCACCGGCGTCAGATGGAGAAGACAAGTCGAGGAGCTGAAGATGCAACCATTCGGGTTCTGCTGGTTTGGAAGCGGCACCGCTGGAGCCAGAGGCCTCATTTTCAATGCTGGGCTTCCCCACAAAGCTAATGGTTGCAGGCACCCGACCCGTGTTGGCGATGGTCAGGGAGCGCTGCTTGGGCTGCATGAATGCGACATGACCAAAATCCACCCCACCGCTGCCATCCGTAATATCATTTTCGTGCTCGGCGTTCCTCACATCACGGGATGAGCTCTCCTTTCCATCCACCACAATCGTGATTCCCGGCCGCCCCTCGTTTTCAGCCCGATCCAGTTCCCGTGCCACCTCGGCGTGCACCTTTGCTTTCAGTTCGGGCACTACCGCGTCGTAGTCCAGGGTAAACAGCGCAACTATGGGCTTGTGGTCGCTGGACGTGATGCGCTGGTGGGTAGTGTAGATGTCCAAGCTAATGTGATCCTTGAAGCCCTCTTTTGTCACCACATCTTCGCCACCCGATTCTTCCGCCTCCTCGTCGTACTCGTCGTAGTCGTACACAGTATCTCCGCCGCCGGTCACGTCGTTGGAGCTGGAATCTTTGGCGGGATCGTAATCAAATAAGACGGACTCATCATCGGCGGCAGTATCAATCCCGCGCTTGTGCATGTCTTCGTCCTTCTTCTTGGCCTCGATCTCGTCTGCTTGCTTCTGCTTATGTGCCTGCAAGTCGGTCCTCGTGCGAAACAGAATGCGGTCGCACCAGCTCGGCGCACGTCGCTTCTCAGACGAATCGAAGAGCCCCACCGTGCCAATATCGTACTTGTAGCTCGGTAAGAAGGTGATGGGGCCTTCTCGCCATCCTTCGTAGAAAGCCTTGCGCTCTTTGATAGTGCGCCGGAGTTGATCGTGGGGGAGTAGGGAGTCGAGGGTGGCTTGCAGGGACGCAGGATCGTCGTGAGGATCGGGAATAAAATCGTCCGGGTCAGGGAGCTCAGCGTTATCGTCGTTGCCGTCGGCTTTGTCGAAACTGGTCTCGCGGGAGATCGTGTGGGGGGTGTTGTTGCCATCCGAGTCGCAACCCTTATCGAAACCCACCGTCTCGTTATCCGACATGACGATGACACCATCCTCATCCAAATGCTGGCGGGTAGATGTATTGTTGATATCGTACTCGCCCCTCGTATGTAACATCAACAGTCGACGTATGTCGTCCCCTGGCAAACCGTCGAGCCGGAAATTCAGGTCGCCAAACCAGAAGGCAAAATCCTCGTCGCCGATCTTCTCGCCGCTCTCATCCAGTACGCCCGCGCGGTTAACGGGACTGAATTCCGTGTGCGATAGGATCTTGTTGTAATCCCAGCATCGTCGGTCCAGATTGGTCTGATCGTCTCCCGAGGCTAAATGGCAGTTGGTAAAGACCAGTCGTGTCGTCTCTCCCAGCATGATCCTGGATGATATGCCTCCCTTGTTGCCCATGTAGCCCAGTAGGCCAGTGCCGACGGATATTGTGGAGACATTGGAGATGGTGGCGGCGACTTCGGGCGACGCGTAGATGAGCAGGAGCAGGCCTGACAGTTGCTGGCATGCGACCAGCGTATAGTTGGCGGGAAGGGCAGCCTCGAGCGCTGCTTGCCACTTGGCCGTGATGAAGGGATCCGCATACAGAGACTGGGACACGAGGTTGAGCGACATGATCTCCTGGAGGCCGAGCACATAGAGGCCAATGTCCGAGCCTCCGACGAGTCGTATTGAAGGCTCCCTCTGCTCGTCCTGTGGTTCTTGCTGCAGCCTGGTTTTGCCATCGTGCGCGTTTTTCTTGTCCTCGTCTGATGCTTCAACAGCCCTAGGGCTCATGTCCATGTCCCTGTGAACCGGCGTGCTCTCTTCCACGAGGTCGCTTTCCGTAATCTTCAGCTTGGCAAGATGCGACTCCAATCCAGGCTCCAAGCCCCTTCCATCGACAAACCACCTGGCAAGGTCTTTGTCGGTTCCAGGACATGCGGCGACGTTCCACGATCCGACTTTGACGCGTATCCGGTGCGGTCGGACGTATTGTGCCTTGCGGGCTTGGACGACGCGAGATAGAGAGTAGTGTGTTGAATTCGTGGCGAGGTCGACGGGTTCGGAGACCGAAGGATGCGACGTGACCGACGAGGCTCGAGAGGTGGAGGGCATCGTGATTTTCTGGCCCGAAGGCGGTGCAGATTCTCGATTACGGGGTATATACGTGCGATTCGCGATGCGGGGTACGGGAATAGACTTATAGGATATAAAATAGATACAGGGTACTAAAAGGTAAGAAAGGCTTCGGCGGAAAGCCGATGGTCATGTCAGTGTCGCGTTTTTCGAGCCTCTCTCCAGCCAGCATCGTCGACACTTGCATAGTGGGGGAGGGTATAACGTAAGAGGTAGTGACGTCGGCGGGGCAATGTGACAGTGCTGGACAGCAGACTTCTAGATGTCGTTCTAGAGACCAAACAAGACGGAAATCAGAATATGCCGAATTGGTGCAACGCTGTGAGGAAACACATTCATAAAATGACTTACGAGTCTCCGCATTAAAACTAGAGAGAAGGGGGATGAGCAACGGTATCTAGAGCTCGCGCGACTGTCCGTCACATGCCTCGAACTTCGTCTGATAGCTCATGGTTGGCATCTGGGTTCAAGCCTTGCATTATGCATGGGACTCAGGAATGAATTGACTCCCAACTGACGGAGACTGGGGAAACGATAATGCGACAGTCCCGCCTTCAACGAGGGGAAGGATTCTAAGTGGATGGATAATTGAATTGACGAGGCCATTGAGTATCCTTACGAAAGACTTAAGTAAGTAGGTATGGGTGTGGCAATCCTCTCTTTCCTCGTCTCTTGCCAAACAGAATACTCAACCAGGAAGTGTAGAGTTGAGCATCTGGTACCTAAAAGGGACAACGGGAGGGGGGTTGCGTCGCATTGCTTCCCAACACAATGATCAAGCTCCAGGATTAGGTTATCGAGATGATCTGATTGGCTTGAGGTCTGTGCACTTGTACCGGAGTCTGCGTACACTTCCTCTCTGATGACACCCCTCTGGTGATGATTCTCCTGCAGACAGACAAAGAAGATATTAATCCAACCGCTGCACTGCGCGCCTTCCTTCTGCACTCGTATCTCCAATATCGTCCCAAATTGATTGAATTGGAATTGAATTGGAATGTCCACCATGTCCCGCCAAACACCCCGCAAAAAAGGGAATCAACAGCAATCGTCCTTGCCGCACCAACGCAACAAATCCCAACAACAACATCAACCTCAAATTCTACTTGCACACATCCACCACAGAGACAATCCCCCCGACTACGGATCCGATACTGCATCCTACATGGCATCTCACCCCGTAGCCTCGTCGGCAGGGCTCGCACAGCGTAGCAACACGGACCTCAACCTCAGCGTCCTCAAGCGCTACCTCCCGTCCATCCATGCCATTCTGTCCATCGCTGCCAATGCCGTCGTCTACACATACCAAATCAACAACGAAGAGGGTACACAGGGCTGGGAGAAGTTCGGCGTCGAGGGCACCATGTTTGTGTGCTCGCAGAACCGCAACAACACCCAGACGGGCACCGCCAGCACCACGTCACCCGGCGCCGAGGGCGTTGCCGCCTGGGACGGCAAGAAGGGCTGCGTCTTCATCTTGAACAGACGCGGACTGGAGAACATGGTGCTGGATCTGGCCGAGGTCGAGAATGTCGAAGCCACAGACGAACTGCTCATTTTCCAGCTCGAGGACAAGGAAGGTCTGGCCAGCACGGCGCCGAGGGTCATGGGCTTGTGGATTCATGCTGATGAGGAGGCCACGAGGGCTACAAACACCGGCCTCATACAGGAGATGTGGAGGAAGGCAAGAGAGTCGTGATCGCTTCGTGTGGAGCTCTACTTCTACGTCAGGCGTTGTGATGATGCCCCTAAAACTTAGCACCGCATCGTGCGTATCGCAATGGCGCTGTGTCGGCCTTGGACGCATGGAAAGTCGACGAGTAATTTTCCCTTGCAACCCAGTCCTGTTGTTGGTCCAATATTGGCATCATTGCATCGTTTTGCAGATGCGCTCACGTCAGGCACCGTGGATCGGTATGTCAATTACCCATCAATAAGAGATATGGACCTCTCTGCTGGACAGGCTGACCTGTCGCAGTTGGCCAAAACCGGTCTTAACGGCAATCCACAAGGGGGCATCGTACATCAGACCACACCTACTACACACCCCTGAGACGAAAGTTGAAATACAGAATGCGGACATTTGGAGGGCAACAAACACTGGTTATGCATCCCGTTGCGGTTATTGCTCGGAGTTACTGTGTCATCTCGGAACCCACACCAACAATACCGGCCGTGGTCATGCTGCATTTGTTTCCTCATCTTCGCATGTGGAATTCACGATCCTTGAGCCCTGCATCTATTGTTTAGATAAATCATTGCCGAAAATTCGCACTGCCAACAATCTATACTCTCAACCCCCAGCCGTTGCTCTTGCGCACTTGCGGCCCAACTAGCTCGCTGGCATTGCGGTGCGTTGGATGGCGATGCGCCAGGCATTGAGTCTAACGACGTCATGATGAATAGAGCGCGCGTCAACTGGCCATGCCGTGTGCCTGCGGCTTCCAAGTTACTGATTGGTGAATGGGTTAGTTTGAGAAGATATCGTAAATTTGCCGCGTGGTGTAGAGGTTGTGAGCAATCTGGGGTCAAGTAGTGGCGGAGTATTGTGAACTGGCTCCCACTGTCAACGTCACTCGGCTCCTTCGTGCCCAATTTCTCAATACTTAAGACATGAAAGCGACTCGGTCATCAAAAGAAACATATCTCCGACAGATTTAGCCCAGGCTCTGCCATTAATCTTTTCACTTTCGGCTCCCACGTTGTTCTGCCACTTTCCACTTTCGGACATGCAGGAGCTCTACGCCACTACGAACCTTCATGTCTTAGTTGGCGTTGACTGCAGTTGGCCATTAACTGGACGACGAATTGAACATGATCAAGTTAGCCCTAGCCTACAAAACTGGAGTTTCGAGCTACCATTTTATTACACCCTTATGGCGCCGTTTATTCTGTCACCTCCTCGGCCATGGTCTCCCCCGCAATCGTGTTTCGGTCCGATAGCCATGGGCCAGAGGCGAACCTATCCGTCACAAAAATCATTCAAACTGGGTTCTATCTTTGGCAGGTGGGTACGACGTTTTTCCCGACCAGGTACAAAACCTAAGTTCTTGGCAAAAGTTCAGCAGGTACTCAAAACATAATGCGCTCCGAGGTTCAACATATGTTGAACTTATCCGACAGTGGTACGGAAAGTTTTCACTCAGGTAGCCTTTTGTCACCACCGATAGCGGGTAAAATAACAGCATATCTTTATTATCTAACATATGATGCACATATATTAGATATATGATATAATAGTGCTATATATGTGTATCCTGGTCGATCTGACCTCACAGGACTCAGGTCACGAATATCAGGATTGATTTCGTGCCAAGTCAGTTGTGTGGTTCAGATCTCTTTTGATGGTGTTTTTTCTAGAAAGCTCAGCTATTTCCGAAGCTACGAAATGTTGCTTAAGAGCAATGATGTAGCCAATCAGATCCTCTGATTTGGATCCACATATATGAAACCTAATCGCGTGAAAGCTAATTGAAATTAGGAAGATATTAACCGTATATGTAGAACATATATTATAAGGAGCTTTTCAACCCGACTACGGTAACGGGCTCGAGTAATAATAAAACGCTAACGTACCCCACAAGCAAGTTGGCCACACAAGCAAGTTGGCCACACAAGCAAGTTGGCCACTTTTTCTTGGCACCTTACGAACAACCTTTTAATTAACATCTTTACACATACCAAGATGGGATCGAATTGGAAAGAAAGCGACATGATTCGAGCGTGTCAGGCGCTTCAATCGAAACCCGAATTAAGCATCCGACGCGCTGCCCAACTCTACAATGTCCCTCGTACAACTCTAGCTAACCGAAAACGCGGACTACTATCTCGACGCGATACTCGACAATCTAGTCATAAGCTTACGGAATCAGAAGAGTTAGCGGTCGTACAATACATACTTGACCTAGATTTGCCATCATTTCCTCCCCGGCTCCATGGTGTTGAAGCTATGGCTAACCGACTGCTCCGTGACCGTGGCGCTGGACGCGTCGGCGTCAACTGGGCCTCGAACTTCGTACGACGACAACCAGACCTTCGGACGCGTTTTAATCGAAGAATCGACTACCAACGAGCCTATTGCGAAGACCCTGACGCGTATCGCGCGTGGTTTACGCTCGTACGAAATACAATTGCGAAATATGGTATCCAAGAGGCGGATATCTATAACTTCGACGAGATAGGGTTCGCGATGGGCTTAATTTCATCCGAGATGGTAGTTACAAGCCGAACGACGCGGAAGGCCTCGTACAGTCCAACAAGGCAATCTATAATGGGCTACAGTAATCCAGGGTATTAATTCGTCCGGCTGGGCTATCCCGCCGTATATTATTGTCGCGGGTCAAAACCACCTCTTATCCTGGTACGAGAATAGCCCATTCCCGTCCGATTGGGTAATCGCTGTAACCAAAAACGGTTGGACAACAAATGAGCGAGGCGTAGACTGGATTCAGCACTTTGATCGCTATACGAAGGATCGTACGAAGGGTGTTTATCGTCTTCTTATCCTCGACGGGCATGAGAGCCACCACTCGACTGACTTCGAGCTATATTGCAAAGAGCATACTATTATTACACTTAGTATGCCTGCTCATTCGTCACATAAGCTCCAGCCTCTCGATTTAGGCTGTTTTAGGGCTTTGAAAAGGTCGTACGGCAAAGAAATTGAAGACCTAATACGGGCGCATATAACCCATATCTCGAAGGAGAATTTCTTTTCGGCATTCTGTAGGGCGTATCGTACGACTATAAGTAAGTCGAATATCCAGGCAGGTTTCAGGGGGACAGGACTTATTCCGTACGACCCGGAATATGTGATTTCACAGCTGGATATTAAGTTACATACGCCTACACCTCCTGGGAGCTCGTCTGGCGCCCCCTTAATCTGGGAATCAAAGACTCCAAATAACCCAACCGAGGCGCAATCCCAGTCTGAATACGTTAAAAACAGAATCGTACAGCATCGGAATAGCTCCCCGACGACAATACTTACGGCTATTGACCAATTTTCACGTGGTGCGACGGCTGTTATGCATCGGTTAGTTTTACTTGAAGATGAGGTTACTACACTTCGGAAGGCCAATCAAGAGCTAAGCCGTCGTCGAAGGACTCACAATCGACAGCTACAAGATGGAGGATCTCTTAGTTTACGAGACGCTCAGGACTTACAGTCTCAACGGGATATTGAACAGCAGCTAGAGGATGATATACGTGTAAGTCGTCGTCGTACGAGACCGGCCGAACCACGCCGACGGCGCTGTAGGATCTGCGGAGAGCCCGGACATAATGCTCGTACTTGTGAGAATGATAAAGATACGTACGAGGAAGAGGATTCCGATTAGTTTGAATTATTATTTTTTAGTTTAGTTAAGTTATTGAAGTTATTCATACGGTGCCAAGAAAAAGTGGCCAACTTGCTTGTGTGGCCAACTTGCTTGTGTGGCCAACTTGCTTGTGGGGTACGTTATATGATAATATTATACTTAATATGTCACACTACACCTAAGATAACCGCGATTCCTTTTACTCTCTTTCAGATAGAAAGGACGACGAAGTCTTCTTTCAGGATAGGAACCTTAAGCGTACTGTTACTAGATAGTTAATAAAGCTTACATTCAAGTTCAACATATGTTGACCGAAGCGCGTTATGTTTGCGTACCTGCTGAACTTTTGATAAGAACTTAGGTTTTGTAACTGGGTTAGACCGTTCTTATACCTGGTCAGTTTATGCTCGGTGGGTACACGTTGTATACAAAGCAGGCTATACGTAGACAGCAGAACTGTTACACGCAAAGGTGGTCAAAGATTTGTGAGGTTGTAAAAGCATGACATTCTATCTAGTCCTATGGAGCACAAAGGTTGGACTTAGTCCCAAAGGGCTAAGTCATGTGGTAACCTTGGTGGTCTTAGCAAAGCCCACCAAGGTTGCCTAACAAGAACCTTTACCGCGGGTGCAGGTTGGTTCCACGCCTTCAACATGGAAACTTCAAACTTGTCCAACTTCAGAAGGCAAGAATGGCAGAGTTGGGGTCAAAATTTAAGCAACCAGAATACTCTCGAGTCCAGCAACAGTGGCATTCCGCCATACAGAGCTGTAGTACCTACTAGCACCCCTACAAGTCCGGGGAAAGAGTCTGGCATCCCGCAATGCTGGGTTCGGTCGAACAAGGCCGTTACTCTATTCCTCGTGTATCTAGCCCTGATATGTCCTGTCCTTTCCTGTCCTGTCTCCCCAAGACACCCCAGCGTTTCTGCCCAGCAGGGCCATAACCCCCTATTTCACTCTGACTATCTTCACCCCCAACCTCCAATTCGTCGACATTTTCACCTCGTTCGCCCTTCTCTTCTCCGACAAGCCCACCTTCTAGTTCGTCGCGCCCTCGAAGGCCCATACAAAACAGTGGAAATTGTTCTGCTTCTGCACATCGCGTCTGCCCTCTTCGAATTCGTCCGGTTTCACGCCATCCAAGCTGCTTTTCCGCATTCGAGCAACAGTTCCGACATTGTTCCTGGTTTACTTGATGTAGCTTCGATGCTCTTACAGCGTGGGCTGAGGTACCGTCCCTTGAAGGACAGACCCAAGGGCGACGGTATTATTGTGCGGTCGACGTTGCATGCGCAATCTACGATGAGGGTGGTGTTTACCCTGAGCGGTTTCTGATTTTCCAGTCTGCTCAGAACCCGATGCTGTTTGGGGGACCACGACTTCTTGGGGTAAGATCACATTGTGCTTCCGTCAGGATCCAAGGCTCGTTTATACATGCTCGGATACTCATCTTGGCCGGGGCGCGGTGGCGGATTCTGTCTAGTTATGGTAAGATGTACACGGCGGCTATTTCTTTTATCTTGCTTGCTTTCGATGTATGACTCAGGGGTGCAGTTTGGTCCGCAGATCTTTCTGGTCATGTTTTTAGGTTTCCTGGTGCTCGAGAGGTGGGTTGCCGAGGTTATCATGAGGCGGTGGGTGTGTTCTTTGTCTGAGAATATTTGCATCCTAGTGAGTACGTTTAGGCGCGAAGGAACAGGTCATGGATGTCGATTAAAGATGGTGGGTAAATGGAATGCAGGGAGTTGGCTAGATGCAATGGTGAACTCTTTGTACAGTGCTGGGCTGGTAGAATTGAAAACGATGAGGAGTGGGATTGGGTCGATAGATGGAACTATAAAGACTCCAGGGATGTAGACACCCAACTCTGCATGTGATGCTACAGTAAAATACTTTGATGGGTGTATTGAACTGGTGTAGTATGCTAAGCAGAAGACAGAATGAACAGCGTGGTAAGGGAGGAATAATATGAAATAGCCCGATACTCTAGTGTGGTAGACAAGTACACTTGGTGATTCCTACGCGAGTGCACTGTTTTCCGTCATTCTCGTGAGTACTGTCTTCGACGTACGATGTCGATACTCACTAGGTATAGCTAAGGTACCTTGGGTGGACTCACAGTCGGGTATGTGAAAATTACTCCGTCCTTTTACCTCGATACTCGTTTAGCTGACTTGCTGAGTCAGGTCGTATGAGACCATATGGATTGCGGTCCCCTTATACCCTTGGCAGACTGCTCTACCGCTGTGTCCACTTGCCCCCATTAAAGGTGGGCACCCGGGGCAATGCCGACCCCTTTCATCTTTCATGCAACGTCACTTCACACTCTCCTTATATATGAAGATCTGGCCTTGCTTTGATTTCTCTCTGCTTAACCTTTTCGTAGAATACAGTTCGAAGAACATGAAAGGCAAATATACCCACAGACCCCCTTCCGCGCAGTCCGCCCACACAGGGTATGACGCCGGCCCGAGCTACCAGTCCCGCAATCAGCCCCAGAGCCAATCGATGCTGTCAACCGCCTCATCATCTAGTAACACGGCGAACGAGATCTCAGCTATGAAATCAATGGTCCCCGCCATTGACTTTGACCTCAGCGCTTTGTCCATTCCATGGGACATTCCTCACATCGACAAAGTCGACTTCAGCGAGCTGGACAATCCTTCTGTACCTGAAACCGTCACAAGGCTGTACTTCATTCGGCCAAAGAATGGCTACGATGACGATCAAACCAGTTGCATATATGAGAAGCTCTCCAGCATCGTCGGAAGACGTTCAATTTTGATGGCTCCCGTCGGGGATGCGGGAGGAATCGACTTTTGGAAAGCAGACCTTACCAAAACTCAAGTCACCCAAGTGCGCAACATCGCAGAGGTACGTGAACTGCGGTGGCAGAGCAACCCTTGGTGTCTATACTCACTAACGTAAACCAGGTCGCATCAGTGGATTTGGATAGCTAGGGTCATAATGCGTTTGATTGAATTTCCACGTACATTTTAAGTTTGCTTGACAGGGGTGGAGATTGTTCAAACGGCTCGGTTTGCTGCCAGCGTCGCCGACATCTGGAAATATGCAGCCTCGCCGCCAGTAACCATTCCCTTCACCGTTTCTGCATGACCATATGTCACCGACAGTTCCTAGTGTTGCAGAGCGCCATCGCACTTACGTACCCTTTAAACATGGACCAACGAGCGAAAAGGAAGGACTACTATTTCCTGGGGCACCGTCCCTCGATGGATCTTATTTCAATTCCTCAATACTTATGTCGTCCAAATATGACTTGAGATTGTGAGCTTCAGGTTTTCCTGAAATTGATAATGGAATATCTCATTATTGGCTTCACCTACTCGGTACACCATGTGGCTGCGTCCGTAACATAGAGCCGCGTTCTGGTGTGGCTAATCCCCAGTACATTAGAAAGAGTTATAATGACTCGAAAATTCTGCATTAGAATATCTGCCACACCCACCTATCTTCACCCAAACTATCTCCATTCGTGTAAATAGATCTCGAGACCGTAAGGCGGTGTCGAGAAAGGGTAAATCCGTAAGTGATGGCAGTTTTGAGTTGTCCTTCAGTATCTCGGCATTGGCCAAGAGGAAAAGCCTGCCAAGATCACTTACGGATTGCTCAATGGGTAGATCTTGATACCGCTTTCTCAGATAAGTCCGCTTGTTCAATGACTTCAAAATGAGCTAGATGAACTTGAGTCCGTGATACGAAAAGGTAGGGGGACCCACTGGTTAGGTGAATCCCATTCAATTAGATACTATAACGTTGCGCACTGCTGCATTATAACATCCTCCCCCCTAGGTGCACGCATCAAGTGCCGGGGTCTGGTCAATTGCAACCATTGTCCTCAATGGGCTTATCGCTCACAGGTCTTATTGCCAGAGTAGGTCCGTAATCCTCCCCAAGTGGTTTGGTGCTTCCGCCGGGAATTGAACCCGGTACTACCCCTATAGTGGTCTGTTCGTCAGGGCGCGACAGCCATTCGCCGGATGCGGTGCGGACTTGGTGGCCATGAGTCCTAAACCCTACCAAATCGACCATGCGACCGTTTGACCAAACAACGGAAGAGATGCTACCATTTGATACGAAAAGGTAGGGGGACCCACTGCTTAGGTGAATCCCATTCAATTAGATACTATATATAACGTTGCGCACTGCTGCATTATAGCATCCTCCCCCCTAGGTGCACGCATCAGTCCGCCTGCTGCGGCGAGCTTAGAGCTAAGGTATTAGAGAAGTGGAAGAACATATAGAGGGAAGAGACTTCAAGAGAGGACAGAGGGAAGAAAACTAGAGGACTAAACTCTCTCTGGAGAATAACCCGATATTCTTCTAAATTCTCTACTGAGGACTTTCTAGACCCTACTACACCCAAGGCCACCTACGCGGCATATACCTAGCTTAAGATAGGTATAGGCTACCTAAAGTCTTATTAATTTAAGCTAGGTAATAGCCCCGATAGACAAGCTCTTGAGCGCGTTCAATTCACGACCTAGAATCGTCCGGATTATAATTACTAGATTGACTATTTTACATATAGTTATAGAGTAATTACGAAGTGAATAAGATACGCGTTATTGTTAAGGCGTATAATTTCCCTGCAAAATGGGGTACATGTAAAAATATAGTTAATACGGTTAGGTATTCTTTTACTATTATGCAGATGCAATATAGTGTCTACACTGTATAGGTATAACTAAGTACTTCGTGACATCTACACATTATAATATCAACTTAACATTCATTTTAGTTAGAACAAGAGACGGCGGCACTAACTCCTGCTTCTTCAGCGTATGAAACAGCGACACAATACGCAAAGCTTAATGTTCAAGCTAAGAGATAGCGGTGATACGTGACCCCAGGGGGTGACCTTGTAGCTATTGATAAGATAAGAGCTATAAAATAGCTCTGCTAGGCCAGAATAACTGACCTGGCCAACCTTTCCCAATACAACAATTCACACCCCATATGCACTCGCACTAAGCGGGCAGCTTTATCCAATCTCTATGCCTAGTGTAGTTAAGATAGCACCGAAACTCGACGATCAGAAGAACCTTTGGCATATGTTAGGAGGATTAAGGTGGTTATTAGATGATGAACCATAAATTTTGGTTGCATATATACGAGACTTTCTACCGCCACCTAAGGGTATATCCGTCCGTGTTGTTCGTAGACCGGCCACCTTAATGCAAGCTGCAGCTTCACCTTTTATATCCGCAACCTTGAAGACCAACTACCCATATCTAAGTGACTAACTAAAAACTGACTTAGCCCAAAATCAGCCTGCTTCCTTATAATAACCAAACTCCAGGATCGGCACTTTGCAACATGTCGCATTACGTCGTATATATTCTTCCTCTTCTTCACATCCCTTAGTAGCTATCCAACGGTTCAAGAAAGCTTTATACTTATGAGGTGGAAGATTTCGTTGTGAACCAATTCGGACTCGATCAATAAGTGATGATGAAGTAATCCTTTCATGCTTCCTAGGTTTTCATACCTTGATTTCAGCGGGTGCTGCAGGCGCTGCTGGTAACTCGGGTATGATTGGCAAATCCGGTGCCTCCGGGGCAGGTGGGGATGCCGCGGGGAGCTGTGCAGGGGGGAATGCAGGTAAAGCAGGAAATCCAGGTGCTAAGAGATCTGGCTTGGGCTCGGCCATCTTTTGCTGTTGCTCTTCGGGTGACAACTCGGCAAAGGCAGCCACGTCTGCATCCCATTTTTTCACGCATTCGACATTCCAGTTACACCGCTCCACTTCTCCATACACGGGGTGGGCGAAACGTGCATGCCGGCTGGGCCAGTTTGACGCGTGGTAATGGTGCTTCACCAGTGCGCCCCGGCTGTTGTGGTTGCCCGAGTCGGAGTGCCCCTGACCGGCCGCAAAGACCTCGACGTTCTGAACGAGGATGCGGCTGACGACCTTGGACTCGTCAAGCTCGTGGAAGTCTTGCCACGTTATCTTGGGCCCGTGGTTGTTTTTGTTCATGTCCTCGAGCATGGCAATGGTGAAGGCTGAGGGGCCGGTGCCACTGATGACTTCATCGAAACTGAGGACAATTTCGCCAACGGGGACACCTTGTTGATAAGAAATGTCGTTGAGCCATGCCATGATGTTCTCGACCAACTTCAGCATGACGGGTTGTCGCGGTTTTGCCATGAAGGTCCACTGGCAGAAAGACTGCGACTTCTTGCCGAGAATAGGGTGGTCCTTGAAGTCGGGTTGGTCAATCTCGATGCCGATGACCATGTCGATGTCCGCTTCATCGTATCTCTCGGGGATGAATTTGCGGACGGGTCGGAGGTCTTCCACGTCAATGTCGGCGTATACACCACCCTCTGCGTACATGATGAGGTAGCGCAGCAGGTCTGCCTTGATAATGGTGGCATTGACTGTGCGGTACATCTCGACAATATCCATGCGGTTGAAGCCACCCGGGCCAAAGTGCTCCTCCACATAGCCCAGATCGTTGTAGTCGGTCAATACTTCGTACCTGTACTCGGGATTCTTCAAGGTCCAGGTTCGCGCCGTGTTGAGATCTCGCGCCTCAAAGGAGAACGGGTCCGTCTTCCAGCTTTGCCATATCTTCTTGGGAAACCCAGTTCCATCGTGTCCCTTCAGGGGCTTTAGCGAGGCCGCACGGCGCTTGAAGACATTGGGTTTGTGGGGCGACGGTAGTATATCCGCATTAAGAATGACGAGGATAATACAAAGACACAAGGCGTATATGGGTATTAGTCTTCGCACCTGCGTCGGTACACGGTTTCTTAACTTAGCGGTCGACGATGCCAGCCTAGGCGACAAGGGCGACAAGGGGGAATTCATCATGACAACAAATGATGTCTCTGAAAGCACAGTCGCATCGAAATAACTTGAGACGAAATGTCAAGAGTTGGAAAACCAAATTAGATGCGATCTGAATTTAGGGAAACAGTGGGTGTTCGCCCAATTTTACAGCCAGGCTTTGGACAAAGGGTGCTTGGTCCCAATGCTGGATATGGGTGACAGACGATCTATCAAACCAGCTCGGGATGGAACAGAGTTCAAGGCACTATCCTATCAAAACCCTGGGCTCGACATCATCGATGTGACCATGGAGACCAAGGCAGGCCAGTCGGCATCCGTCGTAATTGGCAGAACGAATTGATCGCCGAGAACATGCAGACAGGGGAACATGAGTAAGTAAGCGCCTCTTGTGTTTCCCTCGCCTCGAGCTATGTGTTCATGATTTCACTGGGATGCTCCCTTATTGAAAGCTATTTGGCTGCCACCGCAACTTTTCCTAGACTTGGGCGCAAGTCGGCGTGGGTGTACTCGTATTCCCGCCGTTGCAGACGCGAAAGAATATGGAAAATAGCACCGCGCTAGCGCCGGTAGTATAGCCAAAGTGGATTTAGGCGGGCCCCCAGACGGAGGCGCCCCTAATGTAGATCGCTGACATGGTAGCTGGATAAGCCCCGTCAGGAACCCGGGGAAGTGGCCAATCCGGGACTGCACCGGATCAAACCCTACCCAGCCCTTGAATGTCACCATTCACATGTTACCGAAATCCACAGGCAATTATGCTAAGCTTTGTGTGGGCCGGCTCTCACTATGTTTCCACAACTTCTCATTTGCCATCTATCACGGTAAGAGTGGCTGTGACCAACCAAGCGGCAACATCGGTTTGTTATCACAGCCCGATATTTTCCCCTCACGTTGTCTTCAACACTAGTCGCGCCATCACCCCACCCTTGCCATCGTTCCCCTATGATCTAGGGAGGGGGGCTGGTGCAGGACACTGCGCATACCTGCCAATCAGCAACCTCAACACCCTGCATACCTCCACATACAATTGATCTCGCTTCGGAATCCTTCATTTGGTGGCCTCATCCGGCTTGTGAAAGTTTCCGGTGCTTCTCGAACCCAGTTGTGGCAGCTTCATCTCATCTAGTCTGTCGCTGACTGATAGCCAAGTTTCGCCTGAATCGTGGAAAATCAGTGCGCCCAGCTGAGCCAGCTCAACTTGTGACGGTCTTATCGGAGCCGATTCGTGTTCTTTAACATATGCAGTCTCCCCCGCTAGTGTATGGACTCTGTCAAGGAAGTCGCGGAGAATTCACCACAAGTGTCACCGGCGGACAGTATTGAGCCGACCAAACCTCAACCCCTGACGCTGATATTATCGGAAGAAAGCCCACCCGCGGCGGATGCTGCTGCTGCTGCTGATACAGGCAAGCCGACCAAGAAGCTGCCAGCACCCCTCCAGATCACCACCTACTTAGAAGAGAAGATGTCTAATCAACATGAGGAACTCATTGAAATAGGAATTGGGGATGATATAGAAGCCAACCTGGCCTCTTGGGAGCCCGCCTGGAAGCCCACCTGGAAGCCCGCTACCCAAGCTCGCTTGCGTACGAAGCGAGGTCTATACGTGACGACATCGTTGGTCTGGCGTATCATGTCACCGTTCTGGCCAAAGTCTGCTCCAGGACCGGAGAAGCTCAGGAAGACTGCTTACCTCGATGGTCTCAGGGGCTTCGCGGCTCTCCTGGTCTACATCCATCACCATCAGCTATGGGCGCATGAGGGCACACACCAGAACCACCTCTTCGAAAATGGTTTTGGATATGATGGCCACTATCATTTTGCCGCCCTTCCTGGCGTTCGCCTCTTTTTCACGGGTGGACACTACGCCGTGTCCACGTTCTTCGTCATCTCCGGTTACGTGCTCTCGACCAAGCCTTTGAGCTTGATCCAGGAGAGAGAGCACGTCAAATTGGGCGACAACCTCGCGTCGGCGCTGTTCAGACGCTGGCTCCGCCTCTTCATACCGCTCATTGTTACGACGTTCGTCTACATGAGCTCCTGGCACGCGCTAGATCTGTGGGTCTGTGGTGCGGAGCCCAAGGGCAAGTGGCTTGATGAGGTGTGGTGGTGGTACCTCGAGCTCAAGAACTTCAGCTTCGTCTTCAAGGAGGGTGGCCTACCCTGGTTTACGTACAACTTCCACCTGTGGTCAATTCCCATCGAGTTCAGGGGCTCTATCGTCATCTACACCTGTCTCTTGGCCTTTTCCCGAATCTCCAAGAACGCCAGGTTGTGGTGCCAGTGCGCACTGATCTTCTACTTCATGTATATCACGGACGCGTGGTACTGCGCCTTATTCATCTCGGGCATGCTGATGTGCGATCTGGACTTGTTGGCTGCGAAACAGCAATTGCCCCTGGCCCTAACAAAGCTGGAGCCTTACAAGAAGTTCATCTATTACCACCTCCTGGTCATCGGCTTCTACCTCGGCGGCGTGCCTTCTCTCAATCAAGACGTCGATCACCTGAGCCGGCAGCGTGGATGGTACTATCTGTCCTTGCTCAAGCCGCAGGCCGTTTTTGACTACAAGTGGTTTTACCTTTTCTTCGCCGCCAACTTCCTCGTGGCGGCAATACCAAGGGTGCGCTGCCTCAAGGGTTTCTTCGAGACGCGCTTCTGCCAGTACCTCGGTCGCATCTCCTTTGCCCTTTACCTTGTCCACGGACCCGTGCTGTGGACGATTGGAGATCGCCTTTACACGTCGACTGGGTGGCACCAGGAGACGCAGCTGATCAACCTCCATCATTGGGCCAACAAGATGGAACTCCCCAAGGCAGGGCCACTGGGGATGGAGTTGTCCTTTCTCGTTCCGCACTTTGTTCTTTTTCCCTTGACTATCTGGGTGGCCGAGATAGTCACGAGGCTGGTTGATGAACCTAGTGTCAAGTTTGCGCAGTGGCTGTACCAGAGAATGTTACCAGCTGCGCCAGCTAAGGAAGCAAGGTCTGTCAAGGAATAAAGTAACTATTTGCCTAGATAGCTATGTGTACCAAAATTCCAGTCTTGTTCAAGTCATCAGTGCTGAATGCATCAGGCAGAGCCCAGAGAGTTCCACGATTGAACGATTCAACGGTTCCCCTCGCTCTCGCCGCTATGCAAGTGACCACCCATGCATATGCAGTCTTTCTGATCTAGTCTAGATGCGAAGATCAACAAATCACTTGCATCAGAGGATTAGTTTCTGTATCAAATCGTGAAACATGTGAAAATGGATCTGAGCGTGGCTTGCATGGCTTACATGACTTGCATAGAAGCCGGTTTCTACCCGCGTCTAGTCCTCTTGCCTCTTGCTCGTATGCCACTTGCCCAGACGTGGCGTGTTAGGCTAGTTTGGGCGCCCTTTGAACGGCCGTACAGCTCGTGAACACACCAGTGAACACGGAGAGCTGAGGAGGAAGCCAACTATTTTAGCTGGCTAGCATTGAGTCGCCAATGACGTTGTAATCCTGGCACCTCGCCACAGAGTCTGGGGTCGGGGCAGCTATCCTATTAGGGTAAGTCTGAGTCGTGAGGGGGAGAATAAAATTGAACTATTGCAGTTACAACCCTAAATGGGCTACAGACAAGCATGATCCATCTCATCCCTACCGAGCCCCCCAAGAACTTCCTTCAGTGACACCAAGTTGTCAATCGGTCCCAGTCACATCACGCCATCAATTCTCTAGCGGGACCAACTCCAAGGCACATGTGAAGTCAGCTTCGCTTCGCTAACCTAGGCCTCTAGCTACGCACTTATACTTAATTCATCAGGCAAATTAATTGATTGGGTCGAATCCCAACTGAATCCCCAAGTCCTGCAACACTACAATCTCTACGAATTGCTCGTTTACTAATTTGCAGGCCACACAGTGACCTCACATATTGACAGGGGTACGTGTATGAGGGGGCTATACCTTCAAGTTGCGGCACAGCTTCACACCCCAGCCCCTGTTCCCTGTTGCCTGGTCTGTTATCTGACGGCACAGCTTCAGTATTTTTCCTCATTGTTGAAGCTCGGGATGATGACATCTGCAGCAGTCACAATTTAGAGTGCAGCAGTCAACGAACAAGCGCGGATTTGTGTTCAGCCGGCCGTCTCATCGTGAATCGTGATAATGTTGGTCAGGGACGCAAAACGACTCATCTTCGTCGCACCACTCCTCATATTTGCGTATCTAGGTCTGAGACTCTACTTCGACCAGTCGGCGCTGCCATCTGGGCTCGGCGGTTGGATCGAGAGTACCTTTTCGTCCAAGGCCAACGGTATATCAGACAAATCCAGTCCGGGATACAACCCATTCGATACACTCGCCACCAATTCCAGGCCATCACCACCGTCCACATCGACATTTCCCGGTCCTGATTTGCCATCATCATTCGAGACGTTTGGGCCCGGCGACTTCGAGCCCTCATCCGCATATAATGAGGTCTACTCGGTCTCGACCAAGGACCGCAAGTACTTTGCCATCAAGTTCGGCGACAAGCAGGCCATGAACCCAAACATCATCCCTCATCCCATACTTGAGAACACGTGGATCATTGTTGCGCAGCAATTCAACGGACCCAACGAACCCCACGCCTTCTTCACTGAGCTGGTTTGCAATGCCGCCTTCTTGGACGACGTGCTGCAGTGTATTGACCCCCCGACCGTCCTGCCCATCGCGGCCACGGTTGGAGACAAGTGCGATGGCGATCTGGCCTTTTTCGCGATCAACACCGGTCCCCATGATGCTCGTGTATTTTTCGGGCCCAAGGTGCCCTATACCGTGTACGGCTCCAACTCACTGCACACTTGCTTCGGCCAGTGGGTCCAAGACCTGCGAGCCTTGGTTCCTTGGGGCTTGGACATGATCAAACAGGACCAGTTCAGATTAGGCACAGAGCTGCAACGTCCCCTGCCCTATAATGCCGTCGAGAAGAATTGGTTCATCTTCTGGGACCGGGAGGAGCAGGCCTACGCCCACTATGAGGTGGCCCCCAAGCGCGTATTTGCTAAGTTATCCGACGACGGGTCAGCGGGCCTGGACATTGCTCCCCTGGCTAGTGTCAACGACGACAAGTGCATGGCCAAATACATGCCCAAGGTGGCCCCTAAGCTGGAATCTGTCCACCAAGCGACCAACTCGCTCGCCATCACGCTCTGCAACCGTGCTGACCCGACGTGCGTCCAGACCGACGCCAACACCTTCATCTTCACCATATTCCAGCACAAGACGTATTATGACTTCCATAGCGTTTATTGGCCCTATGTCATGGTGTTCGAGCAGCGTGCCCCGTTTGAGCTATATGGTATCTCGCAGAAGCCGATATACATACACGGCCGTGAGACACTCAGCGAGACACAGTCGCAGATGTTCTACGTCGTATCCATGAGCTGGAAATCGAGGGTGCAAAGGTATCACGGCTTTCTGGATGATGTGCTGTTCCTGGCATTTGGCGTCGAGGACGAGAGGTCAGGTGGTATTGATATCGTGGCCAGGGATATTTTCCAGGGGCTTGGTCTTTGTTCGGATTCATGATACCCAGTAAATCTACACTAATAGAAAATTGAAGAATAATGGACCCCCGCTCTCTCCAGCTTGTTTCGAAACTCAGTGCTGCAATTTGTTGTAAAGTGCTAGACGTAGAGGACTCAGATCGCACAGGCCCACGCCGGCGAGTAGTCAGCTCACTCAAGGGAACGAATTCATTTGAAACGACTGATCTCGCATTCCAACTTCAGAGCCAATGAACTACTAAGTGAGGGAGCCCTTAATATTTAATACATTTATTCTCGTCTTCGTCATTTGTTAAGTAACATGCTTCACAAAAGACTTGAGCTATAGATTTCGGTTGAGGAATAGGATGTAATGTGGGTCAATTGTTTCAATGATGGCCTCGCATTGACAGATTACTCGCTAAGACCTGCTGCATGTTAAATTATGAGAGTGAATTGACGGTGAGGTTGTTTGATTGCTACTATGGTTCCATGGTTTGGTGTATAGTCATTCATGACGGCTGGTCGTGGCGGATTTACGCTCCATGATGATAAATTTCAAGTGTATCAAATTTGGAATTTAATTCCAGCGTGCAAGACGCTCTAAAATAGTGGTGCATACTGTATCGATCAGGATGGATGTTGTGTATGTTCACGTCACTACTATCTTTACCGAAAGGGCAACATGTACAGATCTCGGTCCAAAACGTGTTGGCGTCGCCTTGGCTTGAACATCTCATGCGGCCTTATGTGCCGCGGGCTTCTTCACACGAACACCAAGTTCGCTTACTTGAGGTAGTCGGCGAACTCCGCATTGCTTTTGTTAAGTCCCGGACGTGGTTTGGTGGATATACCAGGCACTTCATCTGCAGCCAGACTTGTCTCGCCTTGTAAAGGCTTCGTGAAATTGGTCCCAAGTGCCCCATAGCTCACGCAATGACGAGCAAGGCGAGCCTCTGATCTCGCGGAACGCACTGGGCAGCAGCAACTACGAGGCGGCTAGGTCTTTGTGTGTAGCACCATTTGGGGTCCGTCCCTAGTGGTCGTTGTCTTCATATGCCGAGTCCCATATTCCATTCATGCTCCATCCTGCGGCCGGCCATCGAGCCACTTGCTCATGTACGGCCCATCGAGCCAGTACCCCAACTTCTTGTAATAACTCCTGACACCCACACCACTAATGACGCTGATCTTGTCGCTGCCGTGCTCGTCCCTCGCGATGCGCTCCGCCTCTTCCATGAGGAGTGTGCCGAAGCCCTGATGCTGAAACTTCTTGGGGTCGCGGGCATGTACAGGCACAGCAGTGCCGTAAACGTGGAGCTCCCGGACGAGACTGCTTGGCTGATCCTTGAGCTCCTCACGGTAGGTGTACTCTACCGTGCACTTGCGTAACCTCAACAAAGCAACCAGGATGTCCTGTTTGGGGTCTTCGTAGGCGAGGAAAGTCTCCCAGCCACCGTTGGCAGCATAATCGCGACGGATGAGCTCGATCTGGTTGGGACGAACCTTGTGCTTCACCTCGTTGATGCCAACTTCGCGCGTGCGGACATCGCGGCACGTGGTACCAAAGTCCTTCATGCGGGCCAGCGCCAATTCTCTCAAATTGCCGTTCTCGACGCCCGACGTCACCAGGGGCATCGGTATATCTCTTTGGACGCGGTAGATACGAGTCCACGGAGGGATAAGAGCCATTATTCTTGCCACCAGGTCGATCAAGGCGTTGGGCGTATAGTTTTGGTATCGACCCGTCCTCCATAGCTCGTACAGACCAGTGCCGCGAATGACGAGTGTCGGGTATATCTTCAAGCCGTCGGTTCGGAAGGCGGGATTCTCAAAGTACTCTTTGAACTGATCGATGTCCCGCTCCATACCCACGTTTGGCAAGTCGGGCATCATGTGTGATACCACCTTGAACCCGGCATCTTTGGCCAGACAGAAGGTTTCGGCCACGGCGGCTACAGTGTGACCACGGTTGGAGTCGCGCGCCACATCCTCGTAAAGCGACTGGACGCCGATCTCGAGTCGAGTGCAGCCGTACCGTAGCATATCTGTCAAGTGAGGCTGCCAGCAGTAATCCGGTCGTGTTTCTATTGTGATGCCTACACACTTGACGTTGCTCATCTCGCCTGCTTCGACGGCCTCGTCCACATTGTTGGTCTGGTAGCCGCTCAGGGCGTTGTGCAGCTGGGAAATGAACTCCTCTCGGTACGTCGGGGCAAGAGACATGAAGGTTCCTCCCATGATGATGTACTCGACCTTGTCGACCGAATGACCGAGCGACTTGAGCTGGTCGACTCGTCCGCGGGCTTGCTCGAAGGGGTCGTATCGTGCGCGAATGGCGCGCATCGACGTGGGCTCGTACCCGGTGTAGGACTGTGTACTGTACTCAAAGTCGGAGTCGGGACCGCCAGGACAGTACACACATATGTTGCCGGTGTATGCGATATGAGGACACCGATGTGGCTTGCACATGACGGCCACAACAGCAATGCCCGACGACGTTCGTATTGGTTTGGCAACAAGTTTGGGCAGGATGTATTTCTTGTAGTGTTCGGGCACGGCGGCGATAATGGCGGTCAACGGCGGAAGATTGGCGAGCTTGTGTTTTCTCGACAGTTTGGCTCGTAGGCTATTGAGATTGATATCCTTCTTGGGGTTCTTGGGGTCCTTGGACGACTCGTAGTCTTCGATCAAGGCGCTGGCAACGTCGGCGCAGCATCGTAGGAAGCGCTCATTTTCGGGTACAAGCACGGCATCCTTCTTGCGGGGAGTCGTCGTCGCCGTCATTGTCATCGTCATCGTAGCCATGTTGGGCGTCGTGGAAAGCTGCGAAAGCTGCGATTGCTGACCATCGACAAGCTTGACTGTTGGTGGGGTAAAAAGTACTTGACTTTAGGGTCGTCTAGTGATGCTAAAATTTTGGCGGAATGGGAGAAAATCGATAACCGATTGCGGGCACGGTGAGATCTCTGAAAAAGGACCCCGCCATGTATCGATAGCCCTACGCTAGGTACCTCCCTTATCTCGAGGCTCCACGGCTTCCTCTGGGCAGACTCATTCGGCCAAAACACTCATCACTCAAAAGAAAATGGTACGAGTCCACTTTCCACCGTAGGCTTACATCATTTTTTATACTCTCATATTGACAAGCAAATATATCAAAGGCCAGTCAATCCCCAGGCAAGGGACTGTCAAAGTAGCCGATGGAAGGTACAAGCGCCTGCCGAGTCGTAACACGTACACTTCTTTCAACAGACACTGTAACGCCAACCATCATTGAACACGGACCAGCTAACGTGGGGATCCGTGAGCTTAATCCAGGGCAGGTGCCAAGCTGCTGGCAGGGGGTCGGTGCGGTGCGTGGTCGCGTGGTTTGACTTCAGCAATCCGACTTGCCGACCGACGTCGAGGCGCTCCGACTCTCTGAATATCCACAGGGCCTAACCACTAAGCACACTTCCAACTTAAGTCTCTAGCGGAAGACGAAGCATCTCTTGGAGAGTCTGGTGAAACTGTGGAATCAACCAGATTACTTTAGGACTTACTGGTATACAGAATCGACTCGGTTTATTTTATAAATACAGCTGCATCCCTTGCCAAACATTCTCACTGGCTTTTCGTCTCCAGCTCGTCTGCCTTACTCCTCTATTCGATTGCCCCGCCATCAACTTTTAGAACAATCCCAAAGAGCTCCAGCGCCCAGCTGCTTTCAAATTGTAGTTGGCCACGACCAAACCAACAGACTCTCGACGAACTCAGCGCACCCTCAACCAACAACAGTACCCTTCCGTCAGCAACCCCAAGTCCAACATAGTCTTAATAGCCACAAATTCTCGCCTACTGTCCAAATCATACTCGATCCGTTCAGCCATTCTGCCTACGACCAACATGGCAGGTTCCAGTAGAGCTCGAAGGGTGGCGAAGGAGCTGGCAGACATTGAGGCCGATGCGAAAGTTAGCAACATTACCGCCCAGCCTGCCGACTCGACGGGTGACTTGACCCATCTCAAGGCCTGTATACCTGGGCCGCCTGGCACGCCATACGAGGGGGGCAAGTTCATTGTCGACGTGAACATCCCCACAGAGTATCCCTTCCGCCCGCCCATCATGAAGTTCGACACCAAAGTCTGGCATCCCAATATCAGCAGTCAAACTGTGAGTGGCCATAGGAGTGTTTCCAGTTACTTCCACTACTCTACTCCCTATCTCTCTCTCCCTCTCGATCAACTAATGTCGCCTTGATTTCAGGGAGCAATCTGCCTGGACACGCTTAGCACGGCTTGGTCCCCAGTTCTGACGATAAAATCCACTCTCCTCTCGCTGCAGTCCCTCTTCGAGAGTCCTGAGCCCAAGGATCCGCAAGACGCTGAGGTAGCCCGAATGATGATGGACGACCCGGACGCGTTCAACAAGAAGGCACACGAGTGGGCCGCCAACCACGCCGGCGCCCCGCGGAATCCAAAGTTCCAGAGCGTCAAGCCCCGCACCATCGCCACGGCACCCCAGACCGTCGACGACAGCCGATACCAGGGTTACAACAAGGACCTCATCGGCCGCTTCGTGAGCATGGGCTTCGACCTCGACCGCGTCGTCGAGGCCTTTGTCTTCTTCGGCATCGATAAGAACGATGGCATGGACTACGTACTCGAGGAAGCGTACATGGGCGACATCACGGCCCGGCTGCTGGGCGAGCCTTGAGAGGTCGGCGTGTAAGGTAGTGCAGATGGTGCGGACGGCCGTGTGTACGCTCGTCCGGCGAAGGAGGGAGAGCGGCAGAGAACAGAACAAATGCAACACGACACAACACAACACGGATACGTGATACGGCGATGACGGGGAGGGGGGTGGGGTGGGGTGCTTGGCTGGAGGATAGTAGCATTGATGGAGTTTAGAACATGGCTTATCAGAGGGACGCGATTGCTTCCTCGCCTGGAGAATTGTATTCGGCGTTGGGACTCATCATTTACCACGAGTAGCATGCATCATAACAAGTGCGAAGAAGCTCTTCGACTTGGGACGGAATTCTATCATGGGCCAGAATCACTTTCATCCTTTCCTGTTTGGGTCACTCGGTCCATGCTCATTCGAACTATCACATAGCACTTGCGATTCAGCTTTGTAGTTAGTTTACGGGTGACAGACATGCGGTGCACCCCAAGTGAGCCATGACTAGAATGGACTTGCTGAAGTCGCTTCTGCCAATGTCTTCTAATTCTAGACGCAGTTATGTCGAAGAGAATAATTTAAGACGAAAGCCAGATCATACTGAAGCAGGTGGATATTCCCCAACGTCCGGATGCAGTTTTATTCACTGGCCGATACTGAAGCTAAAGTGTCCGTGTGAGCGAGCAGCTTGGAACACCACCATCATGTCTGGTCGTCGCGACTGCCAGCAATAAATTAGGCTATCGCATCGCTGGCCAAGTATTGACGGGTTGCAAGATGGCATACTTTGTGTTTTTCGACCATGAGAGAGGCTTAATTAACGTGCTACTTGTATGAATTGTTGGCATGTATTGAATGTGAGAAACCAAACTTTTTGTGTTCTGTCGCGGCCATCTCAAGTCTCCGCCGATGATGCTCGTCATATCGTGCCATGTTTATATAAAGTAGATACCCCAATATCCTGTCGCGATTTTCCATTAATCCCCCTTGGCTCTTGATAATGAGGATGCATACACTCCAAACGTTGCCTCCTAATGTACTTTTTCGGTCTGGTTTATCTGAGAGCAGAACCGGTTGGCTTTTCTTCTTCTATGACATGCACGTATATACTCATATAAAAGGTATAAAAACTGTATTGAGCCGGCTTTCCTACCTGAACAGTTCTGAGACTTCAGAGGGGGTTTCGATATCGCGTCTCAATATTTCAGCCCTTATTTCATCCGTGGCCCGACAAATGTTGATGATCCGTTGTACTCTTTCGCCGCTACCAACGGCTATGTGGCTTCCCATAGGGCCGCATTACCCCTGTACAAGGACAAATACTCCTCGACGGCCCGTGCCAACCCGACTAAGATGCATCAGTCTGACATCATCGTGGTTATCCGTAGGTGCTCTCAGTATTGCAGATCCAACACCCACAAGATGCAGGAAGAGTTGGCAAATGGATTCGAACGACATCATAGGGATGGGATTCCGTCCTCGTTTCCTCTAATTCCGACTCCAATCTCCCACTTCAGATTCATCAAAACTGGTTGCTTCTCCAGACCAGCTCTGTGTTCAGCTCAGTGCTCACCACCAATCAACAACAGTTTCCCTGTGTTCTCGAAATTCCGACACAACCCTGAGACATTTGACCATTGCACTGCAAGAGGATGGAAAATGAAGCAAAACTCCACGAGGTGGAAGGCAGCGAGTTGCCGGGCAGCCCTGGTCTCGGGAACAATGCGATGAATGCATTCCTGGCGGCAGAGCAGAAACCGAATGCAGGCGCAAGTCGATCTGGACCGCGTACAGCAGCCCATGTGCCTGGACACCAACAAGAAAAGCACAACATGGAGAATATCCCCGATGTTCCATCACCCAACGGCTTCTTCGATGAAAGGAAGGCGCAAAGTGCCCCCGACGCCATCAACAAGCCCAACAGCGGCAACCAACGTCCTCCCACGTCCCCGGCGTCTCCATTATCAAGCCCAGTCCAAACCAGGGCGACCATCGACGTACTGCGAACGCCGCCCAAAACAAACCCGCGACCGAGCATAGAATTTGACCGACGGTACGATGGACCCTTTGGCCGACCCAGTGTCGCCATGGCGCGGCGGCCGTCTTTGCCGCCTCTCCGCGGACTCGTTAATGATGCCGAGACAGACGCCATCCAACTTGCATACGTGGGACGCGAGGTCGGTCCTTTCCAGCCGTTGCCGCCTTCGTTGAATTACACCCTGCGCACCCGCAAAATGGCCATCTTCCTCTTCTGGACCATCATCGTCTTTGATAGTGTCGCCATGCCCGTTGCTTTGTACTTTGGGTTGTGGTATGGCGTCGGGCCCGGGAATCCGAATAATGAAAAGTTATCGGCCAACACCGTTTTTAGTATTGTTACGGCCGCTATTGGGGGTGCCAGCATTGTGGAGTACTTTGTGCGCTTTTGGAGGTTGTACAGGAAGGAGAGTACGTGTGTGGTGAGTTGATATTAATGCTGTTCTGTGCCTTTAAATACGCCGAGGCTACATGCTAAGCATGTGACAGGTATTGGGTGCACACCGATGGTATTTGGACTCGTTTCATTGGAACTTCTCCTTTGCGTGGATTGTCGTCATGATTGAGCTAATTATGTAAGTATTGTTCTCTTTACTGCAATCCTTTCGTTCCATGATTGCCTCTTATCACATATGGGTGTGAATGGTCTCTGACTAACTTATACAGCGGCTCCGTCCCCGACGACCCCCTGATCCGCCTCTTGTCCATGCCACTGACTACTATGCTCTTTGTCTTCGGTACACTTCTGCTCATCATCGATACATTCCGCTACTTCCGCGTTCCTGCCCCCGTCCGCATTTCCAGCGTGCCTAGAGGTGCTCAGCTGCGCCCCGGTATTTATAGTTTGATCGAGGATATATGCGCCGTCGACGGGTCAGGTGGCACCGAATTTCGTGAGGCTCTCGAGCGCCGCTACGAGGCTAGCCACGTCTTCAGGGCCATGTTGAGACGGCTGGGCGAGTTCTGGGCCTTTGGCGCCGAAGGTTGTGCAGTGCTGTGCACCATCCTCATTTTCGGGCTGAATAGTGTAGATGCTGCCTATGTCATTGGGTGGAGTGTCCCCTTTGTATGGGCTGGAATATGGACCCTGTGTACGTTTTGGTATGTGAACAGGGAGCTGAAGAAAGAGGCAGGGCTATGGGCCGCTGAGGCAAACAAGGCGAGAGTTTAGTGCCTTGACAATGTGCCCGTAGCTTGATATTCCGAGGCCACGCCAGTTGATGTTCTTGACCATATATACATATTTATGACCTTGCGCACATTCGAGGTCCAATATAGACAAGGACTATGACCGAAGCCTGTGCTCTAGGTTCCACGAGTAGTCATTATATTCACAGCCGCTTTGAGGTCGCAATGTTAGTGAACGATGGACGGGCCCTAGAATTGTGATGCTCATTAACCCAGAGGGTATCCGCAAATGGTTTGTATCACGCGTATGAGAGGTAATGTTCAAAAAAGAAATCCCAGAGTTCGTGTGGTCCACGGTGTGCTGAGAAAGCAGGAGATAAGATTTACTTCGCCAACTAAGTTGGCTTGTGTGGGCAAATCGCAGCCCACCGTTCATTGTTGTTCTTATGACTATCGTTACTTGCCGTAAGCTCTGGCTAATCTACAGTGGCTACACTGGGTGGTCCGTGCGGGGCCGAACACTGCCATTTCTGCCCACAGCTTGCATGAACTACGTTTGTACCCTTGAGGCTTGTCACGCAAATCCATAGCCCCTTTTATAACACCTGAGGCTTCGCTACGTTGGATTGTTGCTTCATCTACGAGGCAATAAGTGTTTCCACACTTCCACGTTGAAGGATGCTATACTAGGGCGTCATGTTCTACTTCCTATGCGAAATTGCCTAGACGCCCCCACTTTCGGTTAAATTGGATATTGTCTATACTGCTAAGAGTCAACAAATTACGAGTACTGTGCATTGCCTGATGGACATGATGCTTCAACTTTAGAGTTGATCGAATTCGACGCTCAAGAGATTTCAGTGCTAGGCAAAGTTGTACAAGTTCGAAATGGGATCTTGTTTTCCCTACTCGGATTGTCAATATCCCAATATCAACATCATTAGAATACTCTCTTTACACTCTCTTTAATCCTACGCTAGGTAGAAGGTGCTACTTAACTACCTAAACAGTACGATGATAGATACGAGGAATTAGTACTTATACTAACGATAGCTAGACTGGGAGGGAAATATGTGTTTTAGTATTTGCGGATATAAAAGCGGAACGGAAGTTACTACCTTCAATAGTCGTAGGCCTATATAAGGCAGTGTAATAAACGAGATTAAAAAACCAAACTGAAGGCTTCCGTGCATATTTGGATTACTATCAATCAATTCAACGACCCTTGAAATAAATGTCTAGTGGTTTAGTGTGTTGATTATTTGCTTGTGACGACACAACTAATATTCGTTTTTGTACTTCCAGTCATCAATGAGTCCTGCGGTCTTCCATCAGCAGGCTCGTATATTAACGGATCTTGATCTGCAGACTCCAGAACATCCGATGGCGGTGCCATGCCGGTTTCCTTGTTGTCTTCCTCTCGCGCTGGTGCCCTGCACGAACTCACAAATTGAATCTGCGCTGCCTTAAGGTACTTAGGCAGCGGATCGGCCCCCCAGCGTCGAGATGCCGGATTTAGGCGCTGATATGGGCCCATCGCGTGGTGCGCAGAATGGTCGAGAAGCCATCACTGAATACGGCCCGGTTACGGACCATGGCCCCCAGGCCGACTACGACGGCGACTGTGGCAAGGAAGATGGCCAAGCTGTATGAAAGCCAGAGCTTGTCCGAGGCGTAGTCGTATATGTTGTGGTACGTTTCGAACGTTACATTGGTCAATGGTGCTGCCAAAGGCGAGCTTGCGTTGGGCTGGAGCACGGCAGAGCTCATGAGGCTGACGGTAAGGTTTTTGAACATACCTTCCAATGCTCTTGCAAGCATTATGTTGGACAAGACTGTCGGTATTGCTGGGGCTTCTGGTCAGACCTTTGGCAATGGAGCCGTTGGTGCCAGCTAGCACCGACTGCAACTTGGGGAAGAGCGAGTTGTCGGTATCAGGGTTGCCATCTTGGAGGTATGAGAGTTCTCGTGTGTACAGCAGCATTGAGGACATGATTCTTGTATTGACAAACCTTTTTTGGGTGCCGTCAAACGTGCCAGTTTCCACATTCTCGGATATGGACCCGATGACGCGCTGGTTGAAGGCGTCCATGCCGGATTGGTAAGCCAGACTCTGCACAACGGTCTCATCGAAGAAGCAGTTTGTGCCTTCGAGGTTGAGCACACTGCATCCGTTCTGTGGCGCGCCGAAGGTACTTGGACCGTAGACTTGATCGATCACAGACAGGGCCCGGGTTTTATCATGGATATGAGTTTTGACGTTGATATTTTGTGCACCGTCGGTATATTCAAAGGCGGAAAGATACGTAGCATTGAAAATACAACACTGCACCATGACCGAGTCGATTCCCAAAGTTTCAAGTGGGTTCGTCTCGGTAAAGTTGAAGAGGCTGCTGTTCCAGTTTGAAGGCCTGCCCGCCCAGCAGGGAATGATTGGTTTTTCGGGTTCAGCGGTACCTTCTCCGACGTCCATGAGAGATACCCGAAAGGCTAGTTGCATCGACTGCGGTTGAAATTATAGTTTGCAATCATCCGTGAGATGTCTCTTCCGACACGGTACTACATGTAAGAGCTGGCCGGTAGAACTCGAGCTGCCAACCAGCATTCGGCGCGGGTGCCGTGATAGGTAGAATGGCGCCCTGGACCGATACTGCTGTCGCTACTCAAATGACGGCCTGACTCAGTCCGTTGTAGAAGAAGGCTGACGGCTTGCCGTCTTCATCTGCAGAGCGGAAGCCTCGTGTGGGCATGTCTGCAGCATAGCTCAGACTCAAAAAGTCTAGATTCGGTACGTGGACCATGGCGGATGGTGCCGGGTCGACTTTCACCAAACTGACCGAGAGTACCGGGTGTAATGATGGATGCTATAGGGGTCAGCCAGACGAAGAGCGCCAGCGCCCATGCCACAGGTCGTTCCACCAGATCTTGAACCGGAACAGTTGCAGCATATTGTCGAGCACCGAATATGTGATATCGAGGTCATCCAGATTGGTGGGCCAGCCGTCCACTGCTGGTTGCCAGAACAGTTGAAAGTAAGCGATGCCCATGGCGAGTTCGAGACTTGTGTTGGAAAAAAATGCTTCCTGTTTCGAGTAACTAAGGGCGCCGAGAGCATATGATCCCGTGGGCGCCTCGTGGCCCGCCAAGTTGCTGTAGAAAAGATGATGGCCGACTGCAAATAGGAGACCCGCCACGAGCCATCCGAGCATTTCTGCCGATCCGAACCAGTGGACCAACCCCATCACGGTATGGTAACTTGATTGTCAAAAATGTAATTGGTCAGTTTGCGATGGCAACTTTCATAAAAACTTCCGCGAAAAACCAAACTCAGTCTGCCAGAGGATAACGAAGATCACAAAGGAGGCAGTTGAGATTTTATCAGGTCTGCCGCGAGTCCAAGCAGGCCTACCGGACTAGCCTGGATAGAGAAACATCGCCTAATTTGGACTGAGGCTGATGCAAATATGCCCAGTTCCGTAGCGTTCATGGTGGTATACTAGTGCTCCTTAATTGAAGACACAGACTTTCATTACAGATACTTGAATATCTCGTACCAAAGGGGTTCTTACCGGTAATCGAAAGGAAAGTCAACGAGGCCAGGAGGGGTTAGATGACAGACGTCGACATGTTATAGAAGTGAGCAGAGAAGTCCTCGATAACCGCGATCACAAATACAGCCGCGACGCGTTTCGGTTTTCGTAGCTAATGTTAAACAATAGAAGCATTGCTTTAGACTATACCCACGTGCGTGCACCGTGAGGTACGGACATTTGGCGATGTGTATGTGTCTATCAACTTCTAAGCAGAAGCTTTACTATTTCCGCATTTCGGTACCTACTGCTTCGTTTGCTCTAGTACAGCATTTACAGGCTTCTATTCGCCAGTCCGGCTCTATTCAAAATAGTACTCTCATTATCCAGCTGTGCACACAGGACAACGCATGCAGATACCATCAAGGCCTATTCAGACCCAGCAATGGTCACGGCGGCTCGTTCGCCCTCCAATAGCTCGCGGAGAGCATGCAGTTCATTCAACCAAGACCGGGAAGTGTCTCTAGTTTGAAGTGTCAGACCATTGCAAGTCAGAACCGAAGGGGACGACCCATGAGCGAGGATATCCAACCCCTTTACACAACTCTATTAAGCCTAATCCTCGGCTCAGGTGCGGGCAATTCGGACAATTTCAGCTCGGTTGAGATGCGCCTTTCAATTTTATGTGATCTAGCCAAACCCGTTTAGAGGAGTTAACGTATATTGCCCATCGGCACGTATATCATGATACCTGAGGCTGAATCTGATCCCCACGGCCAACCCAATCTCGGTCGTCTTTAGGTGATGATACACCCTTCAAGGCAGTACTATGAAGGCATAGTACTGCAACCTTGAACTGACCTTCCTGCAGCCAGGCCGCTGGCAATCAGCAGGCGGATCTACGATTGTGCGCTGTAACACATGCAACAACTTTGAGCCGCCTCTCAGAGGTAGATTTCGCCTTTGATTCCAAACCCATACAACCCGTTTTCTTGCTTGAAACGCATTTCATCCTTGAAATCCTCCCAGGCCGAAAATAACAAGATGGCCGACAGGACGAAGACGAGTAGACACAGGCAAGATGACGACAAGAGTGAGGGATACAGACGCCTCTGGCTCATCGAGCCCAGGTTGACTCCTTCTTTGAAACCAATGTCATTGGTGGCCACCACGAAAACGAAGGCGGAAAGGGAGAAGATGCAATTGATCAGAAGGATGGACAACAAGACGGACCGGACCCAGCATGTTGCCTTTGCATCTGCTATTAGCACCAACATACTTCAAATACGTCATATGGGAATTTTTGCTTTCACTGACTTTCATCGAGTCTCGACAGAACATGTAAAATAGGAAAATCTCAACCATGATGGAGACGGTCAGGCTGAAGCTCGACGTGGCGATCAAGACCTTTTCGCTCGTAGTGTAGAGAACGTTGATGGTTAGTGGATTCATGGCGAGCGCCCGTTCCTTCTGCGACCCTTTGACTGGATATTGCAGTCGATATTCGTAGTAGTGTGTCCCTTCTAGGATGCTGCTCGCTCCTCACAGGGGCCGTCGAGGTCGTTGGGCTCTACGCGCACGCAATGGCCATCATCTGCAAAAGGCAACCTAAAGTGCACCAGAGGCCAGATCAAATTATGAGAAGGGTGGATCCAGATGCCGACGGTGAGATCTTCGCATCGATCGGGGACCTGACGACCTTTTGAAGCCATGCACCCTCACCCCCGCGTCGCCATGTTATTCGCTGACGGACTCTCGAGTAGCACGGTAGGATTCATTTGTCTTGCTAAGAAACATGCCCCACAGTCAGCCGGAGCCTACCTGACGGGCCAACAGGCAAATACAAACCAAATATATCCAAGCTTTGGAATGGGTACCGAGGGGGGCGGACAATTTCGGATTCCGAGGCGGTGCAGGCACATGGGGTCATTGTCCTTTGCTAGAGTCTTGAACTGGAGGACAGGGAGCTGTGCCACGGCCATCGACAGACACAGGTGTGGTCCGTGGATTTCGGTCGTCCAGGCACAGCCCAAGACAGCTAGGGGAAAATAAGTTGCGGGGATTTGAATCCCATTTTGGAGGCACGTCGGTGTCTCCTTCGTAAGTACAAATTAGACCTTCGTAAGGACGAAGTAGAGTGATTTAAAGGTCAGGAGGGAGCTACTCCGCCACGAACGCATGTCTTGCGTCTTTCGAAGGTGAAAGAGAGAGAAAGACGGAGCAGCAAGTTGAAAAGTCTTGGAGAGTTAGGAGTCCATGCCCCTGCCCCAACCGAAATCCTGAACCGGGTGCCGTCCTGGCGGATTTCAGTCCAACGCCATTTCATACTGTAATTTAGTAGCACCCTCGTGGTAACGAGCCCCGAGCTGCACGGACTTGGCTTTGGGCTTTAACACCATACCCCATCTGGCGACACCCCCAAAACACAGTTTGTAAGACACACTTCATTTCTCCGTCAAAGCGACGGACTTGACTCTTTGAGATTTTGAGTCTTGAATATGATGCTCTGAGCCCGAACGTAGGTGACAAACAGACGGCCTATCTGGGCGAATCTACGACTTCTCCATGAGCAGTCCATCCCTGCCGGCATCGCGGGACTACGGCAATTGGGCGTGTCCACGGGTCATTTTGATGCCGGCGCGTCCAGAGATGCGTCCCTCATCGCGGCGCACGATCTATTATTGTCGTTTTCTTCTAGACACGTGGGACTATGATGGACGCAGACCACATAGCGGCATTGCAAAGCTACGCGCGCAACGGCGGGGGATTCGTGGGCATCCACTGTGCGGCCACTGCCCTGCGTGACGAGCCCTGGTATGGACGGTTGATCGGTACTGTGTCTTCGCATCATCCTGACCCGCAGCAAGGAATCGTGAGACTCGAAAGGGCGATCGCGGAGTTGTGGCTGCTAGTTTACCTGACCAGAGGCATTAGTTGGACAAGTGGTACAAATTCACTGGGAACCCAGGTGCATGGGATGTTGACGTCGTGTTCACAGTCAATGAAAAGACGTGCCAAGGTGGCAAACATGATGATGACCAGCCGGTGGCGTGGTGTCGTGCATTCGAAGGCGGCCGGGGCATGTCAGTGAGGCGTATGAGCATCCATTGTATTTTAGGCATGTTCTATCCGGCATTCGCTGGGTTGCACAGAGTCAGGAGAGGAGCTAGTCAAACCATAAGCCATCGTCATCCACCGTTGGATGGCCCGCGACATCGTGATTATTGTAAAATGTTATCCAAACCCTACTTGTCCATGCCCATGCTACAACGTCTTCCAGTCGAAGGCCTTCTCCCAAGCTGCCGCAACCTTGAGACAGTTCACATCCTGGTACTTACGCCCTACAATCTGCATGGCCGTTGGCAGCTTCACCTCTGCATCTTCGACCGCTGGCACGAAGCCGACTGGAAGCGAAAGTGCGGGATGCCCCGAGTCTGCACGACATGGCGTCAGCTTCGAGTCAAGCTCCAAGAAAATCAGAGACAGCCGGAATACTAACTATCGAAGGGACACGTATTGGCGATCATCCCGATGCTGCGCGAGAGGAACTTCAGGGGCCCTTCGGTCGTACCCAAAGCACCAGGCTCCGGTAGCCGAGGCGGCGGGGTGGGTAACGTAGGCATGACAAGGACGTCGAATTCCTGCAGCGCCTTGTCGTATGCGTCCTACTTGGATTAGTCTCGTTGCCAAAATAACACCTCAAGTCGACCAACGACTTACACTGATGGACTTGATGAGGTTCATACACTTTCCCTGCAGCTTGGCGCCGTGCTTCTCTTGAACCCATAGGTATCCCATGTACATGTTGCTGGCACCGGGCCCTAGAGCATCGAACTGCGCCTGTGTGAGCTGCGCATCCAACTTGGCGGCTCGATCGGTGAAGTGGAGTTGCTTTCGCCCGTCCATGTCGCCGAGTATGGCCTGCCGACCTCCAGCCAGCGGCAAGGCGCCTGTCCACACCGTCGGTGCTATCTTGTGCTGCGGGACTGACACCTCGGACACAGCGGCGCCGAGGCTTTCCAGTTTCTTCACTGCTGCCTTGACCGTTTGAGCGACATCTGCATTGATACCAGGGATATCGAACCCTTCCTTGAGAACGCCGACCTTGACGCCCTCAAGCATCCTGGCTCCGTCTTTGGCGACGACGGCATCGACATGCTCCACATACTTCAACCTGTCCCCCTCGAGTCCAAATGGCGGTTGTCGGTCATCCCAGCCATCTGGCCCTGCGATGACCTCCAACAATAATGCACAGTCCCTGACGTTCCTTGTCATGGGTCCAGCGTGGTCGAGATGCGCGTCCAAACTCAGGATACCCGTGTACGGTACCAGACCCCAGGTGGGCTTGAGGCCTACAATTCCGCATTCCGAGGCCGGAATGCGAATACTTCCCCCTTGGTCGCAGCCAATGGCCATGTCGACAGAGCCCGTGGCCACTAGACGGCCGGAGCCGCTGCTGGAGCCGCCGGCGTTGTACCCGTCGGCGAAGGGGTTTTGGACGGGGCCTGTGACGGACGTGGCTGACATGCCTTCTAGGCATGAGTTCTCACAAGCTGTGTGAGACAAGTTAGCCAGATTATGACGAACGAGTATGGTGTGGTTGATGGGGATGATCCGATCCACGAACCTGCCTTGCCGATGATGATGCCTCCTGCGTCCATGATCCACGTCGCGATGGTAGCGTCAATCTCGGGAACCCACTCGACCATGGAAGTGCCGTTTGTACAACGCACACCGGCGAATGCCATGTTGTCCTTCAGCGCCACTGTGCGTCCCTTCAGGAGGTCGCTCTTGGGGCTTGTGCACCTTGCTGTCACCTAATTGCGCACAGGTCAGAAAGTCCGCCCATCACCGAATTCTTCACCAAGAGGCAGCCACCAGCAGTTCTCACTTACTCTAGTTGCCCATCCACCGCCATCACTCTCTTCCGGGGAGGGAATGTTGATATCGGTCCTGGGATACTTGCTAAGATCTGGTTTTGGCAGAAAGCTTGTATCGTCTGGCAACGATGCGATGGCCCCCTCAAGTCCACTGAGAAGCGTTGTGTAATCTTCCAAGAGCTTTTCCGAGAGTTGTAGACCCGCCTTGGATAGTAAGGGCCTCAAGTCTTCACCAGTAACGACAGTTATCCCGTCTTGAGGTTGAACCACGGACATGTTGACCGTCGAGCTATAGCCGCAGAAGATTTCAAGGACCAGCGTTCTATTCTTGTCCTAGCATTGTCATCTGCAGAAGGTATGAAGGCCCTCGATAGGGTGCGTCAATTTATGTCTCGCAGGGAGCAACGCAAACTACTACAACTCGCGGGGTCAAAATGTCCAACCCTGGTCGGGACATGCTTATCTCTTCGCAACCCCACCTTGGGGTAGCTGTGTTGTGCTCCTGGCAAGGCGCGCGAAGGAACGGTGAAGTACCTTGTAGAATGTGCATAGCCGCATATACGCTGCCGTTATCTGGGATACCAAGGCGCCACCCGGCTCCGACATGCGTGGGGTTGCGGATCGGATCTCCCACCGAGCGCCTTTGAAGGTTCATGTTTGACCATGGGCCACATTGACCCCAATTGAGAAATAGGACACATGCGGAGAAATCTCCCATAACATGTAGGATGCCAGGCCTTGTTTTCAGCGTCCGACATACTACGTAGTAGACAGGTTGCATTTATGGACATGTTATGTCATTCCGAGGCAACGCCAGCAAGGCCGTCTACAGTCGGTATCATGTTTAGGTCTGACGATTGAGCAAGTGGAATAAGTCAATAAGCTACTGATATAGCAAAACTAATGCATTCGCAGACAAAATCCGAGGCGGTTATATCCAATGCTGGAATATGAACGATATGGCAAGCCACGCCAGCCACATCCGTCACCTCTTCACTTGCATATTCCACTAGCAGGTAAACACAGCAGGTCCAGGCACGGTATAAGTCTGCGCCTGATAGGAATCGTACGTAATGCCGGCATCGGAACCCTTGTACGCACCGGGGAAAGCTACCAGGTCTGAGGGGGTCGTCGACCCACCGCCCGTGACCTTGAGCTGGTGGCAGCCCGGGTAGAACTGGGCGCCGGGGTAGCTGTATGCGGCGTGTAGGGCAATAATCTCGTGGCGCACGAGGTAGTTGCCCGCGCTCAGGCAGCTGGGGATCGTGTATGAGACGCCCGCGTTGCCGGCCGTCATGAGCGATGTGTCGCCCCACGTGTTGGACGTTCCCGTGCGACCACTTTCTTGTACTTTGAACCACACGGCTGTGCTGTTGGGCATGTAGGAATCGCAGCCTGTCATATCTCGTGTCAGTTTTCTTCTACTCGAAACATTTTGGTCCCCCCCCCTTTTTTTGGGGGGGTGAGGGGGGTGAGAAGGGGTAAACGGGAGTGATGGCGCCCAGGGACATACCCGCATCAGGGCACTTGGCCATATAAGTGATGGTGGGCCCGACGTGGCTCTCGGGCCATAGCGTCCAGTATAGCGTCACTTTGGAGCCAGCAGCAGCGGGAGCGTGCAGTGCCGCGGGAGATGACCCAACGATGCCGCCCTCGGTGTATCCACCGCATTGCAAGTCGGCCAAGGTGACGTCGGTGACCGGTCCATTGCCCTGGATAGGCCGCGAGATGCGGTCTGGAATGGGCGACATGTACGGGTCCGTGTACGGCTGATAGAAGGTGTAGACCTCGCCGCCAATAGTCGCGTTGTCGACATAGCCGTGCGCCGCAGCTAAGCTAGCCGTAGCAAGGAGGGAGGCGAAGAACTTCATACTAGCGGTGAAGAGAAGAGGCGATCTATTGTGCGGGCGCGTTTAAGGTGTTGAAGGAAACGACAATGCGGATTCCAGATCTCTATGGCTATGTAAAAGAAACCCGGGTCCGGAGAGCGAAAAGAGAGAATCAAGTGAGACGGTCAAAGGAAGGTAAAGCACCGATGGAAACAAGTTCAAAAAAGCTCATTCCATCTTGAGTGGTTGGCTGCTCTTATATCCATACATCTGTATTCGTGTTTGCTCCAGGCGGCTAGGTGAGACGCCATGGTCTGTAGCCTTTAGCAATGCTGGTATGGTATTGATTACCGTGTATGGAGGCCAGTTCATTCCATCTTCCGATCTACCCCACTGCCATCTCCACAAGCTTTGTAGGGTTGTCGGAATAATTGACCAAGACATGCTAGACTATGCTGCCTTGTAATGGGGTTTCGTAATTCAACGAAGTGGACAGCCATGTATATTTCCTGGTCAGACGGACCCTTCCGTTGTTTTGCAATTCCGTCTCCCAAGCACTGCCATGCGAGACATTCGTGGTAGCACGAACTCACACTTTCGGTATTACGGATGGTGTCTCTATCCAGAATTCCCAATGAGGAATTAGGAGTGGTCCGTGTTTGCCGTGGTTGGTGGAATTTTGCTTGCCAGGTCCAGGTTCCTGCGGATCGCGGACATCTAACCCCACATGGTTAACTTGATGCGGTCGCGAGCCCTTACTCCGAAAGAGCCTAGGAACCACTAACGAGGCGTACAAATGTCTTAAGGCTTAGTGAAATAGAGAGTGTAGAATGTTTTCTAAAGAGTATACATTGTATAGAAAGGACCTAGATGTTAGGAACTGTGACGGCCATGCTGGCCTAACCCCTATTAGCCTAGAGCCATGCTCCGCACCAGAGAGCTCCCTGGATAGGACCGCCTAGACAAGAGCCTCCCTTCTTTCCTTCTTTTCAAGGTCGTGTATGGAGTCAGGTAGATTGATTATTACTGCACAAAGGTCCACTGCTAATTGTTGGATTACGGATTACAGCTAGTCTACAAGCTGCATGTAACGAGGATACCACACGTCTCACAATATAATAGTCAGGTAGTGCAAAGGGTGTGACGGCCGGTGTCACGATGCCACGAAACCCACTAGCTGTGGACCCGTAAGAGCACTGGCCATCTGAAGGCGGGATTTAAGATCCTCAGATGTGAGCCAGCCTGTTTTAGTTTCTCTTTCTTTCCTTGTCGAGAATCGTTAAGTCAATACAGTGCATTAGAGTGTTTTGACTCTTCAATTTTGCTCACCGTGACAAAGGGTAGCTAGAAGTAGGCCAGTGTATGGGTGCGTATATTGCAAGACTGATTCTTGAAGAATCCAAACTAGGTGCGAGCGTCTCGAGTTCTCCTCTTAAGCTGAGCGGTTCCGGGGTTCTACCGGATCGGGGGCGAATCCCTCCCGACTCAGCTTGTCAGCTGAGACCGGTGTGACGCCGGTCACGATGCCTGGCCCCTAGGCCCCTGGACGAACAGGGACACCCTAGCATGGGTGTCCCACCTGTACGCGCTGCCCTTTTCCTTATAATGTAGGAAAGGGCACTTGCACTTAGATCTCTTTCTCTCTCTTCTTCAGTTTAGTATTAGTCAACAGAGATAGACTGATGTCGCAACCCTGATTCGAACTTGCAGTGCCTCTGCCGTGTCACAAGGATGATGATGCGTGAAGTGTAACGAAACCTCTAATAGTCTAGCTGCGTAAACCACTAAAGAGTCTGTAAGAGTTTGTGCTAGTAAGTAAGTCCTGCTGCGGAGTCCTTTAGCAATAATATCGGGGTCTGACGTATGGAGTATAGGGCTCTGGGTAACTGAAGTATTCAAGTAGGGTAACTGGGAATAGAGTCGTCAAGGCAGTTTGCCTCACCAATGGGTTAGATTGATGCTTAGATTGATCACTGAAGTAGAGACTGTCTATCTATGAAATGCCTGGGAGTCCTGTCCCTTATATATCCGTCTCTCCTTCACTGATCCCCACTTGGATATGTTCTCTGCCAACATATCCTGCTGGTTGGATATGTAGTTGACCAACATATCCACCCCTGTAGGTCACGTGACCTGTCGGTCTTTTCCTTCCTCCGATGCGGGGTCCCATGATCCGAGCGTCTGTATCCACCTGTCAGAGCCACAAGTGTCATCCGAGGCGGGCCGGCTTCCACCAGGAAGGAAGTCGTTTGTGGCGGCTAGAGAGCCGCTTGTGGCGAATGAGAGCTGTTGAAGCCGTTTGCAGCGGATAGGGAATCGCTTGGTTGCAGATAAAGAGCCGCTATCCAAGATATTGGCCGAAGTCGGAGGAACACAGACATGCGGAAGCAAACATCCAGAATCCAACAGAGAACCTCGGCTGGCTATAAGTAAGGAGTCGAGACGGAGGAAGATAGAGAGGGCAGAGATCAATGAACTACTGTGGACACCCCTACCTGCCATCATCAAGTGACCACCAGTGATCACCAGGTGACCACCAGGGGAACACGCCTATTTCTCCCCTTCACTCTGTACTATCGCCTTCGGTCCAGGCCGTAACCTGACACCACCTGGCCTGCCAACGGGCCTGTAATGTTGGTCTAGGGCCAACGGTTCGTAACACTCTTTCCTTACACCATGTATTGCGGTTATTACATAGATTCTAATCTAATATGGAAAATATTGCTATTTCCTAGCTAAATCGCTGTCTAGCACTAACTTAGGTTAGTGAGCTTAAGCGAATCCGAAATAAGTAGGGTGTGGCACGGGTACCTATAGAACTCGCTAACGTATTTTCTAATATTAGTATCTTTTAAGGTAACGTGGTTTAACACCGAGTCGCGCATATCACCGAGTCGCGCACTTTTTCAACTTTTCCAACCTTTTGACTTCAACACTTATTTCCTCAACAACAACACCATGTCAGTTCAAACCCAAGAAGCCAAAATCAACCTTGCCATCGAAGCTATCCGATCGACCAAAAATATGAGCCAACGTCGAGCAGCAAAGCTATACGGTGTACCCGAGTCCTCACTCCGTGACTGAATCCACGGTCGCACCCCACGTACCGAGATCTGGCCGAATAGCGCACTACTCGCCAAGATAGAGGAAAGAGCTATTGTTTAGCATGTACTTGACCTAGATTTGAGAGGGTTTCCTCCCCGGCTAGAGGGTGTGGAAGATATGGCCAATTCTGTGAAGGTCAACCCTCGCAGACTCACTACAACCAGGTGACTTACAGCTGGAACACCTGCCGTGGCAGTGCCAGATGGGAAGCCAATCATAACCCCTGTAGGAGCCCCGCCAAGCGTGGACGACTTAGTCGCGCTCCCTCAAACCTAAGTTGTAATCTTCTTTCCTTCGCTCCTTAGAGTAGAATCTTCGTCGATAGCACCTAATCGAGGTCTCTACCAATGCGATGTAACCCAGGTCGTGACACTTTACAGGCTATCGCTCAGAGATGTTCATCACCTGCATGCTATTCCTACTACATAAAAAGCAGATGACGACTAGGCGAGGCTGCGGCGCGTCGGCACGGCACTTCCGTAGCCAATCATCGTGCCTTGCCAACTCAATGCATTCTGGCCGTGGGACTTCGCCGAGGTGAGCGAAAACAACAAGGCAGCTATTGCTAGCTACGTACTGGTGCACTTGTCCTTTTTCTCTTAGTTTCTAAAGCTTTCCGCTACGCTGAATATAGCCCGCACTTCTTCAATGATACCCTGCCGCTACGGTTACTAATACACAAGCGACGTTCTAGCCTTGCGAACAGCACAATAGGTTCTTGTCCTCCGACCCTGACTTTCGATCGCTTCGGCTACCGGCAACCGCGGCCATGGACCCGGCCACTGCTGTGAACATCCTCGTCCTAGTCGGCGCTGCAATCCTACCCTACTTGTGGCTTCAATATAGGAACAAGAGAGCGGTATACGTTTTAGGACAACAAGATTCGGCGAACGAAGAGCACCAAGCAAGCAAGCAAGAAGTCTGTACCTTCCAAGTATCGATTTGGGTGGCATGCTAATGAGTACAGACTTCTAGTAGTCGTTCAGTGCTCCAAGTTTTATATTCCGGGCCCAGCAACGCAGCCACTAGGGAGGTCGAGGTAGAGTAGGTCTTGCCCATGCTATTAGTGTCTCGTTATCTGGTTGCTGATTCCCCGCAGCATCGTCGCTGTCCACGGCCTCGGGGCTAACGTGGATTGGTCGTGGACCTGGACAGACGGAGCCAGCCATGTTCACTGGCTGAAGGATCCGAATATGCTACCTGCTGTGGTGCCCAATGCCCGAATCATGGTGTACAACTACGAATCGCGATGGCACGCGAATGCCCCGAAAACTCGCCTCTCTCTTTGTGGCAAGGATCTGGTAGAAAGCCTTTGTTGGTACCGGAAGGACACTACGAACCGCCCGATAGTTTTTATCGGACACAGCTTGGGCGGTAATGTTATCCAGCATGTAAGTGGAACACGAGCTTCCCAACGAGGATTTTTATCCTCTATTTGCAATGTATGCTAACGGGATTTGGGCAGGGCCTGTTGAACGCTAATGCAGACCCAGAACTGAAACACTTAGTCGACCGTACCGTCGGCCTCGTATTTCTGGGATGTCCCTTCAAAGGCTCTAAGATGAAGGGGATAGCTCAACTCATAGCCCGAATCATGCACATTGCTGGATCCCATATCGGTATTGTCGGAGCCCTAGGCTACGGCGATCGCACCTTGCGGGATAAGCTGAACGAGTTCGGTAAACTCTTGCAGAGAATTCGAATCCCGGTGGTCTGCTTCTTCGAATTGAAAGATACCGATTTTGGAAGAAGATTAGGGATGCCCCATCTAATTAAAGGAATGGTACGTACCGAATCAGGATTATGCGCTGTTTTATTATAATTAACGACGGTATTTCAGGTTGTAGAGGAGGACTCCGCATGTATCGACCTTTGTGATCATTTCCCGCTCTCGACGGACCATCTACGCCTGAACAAATACTCTGGCCCGAATGACCCTTCTTTCGACAAGGTTTCAGAGAATATTAAAAAGATGTGTGCAGATGTGAGCAAGGGGCGGTACGTCGCTAATCTCCACTTGGATTCGATGAAACTAATTAAGCTATAGCCTCCATCTCGACCAAGAGACAGCATTCGACAGGCTCCTCCCACACACTGTTGAAGGAGCATCCTTTGACTCCCACGCCGAAGAAGAGATCTCATATTGCCTCCAAGGCACTCGAAAAGAGCTTCTCCATGAAATATCCAAATGGGCTGTCGATGCTCGCGCCAAACCCGTCTTCTGGCTGAACGGCATGGCTGGCACCGGGAAGTCAACCATTTCGCGCACCGTGGCACAGTCTTTCTCTAAGAACGGCCATCTCGGTGGCAGCTTTTTCTTTAAGAAGGGCATGGCCGATCGAAGCGGAACATCCAAGTTCTTCACTACGATTGCCGCTCAGTTGGTCTATAAATCGCCGTCCCTCGCCTATTATATTCAAAGTGCCATCGATGCCGATCCTGCCATTACGCAAAAGACAATATCACAGCAGTTTGAGAAGCTCATCCTGGAGCCTTTGTTAAAGATGACTCTAAACACTCAGGCCCCTGCAACGCTTGTCATTATTGTCGATGCCCTGGATGAGTGCGAGAGAGAGAAGGATATCGAGCTGATCATCAAACTCTTTTCCCGTGCTAAGGAACTACCGTCTTCGTGTTTAAAGATCTTTATCACTAGCAGACCCGAACTGCCTATACGATTGGGTTTCAAGAAAAATCAAGGAACGTATCAGGATTTAGTCCTCCATGAGATACGCCAAGGTCTTATTGATCGCGATTTGACTATATTCCTGGAGCACGAGATGACCGAGATTAAAAAAGACTACAACTTGGGAAACGAAGATCAACAACTGCCTGTAGAATGGCCAAGCAAATCAGATATCGAGACTTTAGTAAAGAGGGCAAGTCCTCTCTTCATTTTTGCCGCCACTATCTGTCGTCTCCTTAAAGAATGGAATTACAGCGATCCCCAAGAACAACTTCGAGAGATCCTAGCCTATAAATCAAGAAACAAGCAGTCTAAGCTTGAGGCTACATACATGCCTGTCCTGGAACGACAACTTATCAGACTTGACGAAAGTGACAAGGAGAAGGTCTTAGAAGAGTTTCGAGTTGTTGTTGGCTCGATCGTTATCCTTGAGAATCCCCTCTCTACCCATGCTCTATCGCAGCTACTTGACGAAGATGAGAAGATGATTAGTAATAGACTGCTTCATCTTCACTCGGTTCTACATGTCCCGTCCCCTCCCGGCTCTCCCGTCAGACTCTTTCACCTGTCGTTCCGGAATTTCCTAGTGGATCCCGAAAGGCACAAAGACCAGTTCTGGGTGGATGAGAAAGAATCCCACAAGTGGCTAGCTACGAACTGCCTGCGCGTAATGAATAAATCCCTTCGGACTGATATCTGTGAGGTTCAGGCGCCAGGAACACCTCGTTCATCGATAGACCCACAGAGAATCAGCAAGTATTTACAGCCAGAAGTCCAGTACGCTTGTCAGTTCTGGTCGTACCATCTACAGCAGGCCGAAATGAAAGTATCGGATGGGGATGAGGTGTGTGACTTCCTGACCTGCCACTTCCTTCATTGGTTAGAAGCATTAAGTTTGATGGGAAGAGTTTCGGAGAGTCTGCAGGCGATTAAGGCGCTACGAGCCTGTGCTCATGTGAGTTTCAGATTCAAGCATAAAAACTCCTATAAACTAACGCGTATCAGTCGGACACAACTAAGACTCTTGACTTCCTAAACGATGCTAACCGCTTTGTCCTTGCTATGACCTCTATTATCCAACAAGCGCCTCTCCAGGTATACGCGTCAGCGCTCGCGTTTACGCCTCGGAGGAGTACGATTCGAACTGTTTTTGAAAAAGATATGTCTAGCTGGATATCTATCGTATCAGGAGTACAAGATAGCTGGGGCCAGTGCGTACAGACGCTCGAGGGCCATAGCGACCTCGTCAGCTCGGTGGCCTTCTCGCCCGACTCGCAGCTCGTGGCCTCGGCCTCGCACGACCGCACGGTCCGGCTCTGGTCGGCGGCGACGGGCCAGTGTTTGCAGACAGTAGAAAATGGTATAATCCCTTCCACCTTGTCTTTTGATTCTAGAGGTTTTTATCTCTATATGGATTCTGGTGCTATTTCTCTTCAAGGTCCACTAGATCCTATTAGAGCGACAGAATCTATAACTACTAGATCTTCGGAATCATTTTCCAGTCAGATCTTAGCTGATAACGGTCAAGATCGTCGCTCTGGCTACGGTATAAGTAAGGACCGTTGCTGGATAACTCTGCACGGAAAAAACTTGTTCTGGTTAACAGCAGATTCTCGACCAGCTTCTTCAGCTGTGTCTGGTTCTACCGTAGTGATTGGATGCGTTTCTGGAAAAGTCATTATTTTGCGGTTTTGTGAGGATAAACCAGCGCTCTGGAGCAGGCTGGGCTGGTTATCAGGCCGGTAAAAGACTACTCTGCGGGTCCGAACTACTGGGCTCTCAGATAGAGGTATACGATGCGGAAGCCCACGCAGCACTGCGGGGGCTTCAGGAGGCTGTAAAGCTTCCGTCCAACAGCATGGCAGATAAACGTCCACATCTGCCTCGATAATCTCGCGGTTGCGGGTAGGCTCATCTGACCAAGTCCCGGAAGCAGTCAAGCAAAATTCACCGCCTTCCAAGAGCTGTCCAAAACCTGGTCACAGAGAGAGCGAAAACCCTGGACATCCCCGGGACAAGTGTATATCTGGTGGTGCCCAGGACACGTAGGCATCCCCGGAAACGAAGAAGCAGATGTCCAGGCCAAAGCGGCCTATGAGCAACCACCCAAGACACAACACCCGGCCTCATTCGCACATATAAAGAGAATCGCGAGATCCTACACCTGGAAGAGTTTCAACGATCGATGGGCCACTACCTGCCCTCAACAGTATCGAGATCTACGGATCGCTATCCACCCGCGACCCCCCGAACTTGGCCTGCCCCGACAACACCTAGGCAGATTACTCGCAGCGAGGTCGCACCACGGGGATTTCGTGACCTACCACGAGAGACTCCAGCATCGCGACGCACTGCTCAACTGCGGGTGTGGAAAGACAAAGACACCAGTCCACTTCTACTTTTGCAAGCGCGGCCGCAAGGCCACGCCCGGTCATCTAAAAGCGCATATAGCCAAGAATAGTATAGATTCCCTCCTAGGCACGGCCAAGGGAGCTCGTTTGTTTTGCCAATGGGCGGAGGAGACCAATTTCTTTACTGAGATCTGCCCATCGCACTGAACAGGAATGTTAGATGAAGACAGTCCCCTGTAACATAGATTCGACTAGCATAGACCATGCCGGCACTGCGCCCGGCACGTCTCACGTGATGAGACGTTAAATTTCAATCAATCAATCAATCAATCAATCAGTGAAGGAGAGATGGGTATATAAGGGACAGGACTCCCAGGCATTTCATAGATAGACAGTCTCTACTTCAGTGATCAATCTAAGCATCAATCTAACCCATTGGTGAGGCAAACTGCCTTGACGACTCTATTCCCAGTTACCCTACTTGAATACTTCAGTTACCCAGAGCCCTATACTCCATACGTCAAACCCCGATATTATTGCTTGAGGACTCCGCAGCAGGACTTACTTACTAATGTCGGCTGGTGTAGTTGGTCACTTCGCTGGTAGATAAGTCCCGATTTGCGCCTCGCCCACTTGGGTCGGTGACGAGTCGCGGGTTCGAATCCCGCAGCTGACACACAAGGGGGTTTAGTCAACCCTTACGGCGCGCTGCCCACCTTGTTGACTTCGCCTACCTAGCGATAATAGGGAGATTGGTGCAGTTTAGGATTACGAGCATCCTAGCCAGTCGACCGTCAAGCACTACGTCGGCGGAATATAACTCGACAGCCGGTCCAGAATTCGAATCGTTAATCCGACCCCTTATCGGACCTCGCCTTTCCGATAACGCTCGTCGGCGAACCCGTCCCCTCACGATAGAAGGCGCGCAGCACGCCCTCTCGCCGCGATTCTTGCGAGCGTCTGACCACGTTACGGTCTATCCACTTGAGCGTATGGTTGAGATGTATACGCTCGACGAGAACCCCAATTAGCAGATACTACGACTTGTCGCGACAAAAAAAAATAGTCGAGCATCTTCTGCACATCAGCAGCATCCCACCCCTGAGGACGAATTTAAGTGCCACATTACCACACTTATCGGTAGTTCAGGCAGGGGTTGTAGCACAGACTTAGGGAGGGACAGGAGGTTTAGTAGTCATTTGGCTACAAGTTTACCTGTATAACCGCCCGACGCGGCTTAAGGGCCCGCTATATCATCTATAGCCCCTTAAGGGAGTACTTGTAGAGGTACCGAGGGTTAACACCTACGGCGTATTTAATATTTTTTTTTTACTTACTAACGTCCCACACCTACATCCGGGACACCCCCACATGTGGGACGCCCTAAAAATGACACTGTATATTATAACCATTAGCTTCAACCTTTTTTTACACTTATTCTAATGCGACTACAATACAGCTTTGACCGTCACTAGGGTTTTCAGACTCGCTAGACTCATCTGTACTATCCTCAATTTCACCAGCCTCGATTTGAGCCTTCCGAATAGCCTTGATATTAGTAAACTTCGAATTTGGGCTCATCTTGACCTTCCTCCGCTTCCTAACCCTACTAGCCTCAAGCTCTGCCTCTATTGCCTCAATCTTTCGCTGTGCGACAGCTAATTTGTAGTCCTTCTCATCAAAGCCCTTTTGAACTTTCGGAAAGAGTAGCCGCTGGGTATTTGGATCACTATCAAGCTTGCTGAATAAGCTGAGTTGATCTTGGAGCTCATCTCTCCTCTTAGGCGTTGACCAGGCTACTGATGATGTCTCTAACGCCCAGTCCTGACTACCCTTACTATCAGAGTACCCTTTGCAAGTCTGACTAGGCTGTCTGATTGGTGCTGACGTATTCTCAAGGAGCAGGGGACTCATAAGGGGTCTAGCTATGCTCGAAGGCCAGAGACCAGTATATTTCCATCCACTGATAATGTTCTTAGCGGTCAATGCTGCTAGACGTGCCTTTCTATAGCAGAGGAGAAAGTTTCTCTTCCCTACGACAGTAGTAGTATCCCATCGGTCAAGGTAACCAAGCTCCTTCTTATAGGCTGCCTTGAGGGGTCCAAAGACTGACTGATCGAGAGGCTGGAGAACGTGGGATGTGTGTGGCGGCAAGAAAAGCAAGTGTATCTTGTTTATGAAGCAGAGGTACATAAACTCTGTCGTTTCGTGGCTACTATGCCCATCTAGGATAAGTAACCTAGTCTCTTCAGGGTCCTCTGGTTGAGTCAAAGGAATAAAGATCTTTTGTAGCCACTCAATAGCCGTAGAGTCTGACGTCCACCCATTCTCTGTTGCTGTAAACCTCCAGGCTTTGTATGGAGTCAAGTCCAGAGGAAACCACTGCTGCTGGACAGACTTCCCCTTGTATATCACAAGTGGGGGTAGTGCAGTACCAGTCGCAGAGATACACTCTATAAGAGATGTCCAAGCTCGAGATCCAGGCTGTTTCTTCCGTATAGAACGAGTCTCAGATGATCCTAGAACAAGACCATTTGATCCTCTACCTTCTAGAATACCTGGCTCGTCCATATTGTATCGATTCGAGGCCTTAATAGCTTTGATCTCAGGGATAGCGAGGTATTTGAACCATTGCCTGATCACATTAGCTGAGGCTTCATTAATACGCTGGGAATCCATAGCTCTGCTTCTCTGGACCTTGACTGAAGGGTTCCTCTTGATAAAAGCCTGGACCCAGTTCTTTCCAAGTGGTTCGGTGTCTCCGTGAATCTGTAGGATACGCTCGGCGAAGTCTTTGAGCTGTTGATGGGTTGGTGGGAGGCCTAGGGCAGCCTGTATTCGAACCCATTCAGCCAGATGAGATTCCTGGGCTGGAGAGCCTCTGGTAGTCAGCGAAAGCTATATCTCTTGACTGGGCTCCCTGAATCCGTCGTGAAAGAGTAGACCTTGGGACACCATGCTCATATGCTGCTTTTCTGAGGCTTTGACCGGTAGCTATTGCTTGAAGAGCTTGATAAATATCATCTTCTGTATATTGACTCATATTAGTGTAAAGAAGACGTACGTAAAATTTTGTAACGATTGAATCGATATTGGTAAAGAAAAACGAGGTTGAAGTTAGAGGCTAGCGGTGTCGATGAGGCATTTTTGGGTGTCCCACATGTGGGTGTGGGACGTTAGATCTTATGGCAACATTAGCCCTCCTCGCTGCTCTCTCACGAATGATTTCCTTGATTCCCTAAGATATTGTGTGGTCCTTCCTTTAGGGACATACTCCAGCTAAACATCTCTAGGTGAATCTCTAGAGCTCATGGGTTTATTTCGCCGGTCTTGCATTGCTTTCCACGCTTTTGTAGCTCCTGCCTGTCATGCTTTAACGATGGCTTCCTCAGCCACTTTTGGAGGTGCAAGACATGTCTTGGCATAACTATACAGCTTCGGCACGGCTAACAACCTCAACCTTACTTTACATCCTATGAGTTGGGGTTGTTGCATTACTTATTCGCTAATTCAACAGAAGGGATTAGGATGTGGGATGCGTCCGCGAGACGCATTAAATAGTTCTCGAATAATCATGCCCTCGGGGATGGGGGACCTGACCGTCGGGGTTTATATGTGTTTACAAAATCTCCGATCAGCTATGACGCCGGTCACGATGCCTGGCCCCTGGGCCCCTGGACGAACACAGGGACACCCTAGTATGGGTGTCCCACCTGTACGCGCTGCCCTTTTCCTTATAATGTAGGAAAGGGCACTTGCACTTAGATCTCTTTCTCTCTCTTCTTCAGTTTAGTATTCGTCAACAGAGATAGACTGATGTCGCAACCCTGATTCGAACTTGCAGTGCCTCTGCCGTGTCACATCAGCAAGCTGAAGTTCACTTCAATGTAGAGATCCTGTGCGAACAGGTCACTAATATTAAGGGTACCGTGATAGATATGTCGATATCAAGATTAGAGAGGGTGACCGGACAGAAAAGGCATACACTCCCATGGGTTGCCTTGCATTCAGGTTAGAGCGCGATCCGGACCACTTGTAACCCAGGCGAGAAACAGCCGATCGTAAGCCCCGTAGGAGGAGATATAACGTCGGTATAATGCCGAATACGATTATCAACAAAATCCCGGCCGTTACCTACGCAAAACTTTCGAATGTGGCCTAACGTGGTTTAACACCGAGTCGCGCATATCACCGAGTCGCGCACTTTTTACCACACTATAATTTTAAGTTCAATTAAAAAGCCACAACAGACTAAAGTATATTGAAATTTATTCAGAGCTATATACATCTGACAATTATAGTTCGACCTGACAATTCTTTACATTATGTCCGGTCTTCTTACACTTACTACATCGTCGTACAGTCGACGGACCAGCCTTTTCTTTACCCCCCCCCCCCCCCTAGAGCGCTTGTCCTCCTTTACCTGGGCCTCCACGTCCTTCCGGGCCAAAATGTCCAGGGCATACTCGACAGTAAGTGCACCTCCTTGCCGGACACGTGATTCTTTTGCCCTCCAACGCTTGCTTAGTGCCTCATTTGCCTTGCGAAGGGTGGAGCACTCAGCCTTCAAGAGGGTATTCTCATGGGCTAATCGAGTTATACCCTTCGCAAGTTGGCCAACAGCATCAAAAATTGGGGTCGGAGAGCTTCCCTGATGTCTGGCGATTCGGCGATTGACAAAATCGGACTTCTAGAGAGCCTCTGTCGGGTTATTTGGCGTTTGCGAAACCCAAGGGTCAGCATCTAGAAGAGAGGGGCTAACGGGTGTAGGCGACCGAATCCTAACATCCAGCTTCGAGATAACGGCTTCAGGGTCCTGGGGGGCTAGGCCGGCCCCTCGAAACCCTGCCTTGATGTTTTTGTCGGTTATTGTCTTTAAATAAGCCTCCTTAAAGGCGATAAAGAACTCGACCTTAGTGATGTGGTTAATATGGGACTTGATAAATATATCAATCTCTCGACCGTATATACGTTTCAAGACCCCAAAGCACCTGACATCAAGTGGCTGGGTTAGATGAGATGAGTGCGGGGGCAGACTGATAGTAATAATGCCGTTAGACTTGCAATAAGACTCGAAATCGGCCGATGTATGACTCTCATGCCCGTCCAATACTAACAGCCGATACACGCCTCTTTTGGTCGAGATAGTGTGCTTGTTGAAATGTTTGATCCAGTCTAGACCAGTCTCGTTGTTCGTCCACCCGTTTTCGGTCGGTTTGACTACCCAATCGGCTGGTAGGTCCCCCTCAGTATACCAATTAGCAAGGTGATAGTTCCCTTGAATTACCAGAAATGGCGGGATGTCGCGACCCTCCGAATTGACACAGGTAATCGCCGTGGCCCGGTTACCTGGCTGGACCTTCTTGCCTCTACCATTACGTTCAGGCGAGGTAACGACCATCGAGCGTTGAATAACGCCCATCATAAAGCCCGTCTCGTCGAAGTTCCACATATCGCAGTCCTGGATCCCGTATTTGACCCTCATATTCGATACAAGCCGGAACCAGTCCTCAATAATCTTTGGATCCTCGCAGAGGGCCCTCTGGAAGTCATACGAGCGAGAAAAACGCGTCTGTAACTCTGGGGTTCGCTTTACAAAGCGATGCGCCCAGAGCTTGCCGACGCGTCGGGTACCCCGCATCGCAAGAATGGAATTGGCTATATCTTCCACACCCTCTAGCCGGGGAGGAAACCCTCTCAAATCTAGGTCAAGTACATTCTGAACAATGGCTCTTTCCTCTATCTTGGCGAGTAGTGCGCTATTCGGCCAGATTTCGGTACGTGGGGTGCGACCGTGGATTCAGTCACGGAGTGAGGACTCGGGTACACCGTATAGCTTTGCTGCTCGACGTTGGCTCATATTTTTGGTCGATCGGATAGCTTCGATGGCAAGGTTGATTTTGGCTTCTTGGGTTTGAACTGACATGGTGTTGTTGTTGAGGAAATAAGTGTTGAAGTCAAAAGGTTGGAAAAGTTGAAAAAGTGCGCGACTCGGTGTTAAACCACGTTATGTTAAATTATTACGGCTTACTAGTTTGGCAAGGTATTAAAAACTCTAATAAAATGGGAGACTGGTGGTCGTTCTATAAGCTCGGAGTAGACATAGTCTCATAGGCCTCGACGATGCTTGTCCTCGATTTGGGTAAACCCTACCAAAAGGCAATGCACCTCACCTCGATGCTCTCCCTTGCTACTCCATAGCCTGCACTCCCGAGATTGGGACTAGCGTGTAGCACTGCTGGCGCTTCTGCATCAGGCCCCTCGACACCCAAGGAAGCGCTATGAAAGAACTTAAGGGACCTCGTCCGGCTTCTGCTCTCTGAGGTAGTACCACTGCGGGCCCGCGTCCTTCGGGGTGGCGGGAACGGCTTTCTGGGCGTCCGCCTCGGCCCGAATGTCCGGGCGCCAGCTGCGAATCGCCCGCCGCGCCCCCAGCGGCGTGTAGTCGCAGTGCGGCGTTCTGGATGGCTTCGCCTGATCGGAAGACCCCATGTGAGTGGGCTTGTTGTCATGCAGGGCTTTGAAAAAGCCTGAGGTACGGTGACATCGCCCTCGCCTTCGGTCGCAGTCGCTCCTGGACCTCGACGGATGATGCTGTTGGTGATGAAGACCTCTTTGGCGCCGATCAAGTTGAGCATGGATCGGACCACCTCAGGGTAGTATGTTTCCTCCAGCACCGAGAGACTGTCAAAGTGTTGGGCACGCACTTGGTCCTCATTGGCGTTGATCAGGCTGGCGGGGTTAAATTTGACCGCCGTGAAACCATGTTTCTTCAAAAGCTCCGCAGAGCGCTGGTAACTGAATCCTTCACCGAACACTTCTTCTCGGAAGTCTTGGAGAGGATAATCTCTCGCGGTCTTGGTGACCTGAGGTGCGACAGTATAGCCCCTGGTATTGGGGTCATCACGCTCGTTCGAGCCATCCAGAACGTTGATTTGAAATGTTCCCACCATCTCAGGACTCAGGATTTCTGCTTGGGCCACTGCTTTGACGACAAACGCTAGCTTTGATAGAAAAGCAGTAAAATACTTTGGAAACTGTAAATAGAGATTTTGTCAGAAGAACTTGTTACTGAACTCTCAATGTATTTACAAAGTCCCTGGCTTTTGAGATGCCGAATTTGACAGATCTATTATATAGTATCATAAACGAAGTGAAGCGGTATATGCAAAGTCTGTGATTATTGTCTAGTGTATCGTTTCTGGCATATCTTGATCATGGAGCGATGATGGCGCCACGAGAAGTCCTATGGACCATTAAACAACCAATCACGTATCGCGACTTTTACCAGATATGCAAGGTCATAACTCGACATGACTTCGCACCATCAGCTCACCTTTCTGAGCTGAGAGGTAGAGGAGATAGCAGTGATTGGCCCTTTCTATCTCTAGTCAGACGGACTAGGGGGAGTGAGCACCAAGGTAGTAGCTTAGTGTACCTGTAGGTGGATGCAAGGTCATAACCAGATGACCATGCATAGACGACCAACAACACCTCTGGGCACTTAGCTTTGGTATGTAATTCTTTGAGCTCACCGAGGATTATAACCTATAATATAAACTAAACTATTAACCCCCGGATGAGGTCCGGCTGGGCCATCTTGGGCATCATCTCGTCGCGACGCAGACGAGTTCGCTTCGTATCCGTTACCATGTCTTCCTCTGGCCATCTTCGCATGACACTGCGAAAGCCAGATAAAGAAAGTCAGCTTCAGCTCCCCACAGCCCGCCTTGGAAGGCTATTCATGTAACTGACGTGTAGCAGTTGTCGTTCCATGCGACTATCAATTCATCCCAGGTGACAATGGACAGTGTTACAACAACTTGTACCTTGCGCAGAGAACTTCTTCTTTCGGGAACGGTTGCTCATCCGCGAACGTAATCGGAGTCTCTGTGTCGGATGACCTCACGTCTGATCCTTCCAAGCTGAGAGGGGAAAAGGCGAGCGCCATCGGCCCATTCCTACTAGAGTGCTTCGGCAGCGACCTCGGTGGCAACGTTGTCGTCTTTCAGGTGGCCAAGAGCCACGGCTACGTCATCCACGCAGACCCGTGGTCGTTTCAGGTGGCCAACTCGCCTTTAGTCGTGCGAACCCAAAGTTTTCTCCAGCCGCACGGCGAAGCGATGACTTTTGCTGGTGTACCAGAAGACGCCCAAGGTCTTGCCAGTGCTCTGGATGCCTCGCTTGGAGCGGTTCAATCCCGATTGCCCTTTTGCAAAGACACCGTTCGACAGCTGGAGATAGACTTAAGGAGGCGATTGAGTTTTGGGTGGCTCTCGCCGGCTCCGGTTCCGTCCCGTCGGGTATGCATAGTTCTTGAAGGGGAAATCAGCATCAGGGCGACCAAGTTCAGATGGGAAACTGCGGCTGCGCTGGGAGTCGATGTCGTGGTGCTTAGCACCGGGTCTTGGTGGCAGGATGACCAGGGGCCTTTTGGCTCTCTGCGAGAGGCTTTCATCATCACCGACTTGACACCGGGTCCTGATCTGGGGGCCAGGATCGCCCGAGCCCTCAAGTCATATCCGCACACCATTGATGGAATATTTGCTCTGTCAGACACCCTCTTAATACCAGTGGCTGAGGCCGCCACCCAGCTGGGCCTGTGGACTAGTGGTCCCGAGCCGTACAGGATATCTACCAACAAGTTCCTTACCCGTCAGCTACTGGATCCCACGTCGGGGGAATACTTCAGCGTGAATTCACTGGAGGAACTCGAAATGCGGCTCACGTGCAACGACCCAGTCAGCTTCCCGGTGGTTTGCAAGCCATTTTGCGGTATAGGCAGCGAGGGGGTGTACAGAGCTGATAACCCCACCCAGTTACGACACGCCGTCTCTCAGTGCATCGCCTCCAAAAACCACGAAAGCTGTTTGATCGAACCTTACGTTGACGGGCCCGAGGTGGACTGCAACCTCGTCTTCATGGATGGTCACCTACTCTACTCCGAAGTCGTCGATTATTTCCCTTGCGATGCTGATGTGGCAGAAGACGCAACCGATAAGCTGTTCGCCGAAACGGAGGCCGTCGTGCCATGCCAGCTGCCCGTGGAAGAGCAAAAGGCTATTGTAGAAACTGTATCGAAAGCAGTGATTCTTCAAGGCTTCGATACTGGTGTCTTCCACTGCGAGGCCCGGGTTCGCAACTCCTTCATGACGTATCGTCTTGCTCATGAAGCAACTATCCCAGATCTTGTGGTTAAAGACGAGCCCCGCAAGACCGAGGAAAAAATCCGCATCTTCCTTCACGAGATCAACGCCCGGATACCCGGTATTGCGAGCTCGGCCTCGAGCCTCATCGCCAATGGGATCGACTTCTGGGCATTACAGATCCTCTGCGCTGTCGGCGATTGGGGCAGGTACAAAGCCCTGTCTGTCCCGTTTCTATCTTCCAGCGAAGGCGGAGGTCACCACGTATGGCTCACCAACTCGCTTGTGCCTATCACGTACAAGGGCATCCAACCTTTGTACCCCAACTTCCCGATGGACCGGTTGGGTCACCAGCTCGTAGATAGTAGCCACAACCCCGTGGTAGAGCTATCCGAAAGTCATGAAGAGCTGACTCGATACGTTCTCCGGCACAACGCTAACGTAAACGACGGCGTCAAGTATGGTTTCAATAAAGGGGATTGGCTGTGGACGGCCTGTTTGGTTATCCGTTCTCCCATTAGTCGCAAACTGTGACAGGCTGTGCCTGATATGGGATCCGGAGCTGCAAGGACCGTGCGTCCGGATCCACCAAAGGAACCATCGAGGGCACACAAAACATAGTCCGTGTTCCCGGGACAACTCGCATATTTTACTTTCCTCCTCAGTTAGATAATTAACAGTATTTGGCCATGTTGAGCTGTATAGTTTCGCAGTGAGCCCGTCACACAAACATGCAGCCCTTGTAGCGGAGAAGATCAAAGCGAGATATTACGATTTCGTCACCGCAAGATACAACATATCTTGATTCTTTCAGAAATTACTATTATCAGCCTCTTCTTCTTGTTATTTGGTTCTTTGTCCGATACACATATATAGTCTTGTCGGCTGGTGTAGTTGGTCACTTCACTGGTAGATAAGTCCCGATTTGAGCCTCGCCCACTTGGGTCGGTGACGAGTCGCGGGTTCGAATCCCGCAGCTGACACACAAGGGGGTTTAGTCAACCCTTACGGCGCGCTGCCCACCTTGTTGACCTCGCCTACCTAGCGATAATAGGGAGATTGGTGCATTTTAGGATTACGAGCATCCTAGCCAGTCGACCGTCAAGCACTACGTCGGCGGAATATAACTCGACAGCCGGTCCAGAATTCGAATCGTTAATCCGACCCCTTATCGGACCCCCTCTCGCCGCGATTCTTGCGAGCGTCTAGACCACGTTACGGTCTATCCACTTGAGCGTATGGCTGAGATGTATATGCTCGACGAGAACCCCAATTAGCAGATACTACGACTTGTCGCGACAAAAAATAGTCGAGCATCTTCTGCACATCAGCAGCATCCCACCCCTGAGGACGAATTTAAGTGCCACATTACCACACTTATCGGTAGTTCAGGCAGGGGTTGTAGCACAGACTTAGGGAGGGACAGGAGGTTTAGTAGTCGTTTGGCTACAAGTTTACCTGTATAACCGCCCGCCGCGGCTTAAGGGCCCGCTATATCATCTATAGCCCCTTAAGGGAGTACTTGTAGAGGTACCGAGGGTTAACACCTACAGCGTATTTAATATTTATTTTTTATATAGTCTTCTTTTCGTGGCCTACGTCATACCAATGTGTTGAAGACAAAGACTAGAATGCGGTACTTTGAAGACTGAGTGATGTTCTCTGTCCCGCCTAGTGTCGAGAGTAATGTCCAGGTGTCCGGGGCCTAAAAAAATATCAGAACAAGAGTAAGGGACCGAGCTGTATAAGACTTACGCCTTCTCAAAGTCTTCTTAATTCGTTAACCAACGGATTCTTGATATCAGTATGCTCCACGAGGCTGCGGACGCTCTCGATGATGGGAACTAGACCAGCCGCCAGCTTGTCCTCCTCCGAAGACGGGCCCGACATGCCTCCCGCCACCCCCGATGATCGTCTCTCCATCTGCTGATTTCTCTCGTTCATACCGGACAGCTCGCGGGAGAGAATGCGCTGGGCCAAGCTTAGTATTACCTCTTGGTACACCCAGGCCTCGCGTTCGGGCCAGTCTTCGGCGCTGAAGCTCAGGTCCTGAAGGAAGCGTTTCAGCTGCCGCTCACGGCTGAACTTCTGGGTTCTCCGCAGCGGCGTGTGCTCTTCCAGCGCAAGAGTGTAGTAGGCCGTCGCCATCTGGTCGAAGCTGTGGAAGCCGGCGTTGTCGATGGCTTCAAGGATGGTCTCAAAGACCCCTGTGGTTCCCTGTGCATCAGAATGAGTCTCGTTGTCTAGTCCACCCCAGCCGAGGCCACAGTATGACTCGGTGCCCCAGAAGGAAGGCTGATTGGCTCCGCCGGTTGCCGAACCGAAACCACTGACAGGTGGCCCATGCCTTGTCGAAAGGTGATTTGAATGCGAGGCAGCTGATCCAAAACAGGAATCTTGTGAGACGTGTGACGCACCAGTGGGTGGTTCATCGTGAAACCGACCCAGATGACCCGATTCCGTCCCTTGTATGGGCGAACTGTGAATAGAAAGGTCTGATCCCTCCTCAGGGGGTGTCTTGGTGCAGGCAGCTGTGCCGGACTTGTGCCTACGGTCTTGACAACTTGGTCGACATTTCCCAGTTCCATCCAGCTCTGAACATGGAGTTGATCAAAGTCGAGCGTATTGTTTAAATCCGCTAAGGAAAAGTCCATGGGGTCTGATGCCGCAAAGAAGTCGGATGCCCTATTCAAATCGTCAGTCCATGCCGGCTTTCTTCGAAGTTGAAATAGCCGTCAATACCCACATGAGATCAACTCTCGTGTCATGCTCTGGGCCAGGGATTACGGTCTGATTGGTTACTTCACCAGTGTCAAGTGGCTCCTGTTTTTCCTTCCCTGAGGTTGCACTTCTCCTCTTTGCAGCTTCAGCCGCGGCTTGTTGTTTCCCTGATTATATTATTATTATTATTAAATACGCCGTAGGCTCGAAGCCCCCGGTACCTCTACAAGTGCTCCCGTATGTCAAACCGTGCCCTAATGGCTGGACTAAATACATACGCTGCTACGTAGGTTCGCTCTATTAGCGACTGCGTTACGTCCACCACAATACTATGTTAGTTCTCACCCTACTAACAAAGTCCCCCTGAGAAGATCGATATTATCCGGGCCTAAGCGCTATCCGGCCAGTCCTGAGTAGCCACCTTGTGATAGTCCCGCTGACTACTGGTTTCCCCATCGCCGTTGCCAGGTCTCTACGTGTATGCAGCGGCCATGGTGCGATAGTGGCCCGTAGGCGCTCTCTCGATTCTTCCAGCAGGCCGCAAAAGAGGATTACGTGCTCTGCCGTCTCGGGGGCCTCTCCACAGCGGCATAACGGCGAGTACACACCGAAGGCTCCTATCTTAAATAAGAAAGCTGATAGTCCTATTTTTCCGGTCCTGATCTGGCATAGGGTAGACGCCTCCGGTCGGTTTAGGTCTGAGTACTTGCCCTGTTTCGGCATTCGCATCGAGGGGCCCTCCGGCTCCTCGGCGATAGCGCGTCGCTGCCGGTCGTGTTGTGCTGCCCCGGAGAGCCATCTCTTCTCCCAGTGGTCTAGGAGGGCAGCCGGGACTTCCTTCGCCTTGCCTATCCACTCGGAGCCCCTAGCCTCCTTCTCTATCGTGTACCCCGCTGGTCTGAGCGATTGTGACGCCCGCTTCCGTCTCGCCGGCGTGTCCTGTCGGAGTATGTGTGACGCTCTCGCGCTCGCGCTCCGAAGCAGGCTCCTTTTGCCGTTATTCCGTAGCCGTTCTTCAAATTTTGCCGCCCGGGCACTGAGATATAGGTCTAGTGGCGGGATAGCTGCCTCTATTTCTAGGTGTCGGACCGGTGTCGCTTTGTAGGCGCCACAGACTATTCGGAGGCACTCATTCTGTATCCCGACTAGGCTCTTAGCTGGTCCCGCTGGTTCCTCGCTTATAGTGTGCCACGCAGCCGCCCCGAAGGCGATCGCGCTGCGAATAACCGACGTGTACAGTAGTCTCGCCCGTATGAGATCGCAGCCCCACGCCATGTTCACTAGCTTTGTTAGGGCTAGCTTCTGAGTCGCCATTTTTGATTTAACCCGTTCGGTATGGGCGTGCCACGTTAATTTGCGGTCAAACCAGACCCCTAGGAACCTTGCCGAGACCTTCGGCGTTACTGTAGCGTTTCCAAGACGGATACTCTGCGGGGAGGGGTCTCGGGTTCTAGTGAAATGCATCAGCTCACTCTTGTCCGGAGCGAACTCCATCCCGTGCCTGGCGGCCCACCGTTGGCACGTAGCCCAAGCGTCCTCTAGTCGGCGGCAGGTCGTCCCCGTGTCTGTGCTCACGCTAAGTAGGTTCGTATCGTCCGCGAACCCTACGACTAAGAGTAGGGGGTGTTTCTCCGCTAGTTCCTCATATAGCGTCGAGATATATAGGATAAATAGTATCGGGGAGAGTGGCGACCCCTGGGGGACGCCAGCTCGTAGAGGGATCAGCTCTGACTCCTTACCGTCGAACCGGAGGCGTACTGTCCTATCCTCTACGAAGCTGTGTACCCATTCCTGAACCCACTCCGGGTAGCCCTTCCGGGCTAGTATAGAAATCAAACGCCTGTGGTTAACTGTGTCTGTGACGGTCAACCCTCGCAGACTCACTACAACCAGGTGACTTACAGCTGGAACACCTGCCGTGGCAGTGTGAGATGCGAAGCCAATCATAACCCTTGTAGGAGCCCCGCCAAGCGTGGATGACTTAGTCGCGCTCCCTTAAACCTAAGTTGTCATCTTCTTTCCTTCGCTCCTTAGAGTAGAATCTTCGTCGATAGCACCTAATCGAGGTCTATACCAATGCGATGCAACCCAGGTCGTGACAGTGTCGAACGCCCCCTTAATATCAAGTTGTAGTAGTGTGGCGATCCCTCCGCGCCTCCAAGCTGTATAGGTTACGTCCTCGACTATACGTATCGCTAATTCGGTGGACCGCCCCTTTCGGTTACCCATTTGGCCGTTTGGTAGCAGACCGGCCGTCTCCGCGACGGTAGTGATACGCTGGCATATCACCGCCTCTATCACCTTCCCTATCGTACTAAGCAGCGCTATCGGTCGCCAGCCGCTAGGGGTCTGCTTTTGGGCTGTCGTTTTGTTCGGCTTAGGGATAACGACTACCTTTGCCGAGCGGAGGCGCTCCGGGTAGTATCCTAGCCTAAAGCTTACGGTCGCTATATCCGCTAGGATCTCCCATAGGGGTTTACCACAGATTTTCAGCAGGCCCGTAGGGATCTGGTCATCGCCGGGGGCCTTCCAAGCCGCTGTCTTCTTGATAACAGCCTCGATGTCCTTCGCGTTTACCTCTTTAGGGACGTCCAGGTCTGGTCTCGTCCGTGGCAGGTTGTGATCGAGATCCGACAGGTCTATATCCGGGTCTGGGAAGAACCTCTCAGCTAGTAGCTTTGACTTACAAAGGATAAAGGATACCCTGATTATAATCACGTAAGCTTCCTTGAGGGCTCTGCTTCTCGGGTGAGGAAGGATAATTACGTTTCGATGCTTTCTCTGGGCCTCACGATTCCGTTTCTTGACAGCCGTGTCTTGGTCGCTGGGGTCAAACAAAGTCAGGGGATCCGCCCCGAAACAGGCGGGGGCTGTCTCAACACCATTCGAAGACATGCTCGTGTCTTCCATTGTTGACGCTTGGTTTCTTGATTCCTTCTTGGTTCCTTGATGGGATCTCGTCGCTAGTCTCTACTAGCTTATACCAAGCAGAGTGAACAACATCAAGCTTTATAAAGGGGCAAACTTAGAGACTTGATTCTAATGCGACTGCATATATTCCGCCGCCACGGGTCCGCGTGGTCGATCGTTGCAGAAGATGAAGCTACGCACATATGAGTAGTTAAGCAGTAAGACAATACCAACCTGCAGTTGGGTCGGGGGTGCTCGGTGGGGGTCCGTACTTGTATGCACAATGAGCGGCATCTTTATATTTGATTATTTCCATTTTTACATCATCACTTTCACAATATGCCAAGGTGCTTATGGTCCTTGGTTGTCCGGTACAGCGGCAACTCGTGACGGGTTTATGATCGTCAATATCCCTTATCTTGCGTGGAGACTGATTCTGTGTTACAGACTAACCGTTGGTGCTTGCGGAATCCGATCTGAACAGTTCCCAAGACAGACCGTGGCCGAGGTGCGTGTCAAGCTTCCCCTGTCGCCAATATTGTGTATCAATACCTCTACCCCAGGGAGTTGTGCAACATGCATGTTGCAGCTATACCCTGCGGTTGGCTGGCAGCGGAGGGTAAAGGTCCGAACATCGGTTAGTTGGGACAAGGAGCCTCCGTCTGCGCCGCAAAGAAACAAGGCAGACTGAATCAATGATACGAAAACGTACTTATAAATATCTCTCGGGGTGAGAGTCCAAACGCCCAGGTGCACCACATGCATATAATAACTACAGATGAACGTGACACTGGTTGTCTGACCCCGCTAGGCGCATCACCTGCTGGACATGGACATGACTGCGCAGATCAAAAATATCCACACAGGCTCTGGTGTTACCAATGATGTATGAAAAGCAAGGCTCGCAGCTGGGGTAGTATAGTTCTGACAAGGGATCTGTTAGTTTGATTTTGCATCGGCCACTTCCGAGAGCAGGTCTGCCGCAGTTGGCATTGTCAGCCTAACACGGAGCTGCTCAGATGTCGCCATCTATATAGTTTACACCACCGTAGATCTTTAAGACCGACCCATTCCTCACACGGCGCTACCACTAGATATATCATTGCCATTGGAGGAAAGTTTCAGTTTCGCCACGAGTGACGGCGCATACCAATCACTCCTCTAAAGCTGTATACTGCGAGGTCACGGAAGCAACACATAGGGGCAGCTGGCTCGAGCCGGTCTGGGGAACCGGGATTCCTCGTCCTGTAGACCAAAAAGCCCCACGAAGGTGTTATCATTACTTACCTGGTCGCTCTCATCATCATGCGGTGACCAACTAGTTCCTTAGTCTCCCATATACCCCTTGATTGACACGGTGTTCGTTCCATACAGCACAGCCAAAACCAAGAAGCAAAGGCTCACTATGAGTTCTCTCCAGGGAACTTTGCTGGATACCCAGCACACCATCTTGAGCTCGAAAGATCCTTCAGGTAATGCGGAACTTCCTTATCCTCAATCAGCATGGAAGTATGTAAGCAACTGACATTCGCCACAGTGACGCTCCACGTGAGTTGGGCTAAATCTCAGGAAGTCAACCCTGAGACAAAGTTCGGGTCCAACTATGTTACCTTGGCCATTGATTCAATCTCTGGTAACACCGAATCGATCAACCAGACCCATGCTCCACGCACTCAGCACATAGTCCTGTCTATCATTGAGATAGGCAACGTCGCAGAGCCAGTCGCGGAGCCGCCGGTCACAGTTGATGAGCCCGGGAAAGCTGTGTCTTTCTTATGGAAGACTGCGACAGGGGGTTCGACTCCCCCACCATTACGTTCCTGTTGCCTGCAGAAGACGGCTTCATCGTCAGGAGTGACTTCGTCAGTGAGATGTTCCGGACCTCCACCCTGGTGAATCAAGTCGAGGCGTTCGTTACTCCCGGACAACGTTGTACTGTCCCCAAGTCCACAAAAGGGGTCGCAAAAACGCTCCTAGCTCTGCTTGACTCGAGTGTGGCCGCCATTGTACCGAAACCTGGCATCAATCACGAATTACTTGGCCAGGAAATAAAGGATCGACTGTCGTGGCCGTAGTCGGTGCCAGTGCCACTCAAAACGGCCCGTCTCGCCTTGATTGGTGAAAAGCGACATCATGCGAGAGTAGCCTCCTTTTATTCAGCTGCCGCGGCATGCGGAGTGTCTGTCATCGTCATGGACAAACCTGGTCATTGGATGGAGGACCCAACCGGACCTGGAGCCCACCTCCGAGAGGCATTCATCCCCTTGCGAGACTACACGTTCGATGGTTTGCCTCAAAAGATTGTTGACACCGTCAAAGGCCTACCATTTCGCATTGATGGCCTCATGACCTGCGTGGACGCCTTCTTGCCCGGCATAGCCCGTGCTGCCGAGATCCTGGGGTTGCATACTGTTCCTGCCGAAGCCTATCGACGTGCAGGCGACAAATTCCAAACAAGGCGGCTCTGCCCTACACATACCAGCATCAAGGTAGACAGCCTGGCAGCCTTCTTGGCAGACTTGGGAAAGCGAAGCGAGCCCCTGAAGTATCCGCTGGTGGTCAAGCCAACCAGAGGGCACGGGTCTGAGGGCGCCAGCAGAGTCGAGAACCAACAAGAGCTGGTCGAGGCAGTCACATTCGCATTCTACACAACTTCTCCTCTATATTCATATTCAATATTACTACTAACGTAGTCCACGGTCCAATTGCACACTTCGGCAGATTTTCGTACGCTACCACTTTGACCTGCGGTTTTTCACCACATAACTATGGTCAGTTCTTGGAATGAAAGTGATATGATTCTAGCATTACATGCGCTTCAATCTGATCCAAAATTAAGTGTACGTCACGCTGGTCAGATCTATAACGTACCTTTTAGAACCCTTGCGTATCGACGCGACGGTAAAACCGCTCGAGCGATTACGCGATTGCCAACGCAAAAGTTGACTCCTTCCAAAGAAGAGGCAATCGTACGACATATAACCGACCTAGATTCGCGAGCATTTCCTCCCCGATTGAGTGGTGTTGAAGATATGGCCAACCGATTACTTCGAAGTCGCGACGCGGGACGCGTCGGCGTCAACTGGGCCTCGAGCTTCGTAAGACGACAACCAGACCTCCGGACGCGTTTAAATCGAAGGATCGACTATCAGAGAGTCCTCTGCGAAGATCCCGACGCGTATCGCGCGTGGTTAACCTAGTACGGAATATAATTGCGAAATACGCGATCTAGGAGGAGGATATCTACAACTTCGACGAGACCGGTTTTGTGATAGGCCAAATCTCGTCCGAAATGGTTGTTAGGCAACCTTGGTGGGCTTTGCCAAGACCACCAAGGTTACCACGCGCGATACGCGTCGGGATCTTCGCAGAGGACTCTCTGATATTCGATCCTTCGATTTAAACGCGTCCGGAGGTCTGGTTGTCGTCTTACGAAGCTCGAGGCCCAGTTGACGCCGACGCGTCCCGCGTCGCGACTTCGAAGTAATCGGTTGGCCATATCTTCAACACCACTCAATCGGGGAGGAAATGCTCGCGAATCTAGGTCGGTTATATGTCGTACGATTGCCTCTTCTTTGGAAGGAGTCAACTTTTGCGTTGGCAATCGCGTAATCGCTCGAGCGGTTTTACCGTCGCGTCGATACGCAAGGGTTCTAAAAGGTACGTTATAGATCTGACCAGCGTGACGTACACTTAATTTTGGATCAGATTGAAGCGCATGTAATGCTAGAATCATATCACTTTCATTCCAAGAACTGACCATAGTTATGTGGTGAAAAACCGCAGGTCAAAGTGGTAGCGTACGAAAATCTGCCGAAGTGTGCAATTGGACCGTGGACTACGTTAGTAGTAATATTGAATATGAATATAGAGGAGAAGTTGTGTAGAATATGAATTTGTCATTATATGCCCACAGGGGCCACTGCCTAGTTCAGTAACTTTGGCGCGGCTACCTTATAACCCTCACCGCCTTTAGCCTGTGGCCTTTGAGCTTGCTTATAATTATCACGACTTTAAGTGGACTAACTATACGTTTACTCATGGGCTAGAGAATGCTTAAAAGTCAGATTTTGTTCACATAGCTCACTAAAATACTGCATTTAACGACCGGCAGATATATCCGCCGTGTCTAAGGTGGAAGAGAGAGAAATGACTTCAGCTTCCCGAGATGAGGCTATAGTCGGGCGGGAACAACAGCAACAGAAGGAGCTACCTCAGCAGATACCCTTATGACGCCAAAACAAAGGCAAAAAGAAGCACCTTCAGAACTGCAATTATTGCAAAAAATAACTAATTGCCTCGAATATCTGCTTGTCTCGATGATCATCTCCCTCTACTCTTATACTCGTCCTTTATCATATAAATTATCTGAAAAAGAGCGTTCTATCCTCAGGACCGGCGAGATGATCCACTCGGCCTCACCGTTCTACATGTCCCGGACTCGGAGCATCGGACGGTAGATATTTTGTTTATACATGGACTCGGGGGAACAAGTATGCGCACATGGTGCAAGAATAGGGACTTGGACTTACTGTGGCCTAAGCATTGGCTGCCTGAGGAGACAGATCTCTCGACAGCTCGTATCTTGACCTTTGGATATCACGCCCACTTCTCGACCAAGAAACAGCAAGCATCCTTGAACATTGGGGAATTTGCCAACGACCTCCTGTTTCGCATGAAATATGGCGAGGACGGCAAGGACAAAATGGGCCAGGTACCCATCATAATTGTTGCGCACTCCATGGGAGGGCTGGTGTTCAAAAAGGCCTGTACGTATCATCTCGCTTGGACCGTGTAGCCCTTCTGACTTTATGGAAATTATCCATGGACAGCTGAATGAAAAGTATAAAAAGATCACATCGAGCATCAAGTCCGTTCTGTTCCTCGCCACCCCGCATCGAGGGACAGATGTGGCTGAGACTTTGAACAAGATGCTATCTAGCTCTATCTTCGGACACTCTCCAAAAGATTACGTGACGGAATTAACCAAGAATAGCCCTACGATTGACGAGCTCAACGAGCAGTTTCGACACCGTGCCGCCAAGTTAAAAGTATTATCCTTCTACGAGACCCTGGGCACCAATATAGGCCCTGTCATTGTTATGATATCAGAAAAGCATTCTTCGGTTTTGTGTTATCAAGACGAAACGCCGCAACCATTGGTGGCTAATCATCACGACGTCTGCAAGTTTACTAGTCCTGACGACTCCAATTACAAATCCGTTAGAGGCGCTTTGCGTAGTGTTGTGAATACGCTGCGATTTTCCGGAGCCGGTGACCCTGGGGCTGAACAAGATCTGGAGGCGGTACAGAAGTGGCTCAGAACCACCGGAGCACCCGACGATGACATGACTGCCTTCCGATCCGTTTGAAAGGCGGGGACATGCGAACACATCCTGCAACAGCCCGAGTTCGACGGTTGGGTTCTATCCTCGGGTCCTCGGATTATTTGGGCCCATGCTCCACCAGGCAATGGAAAGTCATGCCAGTGTTCCTTTGTCATCGATCATCTCAAAGCCCGCCGATTGAAGTGCGCGTATTGGTTCTTCAAACACGGAGACACCCAGAAACGATCAGTGGCTTGCATGCTTCGGTCCTTGGACTACCAAACTGCATGCCACAACGCCACCTTCCGGCGTGCTCTCGTTGGGTTGGCAAAGTCGGGAACGCAGACAGCACATGGAGAGACAGGGCCAGACGACAAGCACCACATGGACTGGTGTCAACCGTCTTGCCTGGCACCCATTCAACGGCCAGATTCTCGGCATATATCGAGACGGTCAGATATTCAAGTGGGGCCCCATGGACGACAGCCACGAAGGAGTTATGCAAGAGATGGATGCCACGCCTTCCGAGATCACCATCAGCGGGGTCGGGTCCATATTTGCCACCTCGGACGTAAAGGGAGCCGTGAAAATGTACAACTTCTCTCAAATGGTCCTGATCTATAAGTTCACGTCGGACGACATCATCACGTCCATCGCTTTCAGCTCCGATATTCAAAGGTTCTTCGACCTGCGGGGCAGATATTGCAACGTTTGGGAGCCGAACTGCCTCATTCGACTGAGTGACTCGGGCCTAGACATGTCCGAAGCAGACAGCCGGAGTGTCACGAGTTCGGAGTGGGAGAGAAAAGGCAGCATCATGTCCGACCGGGACGACATCCTCAGCACCTCCATATCGTTTTCCACATCCGAAGCTCACGCAGATTCATGTCCCGCCATCATTCTCGTCGAGACTTGTGTGAGAAACCAACAGCTCGTCGCATATGCTAAAGACTATGCCACTATCGAGGTGTACGACATGATGCACGAGGAGAGGCATGTAATAGTTCGGTCTTCCTTCGGTATGGGTGTTGGGCAATTAGTTCTGTCCCGCGATGGCGACTTCATCGCTTACTCCTTAGTTAATGGACGCATCGCCATCAAGAGTCTTGATCTTAGGTCGAGTTCAGGGAAAATAGTCACCAAAGTGGCGCTCGCTGAAAAGAAGTCGATTGGCCGCGAAGTTATTAGGCAGATCTTGCTTGAAGATAAGTCTGAACGCATCTTTATCAGCGGCTCTGCAAAGATTCAGGTACTAGATGTTGCCAGCGGCAGCGTTCTTGCAGAAAGGACAGTATATCCACATCCAAAACAACAGCATGGGGCATGGGAAATCCACCCATCCGACGCAAATATACTGCTCCAATTTACGGCAGACCAAGTAGCGACCTTTTCCTGGGCTATTCTCGAGTCCGCTTGTACTCTACCCATCTACCGATCTCAACGCTCCCCTGACGATGGCCCTGCGCCACTCATCGCGGTGGAAACGCTGTTACCTTCTTACTATCCGCAGACGCAACTTGTCACTACGTCCTCCGAGGAATCAAATATGAGAGCGCTCGCCTTCCTGGTGCTTGATATGTCGGCCTTGCTTGACCAGCAAGAAGAAGGCACCAACCCAAAGGGCTCCATAAGCGCCGTCGCCATCCTGCCTCAAACGGCTACCCATATCAAACAGTCCGTGGGACTGCTTCCCGACGGTCGACTCGTATTTCTTGACGAGAACCTCTGGGTATGCACCACACAGCTACGCTCTGCATCTGGGTCTCTAGGGGGCACAGACAACAACAACCTTATGAGACATTTCTTCGTGCCCCATGACTGGCTCAACAGTGCCGGGATGATGCTGTGCAGAGTGCAGTCAGATGGAACCTTTCTTTACCCTAGCAAAGGGGAGATGGCCATCATAAAGAGTGACATCGGGACAGCGTGGCGAAAATAAGCGCCCAAATATAGTATTCGAATAGAGCTTAACCCTTAGACTTCCTGACTAGGCTGCACATTATCCTTTATCGCCATAGATGGCCCACAGCTATTGAGGCCGCGGTTTCAATACTTCGATGACAAAGTACCCATGGCAAAACCCACCACTATTTTCCTACTAGCCCAACGTTACAGGCAATTTCGCTTGTCTTGTGTAGATGCCCTCCTTGTAAATTCCTCAGGCAACACCACATTTGACTCTGGATGAGATGCCACGTTCCAGTCCTTGCGAAGATAGACGGCAACCGGAATAGATGGCATAGCCGACACCGACAGCTCGATATCACCGCAGTGGTCATCCCTGGAGCCTGTGCGACGAGTAATCGATGTGAACTTTGTGTCACGGTCAGATGTCTGTGAATGTAGTTGGATCTGTGACAGGTTCTCGTGTGACAGCGATCGCATCCGGTCGGCACCGCGGGTATGGTCATGAGCGGACAAGCGGTTTCTAGCGTGCATCGTGCCGTCATCAGAATACTTGCTTCGTCCGAGCAGCGGTCTAAAGGTTGGGATACACGCTGCGATAATGCCGACAGTGGGCTCCAGACTGCACCAGATAGCAAGGACCGATAAGTCTCCGGGATTTTTTGCACTGAGATGCATTCTCACGGCGACAATTACAACGGTACTGTTGTTGGATGTGAGTGTGATTCGGAGTACTTCATTCACGTGGTGAGAATAACGAGGACTTACAGTATTCCCAAGGCAAAGGCAAATATGATCCACGCCTTCCTTAGCACTGGCGTTTGCAAGCCAAATAGATACTTAAAAGGTATCGTGAGAATGGCGACGTCGGAGACGATGACCATGGCATTCAAAGAATTCGACCATGCGGTAGTGTCCGCGGCGTGTTGAATCGGAACGATGTCCCACTAGGCGTTCAGGGGTTGAATGACAAGAAATATAGAGATGAAGCTGCCAAGATACCAAAGTTCGACGACGGTACTTACGATACGGGTGGCAATAATGACCGCTCTGAATGGCAGCAGCTGGCGGTAGAGTAACAGAACCGACAATTTGTACAGGCCGCAACTGAACAGCCAAAGGAGGTCGATAACGAAACTCACCTATCATTTCCACTTGTGATCAGGGACTTTGTGACGAAAAGAATGTCGACTAAAGTACGTTACCTTGCTCTGTATAACTACTGCGTCTAGATTTCCGTCTCTGTACAGCTCGCTCAGGGTTGCTACCCCAAGCCGGGCGTTGAAAACAGCTAAGTTGAACGACGCACGTCAGAACGGAATTTCAAGGACCATAGTCCAGCATGTGCTGTGCTCAGAACATACCTTCCAAGGTGGCCGTCCACATTCCGAGCACGACGGCCTTAAAAGATCATCACTGATCAGCCTCCATACATAGAGAGGTTCGATCGCCTTTCAAATATTAACTTACGGTGCAGGCAATGATTAAATAGTCGCTCAAGCTCAGGAGACGATGAGCAATTCTCCTGGTCAGCATGCGGAGAACAACAGCAGTCAATGGGAGGATGCTGAAGACGATACAAATGGCAATGATTCGCCTCTGCGCGGGCTTTTGACTAGGAAACAGGGAGCCCATGGCAGATTTTGGTGCGTGATTTCAAAGAGCTGAGAGTCAAACATTCCCAACTTAGAACATTGAAGCTCATCTTATAATCAAGTCGTCCGCATATCCATCCAAAAAAGGTCGTGCTAGCAAGGTTCATCTTCTAGTTGGTGATTTGGCGGGATTTTAGTATCGCAGCTAGTCCCATGTGAGGGAGAATGAATCGAGCCAATGACTTGCGGGAAGTTTTCCCAGATAGATGTTGAAAGAATTGATTTGTGGCTGTTACCCCATAGACTTATTCATTGCCTATTCGCATCAACGTTTCACGGGCAACAAAATGACTTTCTCGATCGCAATTACTAAAACTTTTCATATGTAACGCATACATTCTTCAATATTTCCACACTTGTCAAGACTTTCCAGAAACGGCTTCCTCGGTTTGCTATTGTTCCATGATCAGATTGTTTCGACGTTCAACGCAAGGGGTGCTTCAAGGCAGCTTGGGAACGCCGCCCGCATAGCTATCGCGCCAATTAGCATTCACGATGCAATGGGATCATTTATCATACTGGGGCGGTGGACCAGGATCCCCATTAACGCGATCCACAAGTCAGTGACTCAGTTTTCGCGACATTTCAACCTCCAACTTGACTTATACAACTTTCTACGATTCAAAATGCCACGTATCTCAAACGAAGCTAATATTCAGTTGGCTATCCAGGCTAAACGTCGAAACCCAGAATTAAGCTGGAACTAGCTCGAATTAATCTACAAAGCTGCCGCTAGTACCATCAAACGAAGATACAACAGAATTCAACTACAGCATATTGCTAACGCTACGAAGCGGAATTTGACTACGATGGAAGAAGAGACGATTGTTCGACGGATACTTGAGCTAGATTCGCGAGCATTTCCTCCCCGCCTTCAAAACGTGACCGATATGGCCAATATACTCCGACGCGCGCGACGCGCCACCCGTGGGCAAGAATTGGGTTTCAAATTTCGTTAACCGACAACCACTCCTCCGAACGCGTTTAAATCGTCGAATTGACTACCAGAGGGCATTTAACGAAGATCCCACCGCATATCCCGCGTGTTTTAAGCTTGTTACCGACATAATAGCGAAATACGGGATCACGCGGGAAGATATATATAACTTTGACGAGACAGGGTTTTAATAGGCATGATCATGACTGGAATGGTCGTTACAAGTGCCAAACGAAACGGCAGGCCTAGATAAGCCCAGTAGGGTGATAAGGAATAGGTTACCATTATCCAAGCTATCAATTCTCAAGGCTGGGCAGTACCTCCATTTATCATCTTCGCGGGGAAAATTCACCTTTCCTCCTGGTACCGCGACGCTGCCTTACCACGCGACTGGAAGGTTTCTCTGTCCAGTAATAGTTGGAAAACTAATGAATTGGGTGTAGAGTGGGTAAATCATTTTAATCTATATACCCGGAGCCGTACAAAGGGTACAAAACGTCTTTTGATTCTCGACAGCCACGAAAGCTATCACTCGATGGATTTCGAGGAATCCTACAAAAAACTAGGAATTGTTCCTCTTTGTATGCCTGCCTATTCATCATATCGGCTCCAGCCTCTCGATATAGTACCTTTTAGTGTGTTAAAACGCGTATATAGTGGCTATATTGAGGAGCGAATGCGAAAGCACTAAACCCACGTTACGAAGGAGGATTTTCTATCTGGGTTTCTAGAGGCATCTAACAAGGCAATGACCGAATCTAATATTCGGTCTGGCTTCGAAGCGGCTGGACTTGTCCCATTGGATCCAGAAAGGGTCATTTCCTCGTTAGATGTTGCTCTAAAAGCCCGTACACCGTCGCCCGACCCTCAATTGCCGGCTGCTACTTGGACTTCCAAGACTCCTACTACCACCCTGGAGGCTACTTATCAATCAACTCTTATTAAGACTAGTGTCCGGAGGCATCAAAATAGCTCCCCAACCCATATTTTGAGCTCTGTAAACTCAATTGCGAAGGCTACTCACCTAATAATGCATGAGGTTGCCCTTCTGCGACAAGAGAATAACAGAGGACTAGTGGCACACAGTCCACTGGCGGAGCCCTAGTTACTCCGTAACAATGTATACTACTTAGATAGGTAACATTCTACCGTTACACCTGACGTAGGTTAACTTAGCTCAATCAACATCACAATCCTCCATGAGAGAACAAGGAGCTCCATGAGACTAACCACCTATTAAGCAAACGCCGCAGAACTAAAAATAAGCAATTACAGCATGGAGGTACAATTACTATAGCTGATTCACAAGAGCTACGGGAAGCCAAGGGTGATATCGAGGCAGTAGAGGGCGAGGAAGACAAAAGTAATGGTCCAAGGAAAAGGATCGCAACCAGTGCAAGACGTTGTGGTGTCTGCGGGGGGACTGGGCATAATGCGCGGACTTGTCAAGTAGAATTAGAAACATCTAATAAATAAGATTCTGCTTAGTTGAATTGATCTGATGTGTTGTGGTGAAGTTATCTTGATTAATATTGAATTGATGGTTGAAAGTGAGTCACTGACTTGTGGATCACGTTATTGTTTATTTATAGGGCAAAAGATTTAAATCCCTGCACAACCCCTGTAAAGATCTATTTACCCTGCAATTTCCCAGACCTCCCATCGCCTTCCCAATCCATCAGACCCACGGATCGGGCCTATCAAGCTATCCATGGGGGCGTCGGCACCTTCTCATATTATGTCCAGTCTCACCACAACTAGAGCATCGCGATTGTGAGCTCTGTGGAGGGCGGCGAGAATCCCCCTTTCGAATCCTCTCTTTGACAGGGCGTTCTCGAGGTACTCTAGTAATTGGAAGATTACAAGGGTCCTCTGGCTTGAGCTTGAGCTCAGAGACGTTGATAGCTGGCATCGGGCTACTATACGTGGCAGCCCAAACTGTCGGAGAGAGAGATTCTGGTAGATAAGGGGTTATATCGTCCCCTCCTGCTAGTATTACGGTAATGGCATGCCCGCAAGGGATTCCATTCCTTTGAAACCGACGGCATGAACATGTCCCTGCTGTCAAATTTACAATGCAAATAATGCCGTCAGGCTGTACTACTCTTGCTTCCGTTGGTGACGAAAACTGAGCACGATTACTAGACGCCCATTGCCTCCCTTCTCGTAATTTCCCTTCAACGAATGGGGTAGCTGTCTTCCCTGCCTCTATCAACCGTAAAGCAGATTGAAGCCGAGCTGCCCTCTTCTCCATAACCCGGTGCAATATTGAGTCGAGGAGAGCAATAATAGGAAGTTCCCGATCAAGCTTTAATACTACGTTTTGTGACTCGACGATATTACTTGTATCGTGGCCATATCGACGCCCAGAGAATAGCGCCTCGGCCGAAAGCGAAGGGTTTGCCGCCTCTAGATATGCCGCAGCTTCGGGCTTTTGTTGTCGAAGCTTGTCTAAAGCTGCCTCGTATTGGGCTAGAGGTGGTGCTCGGGCGATAGTCCAAAATAAAGAGGCAAGCCCTCTCCCGAACTTTCCCGTGAAATTCTCCTTAATATGATGACAGCACCACGCCCCTGTAGCTAACGGACCGAGGACCTTCTCCGAGTCAAGGAGTCCTTTATCTCGGTCTGATAGAATTGTGCTCTGCTCTGTTGAGACCTCTGGGATAGCCCAACGAAGGTGCTGTAAAAACCATGTCCAAGAAGACTTATTTTCCGACTCGACTACCGCCCAGGCCAAGATAATAGTCTCGCCATTCGCATCGATCGTGACGGCAAGCAATAGAGTAAGGATGAAACGACCCTTTAAGAAGGTTCCGTCGATAACGAGGAGACGTCGGCAAAGGGTATAAGTAGAGCGGCTCTCAGCAGGGCAAATGAAGATTCGTTCAAAACGTTGATGGCGGTCTCGAAGTAAGTCGATATGGATAGCAGGAGAGATGGTCTCTAAGAGCTCCTTATAAGCGGATAGTAACTGGAAGCTATGTCGTTGCTTGCCAATATCTCCGTCGAGTAGTCGCAACCGGCACTCTTGAGCTCTCTTGTAGTCGATATCTTCAGCGAATTGGATACGGAGGAGGTCGAGTATTTGTTGTGGGGGGGTCTGCTGTGTTACTGCAACATTGGCAGCGACAATACGGTTTAACCAGTCTTTCTTAGACGCAGAGGAGAATTTTTGCCTTGCAGCTCCGCTACAACTATGCTCCGTTTCGAGAATATGAATCTGCCAGATATCCTCACTAGGGGAATAGGTTGCTCGGCAGCGCCATAAACAGCCGCTTAACGCAGAGGCACACACCCAGGAGCCACGGGTCTTATCCCGCCGCTCAACCCGATAAGAGAATTTCTCCTTTACAGCCCAGTTGTCGAGGGCAAACGATAGAGTATCAAGGTCAAGGAACTCTTGTCCATCAATAGGAATAGATAATAGGGGTAGCGACGTCATGTTAAGCTGAGGAATAGTAGTCGTATGCTAATTCCAGAGGCATGAAGTCAGAAAGCATGGCGGAAATGTGGAGAGAAAAGCAGCAGAAAAATTGCAGGGTAAATAGATCTTTACAGGGGTCGTGCAGGGTATTTAAATCTTTTCCCCTTATTTATAGGTACAGCGGCTCACCGTCTGATGCGCATTCTGAATAGCCCTTATGTGAAATCATTGTGTGCCATCTGACCGTTTACAATCTCCCATTTGTCGCAGGGGGATTTTAGTTCAACTCTTCAGCTCTCATGGGTATGATATCAAGCCACCACTTTAAGTGGAATGGATGTGGCATCCCTTGCGTTGCTCTCCTGAACGCTAGTGAGCCTTTGACCCCTTACTTGATGGCCATCCAATAATGCAATGGGGTGGGGATATTTGACCATCGTCCACTCAACAACCTCAGATCGTTAGCGTTTTTTTGCACCCAAACTCTGACTTGACGCAATGCTTTGAGTTATCATCATCAAGAAGTTGAACGAGATGATACCCAGCCACCCACTGTTAAGAAAAATTCAACCTCTTTGGTATGAAGAAATCCTTGAGGGAAGGTGGTAATGAGACTCGGACATGTGCGCCTTTCCAAACGTGGATACTGTAACGGGGTAAGGCTGGACATCAGGGAAATAGGTTACGGGGCTAGGAGAAAGTTTATTTTCTCTTCTTTAAGAGGCACAGAGGCAGAGTAGGACACGAGTCCCCCATCTTCACGCATCATCATCCTCATCTTCATATCATCATCTCCTTCTTATCTATATCTTCACCTTCGCTTTTCAGTCAGTTATTTAGTTATTTTAGTTATTCAGCTTATCTTTACGTTCGAGATCCTATTATCACGATACGAGTATCAGAGGCACATCCGACCAACTCGCGCACCAGACGTATAAGAGCGAAGCTCTTATAACCAGTACCACGATCTTCGTCTGATAAGACCAACAGATGGGATCTGTTGGTACTGGAGCCGTCTGTTCAGTGTGTTAGGTGGTAGGTATATCCTACTGACCGCCTGACCCCGTTTCAATACTATACTATCGGTTAGTCGAGACCAGTGATAATGATGTGACTCTTAAACCATGGACTAATCCGTGAAGACAGTGCTGTAACTCTCCTGACCCCTCAGCAATCGGGAGTCGAAAGTTTCTAAGGTCTTTTGAGTGTTCTCGATGTTGGGGCACTCTATGGGAATGTTTGCCGGATCGAAGAATGCCATCTCCTTTTTCTTCTCATCGGGTGAGCACTTAAGTGAAGCGCCTACGAAGACTGACTATCATATAATACTCACCATTGTGTCTTATGACAAGACCTTTTGGCAGTGTCTGGCCTTCGCCGAGTCTTCGTCATTGAGTCTACTCGGTACGAGCACAACGACGAAGGTGGTGCCAATAATGGTGACTTGGAACCAACACCACTACAAGAAATACCGGAGATACACAGTAGCCCCAGGATCAGAGAGGACTGGCTTAGGCCATGATTTCCCAATATCCCACCACAACAGACATACAGTCCCCACAATGAGGTCTTTGGCAAGCCCTTCAATGAGGGTCCGGGAAAGAGGTTGGGAACTTCATCTCAAGAGATGATTTCTCCATGTTTCTCAACGACTTGCGAAGCCTTTGCCTCTACTATTAGTCTTTAACTCTCATCCTTCATTAAGAAATTCGCTCTTCGCCCGCGATCCTCTGTTCCCAGAATGTCCACAGCGAATGGATGAATGTTACTGTTGGACCAAATTGACCGTCAAAAGACGAGGGACCCACTCGCTGTAGAATGAGGTATTTTTGGTAGTTATAAGGTCTGACAGTTACCAAGACCTGTAGGCTTGTGGATCCAAATCAGAGGATCTGATTGGCTACATCGTTGCTCTTAAGCAACATTTCGTAGCTTCGGAAATAGCTGAGCTTTCTAGAAAAAACACCATCAAAAGAGATCTGAACCACACAACTGACTTGGCACGAAATCAATCCTGATATTCGTGACTTGAGTCCTGTGAGGTCAGATCGACCAGGATACACAGGCTCAACCGACATTAGCGTGCGGTTTCTCTGCTAATCCCTCACCAAATCCTTTAAAATATTGCTTGTTTAACGAATCAGCGCCGACTCCTCTGTTACCTTGAGGGCAGCGTGGCTGCGCAATGTTCCAAATAGACTTTGATACGTGTTAGTATCCCGGAATCCAACCGACAGAGGGGCATCATAATTGCAAAAGTAAATTTGAACCTGCAGGCAAATTTGCACATGTTCGCAGGTGATATTTATTGTGCGCAATGTAGGTTCAAGATGATTGGGGTTCTATTATGCACAAGGCGTAGCGAGTTAATAAAAAGACTTGTGACGAAGTCTCAGCTATAAAAGTATTGACCTGAAGTTTCTTGTGCGTTTCTAGTCTGTTTGGTTTCCCATTTAAACGTGGATGTCAAAAACAGCGTTTATACTGAGGGCGGCATACACAAGAGTATCTAGGTCATTTTCCTCAGCACTATCCCTCATGAAGTCTAACGCTCTCCAATAAGATCGTAGGGCGTACTTACTAGCGTCTGGACTAGCTCAGCGGCATTTGTAGCGCCAGTTTTTCGAGTCCAATGGTCCCTCCGTGTTGGCCGTTAACGGTAAAAAAAATGAAGTTCAGACTAGTCTAGGAGTATCTGTAGTGTCGTTTGTTTTGCTCCATGGGGAAGCAAAGCCGACATTGGTCCACATAATGTGGTGATAGCGTCCAGATGGGCCGGAGGCAGTCATTACTCTCTGCTTCTCTGCTGAAACAGCTGTAGCATGGAGCAGTTTTTCCGGTGTTGGTTTCACTGCACGCATCTCGACGGACCTGGAGGGACACTTTAGGTTTTCCACTCGTGCGATTCACCAGAGCTGATACCGAGGTCAATACTATCCTACCAGGCTTGAGGTTGACACTCACATATATAAGAAGCAGCCTTTAAGTCTGCTCCATGGTTGAACAAGCATTATCCCTATCAATCCGAACAAGTCTTTCTACACATACAGCCTCACACCCTCCACCTGCTAGTCTGTTCTGTCCCATTCGTCCTCAGGATGCGCGTTAACAGTTTCCTGGCCATGGCCAGCTTCCTATCAGTGGGCCTCGGCATGCCGGCATCTTCGCCGCAAAGCTGCGATATGCTGGCTGGGGTCATAGAACGGATCCAAGATGCTGATGCCGTGTCCATGTGCGAGAACCTCATGGCGAAGGCTCGGGAGGAGATTCCCGGTAGGCCGTCGGTAAATGCTCCCCAGACGACAGTGACGACCACTGTGACAACAGGGACAACGGTGACCGCTGTGACCACACCAACGACAACGACCACTGTGGTGACATCTACTAGGTATGAGACCCTTTCTTCTGTTTTCGTTTCCCTCGACCTTGAAATGCCCGTGTTTCAGCAGGATTGCTAACCATGCCAGTACGACAATCACGACGACCTTTACGACGGTGAAGACAATAACTAAAGCTGACAACACGAAAACTACTACGACTTCAACGATAACGGTACCGGGTACGAACCCGACCACCGTCACCCGCCTGCAAGAGCTGAAGGCCAGGACCACGGCCGAGGCGCACCTGATGGCCGAGGACATTCCCTTGGGGCTCAAAGACATCCCTACCTCAGACCTCGAGGACGCCTGTATGTGCGTCTGCACGATCGACGGAGGCTGTCCACCGCGAAGACCTACCGTCACCGTCACCACCACTGTTACGGGATCCGTGACGGTCACCACTGGCGGCACTGCCACCGTCAGCACCTTCACCTCGGCTACATCTACCAACACTCAGTCCGTCACTGTGACCACCACTATTTCCTCCACCAGCACTATTGTCACTACTACTACTACCACCACGGGCAGCGGCCCTACCGTGACGTGCGGATCTTGCGAATCCACCAATAACATGGCACTGAACGGCGGCTTCGAGAACTCGCCGCTGACAGGCAGCGACTGGACCATCACTGCTTCCGGCGCCCCCGTCAGTGACATCTGTACTGACGCCGACTACGCCTTCGATGGCAGCAAGTACCTCACCTATCACGCTGTCCCCGCTGATGGGCTCTCGCAAGCCACCATCCGCCAGATCATGGCTGTCTGCCCCAGCAGGCCCTACATGCTCACTTTTGCCGTCGGCGCCTTCAACGATGGCATGGAGGACATCAACCACACCACCGAGTTCTTGGTCATGTACAACGGCAAAACCGTCCGCAGCGCCGACCAGCCCTGCTCCACCATCGCTCAGTGTCCCACCTACAAGAATGGCATGTACTGGCGTACCATTACCATCAATCTGCCTTCTACCAGTTCCACTGGCAATTGCAACCCCATTCTCGACTTCATCTTCCGCACCCCCTCATCTAACCTCAATCAGGACTGGTACTACGGCCTAGATCAGGTTAGTCTTGTAGGTGCCTAGATGAATATACTGGACGGCAACTCAGGGGAGGGGGCTTAAAACTACACACCACGATCTCTATTCTTTCCAGGTTGACTGTTGCATAATCATGTGCATATGGATACTGGTAATTAAATATTAATTCAACACTCCTTTTGTTACATAACAAATAAAAAATGGGTTCGTTGGGTATCCAACATGTGTTAAGTTTCATCACGCTCGGCGGCGTACTCGTTTGACCAGCTTCAAAAGCATGATTGGAGGTTCTTTCCACATCATCTTTGGAATCCCTGAACGTGGATATCTGAGACTTGGCTATTCCCGAAACCTAAAACAAAGCCCCAAACCATTCTTACTGATTCAAATCCAGTCCGCCGTAATAATACAACAATGCTGTGTTGGCGTCTGGAAGCAAAACCTTTGTTTATTTAACCCCTATCGCTAATAGGGGTTGCATGATACTCTAGCCAGCACAGAACCAGCCTGTATGACAGTGGATAATCTCCATATCCTCGGCAATATTCGAAGCGAAGGTGGTCTTGATTTATGAAATACAATTCACTTGTCACAGTTGCAAGAGAGCCGTCGAGGCCTCGTCCCACCTTGATGATGTCACAAGAACTCTGCAGATCGGCCCATCATCTAGGCACTGTGTCCGATTTGCGCGCATAAATTGTGAGATATTTCCGATCGAGCTCCCCAGATCCGAAAACTTACAAGATTGGCCAGGAAGAGTTCTATGGCAAGTGTGACCTGGACCATGATTCTGCTATGAGGCCATTTGGTCGGCGCAAAGTGCATCAACGATTAAATCGATCGCGATGAAGGTACGGCCTAATTCTCATTTTATCGAGTAGACCTCTTATACCATAACTACGGATGTCCCATCGAGCCGGTGTATGTCCCAATTGCATGGCCTCTCGAGGCGGAATCTTTCAACCTTGATGAGGCGTTCAAACAGGAAGTCCCACTGACAACCGCCGAAGTGGCCATACTTCCTGAGAAATTGAAGATGTTTTATTATCCATGAGCATCGGTGTCTCGGCTATGCTGACCCGACTGAGGGTGGTGAGTCCTTCATGGTCATGGGCGGCCACCAGGCCGAACTTGCAAGAAAGTGGATACTGATCGGTTGTCTCCAGCCAATGTTGAATTGTTCCACCCTTTGGGCCGGGCCCGTCAACTCTTTGGCCAGAGATAGGAAGTGGGCGGTCGAGGCTCAGGCAAGGGCTACCAAGGCCAGGGATGACTCCACGAGTATCATGGTGGGATCGCATCCACTTGCAACTACGGTTTGGTATCAACTTTTAATGTTTTATAAATCAGACGCCATGAATTTAATTATGTCAATTCGAAGAAGAGGTGTGCATGATGAATTCGCCGGTATTATCGGCGAGCATTTTAGGAGGTTTGCACCTTTGGCGGCCCCTTTTTAAGAAACGGATATTGGTAGCTATTGATTGTTTTGTTCCTGTCTAATATCAATGAAATTCTACAAATCTGGCCCTGGACGTGGCTTTGATATAATTGTGGTCCATATGTCGACAGTTGCAATATAGTCACAAGTTTCAGGCAGTCAAATACTCAAGCAGTTAGCTGCCTCAAGTGCATTTAATTCGTGTATACTAAGTCAATACCTCGTTATGGTAACCGATCAGTAAATATACAAAATATGCACCACACAGAATCCAGCCGTCCTCCATCGAAGACCAGGCACAAATTCGGCTTGATTATTGAGCTAGCGGTATCGACAACAGTCTGTTATGCCTTCCAAGACTCCAACTTGTAGTCGTGTTCATCAGTTTCAATGTCTTAACCTCGTGGAATCAAAGTTAAGCGTGTTATCTCGGACAATAATCTGGTCCTGACCATGGTTCCCGGTGGTGATATCACGCCGCTTTCGTCATTGAGGCGGTTGCACTTACCGTCTCAGTTATCTCTATGCGTTGCGTACCATCCTTGGTAACAACCCACCTCTCCCCACCCGGGTTGGGTTGCTATAATTGAGGTCCGAACCTGAGTTTGGATGCACCCGAGCTAGTTTCTGACCGGAGCATGGTCTAGAAGTTCTTCATGAGTGTACGCAGCAGGGGCAGCGGGGGCAGCAAGAAAGCGATAATGCCAAGACTGACTTCAAGCTAAGGTGATGACGATGACGCCTGTGTAATCTGATGAGGTGTCAGCCAGTGAGAACTTATAAATTTTATAATCGTGTATGAAGATGTATTATACCGTTTTGGAGTGAAAAGACTGAAGTGAACGTAATTTGAGACTTACATGGGTGTCCTTCGGGGTTGTTAGACCTGTCCCAATGCTTCTACAACATGAACCCCAACGCGGCTATACTTTCATGGTACGCATCCCGATGATATAAGTTGTGATAATTTTGTTGCGCCGAGGCATTTGCAGCGTCCTGACAATGATGAAGGCCAGCAGTGCGATTACCCAGATGCTCGACATTCGGCGCGCGCGACCAATCAGGCTAGCCACTTTCAAGGCTATCCAGACGTTTCGCCCCGAATTCGGAAGGCTAGGTCAATCACCTGAGTTTCATTGATGGCGCATTTGACCAAGGGCTACTCCGTAAGCTATACTGTGGTTGCAGGCCGAGCTTTTAGCACCCATATCCGGTACCTGCAAAGACCAGTATAGATCCGCAGAGTTATTTTCTTGTGGTCCAAATTACCTCTGCTTTGTGTAAGAGACTTGGTATGTGGGATAAAAATTACCCAACAGTCATAGTAATTCGAAGGGGATGGCTACGGACAGGGTCGTTCATGGGCCGTGATAAAGAATTAGCAAAAGCGGATAGCTAAGCTCCTTAGTCGCTATTTCGACGACAATCTTTCTCGCAAAATGTGATACTTTTCAAAAGGAAAAGATTGGTCCGTGTGGACATTATCCTCCTCCTGTATCACTCCTGAATCCTCCTAGTGTTAGTATGCCTGCTCGCTAAGTTCTCCCCTTACCAGTTACCTTCCCTAATGTTCTTTCACTATGCAGACCTCCCACAGTCCCTAGGGCAAGATGAACAGCTGGTTATCCCGCCCGGCACCGGTGCTCGTGCCGAACGACACGGTGTTGCCCATCCGGTATTGGGTCGACACGGTGGTGCTGAAACCACGCGTCGTATATGCATTGAGTAGATACAATGCCGCTCTAGACGCACAAAACCTGCACAGCAGCTTGGAAGGGCCTGTGGCACGCTGGAGCTGGAGGAAATTTGGTGCGCGACTTCGAAAAGAAAACGTCGTCACTTAAGATTGAATCCGGGCAACTGGCGCTATACGTGGTATCCTTAAAGGAGGCCACGCTCGTAAGATTCTACTACAATGACACGTCCTTCGAGCTCGTGGCTGGGACCCGCTTGTGAAGCCATGGACACACGTGCACCACGGATGCGAGGACCTAGTTGCTCTACCGATAAGACTCCAGACAGAACCTAGAGATTTCGATCCTCGATGCGACCTAGGCAAAGCCCCAATAGAAACACATGTTCTCGCCGACCACCACCTGCCCATGTCGAACTTAGTAGGCTTCGGCCACCGCAACGCAGTTGACAGGGCCATCCGCGCCAAAGAGAACCGTATCGTGTGTGTCCCAGGGTTATTCAAGCTTCGGTACCAGGCGCTATTAAAACTCGAGGTCAAGGACCAGGATGCCTTCATCGCCGGCGCCGACTGCTGGCCGCGTGGTGGCACCGCCTGACCGTCTCGCCGCTCGTCCTCGCCGACTCCACCCGCACCATCGGCAAGAGCACCAACACCAAGAGGCCGCACACCTCGAACTTGTTCAGTTTGGTTTACACGCTCGTGCCGGCGAGATACAGGCTGGTGCGGCCTTTCAGCGGCACCGCAGAGAAAATACGCCGCGCCATCATCAAGGAGAGGACGAAAGAACAAGTCGAGACTTGCTACGCCTATCAGCGCTAGGCGCTGGGGAGGAGGCTGCCGGCATTTGGTGATGCGGGGATGCACACGACATCCATTCCCAACTGGTGCAAGGCGACTTGTACAAGGAGACACAGTGATATAACGCCGAGCCAAAGCACCGGTCACTCGTGCACAAATACGTAGCAACTATTCAAATGATTGCCATTCCTAGTCTCCATTGATATCGCCTCATCCGTGAGTGCAGTAAGTAGAGTGAATGCTGTGTAAGCCGGATGTTTAAACTCCACTGTTTCATAGTAGCGTCTGAATCGCCAGTCACTCACAGCATGTCCATATGTAGTAATCCATATTCGCCAGTCGCCTTGGGTCACGGCAACACTGTTCCAGCTCATCTGTAAACATGAGCTGTCGCGGAAGAGTCATTGGCCTGATGTTTGTACGCATAGTGCGAAGGCGCAGTGAGAAATCTGTAACGGACGAAGCAACAATAACTGGTGTCTGAGCTTGCGCTTGAGTTGCGAGCACGGCACAGTCGCCAGCTTCCTGCGGTCCACTGCCAATCGAATGAAAAAGAACCTAGTCGTAGATGAGTCTGACCTAATTTTCGCCTGTTGCCATCATCACTCTACTGCGCATTTCATTTGTGTAGCTCTAGGGCGTGGCCAAGCTGAGCGTGGCGGGGCAGGCAAACTTTACCTACAAAGCTATAACCACATATGGTTGGTTGTGGGACCCGACTTGATACTCGAACAGTGTAAGATCCATCCGAAGTCAACAACAAATCGGCTGCGCACCACAGCCCAGCCTAGTTTGGATCATGTTGCGATCTGGGGCAACTAGTTTCCACCCGAGCACAACACTCTATAGCTGACTGCGACTTGTGCGATTCTCTGGGGGATATTGTTTCATTAGTCAGGTGCGGAGGTGAGCATCATTGTCCACGAGTCTGAAATACCTTCGTATCTGCCGCGAAGACGCCGCCGACGATTCTGGTCACTGACAGCGCTTCAACATGACTTGTCAATGTTTCTGATCCAAAGGTAACTGCAACCATTCCATTGCCTCGGTTCATGCTAGCATAAATGTGGCCATTTAGGTACCCATTGCGTCCAGTTGGATTTGCCTAATGTACGTGCGTCGCGACACCATCACGTTTCGGGAATTCCTATCCGCACGACTTCAGATGCACAGCATTTGGATGGCTTAGCTCTCTTCCAGGTTATTTCTAGTTTGTTTCAATTATTCTTTATGTCCACTCGAGATCGTCTTGTTCGATCGATTGTTATCTTTAGAGATCCAAGTCCTTTTATCTTTTTCTCACCCTCACGTTACACCTGCTTTCAAGTTCATCTTCATTAATTGTTTTCGCTCCAGTCGGTCACCATGAAGAAGAGTCGCGACAGCATGGACGAGGTGTTGGTGGCAAGGGACGGAGCCCGGTCGTCAGAAGCCCAGGTGGTTGGCACGACTCAACTCTTCAGCAGCGGCGGGGTGTTGCGCTGCGTGCCCATGCCGACGCCCAACCCAAAAGACCCTATGAACCTGCCCGAGTGGCGGAAGTGGGCTGCTATCGCGACGCTCTCCTTCTTCGGAGCCCTTGCCCTCTCGGCGGAGGCCATTGTCGGCGCCCTTGTCCCCATATTCGTGCTGGAGTATGCGGGGATCGACCCGAAGATCCTCGGCTCTATCGACATCAGCTCTCTGAATCTAGGGTCCGCGAAAATGGACCCTATCAAGTTGCTCTCTACCCTCGGTGGTCCGCCCATTTCTAAAGTCGAACTCATCTCGACTTTGCCCATTCTTGTGAACGGTGTGGCTTCGTACATTCTCGTACCCCTGTCTATTGGCATTGGTCGTCGGCCTGTTCTGCTCTTTTCTGGTATATTAGCATGGACAGGCGGCTTATGGGCGGGAATGAGTACGAGTCTCAATAGCCATTTGGCTGCAAGAGTATTTCAGGGTTTTGGTGTCGGTGCTGTAGAGGCGCTGATCCCTCTGATAATTCAAGACATGATGTTCATTAACCAGCGAAACACGGCTATTTCTCTCATCGGTGCTGGCCAAGGGCTCTTTATCGTCAGTATTGGCTTGACAAGGTAAGTTCACAGGATATTACCCCAACATCTGTCGTCGTTCTAACTCAATCTACAGTCCACTCATCATCACGCGGCTCAGCTGGCGGTGGATCTATTATCTCACTGGAGGTGTTGGTGTTCTCGCTTGGTTCATGATCATCTTCCTCGTCCCTGAGACGCGATGGGTTCGCACTCCGGATGAATTAGGTACGTATACGACTTGGGGCTCAGGAGCACTAGTCCCTTGCCTGGTCATGTTGAAATCTAATTTGTGCTCTTAGCTGGTAAGGAAGTGTACCGTCTACGCCCCGGCGAAACGCGACCGAGACTAGACTACGCTAAGTACGGCTACCGAGACAATAAAACGGAATTTGGGGTCTTCAATGTCAAGACTGAGTGGAAGCTGGCCGGCCGGTCTGTCAACGAAACCATTCGAGCCACCTTCTTCCCCAATGTGCTCTGGGTCATTGCACTTAACTCGGCCTTCGTGGCTGCTATTTCGGCCGCGACGCAGAATGGAGCCGCCATAATTCTCGGTCTCGGTCTGAAATTTGATCAGTTGGGCTTTGTCGTGCTCCCCATCGTAGTAGCGACACCCTTCGTCTGGCTCTTTGGTGGCTTCTTCGCCGACAAAATCAGCAACCTGCACGCTCGACGGAACGGTGGCCGGAGAGAGCCCGAATCCCATCTCATCAGCCTGGTGTTCCCCCTTGCCGCCGGTATAGTAGGCCCCATGTTGTTTGCCTATGCTGGACAAAATGCCGACCAGAAGCCCCTGATCTTCCTGCTGGTTGGGTTCTTCCTCGTCGGATTCGGCGGCTTGACCATGAACACCTTAGTCAGCGTTTACTTGATTGAAAGCTATCCTAACTTTGCGGGGTATGTCTCCTATCTCTATCCATGAATCTAAGCTAATCTTAGAAACAGGCCCGTCTTGGTCACCATGTCCTCCTTCCGGCTCATAGCCGGTTTCCTCCTCAGCTTCAAAGCTGCCGACTGGATCCTAGCCATGGGATTTATCCGGACTTTCCTCATATACAGCGGAACAATGGCTGGCTTCGCCGTCATGCTGCCGTTCGTGTACAAGTACGGCAAACGGATGCGCATGTGGAGCGCGGGCCAGCTCGAGGAGTCCTTCGGCGAAGATAGACCCAAAGAGAAGGAGATGGATATGTACGATGATGGTGCCTCCCAACGTGGAAGTACCCAATTCGTCGACCCACGAAGCATCAGTCGGCCATATGATCCCATGCGCTACGACGGAGCCCAACCTATCCCGCAAGGCCGTGCTTTCTAAACGTGTCAACCCTTTGAAAAGAGATTGAGTTAGGGAGACATAATTACCGAAGACCGTCAAGAATTTGAGGAAGAAAGTCGCATAATTTGCATCGACGCGTTTGCTATTCACTCAGTACTTCCGGGACGTATCCTGAGTTACGCCTTTTACAGCTGGGAATAGATGATCATAGTATTAAGACTGCCGGCAGTAAGGATCCATGACATCTTCGTATAGCTTTTTAATTGATAGGTTTGTTCAATTTTGGGTGTCATCAGGCCTGTGGCTTATGACTTACATTGTGTACCTCGTGATTTCCTTCAACAGTTGGATGAATACAAATTTTTCGTGAGGATTACGAGGAATAGTGTGCCAGGCATTGCTCTGCTCCATCTGTTGAAGTTCGATGTGGCTTGTTTCTTTCGAAATACCCTAGGCAATCTGATCGTTTCACATAAAGCATTGCTTGGGATATCCTTCTATATTCATATGCACTCCATATTAGTGACTAATACGCACAGAGCCTGTCATCCAAGGGGATATACCTATTACCAGCAAATATTTCAAGTACTAGTCCTAGTAGTTATTACTTCACAGGCAGTCCTTCTTTTCTGCCTGTAACCTCATACTAGTGTCTTATCTGCCGTACCTACTGTTGGACCAAATTGACCGTCAAAAGACGAGGGACCCACTCGCTGTAGAACGAGGTATTTTTGGTAGTTATAAGGTCTGACACCTACCTTGAAAGTGATAAGGAAAAAGAATCAATAATTCGCGATAATAAAGACCGGGTAGGTATTTATCGTTGAGTGAACTTAGAGTCAGATAAAAGTTACATAGGTTCATCAGCAAATTTAAGTACAAGATTTAAACAATATTTTCATTATAATCATATAACATAGTCCACAAGCGAACGGGTCACGCCAACTAGCAAAACATGGAATTCAACACGATTTCGCAACCACAACGCCGTAAATCAATTAAAACTACTCAGAATACTCTTGCCCAGATGATTCTATCTCTACATGACAGGTTCGCGCATTATGCCCGGTCTTCCCGCATACGCCACAGCGCCGTTGCCGTGGCTGGCCACGATTTGATCCAGCGCTATTTCCACGCATTTCCTGCTGTACTTGCTGCGCAACGTCCTTTTGATCTTGAAGATCTTGTACGTCTTGTGAATTAAGTGATCCTCCAAGCCCTACTCGTGTTTTTTTTGGCCCTGCGCCGCTTGCTAATTAGAGCATTTGCCTCTCGAAGTTCGGCGACCTCAGCTTGGAGTAAAGCCATCTTATGCATAATACTCCGCGCTCCTTTCGAAAACTGATCGATAGCATCGTAAATTGACATCGGGGAGCTATTTTTATGCCTAGCAATTCGAGATTTAATAAATTCGGATTGCGAAGTAGCCTCGGTTGGGTTGTTTGGCGTCCGAGAAGCCTAAGGAAGGGTTTCCCGCGTAGGGGCCGGGAGGACGTTGGAGTCTGTAATTTCACATCCAGCTTCTCAATAACAATATCTGGGCTTAAAGGCACAATCCCAGCCCCTTCAAAGCCTGCACGAATATTGCTTTCGGTCAGGCTCTTCTTGAACGCGTCGCAAAATGCCGGAAGAAAGTCCTCCTTTGTGATATGCGAGTCGCGTAGCAGTCGGTTTGCCATATCTTCAACAGCACTTAGCCGGGGAGGAAATGCTTGCGAATTTAGCTCAATTATCCTTTTAATAATCGTATTTTCTTCTAGTTTTGTTAAATTCCGACCGTTGGCTTCGATATTGCGACGTGATTGACGTTTTTGAAGACGCGCCTGGAGAGTAGTATTCGAGACTTTGTAGATTGTTGCAGCACGTCGGATACTAAGTGTTGAGTCATTTCTGATAGCCTGAGTTGCAAGAAGTAATTGAGATTCTTTTTGAGCAGAATCCATCGAGAATTAGTTGCGTGGTAAAGTTAGGAAGTTTAGTTCTATTTTTTGCTATGGGCGTGACCCGTTCGGTTGGGTGACCCGTTCGCTTGTGGACTACGTTATCATATCCGACTTTCGGACAGTAGTTCCATTTACCAGAAACTTACTATCATAACTAAAATCGCACTACGTGTCTGATTCTTCAGGTGTTAACACCCTCATCTCCATGAACCATCATAGCCGTCCTTCGAGACCACCACTGCTGGTGCCACCGTGGGTACACACCTGTTTCTTAGATGAAGTAGACGCCGTTGAAGTCTCGGAAGTCTGTAAGTAATTATGCGAAATAGTCTTGTTCTACATACGTGCTACTCGGACATTGGGCCTTTACTCCCTAAATAGAAGGGATACCCAGCCTTTACGTCCTTACAGATATCCTCAAGGCTTCACTCCATTTCTGGCCCAGGCGTTTTGGAACGAGACTGGGAGCGTGGTCATCCAAAGACAGGAGTTAAGCATAGCCAACTATGTTTTACTCCTCAAAAATATATCACCAGAGGCAGGGGGTTTTATAACACGCTCAATGAAGTCATCATTTTCCGATGGAATCTCCCTAATACCATAATAGTCACTCAACTAACGAGTTATGACATGGCACGGTTCCAGGTGCTAGACGTTAGCATCAAGGCTCGGTGGGGCTTTCTAGGAAAAGCATGCTAAAGCAAATACAGCCCGAAACTAGGTATTTACATGTATACAAGAGCATGCCTCACTGCGATAAGTCCGCCCTCTTGTCCAAATCTGGCAACATTCGTGACTCTCTGGGCATTGTGCGGACTTATTTTCACGGTCTTGAACAACAATACTATAGATTTTGTGCGAAGGCCAAAAATAGATATTAACTTATATTTTCTTTTGACTTCTGGCTAGTTCTGGCTTGATGCGGGGTTTTGTAGACCTTTGACCTTGCACTTGACGGTACCTTCCCATCTACCATGATGATACGTGATGCTAGGAGTAAAGATTTTGTCACGAAACACATTGTGATTGTAAAGGCTGTATGGATGGTACGAAAAGTCCTCTGCAGGGTTTATTTTGGCCGAAGCTTTCATCAAAGACCATCATCGCGATGCCGTATAGAGAACTGCGTTTCTCTTCGCTGATCTTCGCTTGCGACTACGCACTGGTAGACCACCGCGTGCAACCTCGACCCAATCCCTCGTATGTCACGAACGACCGCGAACGACTTCAGCAATATTTCCGTTCCTCGTGTCTAACCTGTTCCACATAATGGCCGAGGCAGCCTACCATGCTAAATCTTCGCCCAATCTTTCTCCTCAACTGATTCCTAACTCTCTGCACGGACTCCCTCCCGAGCTCAGCAACCGTCATCCTCGTCTTAGCTACGACCGTTGCAGGCCTCTCCATCTCTCTCAAATCTAGCTCACCTCACACCCGGCAATTCCGCCGGTGGCAGGGGAAGAGTTCACTGGGGACATGACTGTTTTGACAGTCGCATTTTGATAGGACGAGATTGATACAAAATAATTGCCTCGAATAGAGGAGGATGAGTACCCTGGATCTGGGGTAAGGGGAAGATCGTCGCGCCCAGCCGCACGATTTTCAAGACATTGAGGGGGGAGGGGTGGGTTCATCATGAGAGTCTTTTGACGGGTATTTCATCCCTGAGACCAAGGAATGCAAAGATTCGGAAAACAAAATCGCCAGGTGTTGAATGACGCATTCACTGACCCTGAATTTGATTTTCGTGGGTTGGACCAATGGAGATGCTGTGATGGCGTTCCTAATTGGATCACGACGCCTGATGTTTGGGCGTTGACCCAAAGAATAACCAGGGGTACCAACATCCAGTGTAGTGTTATTGAAGATTATCCCGTGGCGGGATGAAGATTACATATAAGTGTTTGGGAAATCCGGATATCGGGCCTGCACACTCTGTTGGCGTCGCAGCATTCTCCTCAAACCGCTCGACTTGCACCCCATATTGTGATCACCTAACTGACTGTTGTGGTCAAAATTAGTCGACGACGTGCCAATTACTTGGTGGCAGAGCTTTTACGAGGAGCAAGTTGTTATTATCACCCATAGCCCTCGCTGGTCCAGCTCAGATTATCTTTGGCCTGCGTGGACGATCTTGAACCATTGTAATATTACGGAGAGCTATGAGTCTAGTTTCGACGCGGGGTTGACTTCAATCTGATATAACTAGCTTTCACACCGTGCGGTGACATATTTGGTTGAGTGTCACGTTGAGCGTCACGCGGCAGAACCCTAAAGCAACCGAGCAATGTCCTGACTCTATTTGGGTTCGAAAAACATCTGGGCACGTGAAACCAAGGGCTCGGATCAATCTCTTACATGGGGAACTGTCAGTAGTTCAGATGAACGATCAAGATGTGGATTTGGACAGTTTAGATCAAGTACAGAATCATTGGGCCAAGACATTAGTTGGCCATGCGAGGATAATACGAGCGGTATTCGTCATCATGATGACTAGCCCATATGCTGAGGGCCAGGTGACCGGCTGATGCTGGTCGCTGGGCAGCAGCATCTCTCATCTTAGAGGCGGTAGGTTCGAATGTTGGCGGAAGAGCGGAAGACGGGCACTCTGAACCCGATGCTCACGCTCACCTCGGCATGCCGGTTGATTCAGATATAGGGGATACATACCAGTGGTTAGTGCGATGATGAAGACTCGATGCTAGCTCCAAGAGATGGAGTCATCAGTCCGTCATTCTGGTTTGACAGGTGTTCAAGATGCAAGCCAAGCCTCCAGCTTGGAATGTACGCCACTCATTCCAACAGCATCCGTCCAACCCGGATGGAACGCCGTCTGTCCAGTATTAGCGCTATTTCCCAGACGCTCGCAACCATCACGCCACATCGTCCCATGATGTTCGAAACCACAAGCACGAACACGTGAGCGTACGCCATAGTTGCTGACAAGCCTTTTGCCGGGCGAGGCGTCTCCATGTGAAGCGTGCTTAAATACTAAACCACCTCGAGATCGTGGTGGCCGTTGTGATCGCCTCGTTTCCGGAATCTCGGGGTGCCAGCCTCGACGGTGCTCGATGCAGGATGGAAGAAAGCCTGCTTCTGACTTGGCGCAGTACTTAACATTAATGCATCAACGGTCAAACCGCGCCGTTTTCCCAGTGCACGAAGTACACGAAGCTTCCAGCTGGAATTGACTAATCAGCATGCGTGTCTGTGTTTACCGTATATGTAGTGTGTTTGATGTTGACTTTCTGTCTCCAGTCAGCAACTCTGGATGGACTCGTCTAGACCACCTGCAATCTCGAATGCCGAAAGACTAAATAAACGGAGCTACGTGTCAAACAACTTGCCCACGCCCTGTGAAAGGGGGCCTTGCAGTGGACAGACCAGTTCATCAATCTGAAGATAGGTTTGGTGGATGCATGCGAATCTCGGAATGATCAAAAAGTACCGCGATGGGTGCATCCTAGTTCCTGCTCATTTACTCGCAGGAAACAAATTCGAAAATAGACCGAAACCGCGATGTTGGGGCTGTGCCAGGACGTTGAGGTCATCAATAATCAATAAGAGCGTACAGCCGACCTAGACGAGCTGAGGGACTTCTTGCAGTAGCCCGACAATGGTTGCAATGAACGGATGATGTTGAGGAAGAGTTCTGTTTTCATTGTCCATCGTCGTTCCATCATGAATTGTAGTCGCCGTTATTGATCTGCCCAGATGACAGGCGGTCCAAGCCAAGGTTTGAGCCACGGGTAGAGAGAAAGAATCTCGGAGAAATAAGACCAGGCTCGAGACCACTTCCCGCGTTGACAGGCATTGCGGCGGGGAGAAACGTGGAAAGAATGCTCGACAGTTTGTACCCATTTCTATTTGTTTCTGGACTCCAGCTCTCGGTTTGAGAAGGCCAAAACTGAAACGAAACGGCGGATGGGGAGAGATTACCAGGCACGAAACCCAAGAGAGTATTAAACGGTTTATATTGACTCGACGAGAAAAACTAAGTCTTTACTCCGTACGATGCTGCCAGTGAGGACGGACTCAAGAGCAAAGTTAGTGAAGCGTCTGATGGGGAAGATAAGCTTTGCCAGGATTTGGTTGGGCGGTACCGGGAGGCCTGTCAGGGTTACATTTACTGCTTCATCCTTGACACGGGGGGCTGGTGGACGTTACCCAGGCTGTTGCTATTAACAATCTAACTGATCAAATCCGAACTTTGAATGTGCAGCTTTGACATGCCAATTTTGCTATGGCAATTAGAGATGGCCATATCTTTGTGGGGAGCGGATGACACGAGTTGCACAACGTACGGAGTCTGGCTCGGCGGGCGTCGTGCAAGTCTAACTAACACCTACAGCAACATCCGGCCCCCTGGAATTCATCTGGAATATCGGGGCGTAAATCATTGCCGAAAAAACGGTCGTCGGTACAACAGTGGCATATGATAGGCAACACTTTGAAGCGACATGCGTTATGGCATCAAACGCTCATCCGGAACGTCGAGGCGAAGCGACTGAATAATCCCATACGCAGGTTTACCTACGTGGTAGGCCGCGATACCATCCCGGGCACTTGACCTGTCGATCAATCAGTTTGGATGCAGATCATCCAACGCAGCACTGGTATGCACTGGGCAAAAATAGAAGCAGGCTTCATGCTGCTGAGGGCAAGGTTTAAACTATTTCATTGTGTGCTTGCTCAGATATACGAGCTCAGATATACGACTGAGTCGGCCATCATGCTTTCAGTTCAGCGTCCGAATAAGCCTCGGTGCCAGGCTGCAACAAAATAGCCGCCGTGTGGTGACGGATATGTTTGCGATGGACCAAGTATTACGGTTTGATTCTCGGCAGTCTCCAGACGGTTCCACGCAGCTGACGGTCTGCCAAACCGACGACACAGTTTTCTTGGGTAGACCTGGTGATGCACAGTACTCCGTATTCTCGGTCCTAAGCGTGCTTTTCTTCCCAGCCGAGCTTTCGTTGCCGGTCGGGCCTCAATCGGGCAACTCATGAAGCGACGGTGGCGAAAGTGTTGCTGCAGTCTCTTCTAAATGCTACAGCAGTGTGATAGAGCAATGAAGAAGGTGGGGGAGTGAACAACGTCTCCTAAACGGCCTAGTGGGAAGAGAAAACCGAGGCTCTTCATTGCCAACAAAGCTCTGCGGGCTAGGCTCCAAACACTGATCGCCGCAGGCGAGATCCAAGGAGCCCCGGTAAAGGATCGTCACCATACGTGCAAAGCAACGTTCTGGATCGAGGATTTGGCCGTTTGATCGGAGCCCAGGGGTTACCAGGGGTCCGTTAAACCTATCGCAGAACCGTATGCTTGGCCGACTGATGAACCGTCTGTCACACAATATCGTGATTGTTGATTAGACTGGCAAGACTTGCGGCTAAGCTGGATTTGTGCATGTACGACTTGGGCCGCGTTTCGCCTCTCATCTTAATTGTCACGGTGCGTGGCATTATTACTTGTTCTCCGCTCTCCATCGTCGATGCCAGTGTCAAGAGTGTCCTAGCAACTGGCCACTAGCCCTAGCGGCCGAGGCAGCAGCATTTGTCTCCATGAGAGGGATATCGCCCAGCAATCGAAAGGTGGAGGGACAATCGTGTTTCAGCCCACTTCGCACTGGCAAATGCGGCTTTGTTCATGCTGCCAATATGTCTTTGCCATATGCCGACATAACATCGAAACATGAAACTTGTCCACCTTGAGGCCGCGTGCTGCTTGATACACTCGGCCAAAGGGGGGGGGTGTTGGTGGTCTCCTATGTGCACATTCTTTAGATGGCACTTGTTCCCCCGCCGGGTACTCCACGAGTTTCTCCCGCAAGACTGTCACCTGCCAAGGGTTACAAAGGGATCACGATTCGCGGTAGAGATTGGACGGGGGAATACATGCTCCCCATAGCGTGGCCAGATGACCGGTAGTTGGTAGAGAGCGAGATAAAAAGCAATTTAGTTCCTCCCCACTAAAGTTGATAACTGCCTTTCGTCTTTCGTCTCTGCAAAACATCTGCAATTCAAACGGCATAAAACGGGCAACTCGTTTCCGTTGGCAACTTCACCCACTCACTGCCCGCAGCACCAAGCCAGCACGCACAAGCATAAGCACGTACATTATTATTGCACAAGGCAACCCGGCATCTTCTGCTCCAGTTTTTGGCTGTCATCCCCATTTAGACCCCAGCACCCTGTCGCGGGCTATGAACTGTGAGCCATAATAAGCCACCAAATCCACATCAATAAATAAAACAGTACAAGCCATTGATTCCAGGCTCCTCCACCCCCCTTCCTGCCGACCCCCCGACGGATCCGCACCAGGTCCCAGAAGCAAGAACCAGTGGAATTCTGGCCCAAGACGACTCTCGAAAGCTCTACGTTACACTCTTCTATCAGCGACTGGACTCGACGCAAGCTAGTTAGTCCCCCACCTGGTATTGGCCTGCTCGTTTTACTGTATCTGGTCTGCGACACGACACGAACATAAACGCCCAGCCAGCCACATTCTCGAATAGAAAATCAATCAATCTCTAGAACGCTGTGTTTGTCCGGAACCACTTCCCCTAAAAGCAACCCTTGGCTCGTGCAACTGAACGATCCAACGATCAACCGAAGCTTCCCCCCATTCTAACTCCTGCAATTTCATATAAGCTCTGGAATTCCCCGGCCTAAATCTACCGGAGCAAACTACATCATACGCACGCACACCAACAACAGGCTCGGAGACGACACACACATATATACACGATGGCCGCCCGACCCCCTAAGAAGTCCTTTTCGAGTTCTTCTTCCATGTCCTCGGCGAGCAGCTACTCCTCTTCCGACTCTGACGTCTCGACGATATCTTCTGTCCGGCACAGCATGGATTATTCGCCACGACCCGTCGCCTCCGTGGAGGTGCTGCGCTGCATGCGATGCGCGAGCTCGGTCGAGATGACCTCGACAGACGACCCTTCCTCGACAGGCATGGTCCGCGTCGGCACCAACATCTACTATTGCTCGCGGTGTGCCAGGATTGTTGGTTACAAATGAGCATCGCACTACTGCCGACATGCGTTCTGCTACAACAACACGATTGTGTAGCAACTCGTTTACCGAAAAGCCGGATTGACACGAACGGACCAAAAAAAAACCACTACCACCAATACCAGCACACTAACAAGCCGCTTCACGTTGTAATAGCTTCAGCTCTCACATCAGAAAGAACACTGGCAAGCAGGGCATTGCACCACGGTCTTGCCGCATCACCAAATAACTTCGTGGCTTACAAATACGGCCAACGGAAGGTCTAGCCAAGACCACATGCAGTCACTCGCTGCACGGCGACTCATGAAGAATCCCTACTGCGCCCTACCAGACGAACTCTCGTCCCCACGAGAACGGCGAGACCGGCAACTCTAGGCCGCTCACGGGGCTGAAATGCCCGGACATTCGCCATGGCAGATTTTTTTCGTTGGGCACATGGCAACCACGGCAGAGTGTGTTTCATCGGACGGAAGTCTAAATAGACTCGAACTAGGAACCCGCTGTCATCGGGCTGAGTGAAATACCCGGTTGGGAACAGAGGCCCATATCTCTCCGAACAACCCAAGCAACCAACACAATTCCGTTGCGGTTATCCCAGGCGCATCTACCGCGCAGTTACACGGTCGATATTCAGTCCCCACTTTCTGCCTTCCCGCCTCAATGCGCCAGCCTTTTATCCCCCTTTGGAAAACCACGACGACGACGACGACTGCCTCGAAATTCGACTGACCTGGCCTCAATTGAGCCATGCCGAGATTGGTGCGGCAATTGGAGAGTAGCGGGTTGCGTGTTTGCAAGCAAGCAAGCAAGTGGACTCTCGTGAAGCCCACGTCATCTGCAGCGACACCAATTCCGTCTCTCACCACCCACCAATGAGCGCCGCATCGTGCCTTCTTCCATGGTCCAATCACCGTCCACTTCATCGCTTCGAGCAATTAATGCAAGAAAACATATTGCCACCCTACCAACTTTTCTTTCTGACGTCAATCTGCCGCGCCGCCAATAACGGCAGCAGCTCTTGGGGGCTTTGTGCAGGTGCAGCATGCAGTCATTCACTGCCTCCGCCATGTCGGCGCTTCTCTTGCCCTTCCAGAACAGGTTCACTTGTTTGGTTTTCCGGGGGGCTTTTCACATTTGGCCGAGTACGGGGAATCTGGGAACTACTTGACATTTCCTTCTATTTTCATTTCTTTGGACACGATTACGGAGGATACCCTTTTTGATTATTGGTTCATGATTATTGGCTGCTTGTATTTGCATTTTCCTGGTGTCTAAGGACTTCTATCCTCATGATGGGCCGCTGTCGCTTTTCAACTGGTTTGCTACGGAGGTTTCAAGGACACAAACTCATTTAGACAAGAGGACATGGCACTTACACAATCGGGAAAGGCTGGGTTGGGCCGGGACTGGGCAACAGTGCCTGGGAAGAATGGCTGGGGGACTCTCAGCACCGAATTTGTTATTTTAGATACCCACAGCGTTTTGCTCTTGTTATCCGAATTCCTTCAAAGAAAAATTTGAAAATCCCATCAACTTGACATTATCTCTATATGTGCGCTATGATGAAATTAGTTGCATGTCCGAGAAGCGAGCAACATGCATGACCGAGCAACCCATGACAGATACGAGCATCTCGACTCCACCGTTTTAGCCGGCTTGAAACATCAGATTATTCACTATGATGTGTGTTCAGAATGTCGAGATGACTTCAGATCAAATCTTTAGACCACATGTCGTGGGGTATAGCGGTTCAGCCAGCATCTCTAGCATCTCTAGAGACAAGCACGCAAGGCCAACACGCCTGGGAGCTCTCCCTGGAGGCCTCGAACTGGCCTTTGAATGTCGATCTTTGGGACAGAACCTTGTTCGGTTTCACCCTACCGATCGGCGGAACAGCGGAGTTGGATTTCAAGATTAACAAATATCAGATTTTCAGCTTGAAGCCTTGCATTTGCACAGGCGTCTCCACTGCAAATCAGCAGATGTATCCACAATTTTCCAGCTCAGCTCAAGCCTCCCAGAAGTCTAGGACGTAGATAAGACCTCAGTCGGCCCAAATTCCTACAAGTCCACTGCATCAATCCATTGCACCACCACCACGCACCGCCGGACTGCTGCTTGATGTGTCATATCTCCATATGAAATAGCAAGATGTCATTGTACAATTTGGAATTTTCCTTTTGACCGACCGTCTCGGCAGGTGTGATAAATGCGACTACCCCACTCTGAACTTCCAAGCCTTGGCGGCGCAGACCACCTTCTAGCTATCGTCACGTTGTCAGCGGCATCGTAAAAAGGGAAATTTTGATTTGATAGGTACAACGCAATCAGCAGAGCAAAAAAGGGCCCACCCGCGCTCTAGCCGACAGATTGAAGATCAGGGTCCCGTTGCGCCCTGCGGGTCGACATCATCGGGCTAGGGCCGTGGATACTTGGTCCATACATAGTGTCGGAATGGCGCACAGCCGAAATCAGCAGCAGCACAAGCCAATTTTGCAAATGGAGATGCAAGCACCGGCCTACACTATATCGACCAACGTGCCATGTAGCATCCATCGCCATTGTCACTATTGACGGGGGCGCCAGGCTCTAGCGTGCCTGCAATTCTAGTAGTAAGGAACGACAGGTGTGATGCACAGGCCTCAATCGTTACACTTCCTATGCCGCGCTCAATCATATTCGATACGTGATCAGCCACGTTACCGATCTTAGCAGCTTAAATCGCGATGCGTGCTGTCACTGGCGATGATGACGCCGTCTTGCAACGACGACAGCTTCACTTCCCTAATCTAGTGCGACCGGCCGCACGATCCCAACGACAGCCCATCGATGGTCCAATGACGATGGCTGGGGGATAGTTAGCGTCGGCCATCTTACGCCATGGATCAGCCAAAACCTGCTGTGCCCTCACCATTGCGTCGTTTGAAATTTCTGGAAGCTTCTTGGGTGCAAAAGAAGACGGACCATTAGTATACCCCAGGTCCCTAAAACCAAAGAAAAGAGCGACGTCCCAAAACGACATAATAGCAATACGCAAGTGTGCTGTCACCATGGTGATATCTGCTATATCCGTATATCTCCGAGGATGCCGAGGTGACCCCGCATGCATCAGGGAATGATCAACCAGAGAGGTCTTGCACCGAAACCCCAACCCAACTAAGCAACTAAGTTAATTTCAAACACGTCGACGGTAGTCACTGCCTTGAGACGATCCAACCAATGCATACGAAACCGGTCGAATCATCCAGAGCCGCAGTCGACAATTTGTGACTTCCCACTTGCTACGGGTAAAACGGGCAGGGTCTTCAATGGATTGCTGTTGCGGCAAGTGCACACACATGCTTCTGTACTGAACACCTGGTGAAGTCTTTACTTCACCTCATCTCACCTCACAAGTCACCATACTACCACCCGACTACCACCCCGCGGACAACTGCTGCAAACTCCAGGCAGGATAGGCAACGAGTCATGCGACTAAGCTTGAAAGTCTAGGCCTCGACTGCGACTGCGGCATTTTTGTTTCAACAGTCGCATAATGTTGTACAATGTACGTATTGTTGCATCGGGCGGCGATTCCGCACTCTTTCCGCTTGCTTTCCGCTAGCGGTGGACCTGGGCAACTAACTGGGCGTGCTTTTCTCTAATATGGCCTAGGGCGTTGCAATTAGGTACGCAGAATCTGCCGCTGTCGGCTCAGAACATCGTCCCATCTTTGAAGTGCATGGTGAGGCAGTTGTTTAACAAGACCGACCCTCAGTTGCGGGTAATTATTGCTCGGCGTCGCGCACAATGTGGGGGACATTTCGTTCCGAGATAGCTACGGTGAAGGTCCTCCATGCCAAACAATCTAGCATCTATTTCTATTCGTGGAATCTTTTATCTCGTTTCCTACTATCAGATGTGTACTATCGCAGTGCCTGACCCTTCTTATTACCCCAAGGCGCTATTGTCTATATTAGACGCAGGATCCATTGTCTTTGAATCTTTGAAGTTGAAGGGATCTTTGAAGCTAGGCAGACGAACGGTGAGCCCCTTCTTGCACGTCTCCCCTCTGATGCAGAACCGAATGATCTGGCCTTGAAGTAGGCTCCCGGTAAAGCTACGCTTTAGGCGATGCGCCCATTAACTGGGATTCCTACAGATCCTGCGACATGGCACAGTCCGCAAGTAAAGTGTTCAAGCTTTTTGGAGTCCACGTCAGATATGCAGATACCACCACCCGGGAGGGTCTCGCTCTGTCTATGCGAATCTGGAAATCTTGTGCGCAGCCGCGCTCTGCAATCCTGGTAGGTGCACGCGGCTCTCCCATTGAAACGTTTCTCTGGAGCATTGTCGGAAGACAGATGGGACGCGGCCGTGATGAGGTGGTGGCTGCGTCGAGTAGTAGGCAGACTGTCCCGCAAAGAGTTTCAGGTTAGGTGGCTGGCTAGAACCGGAGAATCTTAGCCGAACACTATGGGACGAGTGGCTGCCCCTACCCCGCTTCGGAGTGTCCGCCATCCTGCAAACAGAGTAGAGTAGTCGCAGCATCACTCGGGTAGACAGGCTGTCGCGAGCGGCTCCGTTGTTTGCCGATATTCAATTCGGTATCAGACGATCTTTCCAATAGTAGCTTCAATTACTCGCATCTTGCTCAATGCTCCACAGACTGGCTCGCCTCCGTTGTGCTATGCTTGGGGCCGGGATCGAGATCTTCGCTTCCGTGGCGGTTATCGCCAACTCCTACATTCTTCAGCCTCATCTGCCCTACCATGCCGTAGTCCGTATCAAATCAAACCCGCAACTCCACCGTTTCCTTGTCCAGCGGTTCGTATTGTACTACGTAATATATAGTCCAACGTGCACTACTCTGTCACAGAGACAGGTCGCCTCAGTGCTCCGCGCTAGCCTTCCATTTTCACATTTTCGCTCTTCGTCATGTCCTTACCCAGGTTCTTGAGCAGGTAGCTGCGTTTGAAGTACTCGTTGGGGTGCACGATGGTCTCGAGCTGAGCGGATGTCATGATGCCCTCGTCCTTTACCCGCTTGATCTCCTTCTTATGTACGTATTCGAACACGCTTCTGGGTGTTAGCGTATATCCAGTAATTGCCGTGACAGGACGGAAGGGGGCGTCTTGGGCGTTGTGACTTACCGATTGCACGCCATGTGGAACTTTTGACTCTCCTTGTCTTCTTTCACACCCCGTAGAACCCCTTGGTCCGTGATGCCAACCGCTTGGAGCAACGCCGTCAGATTCTCGACATTGAAATGCCTGTATGGACATCCATGGGCTTCTCCCGGGCCCGGCGGGTGTTCTGTCAGGATCTTCTGGCAGGAATACGGTGAGTAGCCTCCACCGCGGCGAATGGAGTCGCCGCCGACGTCGCCGTATGCGTGCCGCACGTAATACCTGTACTCCTTGTTGAATGTGTCGTCAGTGATTTTATTGAAGGAGGCCCGCCAGAAAACCAGGCATTCCTCCAAGTTGAGACCAATACCCTTGAGGAATAGCGTGTACTGCAGACGACCAACATGCTTGAGATGCGCATCGCGGCGCAGCAATCGATGCAGGTTCTGCATGCACAGCGGGAAGTTCTGGGAGAGATTATCCACATTCCTCGCCGAGATGTCGGCCCCGGGCACCGATGATGAGCTGCTGTTGTACGACGCGTCGGGTGTGATGAAGTTCTTGGAAAGATGATCCAGAATGGGCGTCAGCCGATCGTCCTCATCCAACCGCGGCAACGCCCTCGCCGTGAGCTCCAACGCGCGTTCCAGCCTCTTTGTGAACTCGGTCACTGCCATGCTCGTTTGCTCCCGTGATGGCACGTATGCTTTGCCTGCCTTGAGGAACACCCGTCTTCCTTCGACTAGATCAGGCACCCGCTCCCAGTCTACTTTAAACCAGCTCTCCTCCTCATCCCGCCCAGCTTTGCGAAAGCCGCTCAATGCAGCGAGCTCGCTCGCTATGCTTCTCCTCTCCTCTTCGCTCGCGGGCTCCCAATCCAGGTTCAGGCTCTGGATGAAGGCGTTGCGTTCGCGCGGGATGTCATCGTTGAGTCGGAGGCGGAAGAGCATGGTTTCAACGCGTGTGAATCTCCTCCTCAAGTCTTCGGTCGACGCAAAGGCCAGCCTGAGAATAAAATGGCTGTAGTGGTCTTTCTGTCTTTCGGCAGTCAGCCGTGACGACGCGCTCGAGTTGGAATCGAGCGGCAGGTATTTCTCGAGCAGCGGTTTCATGTGGGCGGCCGTCTCCTGAGCGCTCTTGTTACGAAAAGAGCACGCCTCGAGCTCGGCGAGGATACGTAGGCGGTCAATGGCCCATTGCTCGAACTGTTCAAGGGTGATGTCGGCCGTGGGCGGGACAGCGTAAAAGTTGAGTCGGTGCGGGTACGACGATTCTTTGTAGGCCGGGTCTGCGAACTGCTTCTTGCGGTGGTCGAGCACATTGCGCCGCTTCGGGTCGATACGATTATTGTCGGAGCGCAGCATGGTTGCGTTGGTGGAATGAAGTAGTCGGGGCAGTTAATGGTCTCGTTGAACTGTTCAATCCGTTCACCCTTTCAAGTGGTGGAGGAACTTTCCAAGGTGGGATGGACAGATGGAATTTGGGAAGACGCGACTCGAGACGCGTCGGACTTGCCAATTAATATTAGCCAATTAACATGCGAGCTTTGTCCACATATGGTCATCATTCCCAACCCCAATTTTAACCCTATTGTAGGCTGCTCCAATTGAAGCCAACCATCACGCGCATATCGTTGCATGTAAGTATGGATGTATGCTGTCGGATCCCAAGAATCAGGGGCTGTATTGGCACTATGGAGGTGCGTAGGGAGGACCAATATGGGATTGCAATCTGTGCCTGCCTTGTATCCCTCCATGCATGAGGTTACACTCGCCCACATATGCTATACAGATTTATCTCAACACTTCTTATTTATTCAAGTAACCACAACTCTCTCTAGTTTGACAATTCTTTGGAGAAAAAGAAAAAAAAACCCTGCTTTCGCGAATATGGAAATGTCGGCAGATTCATCCGCAGGAAGCTGCCATCGCGGGAAGACCTAGGTCAAGATAGGCCATACCACGGAAAACAATTGAAAACAGTGACACGTGTCATATATCCCAAAAATCGCCCTGATCATTATGTTGGTAGTCATAGAGGGCTCAACATATGGTATATATTTTCACAACAACTTTGGCCTCTCGGCGAATCTGTCATCCAAGTCGAAAGGACGGAAATTCGAGACTAGGTTGGCGAACTACAGTGTGACGGTTGGCTCCGTGCCCTAGAAGTAGCTTGATATTCGGGAGATATGGTTCTGCTGACCAATAGAGTGGTTCTTCGAGGAATTCGTGTGCCATGTATATACTGAGCAGAGTTTCGCCGCAGGTGTTGTAGCGTTGGGGTCAAGGCCCTTCCCGAGGACTCCTTTGACTGTCTCAAGGTTCATCTCGCAGCGACGTGCTAATACCACTTCATGCAAACATGCAACGTTTCAGGTCTTCCCAATAGATATGTGCCACCAATACTAAGCAGGAATTCGAGAAACTATCCAAGATCATACCAATCCGCATATTTCATGGACGCCTTAGAAGAGGTTACACATATCAGCCTTTGGTATGACTCCTTTCGACGCCAAACGCGAGATGAAGTAGTATCCTGCCTGCAGCATCACGGATGGTTAAATCAGCGCCATGATGCAAAAGAACCTTGGCGATATCAACTATATACCTATTGCCTTTCTGATTCCATGAGACCATATATAATCTAGTAAACCTATCACGGTCTTGCTTGTTCACATCAGCGCCTTTCTCAACGAGGAGGTCTATCATAGCAGTGAACTCCCGTGCTCGCTTTGGATTGAACCATTCGAATTTCACACGGTAGCTACCACGTTCGTGAGTGATATGCTTCTGGCGTATCACATGCCTCAGACAGAATTCAAGCAACAACCGAAGTCGGTATTAAAATTTGCGCCCTTGCTGAGCAGATGGGTCACCACGCTACCAAAAAGGTTCCTGCGCAGCATGAATAGACCAGTTGTGTTTGGGCTAAGTCGTCTTCCGCGTCGAGTTCTGTTTGGTATCCCTCATCAAGAATCTTTGGCATGATGAAGACGTTCTTTAACAATAACACCAAGTGCAGTGCGGTCATTCCAACCCCTGTCACATCATCTCCAAGCGTTCCTTGCCATGCATCGTTCCAGACGTGGGGGGTTAGATTCTCGTTGGTGTCTGAGACTGGCTGGCCAACTTCCAGAATCGTCGAGGAACCCAGGCATACAAATAAACTGGCGGTATAGAGGTGAGCATGACAATTGCGTGAAGTAGAGAGTTCGTAATGGCTCGCGGGAGTCCCTGAAAATTACGGGTCTCAGAATACCGACGAAGATTCTCTGCGGGCAACCAAAACCACAGGAATCCGCTCCCAAGCCTGCGCTCTTGGATACAAGCAGCTCTGAAACCTCATCATGTCCATATCTTGTTTCAGGAACAGAGCGGTCCACTAATGCTAAAGCACCTCGGTTTCTTCCTACCCTTCCTCGTGTACTAACAGTCCTGGCCGATCTGCGCATTGTTCCATTCGTCACAAGAATTTCCAAGGTCACCATCATTACCTGCGACATCAATATCGTGGGCCTCATCCATACCAATGATCGTCCCAGGGCCGTGTTTCGGACAGTATAAAATACTCGGTTCCGATCCAAATGACGCTTCCAACACAGTCGTTGTCCAACGCTGGAAGATAACGCTACTGTCCTTGCAAACTGCCCCTTCCCCGTTGACACTGGGACAGGTTCTTCCGTCTGTTAATGCCAGCCTCGGAAATTTTGCGCAATGCCTAATTTGGTCGCAATAATAATTGAGGCCGATCCACGTCCGCTTTAGCACCAATGAGCTTTTGCAATGTGCCCACTCAGGTCGTTCTCGTACATATTAGCTACGTAGCTAGTCTATCGTCGTTATATAGCCCCTTCGAGGTAGCCGGTAATATATAATATACGCGCTGTATCCGAGTCAAAGTCATTTCATGATCTGCCCAGATTCAGTGTGTACTTGATAGCAAGGTCCTGTAAATCAGCGAAAGAAAATAACAAGTCGATCGTCTTGCAGGTTCGACCTTTCTACGCGGTGCACTCGACCGAAGCTGATTCGCAGTTCTTGCGCCGTTTTCTCGGAAGCGTCGCTCAATTATCTGACGTCTTTAATTCCTGACCAGCCGAAGCCCAGTCGGTCGGATATTGTAGTAGAGTGTCGTTAGTTACTACGGTTATCGTAATTTCGCTATATTCGCCGGCCTGTATTAGTAGCATCTTATCCATCATAATTTTCAGTTTTGGAAGCGCGAGGCGCTTCTGGCGACTTGGAGGACGAATCGTGAGACATGGAACGACTTGCCTAGCCGCGGCTGTCTCCGTTGTCTTCGTGGACTATATACCCTGTCTGATGCCTTGGACGACTACCCTCTGGTTGATGACCGCCATGGTAGCTGCATCGTAATCCCACTGCCAGACCGTCGAGACCGAGCTGGCATAGAGCTTTGTCCCATCCGGCGTCAGTGACAGGCCACGGTTCAACTGGCACCCATCGGCACCAAAGGTGTGCACCGAGATCCCCGACGTCGCTTGCAGCACAAGGTAGCAGTCTATTTGCAAAGAGGAAGATGGCAAATAATGACAGATCACTAATCTTCTGGTCTATTATTCAGACAGGTGTGCCACATTGCGTATAACCTAGGCTGTATTGCTCGTCAACAGATATTATATGTGTGATCCAATGATGACTGATATGAATCGTACCATTTCAAGGTTCTACGGAGTTACGTTAACCATTGATATCCACGGACAACAGAGCATGACTGTAGAATGCACACAGGACCTATCTAATCCAATGACATCTGAAAGTTCCACTGGAAAGTTGGAGCTTTCATTCTTCGTCCGCTTTGAGGGGTATTCCTGCCACCAAATGCTAAATCCCCGGTTTCCCACAAGTTCTAGAACCCTGGAATGATATCTAAGCATGTATGTAAATGGATTTTATCTAGACTCGCGCATGTGAGCCTAGGATATATACTCGTTTGTACGAACTTTCAATCACATACGACCATAGGTTGCAGAGAACTCGGGATCCCGTCCGCTCTCCTGTAGATAAACTGTAAACCGCTAGATTAGTAGTTGGGTGGGTGACCACCAGCGAATCCCTAGTGTTGTATGCTTTTGCTATATTTCTTTTTCCTCAGTCGTATAACGTACCCCACAAGCAAGTTGGCCACACAAGCAAGTTGGCCACTTTTTCTTGGCACCGTATGAATAACTTCAATAACTTAACTAAACTAAAAAATAATAATTCAAACTAATCGGAATCCTCTTCCTCGTACGTATCTTTATCATTCTCACAAGTACGAGCATTATGTCCGGGCTCTCCGCAGATCCTACAGCGCCTCGTACGACGACGACTTTCACGTATATCATCCTGTAGCTGCTGTTCAATATCCCGTTGAGACTGTAAGTCCTGAGCGTCTCGTAAACTAAGAGATCCTCCATCTTGTAGCTGTCGATTTTTAGTCCTTCGACGACGGCTTAGCTCTTGATTGGCCTTCCGAAGTGTAGTAACCTCATCCTCAAGTAAAACTAACCGATGCATAACAGCCGTCGCACCACGTGAAAATTGGTCAATAGCCTTAATTATTGTCGTCGGGGAGCTATTCTGATGCTGTACGATTCTGTTTTAACGTATTCAGACTGGGATTGCGCCTCAGTTGGGTTATTTGGAGTCTTTGATTCCCAGATTAAGGGTGCGCCAGACGAGCTCCCAGGAGGTGTAGGCATATGTAGCTTAATATCCAGCTGTGAAATCACATATTCCGGGTCGTACGGAATAAGTCCTGTCTCCCTGAAACCTGTCTGGATATTCGAATTAGTTATAGTCGTACGATACGCCCTATAAAATGCCGAAAAGAAATCCTCCTTCGAGATATGGGTTATATGCGCCCGTATCAGGTCTTCAATTTCTTTGCCGTACGACCTTTTCAAAGCCCTAACACAGCCTACATCGAGAGGCTGGAGCTTATGTGACGAATGAGCAGGCATACTAAGTGTAATAATAGTATGCTGTTTGCAATATAGCTCGAAGTTAGTCGAGTGGTGGCTCTCATGCCCGTCGAGGATAAGAAGACGATAAACACCCTTCGTACGGTCCTTCGTATAGCGATCAAAGTGCTGAATCCAGTCTACGCCTCGCTCATTTGTTGTCCAACCGTTTTTAGTTACAGTGATTACTTAATCGAACGGGAATGGGCTATTCTCGTACCAGGATAAGAGGTGGTTTTGACCCGCGACAATAATATACGGCGGGATAGCCCAGCCGGACGAATTAATACCCTGGATTACTGTAGCCCATTCTCGATTGCCTTGTTGGACTGTACGAGGCCTTCCGCGTCGTTCGGCACTTGTAACTACCATCTCGGATGAGATTAAGCCTATCGCGAACCCTATCTCGTCGAAGTTATAGATATCCGCCTCTTAGATACCATATTTCGCAATTGTATTTCGTACGAGCGTAAACCACGCGCGATACACGTCAGGATCTTCGCCATAGGCTCGTTGGTAGTCGATTCTTCGATTAAAACGCGTCCGAAGGTCTGGTTGTCGTTGTACGAAGTTCGAGGCCCCGTTGACGCCGACGTGTCCAGCGCCACGGTCACGGAGCAGTCGGTGTAAGGGTCAACCGTGACAGTCGGTTAGCCATAGCTTCAACACCATAGAGCCGGGGAGGAAATGATGGCGAATCTAGGCCAAGTATGTATTATACGGCCGCTAACTCTTCTGATTCCGTAAGCTTATGACTAGATTGTCGAGTATCGCGTCGAGATAGTAGTCCGCGTTTTCGGTTAGCTAGAGTTGTACGAGGGACATTGTAGAGTTGGGCAGCGCGTCGGATGCTTAATTCGGGTTTCGATTGAAGCGCCTGACACGCTATAATCATGTCGCTTTCTTTCCAATTCGATCCCATCTTGGTAACGTAGTCCACGGTCCAATTGCACACTTCGACAGATTTTCGTACGCTACCACTTTGACCTGCGGTTTTTCACCACATAACTATGGTTGGTTCTTGGAATGAAAGTTATATGATTCTAGCATTACATGCGCTTCAATCTGATCCAAAATTAAGTGTACGTCGCGCTGGTCAGATCTATAACGTACCTTTTAGAACCCTTGCGTATCGACGCGACGGTAAAACCGCTCGAGCGATTATGCGATCGCCAACGCAAAAGTTGACTCCTTCCGAAGAAGAGGCAATCGTACGACATATAACCGACCTAGATTCGCGAGCATTTCCTCCCCGATTGAGTGGTGTTGAAGATATGGCCAACCGATTACTTCGAAGTCGCGACGTGGGACGCGTCGGCGTCAACTGGGCCTCGAGCTTCGTAAGACGACAACTAGACCTCTGGACGCATTTAAATCGAAGGATCGACTATTAGAGAGTCCTCTGCGAAGACCCCGACGCGTATCGCGCGTGGTTTGACCTGGTATGGAATACAATTGTGAAATATGCGATCTAGGAGGAGGATATCTACAACTTCGACGAGACCGGTTTTGTGATGGGCCAAATCTCGTCCGAAATGGTCGTGACGACTTCTGATCAGCGTGGAAGGCCTAGAGTAGCCTAGCAAAGAAATCGGGAATGGGTTACAGTTATTCAAGGCGTTGGGTCGTCCGGTTATGCCCTCCCTCCGTACATCATTTTCGTCGGCAAACCCACCTCTCGTCATGGTACGAAAATAGCCCATTATCGCCTGATTGGGTTATCGCAGTTACTAAAAATGGCTGGACTACGAACGAGAGAGGCGAAGATTGGATAAAACACTTCGATCATCACACCAAGTCTCGTACGAAAGGTACTCATCGCCTATTGATCCTCGACGGTCACGAAAGCCATCACTCGACCGATTTCGAGGTATATTGCAAAGCTAACAATATCGTCACGCTTTGTATGCCTCCTCATTCGTCGCATAAGCTCCAGCCTCTTGATGTTGGTTGTTTTCGCGGGTTAAAAAGAGCGTACGGAAAAGAAATCGAAGATCTCATGCGAGCACATATAAGTCATATCTCGAAAGAAGACTTTTTACCGGCGTTTTTAAATGCGTACAACGAGAGGTTGATGGGCAGTTACATGACGAATTTCGTCAAATTGGTGGTCGTACGAGGCGGCGAATTGCGCGTGTACGGCGCTGTAGAATCTGCGGCGAGCCCGGACATAATGCGCGCACTTGTGGAAATGATGTAGAGACGTCTGAAGATAACGATTCTGAGTAGTTTCAATTGATGATAGGCGTTGCGGTTGAATTAACTTATACATTGTCGTATAAGGTCTGCCAAAGTGTGCAATTGGACCGTGGACTACGTTATCTCATTCTGAAATTTCATAACTAGGAACATTTCTCACACAACTAGGCCAGTTGATAAAGAGGTCCATGTGAAGTAAAACGCCCAGTGGTACTATATCCCACGGCATTAGACATTATATGAATAGTAAACTATGCACACTCATATCTTAGATCATTCTCCCGTATCCGAGGTGTGAAAACTGCGTATGCTAAATTCCCCGCATCATCACGATCGTTGAATTCGACATGATGCAACTGTTGTTCAGATACAATCCGCTGGCCCTTGAATACGTCACAGTAACACTAGACTAGCCGCTCCAGCGATACCAAGTGCAAATACAGCTGATCCCTGAGTTGCAGATCCAGATGAGGAAGGCGAATCGCTACCCGGAAGGACATAGTTGGCCCGAATGCAAGAGAGCTGCACAGCCGGCTGAGCGTCATCAGATGCATTGGCCCGTCTGTTCCAACCCCAGACGGTCAGTACCGGCCAGATTTGTTTCGTGGCACTATTGTAGTCCGAGTCATTGCCCGCATCGTGTGCATCAGAGGCAGTAACGAGTATTTCCTTTCCGCCTAAAGAGCCAATGGGGAATTCTGCGGTTTCGTCAGCCAGCAGTCAACGCATCATGTCGAAAGAACCCACGGATCGTGGATATGCTAGCCTGGTTAACCGAGTTACCACAGCTGGCTGGTATGGACGGTGACGCATAGCAATCCTGGTTTCGCTTGAACTGGTCTGCATATGCCGTCTGAAGATCTTCCACACAGTGAGCAGAAAGGTAACTGCACGTCCCGTTATCCGTGGCTGACTGGTCTTTCTGCGGTCCGTCCGTCATAACCGACACGCAGATTTTCCACGTTGTCTCGTCGGTAACATTGGACCCACTAGACAGGACACTCGACCTCATCTTTTGGGGTGCTGTGAGGAACAAACTCGTGCCCGTAAAGGTGTGACCCGTAGCGTTATTGGTGTTAATCATCTCTGAGTCGGGGATGTCGCTGCTGATATTGACAGACAGCATCCAGCCGCCGACCTGCTGACTGGGCCAGGGCTGTGAGATGTCAAAGCCGGAGACGGAGAAGTTGCCCGTTGCATTGGGAGTGGCAAGATTTGTTTCCCAGGTAGACTGGCTAAACTGCAAAGCATTGCCGAGGATCATGGTGCCAGAGCCAGGCCATCCTGGAAATGCGTGGCAGGTGAGAAGGCCGTTGAGTGTCGCTATTAGTGTCAGGTAGAGGTTAGGTTCCTTCATTTTCACTCGTTGGCCATGGTGGGAATTGTACAGTTATTCGGGGCATGTTGTCTCGAGTCCCATATATGAAAGGCAAGAATGCGGGGAAGGAATGTTTTGAGACCAAGCTGCATGAATAGTCATCTGCAACTGCGATGTGGACCCGTCATAGGATGATGTTTCCTGATAGGCCTTCTTGAATAATGCAGGTTGCAGTAGATCATCGGGACTACAGAGCTTGGGAGCGATGCTGGTTGGTTAGGGAGGAACACAAAGGTGTGGGGTTGACGTTGGCTTGTTTCAAGTATCCCTCTGTCAGTCCTTGTAGCGCATAAAAATAGGATCTGCATTGATCGTTAGGTCCCCGGGTGTGCAGGCTGACACATATCATTGGATGATTTAACTACCCGACATCCCTACTAGAAGCTTGACTTCGGACGAGAGGCATGGTCATGAAGTTGAATATTCCATAGAAGCACCAAGGCAGGACAGGCTTCCTGATTCAGGACCGTGGGGCTTTTGACCTCGACTAACTAACTGCCGGCAGCATCGCGCGGGGCTTACCGGCCGACACTCCAACGCCGGATCGGAAGACCCACTCACGGAAGGCCAACAACCTCAGAAGTTGGATATAAACGTGTAGATGGCTTATCCTTGTGGGTGCCGATGTTTGCTATCCTTGATAAATGCTGCTCATCTTTTCGGCCACGGAGGTGATCATAGCCCAAGTCATCTTGTCGCAATACAGTTTGAAAGGATCAGCGGGTTTTCTGCAACCCAGACGTATGGACTCCTGTTGTGGCACCTTTGGTCCTTCCTTACATCTGTTGATCAAGCGCGGCGTTGTAGATGAGAAATCAAGGTACTGCGTGATGTAAATTACTGACAAGCACTGTGTTGAATTTGTTGATGGCAGGACGTCCGTTAACTATATATAAATGAATAGAGTCATCAATTGGGAAAAATGCCCATGGGGGTTCCGTCTCAACCCCCATCAGACCTCTAAGCAACACTATCTGCTACTACGTGGGTCATCAGCTCATGATTGTCCGCATAATCAATCTCAACATCAACGACACAAGCCCCTTTATGAGCCATGGCCTCGCGCATGACCCCTTCCAACTGCTCGGAACTCTTGACCTTCATCCCCTTTGCCCCAAACGCCTCAGCATATGCCGCGAAATCCACGCCGCCCAGCTCGATGCCGGAGCTGCGCCCGTATTTGTCTACCTCCTGAAACTCCACCATGTTGTACTTGCCGTCGTTCCACACGAAATGGGTGATATTGCATCCGTGTTTCACGGCAGTTACCAGTTCCTGGCCACTGAAGAGGAAACCTCCGTCGCCGCTGACGCTGACGACCTTTCGGCTGCAGGGTTCGGGCTCTTGGCTGAGTGAAGCGCCGATGGCCCACGGGAGGGCGACGCCGAGTGTCTGTTGGGCGTTGGAGACGAGGAAAGTCTTGGGGTGGAAGGAGTAGAAGTAGCGACACATCCAGATGTAGACGCTGCCAACATCGGCAGCGATGACGGTGGTCGGGTCGATCATGGACTGGAGCAGGCGGATGAAGTGTAGCGGGTGGACGGGACCGCCGGTGGGCTTGGCATTAGCGTTAGCCTGTGATTCCCAGGCATGGAATTCAGAGAGAATAGATTGCGCGACTTCAGTTTCCTGGGGCCTCGCAACATTTTGCAGGCAATTGGTGAGAAGGTCCAGATTCGAGGCCAGGGAGCCGATGAGTTCCAGTTTGGGGTTGTAGAAGTAGCCAACGGTCGCTGGGTTACAGTCGAGGTGCACAATATGCAAGTGATTCGAAGCATTCCACAAGTTAGCATCATACTCGGCCTGGTCGTATCCCACTGTGATAACCAAGTCGGCCTTCGTGAGGAGCTTATCGCCCGGCTGGTTGCGGAACAAGCTGACGCGGCCAAAGAACAGCGGTACAAGTTCCTTGGATATAGCTCCAGCAGCCTGAAACGTCTCGATGACGGGAACGGGATGCTTGCGCAGGAATCTGTGTACTGCATCAACGACCACTTCGTCGGCAGCTCGCATGCCAAGATACAAGACGGGAAATTTAGCCTCCTGAATCAACTTGGTCGCCTTTTGCAACGATGCATCCGTCGACGGGCCGTAGCTCGGCGGTAAGAATGCAGAGGCCGGGAAAGCCGGGATGGAAGATTTCATGCCCTGCGTCATGACATCGATGGGTAGGCATATCGCCGTTGCACCCTGCGGATAGGCCGCGGCGACTCGGAATGCATCGAGCACCACTTCAGCCACTTGGTCCTCGACGATGGCTTCAACCACCTTCTTGGTTACGGGCGTCAGGAGCTCGGTGGCACGTAGGCTCTGATGTGTCCTCTTAGCGGCTTGGGCCCGCTTCACGCTGCCCACGATAGCGACAAGGGGTGCGCCCTCATCGGTTGCCGTGATCAATCCAGTGACGAGATTACTGGTTCCTGGGCCCGAAGTGGCAATGCATACTCCGGGGCGGCCGGTGAGTTTTCCGACAGCGGCGGCAATGAAGGCGGCGTTTTGTTCGTGCCGGCACACGATCACTTTGATTTCTGGATGATCCACCAGGGCGTTGAAGACAGAGTCAATCTTGGCGCCCGGCACGCCGAAAACGTACTTGACCCCGGCCGCCGTAAGCGAGTCGATGACGATCTGGACGGTTTCTGTGGGCATATTGGTGCTTACTTGGGATTTTAGATACTTAAGGTGACCCTCATCCGTACAGACATCTCATCATGTGAAGTGCTTAATGGGTGGAGTGTTTTATTATCATCTAATTTACTTGTATGCGCTTTTTAGTCAGCTCATGGAGCTAAACCACGTCATTGACGCCAAGGCCGTCTCACCCGAAAGGGTAATTTGCTCAAGGTGATACACCTCGACCTTGCCATCTCATAAATGCAGTTCTCCTACTATACGTATCTAAAAGCCTCTATACCTCATACAAGTCCACAGAAACTATGGCGACCAACGAGCTCTTCCAATATTCTATTGTCTCCGCCCTCATGGACGGCGTTGCTTCCACCGGCTTGCCTATCAACACCCTCTTGTCCCATGGCGACCACGGCCTGGGCACCTTTCGCTACATAGTGGGCGAGATGATCATCCTCGATGGCCAACTATACCAGATGAAGTCCGACGGATCCGTGTTGAGTATCGAACCTTCCAACAGTCAAGATATCGTCGCCCCTTTCGCCATGGTCACTCACTTCCAGCCCACAGCCGCCGTCAAATCCAGTATATCCAGCAAATCAGAGCTTTTCGACCTCCTCACAGATCTACTTCCATCTGCGCGCAACCATTACATCGCCATGCGTATCGACGGCGTCTTCAAAGCCATGACAGTCCGTACCGTTGGAGGCCAGCAGAGCCCAGGCGAGGGGCTTGCTGAAGTGGGCAAGCACCAAGTCTCACATAACTTCAAGGAACCGACAAGCGGGACCATTATTGGATTCAGATCTCCAGAGTACATGCAGGGTATCAGCGTGGCAGGGGACCATCTGCATTTCATCAGTGCGGACCGGAAAAAGGGCGGACACCTGCTAGCTTTGGAATCGGATGGGGAAGTGGAGATTCAGACGGCGGATATCTCAACTGTGCGACTGGAATTGCCGTGCCATGATGCTGAGTTTGATAAGGCGAAGTTAAAAGGAGACAGGGAGAGGATTATGGCTGTGGAGGGGTAACTTGCACCCCAATGCGTTGGACGGCTGGACGTTGATCTCAGACAGGCATATATATATAGAATAAAAGAAAAGGTATGCATTAACTAGGGTAATGTATTGTCATGATGCATTCATTCGAATACCACGGCACATCCATATTGAAGTAATTCAATACGACTCGGCTTAACGAGTTATAATCTGAATAAAGTTAGGGCAATTCGACGGCTTAGGAAGTTGTAATCTCAATAGATTCCACGGCTTAATAGCCTAAGTTCTATAACTGTGGGATTGAGCACCACAGTTATGCCCTAGGCCGAAGGTGGTGCAAAGACAAGTGTAGCTAGCGGGTTCGACCCTTCTTTTAAGATAGAGAGCAATAGCGCTTCCGGCAACCAACGCAGCACAATGTGTAGAGCAGACGCAGCAGTCAATACGAGATACACAGAGATTCATCAACAGAGGGCCGGATTCCCTCAATAACCTTATAAAGTTAATCTAGTTAAGGTAATTTAATAGCTTAGAATATTTTCCAGGAGTTGACAAAGCGCCTCATAGTTCCAGGCACAGCCACTGTCCTACGATGCTTAGTAAAATTTGTATGATTTAGTACAATGACGAGTGAAGCAGTTGGGCTGAAAATCGAGACGTTTCTGGCAGTAACCAAGGACAGTGAACACATCGGCACCGTTGGACCAGGCTTGTGGTCTTCGTAAATTGAAATGACTTTACTAAACTTGTCTAGTTAGACCCCTTGACCATCTGAGGAAGCGTGTCTTGCAGCAACAACCCCTATTCCAATTGCAATCGTGGTGGTGGATAACTCACTCCTTACTTATCGGTCGGGTCTTCGTCAGGAATATTATAGTTCGAAGTTCTTGTATTCATCAACCAGTGAAGATTGTGAATACTTACCAGATAGCAGTAGTGGCTTAATGGAGCCTGCCGTTTGCACGCCAGCTCTGTCGATATCTATTTCAATCTTGTTAAACCGTGACAAACTCATTATCAACCTTGGGGTTCTACATAATGAATGATCACATGGAAGACCAAATTGAAGCGCTAGAACCTTGCCGGACCTTTCGAAACATTGAGGCTTCTACTAAAACAGAAACAAATGACCTCATTCAAAAGATCATGGTTCGTTTAAATTACCATTTTCGCGGCAAGCAGCAACTCGTGCAAAGCCCCAAAGGGATACTCGCTGGCAGCCCTCGTTATTCAGCGATGACAGATGTACAGATCTTTCTACACCCCACCCCGCAGGCGTCCTGGTTCGATCTGTTTTTAGATGGTTGCATAGGGGGCCGAATGAAATCGGGGGTTCCGGTCAAGATGATGACACCTAAATTGCTCATTTTGTCTTTCAGCTTTGTCAGGGGGGTCAATCAACGTGCATATGCACTATAACTGTGGATGGAATTGACCTATAAGAGCATTGCGCAGCGTCTCTTCGCTGCCCGCCACTCCCTCATCGAGGCTCAATTCCAATATTGCTGCACACCATCCTACATTGCATTGAACCAATACGACTCCCTCATGATAAGCCAACTGTTTTCATCTTAGTTAGAGCGAGTCCACCCTTCCATTCCCTTCCATATATTTAGCGGCCGGCGTTTCCCATTTGGTTACCGGCAGCATATTGCGATGCTGTAAACTCGGGGTTTGGATTGTAGTATCCCTGTTATTACCGGCAGAATGTGTCATCATAGCTAGATAAAGCCGGCTATTTGACGTCGCTCTGGTGTCCGCTTCGACTGCCATACACTTGTTGCTTTCTGGCGCCTGAACGCAACATGTCGCCGACTTGCCTCAGTGCCGAACCCCACGAGGGAGAGCAGATTAATGATCCTCTGTTCCACTATCTCGGCTGTCTAGAATTCTACGAGAGGCCCCAATACCTTAGTTCACTGAATCCAGCACAACAAAAGGCTATCGAGAAAGAGCGCCAACGCATCGAGAGATTGCGCAAGGTGATCAGAAACGAGGATACATCTCACAATAGAGTCCGATGCATCGAGAAAAGCCTTGAAACATGGCGGAAATCGCCTGTTTACCAAAATGGAAGGAAGGGTACCCGAGAATGGAGGGCAGGAGGAGATCCGTCTGGCGTTGCAAAGCCCAATGATGTATCCCAGGAGAGCGTCAACATGGATTGCGACAATGTCGAGTATAATCCGGCTTCCGATCTGAATGCATACTTGATTCAATATCAAGGCACAGAGCCTTACAACAATGATGATTCTGGCACCTTCCATGGGAGCTTCCCAAATCACAAAACATCCATGCCACAGCTTTTGGACGTGGGCGATGAGAGTAATCCGCTCCGCCGAGACAAGGTTCCATCTGGACGTATGCGCTACTTCCATCTGCCCATTAATAACATGCACGTGCGTATAATTCCACGCAGTCTTCGTGCTTCGAAATACTAAGAAATCCTGCGTCAGTGGACCGAGGTACGGAGATTTGATTGACCGATGGTACAGCATCTTGACCAGCTTGCAGAAAGCGATTGCTAGATATTTCGGGGAAGAACATACCCCTTGCAGCATGTCGTCGTTCAAGTCGGATGAAATGACGCGCACGCAAATGCTCTTGAGACCACAATTCTGGAGCGGCCAACAACACGGCGGCCGGGAGGGTGCCGTTCACGCGAGACATCTTCGCCCGCTCTGTGAAACAGTGTCATCGGGTATGTAATCCATTATGGATTTAACTAATGAACCGAGTTGACCATGAAACAGACCCCAGAAGATTGGAGCGCTTTCCAAAGAATGTCGTGCTTTTTGTCAGTAGACTGCTGCTGCTGCTGCTCCAGGGGCAGTGATTACTAATGTATACCCAGATGCCATACCTCCATTGGGACACAGACCGCAAACGTGAGCGGATCGCCCGGCTGGTGGGGCAAGAAACCGAAAACCGGCGGAGGGAGATGAGGCTGAAGGAGTACAACCAAAAACAGGAGCGTAGGAGGGCGCGAAAACAGCTCACCTTACCAAACGGCAGTACGTTCGAGATGTTGAACGAGAAGACCGCACGCCCTTCGTTTCCTGCCGGCCTCGGACCACCCGCCTGGACATTCTCCAGTGTGGTCAACGCCGCCGTTGCAAATGGATACAAGATGCTCCACGCGACGAAGGCGACATATGATCATCAGGATCGGATTGTGACCATGCACCCACTTGGACGAGTGCTGTTCGATGCGGCCATGCTATACGAGCATATGCTACTCTACCGCGACGAAAGGATCATCAAGGAATATTTGCACAACGATGCGCCAGTGCATCCTCGTCGGACGCTGGATCAGGCCTACTACTGGACCTTGAAGACGACCAAAAGCCGGGATCGGGATCAGGTGGTATACAGAGGCACAACTGCGAAAACGGACTTGTCACACCGGTTCAACACCAAAACCAAGACGTGGACCTGCGAGGAAGTGGAGGACATCACTACGACGTCGAATCGCTGTGAACAATGCCGCTCAGACATTATCCAGGTTTCGAGGCTCGTCATGGTCGATCAGCTCTGGATGTGGATTCTCGACGAGCACACCATCATCACCTCGTTCCCCAAACGATACGGCGTCAAGCATGGAGACTCGGGCGTCCACAAGTCCATCCGACGACGGCTCGGCGAATCCAGAAACACCCAGATCCGTTCCGTCTTCGATCTTGCCCTTATCATCATCGACGAGTGCTCCAACACCTTCTTTGACCCAACGAAAACGCAGGACCGCCACCCCCAAGTTCTCGTCAAGTTTTCCGAGGCCATCAGCACCATTACGCATAAGCAGAGCATATCTTTCGAGCTATTGTGGGTTTGGACCGAGAAGTTTACCAAGCAATCCAACACGAAAAAGATGATCGATATACAGCAGTTCGTTGGGCCGCTCCTCGACATCAACCCTGAAGGCAAGCTCCAGCGTGAGATCAAGGACGTCATTGACGAGCTCGACATCATGATTCATATTACGAAGAAACAGAAAGAGGTAATCAAGAAGTTTAAGAAGCACACCGTGAAGATCTTGGACCCGGACAACACTTTAGCTACTCAAGCCAGCACGCCAACACAGGTGGAGCAAGCCGAAGAACACAGACAGGGCACTACCGACGAAGTCTCACGCCTGGAAAAGTTTATCTCTTTTAACCACTCGGCCGAAGACTTGCTATCCGAGTTAGACGACCGTCTCGAAGAGCTCGAAGGGCTCAAGATCACGGCGACCACTACATCAAGCAGTGTAAGCAGTTCTTTAAATGAGGCTCACAGCTTGGAAATGATGGTAGCTAATCCTAACACAGCTGGATCACCTCATGCAATTGAAACAACAACAGGCAAGCGTCATCCAAGCTTGGCAGTCAGTCAAACAGTCGGACGCAGCGATGAGCCAAGGGCGGGCTATCATGATATTCACCGTCTTCACGATCATATTCGTAAGTGGAAATGATATTTTATGCCCCCCTCGTGTGTTTACGCACCCTATTTCTGACACTGGATCAGTTGCCGTTGTCCTTCATGAGCTCAGTTTGGGGTATGAATAACGCGCAGTGGACACAGAGCACAATGGATCTTTGGTTCCAGGTACAGCTCATGAGTAAGAAACGGGCCCGTCGTTTTATTTCCCCTTATTTTCAATGTAACATGAGGGCCATCCGTACTGACATATCATGCAGTCGGAATCGCTGCCGCAGTCCTGGTCGTCACGCTCCCCATCGCGTTCAGCTCGCTGATACGTGAGATCTTATTTGCTCTCTGGCAAATCTTCTTCAACTGGGTTATACTCACGACGGGAATATACACCCTCTGGCTGGACATTGATAAGAATAGCGACGACATCAAGAAGATGGCAGACGACACTATCCAGAATATGAGAGGGAAGGTCAAGACCAAACGCCAAGCACGACGGGCGGCGGAAAGGGAGGCTAATGAGAAGCGGGAGGCTGACAAAAAGCAGAAGGCTGACAACGAGCGGAAGGAACTGAATCAGAGGAACAGCGAGCATGAAAATGGGGCAGCGAGACCTGGCAGGGAGCTGGAGGTTGAGACTACGGCTAATGGGGCACTGCCGACATTGCAGCAGCCTGCTGTGTCAAATGATGCACATCGTGAAGTAGGCCTAGGCGCCCCCACGACTACCAAGCGGAAGTTTCGGTTTTGGGAACGTGGGTTTCTGACTAAAAGGAAGCACCGCAATAAGACGACGAGTAAGGTGGGGGTATAGGGTGATGTGGGAGTTTGAGGCAAGATTCCTGTCAGGTGCAAATAAGCCACAGTGGCTTGGCCTGGACAGGGGTCGGAAATGTATAACTAGGCTGCTGTGACCCCTCTTCTTTTAGAGAGGGCAGCGATTAACTTGTCGTTATTGAGTCCCCTATACTACGCTATTGGTACCTACCTGGTGACTGGCAGCTTGTTTCGCTTGAGCACTCTCGTCCTTCACTTTGCACTTGAAATCCCGTGATAATTCCGAACTGACGAAGGTGTAATGTTTCAATCCTGTTGCCCTTTCTAATGCTACAACACCTCGACGTAAACACTACGATCTTAGCGGGAAGCTATTTGGGGTTGACGCTGGCGTTGCAAGGTGATATTAACAGTGAGACATGGTAAACATTAAATAAAAGAGCATACTATATTTGCATCGGCTCTAACTGTACCGAGTGACAGGCTTGCTTTTTCTTTCGCAGGAAACTACACTATTACTAATCCCTGATATTATTGCATATCGGAGCTTGCAATATTGGGAGAGAACAATAACAGAAAAGATAGTGAAAGATGGGTCCTTGGAGAACGAGTCGCGTCGGCAAACAAGCTGCAAGGTTCATTGGTCAAGCCGTCGAGCGCGTATATAGCACGAGGCCCGTCATCTTGCAGTTCTTCCCCACATAACCACCATGGCTTGATAGCAGATAGACTTTACCTTGGCAACTTGGCGACTCATCTCTGGTTTTCAACCTGAAACTATTCCCACTGATAGCAAAATCACTGTCTGGAGCTTCCATTTCGTCATGACCATCACCCCGAAGCCCCAGGTGACGCTCATCGAGCTCACAGCCGAGGAACTCGCCACAAAAAGAATTGGCTCCCACCACCTCCAGGCCGCCGTCGAAGCCCTGCATCGCGATGGACTAGTCGTTCTCGAGAACGCTGTCGATACTTCCCATCTCGACACCCTCAACGCCCGCATGGTGCACGAGGCCGAATCCCTTTATACCCGGCCAACCACGCACCGCAACTTCGGCAGCACCACAGGAAACATCCAGCAAGAGCCCGTACTAGAACCGAACTACATCTTTCAGGACGTTATCGCCAACCCCTGGGCCGTGGACGTGATCCAGTGCATGCTCGGCCCGCACCCGAAGCTGCGGTTTTACAGCGCCAATACCGCCTTTAAAGCTACGGGGCGCCAGCCGCCACATATCGATATTGATTTTGATTTCCCCAAGATTCCTTTCGGGTACTGCGTCAACATCAATCTAGTCGATGTGTCGCCTGAGAACGGATCCACGGAAATCTGGCTTGGGACGCACACCAACACAGATAAGAGTGTGCTCGATGACGACGCGTACCAAATCCGCCCGAGTCTTCAAGAAGAGCGGCGCAAGATCAGCCCGCCCATCCAGCCGAATCTGCCCAAGGGATCGTTAATCATTCGCGATTTCAGGCTCTGGCACGCAGGGATGCCAAACAAGACGGACGAGCCGAGGATCATGTTGGTCTCCGTTCAGTTCCCGCATTGGTATAGGAGTGACTTGAAGATCAAATTGCCCGAAAATTTGAAGGGCAAGCTAGATTGGGGGGATGTGACACCTTGCGTAGAGTGGATGCCCGAAGGGTACGACTATCTCCAGGGGGCGCATGATCACGATTTTACACTGCTGCCGTAGTGCTGGAAAATGCACTTTTCATGAGACGGGATCAACCTGGAAAAGAAGGAAATTTAAGGCTACTGGTCTGGGTTTATAGTCAATGAATCAATAATTTTCATCTCTCCAAAAATATGATAAGTATCTACACGAATGATAACATGAACAAGCAAAACCCTCAAGCCACCACCCGTCAGACTACATCCGCTGATTCTCTAGAATGCTGGGTTGGCATTCTCCAGCAACATCTCAAAGTAGGCCTGGTTCCAGGTGCCGGCCTCGGGCGAGGGCTTGTACGCATCCTCAAGCCCGCAGAAGGAGTCGTAGCGCGTCGCCGTGGTGTCGCTTGTGCCGTCCGACTCGCCGCCGGGCTTAACCCAGACAAAGGCATCGGCCAGCTCGGAGCCTGTGTCGGCCGTGGGGCGGAGACCAAAGCCGGCGCCGTCGACGTTGCACCAGTCGCCCCATGCGAGACGGAGGCCTTGGACGCCGTTGCTGAAGATCACAAATTAGTGACATGCATCCTCCTTTGCAACTTTTGCGCGAGCTTGCGAATTCTACTCTGGGAAGACAAAAGTGTTCACTTACCGGCCAGTGTCAACAATAGCATGGTTGGGCATGCCAGCAGACGCAAGGGCGGCACCGATGAGCTCAACGTATTTCTCCTCATTCTGGGCTGCGTTGTACTGAGCATCGGGATCGTCGGAAAACTCGCCAGGAACGGCGTCCCTGTTGCGTTAATGTCAGCTAGAGCCATTCTGATATCGCGCGTCTCAATCTTGGAGGGACCCACCAAGAATTCCACCCCGCGACGTTGGTGGCAATTCCACGAAGCTGCGAAGGTGAACCAGCCGACGTATAAGCGCTGGCGAGCTCCTCGGCACCAGGCTCCAGGTTATCATTCCAGCCGAGCCAGCCACCGTGGCCAGCGTCAAGATACATGACGACGTTCGGCAGGTTGAGGGTCTCGAGGGCGTACGCAACACCCTCACGGTAGCCGGCAGCGCTGGCTTGGCATGTGGCCAAGTCGGCGTTGGTCACAAGGTTGGGCAACGAGTCCGGCTCGATGACCAAGGCAAAGGCGGTGTTGGGGTTGGCCTTAAGGATGGCAGCCACAGCTGTGCGTTTGTATCAGTGTCTCTGTCTCTTCACTCTCCGCCTGCACGCTTGTACCCTTGATAGGATGCAAACTTACCATCGACGTATTCAGTCTTATACTTCTCAATTTCACCAACCGCCAGTTCGCCGTTGGATGCTTTGGCGGCACAGTCGCGGCCAGGGAGATCGTAGATGACCAGACCAAGGATGTCGTCACACGTCATGTCGGCAAGAGCCGATTCCAGCCTGTCGATGTTGGCGATAGTGTCCCTGGAATTGGATGTTGTTAGTCTTCAGCGTACTCCAACCAAGTTCAAGTCAACTGAAAAACAAGGCGAGGTCTCTTACAGCCACAGGAAGGTTCCAATGTCGGCCACCTCAAGTGCCTTGGCCGCCAGAGCGCTGTCGGTGATGGCTGCAGCGGCAGCTTCAATCTCGGCGCGGTAGAACGAGTTGGCGTGCAGAGTGTACGATTCCCACACGTTGGTGCTAGCGTCTAGGGTTACGGCCGAAGCACAGGCACCTCCAGCTTGTCTTGGCTGCTGTTTTTGTGTCTGCGAGGGGAGGCCGTTGACCACGACGGCCAGTGCCACCGCGGAAGCAGTGGTGTACTTCATGACGATGTCTTGAGAAGGAGCGACTAATAGACTGTTTAGTGGAGAGATGGGGATGTGCGCCGTGTCTGGAAAGTTATATTCAAATGCACAGGAGTTGGGGTTTATATACAGAGGATGTCTAGCATCATCAGCGAATAATCTGTAAGTAGTTGCGCCCTCCTGAGACTGTTCTGATTACTATGGGTCTTTTCACCCAGTAAGATGCAGTTCCTTCCCGAAATCTCCGTCAACCCCCTCAGCAAAACCAGCAAGACATCTCATGGCATGTTCGTCGTGGTCGGAGGGCTTGGAGTTACTTTTCACAATCGACGGCCGCCGGGCCGCCTCTGGAGTCTCACATAGTACCCCAAGACGCCCAGCGGCGCAATAAAATAAGTCCGTCAATCGCATGCTTTTGCGCCTCTGGTTCCTGACTCTCGGCCCCGATTGCTACCCCAAGGACTAGAAAACCCCGGTTGGGCTCTTCAGGGACCAGGCCGCCAAGACCACTATAAACTGCGGATAACCCCCTCCGTCGCATGGGTCAAAATCCCCGACAGCTGGTCTTGGCATCTTTCAGACGATCGCTACCCCTTCCATTATAAATGATCCTCCGCATCTATAAATGGCAACTGCCGTCTGATTCAGTTTGACCATTGCCAAGGCCGAAACTCTGCAAATAGCTTGTGTCACCTATAGTATTCACTCACTGCACGGCATCTTCGGCTTGAACAGTGTCATTCATCAGGGCTGACCTCGTCTAGATTTTGCATAACTTCGACGCAGTGTTAACCCCTCGATCCCCTCAGCCAATTTCCCGGCCAGTTTTCGGTTCTCTATTAATACGCTGTGGGTTCTCCCCGCCGGCGTAGCCTTCCAAATAGGGGCAGAAAGCTTGTTGGTACTCCTATCCACACGAGGGTTGGCCAAGCAGATAGCAGGTTGAGAAAGTTAAGGTGAGAGGAAATATATAGAATAGGGTGATGCTTCTTATGTAATTACCTTGTATTAGCAGTAGGAGAACCTGGTTATGCCGCAGGGCGCATCATGCATCATGCCCTTCGCTTACTGGCGGTATGATTGCATGACCCAATTCGCGATGGACATGTGAAATCTACTTGATAACTTTCATGCTGCTCTTTCTTCGCTAGCGTCCAGTTCTTACCTGGGTACTCGTGTTTGCATCTCGGAAGTAATAGCCACGCATCCAAGGTCAATATAATACTTGAAAATGGTTGTATACTAACTAGGTAACTTGAAGATCCATGGCCTTGCTAGATCATGAGGCTTTTCATCTATGGCAACACCATTCCTCTTCATCGGCTTGCTTCATCGGCTTGCTTTTGAAGCCCCCCTCAACACCTCTAACATGCGATATCATCGCTGAAGTTCCTCTAGTAAGACTACAAACCTTGGGACGTCTTTTTTCCTTTAGGTCAAGCAGCCTCAATTCTGGGTTCGCCACTATTAGTGAACCAAGCTCCCTGTTATGCATATAGCAGAAGCTAGGTTATCCATGAAACCACCGATCCAGAATCGCGTTAGGTAAGACGAGATGATCCATTATTATAGCAGAGAAAGGAACTATGGGGAAATGGTGCTTCGTGGTAGGCTCGGGGTTTTTAGTACGAAGAGAAGCTACATCAGCGCTTGAAATGACGCTAAAGTCCCCAATAAAACGTGACATATAGCCTGCATCCGCGATGCTTCTGGTTCTGTCGATCTAGTACAGGTAAAGGTCAAATTGCTTTTATACCTCGGACTGCTGGGGACATGGGTCGAGCTTCTGAATTGATGTGCAAGTGGTGACTACGAGATACGTTGGATTACTCTTCAAAGGGAATTCCGTCGTCAACCCAGCCTTGCAGACATGAAGTTATTCGCGTTATTTTGCAAGGCATATGTATTCCGCTAGTCAATCTAAGTACTTAACAACTGAACGCTTCAAAGTACTCTCTAAATTTGCATCTCAGGCGATAAATTATACCCGGAACGCCCGTAAGTGTCTCGATCGTCAGCCTTTACTTTGATTACTGAGAGGAGGAATGACTCGAGTATAGATGCCGTTGCTTTGGAACAACGTTGAGATTAACCTCCCCGCTGCGAACAAAGTGAGCATCGAAATATTGTTTAGTTCTAAACTAGCTTCCCTGGTAAATCTCGAGATCGTTCAGTCACTTACGCCATCAGGCGAGTTCACTGGTGACGTGCCACAGATGTCTTATTACCAACCAAATGATGCAAATGATTTGCTTTGACTCTCAACATTTTCATGTAAGTAAATGATTGAATAATTCCGAGATCGGATACGTGAGGGGGTGAGGGATTACAAATGTGCATTGCGCAAAAGTATAGAGTATGACGTGATTCCCCCTACACGCAATTGTCGCGGGTTTGGCCAATCGATACAGTGGGCCGCGTACCAACTAATATGACGCCTTTAATAGTATTCCCTCATGCTCTTACTCATAAAACGCAACGTACGATGCTACGATCGGAAAACTACTTATGTAGACTGGCTTGCCTCTTGCTCGTGCTCACTCATACGTAACCTTTATACACCAGAAATTGCCCTTACCAAAACCGCAACCATGGCACCAACTGAGTTCATTAGCTTGACTTTCCCCAACCAGTCGACGGAGCTGGACCCAAACCCTAATGCCTCGATTGAGTCGGCATTCCTGGCCCGTTACGCCCGTAACTTGGATGACTATGACTTTAACTACACACTTGTCCCCTATGGATCATCGTCATACGACCCCTTCACCATCGGGGCTACCATCGCAGCCCACACCAAGAACCTGAGAATCATCATTGCCCTGCGACCCAACACCATATACCCCACCGTGGCGGCAAAAGCCCTAGCGACGCTGGACCAGCTCAGCTCAGGCCGGGCCGTCGTGCACTTTATCGCGGGCGGCAGTGACGCCGAGCAGGCCAAAGAAGGAGACTTCCTCAACAAGGAGCAGCGCTACGGCCGGCTTGAGGAGTACATTCGGATCCTTCGTCGTGCCTGGTCGTCGCCCGAGCCCTTCGACCACGAGGGCACATACTACCAGTTCAAGCAGTTCAGCAACCAAGTCCGCCCCGTGAACGGCAAATCCATCCCCGTGTCCGTGGGCGGATCCTCAGACGAAGCATACCGTATCGGCGGCTCGCTGGCCGACATCTTCGGGCTCTGGGGCGAGCCGCTCAAGGAGACCAAAGAACAAATCAGTCGCATCTATGCCGAGGCAGACAAGGCCGGTCGTGGAGCCGACGACAGGCCGCGCATCTGGGTCACTTTCCGTCCCATTGTGGCGGAGACCGACGACCTGGCCTGGGAGAAGGCCCACCGCACCCTCGATGCTCTCAAGGGGTTCCGCGAGAAGGGGTTGGGGAAAGCTCCTGCGGACGCACCACCGCCGCAAAATGTGGGCTCACAGCGGCTGCTCGAAATTGCCAAGAGGGGAGAGGTGCAAGATCGGGCGCTCTGGTACCCAACAGTGACGGCGACAAAGGCAAGGGGGGCCTCAACGGCGCTCGTGGGCTCGTGGCAGACCGTTGCTGACTCCATCCTGGATTATGTTGATCTAGGATGCTCGTTGATCTCGATTCGCGGCTATGATAACTTAAATGATGCCATTGATTATGGACGCCATATTCTGCCCAGAGTGCGTGGCGTGCTGGCTGCGCGGGAAAATGGCTCTCAGGTCGCGTCAGGCTGATGGGTCTCTTGTATCAAACAAACTCATGTTTGGCACTTACATTGTTCCGAAACGAAAATACCAATGCTTCCAGTCACTGAAATGTGTTTAATTCTCGATTCTTGACCAAAACCCCTCATTACACTGTACCTTGTGACTCTGATCTCGTATTTCATCCGTGTGATCTCATCTCACCATAGATATAATAAGTGGCACAATGGAATGATATGATGACCACAGCATGTTACCCGCCTTGAATTTAGCTGATAGAGCACTAATAATTATTCCCAATGCTACTTCGTACATGTACCTAGTCCCAGGTGCTGGTTGAGTCCTAATGCCGCCTATCCACTGAAGGACTTCCACTCGTATGTTGGAGGTTATAGGACTGCACTGGGAACGACATGATCCACGGTGTTTGCGTCTGCACACATCCAGTTCTGAAAAATCTACACGAAGTCCAAATATACTTTGGGGCTGTTTCAGTCATCTTGCCCATACTAACGTGTAAGTGGCATGGGCAGGACGGAGATGTCTGAAGTCTCACGAGCATGGCGTATGGATGACCCCGCAAATAGATCTCTCTCCATCGACTGAATCAAGCTCAAGATATTAAGTAGTAACATTGTGTGTGTTTCCATTTTCATCCAGATAAAATGATAGTCGTATGTGTTTGGTCTGTTATCCAGTTGGGAATTATCAATTAATCCAAATACGGTCAGAAGATTGGGACGTTGGAGCAGTGGCTGGTAACCAGTAGCTGTGGCGCAATCAAAAGCTACCAAAAACAATTAAAGCCTAGCGTGTCAGTTCATTAGTCGTGCGGATGCGCGGTGCTCAACAACCTCTAGCTAGTTCCTCGTCCCCACGATGTGTTTTTCATCTCTCATACACGATGTCTGACCTGCTCTGACCCAGCTTTTGGGAGACTCACTCCCCACGAAGCCTCAGTCTTGCTTTATCTTTAGTCACTCGTTCCAGTCACTCATTTCGCGACAATCGTCGCCGCCCCTCGTTCCATCAATGCGACAAACTGTAGCTTTCGTCCTGCTGCTCCTAGCATCCGTCGCCACGCCGAGCACCGCTAGCACCACCACCACCACTATCTGGGCCACGCCCCACGAATCCTACTCCTCGTCCATCGGCGCCCTCGGTTGCAAGCTCAACACAAATCGGGTAGCCTACTTTCCCTTGGCGCCTTCATGCAGCTCCCTCTGCATCCGACTCACCCACGCATCGTCCGGTCGCTCCCTCGCCCTCCTGCGCATCGACCAATCCGACGGCGCTCACGATGTCTCGTACGACGCGTGGAACTACCTCGTCACCGGCGCGTCTGCGACCGACGCCCCGACGACGGGCGGTGCCGTCGCCATGGATTACGAGGAAGTGGATATGGACGAGTGTGCGGAATTGATACACGCGGATGGAGGGAAATTGGCCCTGAGTGCCTCGAATAGCATGAACTTCCTGTTCAGCTGTCTGGAGGGATATCCGGATGGCTGGCTTGCCCAGAATTACGCCCTGTACAATGTGTTGGACCCCATTTGTTCTTGGGGACGCGACGAGTTGTGTAATATCGATTGGGGCGGCGGGGCAAACCAGCCTACTTGTCCAAGTACTCTGGGGGTGCCGGCCCAGATGGGCGCCGACGACACCGTGTTCAATGTCCAGTATGGTACGGGGAGGCTGGTGAATGCGTCGGATGGCCAGGTCGTCGAAGATGGTGTCGGCAATGGGAGCTCGGGACGGGCCAGGGGCGCTGGACTTGGTCTTCTTGGACCCTTGCTGGCTTTGGCACTAGGGATCCATCTGCAGATTACTTAGATTTACACTCCTGACGATAGTTAATGAATAATATGTTGTTGTGTTTGCCTTGGGCAAACAAGGTGGTACGGCTTGATGGAGCCAACGTCGTAGGTCGAAAGTGCTGCCACCTGCGGAGTCACTATATGTAACACCACGGATTCTTCACAGCTTGTGAACCCGGTATCAATGACTGCAAGTTGCGGGACCACTGTTTTACAAGTTGACCCATCGTTGGAAGTAGCTTTGACGAAAGGGGTATATATTGTAGCTCTGTTCAAGCGAAGGATACCAGTTTATCAACAGTAACAATTACAAGAGCTCTATTTTTTTCAAAGACGTCCCCAAGAATCTCACCTCCGCAAACCCAAATGCTACATGCGCAACTATTATAAGACACCCTCATCTCTCCGTCACCCATCTACACCATTTTTTCCGGTCCTTCGCCATTGGTGTGCGTCACCTCGGTGCTGCTACCGCCGTTGATGACACCTTGAGGGTGCCCGTCGCTGGTGTGGCGTTGTAGCTCGACGTAGTCGTAGGCGAACTCTCCGAGCTGGCCGTCGTCGATGCCCATGTCCTCCTCCTCGGGCAACACGCGCAGGCTGAGGCCGGGCACGAAGTTCATCAGGAACAAGATCAGGCACGTCATGACGAACGAGTACGAGAAGCCGGCCACGCTATCGGCCAATTGGTAGCCGAGCTGCACGTAGTTGTGGTTGATCCAGCCGCCGGGTATCACGGTGAAGCCGTCTAGGTGAGCTATGTAGTCACTGGAGCAAGGTCAGTCCGTGATTCATACGTGCCAGTTGCACGTCGGGGGTGGGTAAGCTTACGCGGCGAAGAGACCAGTCAGCAAATTGCCGACAATACCACCAATGCCGTGCACAGCAAAGATATCGAGGGCATCGTCAATGCCAAGCACAAACTTGAGCTTGGTGGCGAAGTTGCAGGCAATACTACCAACAACGCCAAAGATGAAAGCAGCCCAGGGAGTGGTGAAACCCGAGCCAGGGGTGATGGCAACGAGGCCGGCAATGGCGCCGGAGCAGAAACCCACCACAGACCACTTCTTCTCTAGACGGTAGTCAAGCAGGCACCAGGTAACGCCACCAACGGACGCGGCAATGTTAGTTACCATGCAGGCCATGACGGCGCGCAGGTTAGCTGCCAGAGCCGAACCTCCGTTGAAGCCGAACCAACCCACCCAGAGAAATACCGTGCCAAGAACGACGTGGGTCACGTTATGCGGTCGGTAGGGTAGGCCGGCCGACTTGGAGTATCCGGTTCGCTTTCCGAGCATGAGCGAGTAGGCGAGCGCAGCAGCACCCGATGAGATGTGAACGGGCGTTCCACCGGCAAAGTCGAGACCACCCATGACGAACGACCAGCCATTGGCGTTCCACGTCCAGTACGCAATAGGGTCGTAGACGATGGTGGCCCAGATAAACATGAAAACAATGCAGGGAAGCATGCGAGCACGGTCGACAGCGGCACCAATGGCAAGGGCGGGACTTTATTTTGTCAGTGAAAATCGGAGAAATCCAAGCCGATAAAAGACTCACGTAATGGCGGCGAACATGCCTTGGTATAGGCAAAACAAAATGTCGGGCACCTTGGTGCTACCAACCGAGGGCGCACCGAGTACATTCATGAGACCGAAGTTGGAGAGATCGCCGATGAAACCACTGGCGCCGTAGTGGGAAAAGGTCAAGCTGTAGCCCCAGAAGAACCATTGGAAACTGACGACTCCCACCGACATCATGGACAGCCAGATAAGGGAGAGGGCCGACTTGCGTCGAGCAAGGCCCGAGTAAAAGAATCCGACACCGGGAATCATGAGCAGCACAAGCGCAGTCGAGGTCATGATCCACGCGAAGTCACCACTCTGGGTGCTGTGTTAGCCTCCTGGGATTCAGAGCTGATACCATTGGCTTGGTATTCGTTTTGGTGGGGAGGAGCGGGAAGCGGGAGCGTGAGCGGAAGGGAGATCGAACCTCGTAGTAAATGTTCAAGTCCTCGGTGAGAGAGTCACCCCCCGTGTCGATGGTGCCATTGTATGGCTCGACGTAGAGAGTGGACGACATATTGTCGAGTCGCGACTGTTGTTGAACCGGGGATCCGTTGGCGCTTTTGGTCGACTGACACTGACTGACGCTGACAGTCCAACGAGACTGGGGACACTTGCCCAAGGCGCCACGCGTCTATGCGGTAGTACGAGGACGGATGAAGAGGAGAAGTGAGAGAAAGTCAAATAAATTTCCTAGGCCAGAATGCCGGGGATCTCAGTAGGCTAAATACGAACAGGGAGCTCTCATGGAGAATTCACTGATGTGAGTCTCGGGGGGTTACATTCGCCCAAGATGGCGCTCCGCGCGCCGCCGTGACCCGGTACCAAGGATCTCATACACTTGATTTGATTACACCCATTAGATCCCATCCCTAGATAGCAGGAGGTACGTACTTCGTACCAAGGGTAGATCGGAAAGAAACCCTCGGCCGGACATGGTCCACTGATAAGACCATCAACGCAAACGGTCGACTGCGCCGGAGCGCTGCCTGTGCGCAGGGATTGGAGAATAAATCGACTCCAAACTCGACGAGGATTGGACTGCGCCACTTGGCATGGTAAGCATGGGGGTACCAGACGTGGGCTCGTGGGCAAATGGTAGAGAGTGGGAGTATCGAAAAGTATGGACATGTACATGTCAACTCTTCGCGTGATCAACCAAGCCAGCTGGGCATAGTCTGGCCAAGAGGAAAGATAACATGGTAGAGCTGTAGTCTCAAGGTGTGGGTGAGAAGGCTGATGATTTAAGACATGCCCCCAAGCAAGTCGAGAAAGAGGCGTTACATGGTCGCCCAACCATAGGCAACCAATCAACGGTGGCGAGCCCGACGGCATCGGGATGTCACTGATTGCGATGATGGACGAGAAATTCGTGAGGCTCAATCCTAATTACAATGGAGTGCCGATGCAGACGACGCGCGAGGGGTTTCGGAGTGCAAATTTCGTGGATAGTCGCTGGCGCATGTAATAAACACGACATACAGGTGGCTGCATGCGTCGTGCCGTGACAAAATGAGAATCGCTGGACGAAACCAGATAGGATCGGATGAGGGTGCATCCTTCAGCTTTCTCAAGCAAGAAAAAACCGTGAAAGCTGATGGTGAGCTCCCCCAGATCATACCCAGCAGCCTATTCACGAAGTAGGATGTAGTGTGGTGTGACAAGCCGACTGCAGGATTCTTTGTGATGCGCAACGCTGGGTGGCATTTGCGACTTGTGTCATCAGTTCTGCGAGATCAGCGCTGAGCCGAGACATCGACAACACGGTAGAGAGCGCACCAGGGATCGAGAAACCCATTGATGTCGGAACCATGCACCCATGATGAGTGTAGCACGCCACGGGAGAGGGCCAGGGAAGCTGCTCCGTGTCATCTCGCCTGAGCCTGATTTTGAAGATTGGAGGATACAAGCGACCACGCAGCCCTTGCAAGTCGACGAGTTATGAACAATCGCAATGACAGATTAAAGAGCAAACATAAGGGTCGAACGACGACGCGCCTTCCGACACTCGTTATCGGATCAAGCCGGAGTTGCTCACCTGCAGCTTATCAAGACGATGGATGGCGGAGTTGGATTTGACGTTGACAGTTCGGCTTGGGCCCAATTTTGGAAGCGACAATTCAAAGTTGCCCCGCTTCCCATAGGATCCCGAGACCCATCAACCCACTAAGGCGATAGACAGGGCAGACCTCTCGAAATTCCCATGAACGATGATGAGCTGACTTCAATCTCTAGCATCAACCTCCATTGGGATGCTGCACATCGCACCAGGTCCCGTACACGCCGATATATTGGTTGCGCGCCAAATGGAAACAAACAGTCCCAGTCGATCGATTCATTTGGGGTGCCTATCCCTGGCAACGATATAATGAAGACAGGTACGTACTGCAACTAGAAGTACTGATCAGCCTTTCTAATCCAGGGCAGGCCCAAGGTGACATTCCGTCTTCCCCTCACCGTCAGCACTGCATCTCTGTTTCTGCAGCACCCTTCACTGATATGCGCGGCTGTACGAAGTAGAACTCTGATGCTGCTGAATGCTGCTGAATGCTCTGCCTTGGCATACTTATTTCAAGCAAACAGGCCAGGCAGGAGGGGGCCGGCCACATACAGCTCATAAATGATATACACGCCAAGCGTGCCAAGATATTGGGCCTGCTATGCCCAGAGATAAGGAAACCCTCTGGCCAATTGCGGTGCTAGGACCCTGGCCGGCACCCTTGAACCACCAGACGCCTCTTGCTAACGTCGCTCGCCAAATAGACTTCCATTGTCGGCGATTGGCCTGCTAGCTTCATCACGTCCGCGGCAGAGACGGGGTAATCAACTTCAACGAGGTTGTCTGCAAGAAACGTTTCTGTTTCGTACGTGCTTTTTGTCACAGCTTGGCTGTTTCTGCCATCGTATCCCTGCGAGATCTCGCCCGACCTCTCTCTCTCTCGCCCGAGAACCCGATCCGCAATAGCACGACGGTGCTCTGCCTCACTCTTGGCCCAAGTATTGAAGCTTCGAACCCCCCAAATTCATGCCGACACCGCCAGCTTTCTGCGCAAATGTGCACACATCAAGTAGCCCGGAGATAGGACGAGCTCTCAAGCAACTGCATTGTGTAACTTCACCTGCCCGGCCAACCAGAGACCCTCAAATGCCTGTCCCATGAAGCCTGAATCCACTTACGCATTTCCATATGACCAGCGCACCCGCATTATGAACCACTATCCCGGGACAACATTAGTGGACATTTGCTGTCGCTTAGTTTCCCTGCTGGGCTCCCGTTCCAGGAACCAGTGGCATATCCTCGGCTTTTTTTTCTTCTCTTTTTCCTGTCTACCAGCGGCTTGATTGATGACTTGTCGACGCCAGTTTGCCGCACACAATTGCTGATCAGACATGGTCTTGATGTTTCGGAAGCCTATCGAGAATGACCTATCGTCACATTGAGAACGGTTTGCAAATGCCTGTCGGTGGATTTCAGCTCTGAATGGCCCACGAAAGCACCCTTAGCTTGTCTTGGCAAATGCTTATTTGGCAGGACCCTCATCGCTGAATGAACCGGCGCGCACACGAGAATATTAGGTGGTGTTCAAATAAAGAGGTATTCCAGCAGTCAATAAGATAAGCAGTTCGCGTAGCTGTTTCTAATATACTATCTGATCGAGAAGCAAATCTCGAACTAGCAAGTCGGCACATGAACATGTAACTCAGGTGCAGAGGTGCAGACGCTTGCCTCGTCAGCTCAACGACGTTGCCCTCCCAACTTCCCCTTTGGGTGCTGCTTCATCTCGCAAAGCTCACCGCACCCTCGCGTACAGGCTTCATAACCTGCCGCTCAAATTTGCAGGCGGCTTGGTGAAGCCGAAATGTCACACTGCACCGCGCAAGAGTATTAGCCGATTCGCAGTGGACGCTGCGCGCTGGCTGAGCTGCAGCTATGTCTTCCGTGTACAATCTGACGATAAAACAAGCACTTGGTTCACGCCCACCCAATAATGCGAAATGCATCTGGAGTGTGTTGTATTGTTTGCGCTTTCAAATACCAGCTATGCCTAAAGACTGGGATCTCGAGATGCTCCACCTGCAGCGCCCATAACATCGATCTAGACTTGAGGATTCATACATTCTCTGTCTGTCCGGTCTTAGCTTATCCACACTTCAATCAAGTATTATCAGGTCTAGCAGGCACTATCCGTGCCACACCCCACTTATTTCGGATTTGCTTGAGCTCACCAACCTAAGTTGGTGCTCACCACCAACTTGGCCAGTTTTTCGACACTTTCAACTTCAACCTATCCTATCTTCGTCAATTCATTAGCTTTTTCCAATTGCAATGGACTCACAGCTACAGGAAGCCGTCCTCTACATGCAAGAGCATCCTCAAGCCAAAATTGCCAAGATTGCGCGAGAAAGCGGCGTAAAACGCGAGACCCTCCGATACCGCGTCAAGCAAGCTGGGAAGACTAAGAACCACGGAGGACTCAACAAACTACTATCTGAAGCCGAAGAAAAGGCCCTCTGTAATTATTATTATTATTAAATACGCCGTAGGCTCGAAGCCCCCGGTACCTCTACTAGTACTCCCGTATGTCAAACCGTGCCCTAATGGCTGGACTAAATACATACGCTGCGTCGTCGGTTCGCTCTATTGGCGACTGCGTTGCGTTCACTACCATACTACGTTGGTTCTCAACCTACCAACAAAGTCCCCCCTGAGAAGATCGATGCTATCTGGGCCTTGAAGCTGTCCGACCCGTCCCTAGCAGCCACCTTACAATAGTCCCACTAACTACTGGTTCTCCTGTTGCCGTTGCGAGGTCTCTGCGAGAGTATAGTGGCCGTGGTGCGATAGCGGCCCGTAATCGTTCCCTCGGTCCTTCCAACAGCCCGCAAAAGAGGATTACGTGCTCTGCTGTCTCAGGGGCGTCGCCACAGCGGCATAGCGGCGAGTACACGCCAAAAGCCCCTGTCTTGAATAAGAAGTCTGCTAGTCCTATTTTTCCGTCCTGATCTGGCACAGCGTAGACGCCTCCAGTCGGTTCAGGCCGAAATACTTGCCCCCTTTCGGTATCTGCATCGAAGGGCCCTCCGGTTCCTCAGCGATAGCGCGTCACTGGCGATCGTGATGCTCTGCTCCGGTGAGCCATCTCTTCCTCCAGTGGCCGAGGATGGCAGCCGGGACCTCCTTTTCCTCACTCATCCACTCGGAGAAGTTCAATTAAAAAGCCACAACAGACTAAAGTTTATTGAAATTTATTCAGAGCTATATACATCTGACAATTATAGTTCGACCTGACAAGTCTTTACATTATGTCCGGTCTTCTTACACTTACTACATCGTCGTACAGTCGACGGACCAGCCTTTTCTTTACCCCCCCTAGAGCACTTGTCCTCCTTTACCTGGGCCTCCGCGTCCTTCCGGGCCAAAATGTCCAGGGCATCCTCGACAGTAAGTGCACCTCCTTGCCGGACACGCGATTTTTTTGACCTCCGACGCTTGCATAGTGCCTCATTTGCCTTGCGAAGGGTGGAGCACTCAGCCTTCAAGAGGGTATTCTCATGGGCTAATCGAGTTATACCCTTCGCAAGGTGGCCAACAGCATCAAAAATTGGGGTCGGAGAGCTTCTCTGATGTCTGTCGATTCGGCGATTGACAAAATCGGACTGCGAGAGAGCCTCTGTCGGGTTATTTGGCGTTTGCGAAACCCAAGGGTCAGCATCTAGAAGAGAGGGGCTAACGGGTGTAGGCGACCGAATCCTAACATCCAGCTTCGAGATAACAGCTTCAGGGTCGTGGGGGACTAGGCCGGCCCCTCGAAACCCTGCCTTGATGTTTTTGTCGGTTATTGTCTTTAAATAAGCCTCCTTAAAAGCGATAGAGAACTCGACCTTAGTAATGTGGTTAATATGGGACTTGATAAATATATCAATCTCTCGACCGTATATACGTTTCAAGACCCCAAAGCACCCGACATCAAGTGGCTGGGTTAGATGAGACGAGTGCGGGGGCAGACTGATAGTAATAATGCCGTTAGACTTGCAATAAGACTCGAAATCGGCCGATGTATGACTCTCATGCCCGTCCAATACTAACAGCCGATACACGCCTCTTTTGGTCGAGATAGTGTGCTTGTTGAAATGTTTGATCCAGTCTAGACCAGTCTCGTTGTTCGTCCACCCGTTTTCAGTCGGTTTGACTACCCAATCGGCTGGTAGGTCCCCCTCAGTATACCAATTAGCAAGGTGATAGTTCCCTTGAATTACCAGAAATGGCGGGATGTCGCGACCCTCCGAATTGACACAGGTAATCGCCGTGGCCCATTCCCGGTTACCTGGCTGGACCTTCTTGCCTCTACCATTACGTTCAGACGAGGTAACGACCATCGAGCGTTGAATAACGCCCATCATAAAGCCCGTCTCGTCGAAGTTCCACATATCGCAGTCCTGGATCCCGTATTTGGCCCTCATATTCTATACAAGCCGGAACCAGTCCTCAATAATCTTTGGATCCTCTCAGAGGGCCCTCTGGAAGTCATACGAGCGAGAAAAACGCGTCTGTAACTCTGGGGTTCGCTTTACAAAGCGATGCGCCCAGAGCTTGCCGACGCGTCGGGTACCCCGCGTCGCAAGAATGGAATTGGCCATATCTTCCACACCCTCTAGCCGGGGAGGAAACCCTCTCAAATCTAGGTCGAGTACATGCTGAACAATAGCTCTTTCCTCTATCTTGGCGAGTAGTGCGCTATTCGGCCAGATTTCGGTACGTGGGGTGCGACCGTGGATTCAGTCACGGAGTGAGGACTCGGGTACACCGTATAGCTTTGCTGCTCGACGTTGGCTCATATTTTTGGTCGATCGGATAGCTTCGATGGCAAGGTTGATTTTGGCTTCTTGGGTTTGAACTGACATGGTGTTGTTGTTGAGGAAATAAGTGTTGAAGTCAAAAGGTTGGAAAAGTTGAAAAAGTGCGCGACTCGGTGATATGCGCGACTTGGTGTTAAACCACGTTACCAAAGACGCCATCACCACCACCAGCCCCTTCATCTTCGTCATATGAAGGCACACCTACTACTTTTCGACAAATTAATAAAGTAGCTAGCAAGATTACGAACTGTCTTACTGATCCAGAGCTTGGTATTAGTCCAGATCTAGCCTATCGACTTAGTCGCTTTGTTAAAGGGTCCCTCGTTAATGCGACCGAGCTTATACAGACTAAGCGCGATCTTAGCCGTACAAAGCACGCCGAACGTATATCAAAACAACGGCGCGCTACGAAGAACTATCATCTTCAATCTGGTGGAGTTTTATCCGTTGCAGAAGGTAGAGAGATGGTGAAGAGGAAGGTTGAAGATGAGGTAGCTAAAGCACAGAGAGTGTCACGACCTGGGTTGCATCGCATGGGTATAGACCTCGATTAGGTGCTATCGACGAAGATTCTACTCTAAGGAGCGAAGGAAAGAAGATGACAACTTAGGTTTAAGGGAGCGCGACTAAGTCATCCACGCTTGGCGGGGCTCCTACAAGGGTTATGATTGGCTTCCCATCTGACACTGCCACGGCAGGTGTTCCAGCTGTAAGTCACCTGGTTGTAGTGAGTCTGCGAGGGTTGACCTTCACAGAGAGTTCTCGCCAAGTATCATGAAGGACTACATAGAGTAGCCAAAAAGAGCTTTTCTGATGCCGCAAAAGAAGCTAGAAGACGTCGATTGACAAGCCAATTACAGCCTACAGATGTCTTCGAGACAGGCCTTGGTTGGCGGTTATTACGTAGATTCTAATTGAAGGTTGAAATCCGTCGAAAAACTGGCCAAGTTGGTGGTGAGCTCAAGCGAATCCGAAATAAGTGGGGTGTGGCACGGGTACGGGAATTAGTGTAGGGCGCTACCTTGTACACTACTACCAGCTGCATCTAGAAAACACTATATAAAGACTTCAACTAACGTAGTCCACGGTCCAATTGCACACTTTGGCAGACCTTATACGATAATGTATAAGTTAATTCAACCACAACGCCTATCATCAATTGAAACTACTCAGAATCGTTACCTTCAGACGTCTCTACATCATTTCCACAAGTGCGCGCATTATGTCTGGGCTCGCCGCAGGTTCTACAGCACCGTACACGCGCAATTCGCCGCCTCGTACGACCACCAATTTGACGAAATTCGTCATGTAACTGCCCATCAACCTCTCGTTGTACGCGTTTAAAAACGCCGGTAAAAAGTCTTCTTTCGAGATATGACTTATATGTGCTTGTAACGAGGATACCACACGTCTCACAATATAATAGTCAGGTAGTGCAAAGGGTAGCTAGAAGTAGGCCAGTGTATGGGTGCGTATATTGCAAGACTGATTCTTGAAGAATCTAAACTAGGTGCGAGCGTCTCGAGTTCTCCTCTTAAGCTGGGCGGTTCCGGGGTTTTACCGGATCGGGGCGAATCCCTCCCGACTCAGCTTGTCAGCTGAGACCGGCCCGCCACAACGGCTCTTTCCTTACAGTGCTCGCATGAGATCTTCGATTTCTTTTCCGTACGCTCTTTTTAACCCGCGAAAACAACCAACATCAAGAGGCTGGAGCTTATGCGACGAATGAGGAGGCATACAAAGCGTGACGATATTGTTAGCTTTGTAATATACCTCGAAATCGGTCGGGTGATGGCTTTCGTGACCGACGAGGATCAATAGGCGATGAGTACCTTTCGTACGAGACTTGGTGTGATGATCGAAGTGTTTTATCCAATCTTCGCCTCTCTCGTTCGTAGTCCAGCCATTTTTAGTAACTGCGATAACCCAATCAGGCGGTAATAGGCTGTTTTCGTACCATGACGAGAGGTGGGTTTTGCCGGCGAAAATGATATACGGAGGGAGGGCATAACCGAACGACCCAACGCCTTGAATAACTATAACCCATTCCCGATTTCCTTGCTGGGCTTCTCTAGGCCTTCCGCGCCGATCAGAAGTCGTCACGACCATTTCGGACGAGATTTGGCCCATCACAAAACCGGTCTCGTCTGTGAAGGTCAACCCTCGCAGACTCACTACAACCAGGTGACTTACAGCTGGAACACCTGCCGTGGCAGTGTCAGATGGGAAGCCAATCATAACCCTTGTAGGAGCCCCGCCAAGCGTGGATGACTTAGTCGCGCTCCCTCAAACCTAAGTTGTCATCTTCTTTCCTTCGCTCCTTAGAGTAGAATCTTCGTCGATAGCACCTAATCGAGGTCTCTACCAATGCGATGCAACCCAGGTCGTGACAGTTATTTAGTTATTTTAGTTATTCAGCTTATCTTTACGTTCGAGATCCTATTATCACGATACGAGTCTCAGAGGCACATCCGACCAACTCGCGCACCAGACGTATAAGAGCTCCACTCTTATAACCAGTACCACGATCTTCGTCTGATAAGACCAACAGATGGGATCTGTTGGTACTGGAGCCGTCTGTTCAGTGTGTTAGGTGGTAGGTATATCCTACTGACCGCCTGACCCCGTTTCAATGCTCGCGAATCTAGGTCGGTTATATGTCGTACGATTGCCTCTTCTTCGGAAGGAGTCAACTTTTGCGTTGGCGATCGCGTAATCGCTCGAGCGGGTTTACCGTCGCGTCGATACGCAAGGGTTCTAAAAGGTACGTTATAGATCTGACCAGCGCGACGTACACTTAATTTTGGATTAGATTGAAGCGCATGTAATGCTATAATCATATCACTTTCATTCCAAGAATCAACCATAGTTATGTGGTGAAAAACCGCAGGTCAAAGTGGTAGCGTACGAAAATCTGCCGAAGTGTGCAATTGGACCGTGGACTACGTTAACAAAAGTATATTTAGCTAGTTCTAAACCTATATAATCCGCACAGTATTATATAGTACCTGAAAGTCGAAGGAGTTTGACATGAGTTAGTAGGACGCTGGTATTAATCTGCGTACTGTCACGAATAGGATTGTGTCGTCTGTCATTTGAAGATCCACCACCGCTACAAGAAATTCTTGGCGGCCGGTACAGGAGCAGGGAAACTCGCTAATGTATTATATATGGCAATATCATCCGCTGACAATCATTGGTGTCGATTTTGCATCTTTCTAGCACTCAAGTCAACGGTCTATCTCTAACAAAGGAAAATATACTCCGACTCCGTACTCCCTCTACATGAATATCCTTCTTCCAAATTAAAAATACGGCATGACAGGGCGGGATGGTCTGCTCAGCAGGGTCTCCCTTCAATGTCTTGATGCACCCATATCAACGGCCCTCCCAAGTGTCGATATACTTGGGCAATACACGACAAGCCGGGATTTTGAAATCAGCCACTCCACGGTGCTTTTCCGGACAATTCTTACATGTTCAACAACTTCCCAAAGGTATCATTGCTCCTACCGCTAAACCGGCGGTCATACTTCCCCATGCCGACTCGACTCAGCCTGCTCCTCGACTTTGGAGGCGATTCCTGCTCATCCTCTTCATCAAAGTTCCGATACACCACTAGGCCCTGCCCCGGTGCCGTCAATCCAACTCCGTACGGTCCCGCCCAGTACTCCGAATCTCGCTCTGATGACTCCGGGGAGTTAGGCGAGCCCGAGCCGTCTGCGAAACTCGACTGTCGTGATGTACCAGGCGGTGTGGCCAACGTGAATTGCGGCGCTTTCCTTGACGGGGAATAAGCACCGAAGAGGCGAGAGACGCGCGACATGATACTGTCCCTTTGCACGACGATGGATGTGACCGAGTCGCTGAATTGGGATATGCTGGAGTCTGTGCGAGATGGCGCTGATGGGGGCAGGAGATCAGTGATCTTCCCTGCTTTAAAGGCCCCTCCTTTTTCTACGTCCGGCGCCGAGTCATAAGAGACATGATTGATCATGTTTGTATCTTGAGGTTCGACTTGATTTTGCACGCTTGCACTGTATTTGCCATCGTCTTGTGTCATTTCCACCTGCAGGTTCATGGTAGGTCTTGTTCGTTCGTTCTTCGATGCCTTGCCGCGGCGAATAATTACGAAGGCGAAGAGGCCGACGCAGACGAGCCCTAGCGTTACTGCCAGAGCAATGATGGCCAGAGTCAAGTTTGTGGGACGTTGGGGACTATTGGTGGTGTCAACAGCTTTGGACGTCGAGGTGGATTTTTGTGCCACAGGAGGTGCGATGACCGATGCTGAGTCGTAGGCTTTCTCTGCGGCAGCTGCCGTCGTCTCTGTCGTTGGAATTCCCACAGTGGATGTCACAGCATAACCAGCAGCCACTGGTGTTCCGATAACGTTCAGGGCGTCGCGAGTCTTCGTTGTTGTCCGCGTCACCGTCGTTGTGCGTCCCGCCAGAACCATACCAGGAGTGAGAGGGTGGGTCTCGAGGGCCGGCAAATCGGAGCTCTGCCAGCGGATCTGGATGGCAGGACCGACTGTAATGGAATCAGACCCTTGGCTACTCGTGTATCCCCAGACTCCCCCTTGGCCATGAGCTGTGTCTGTTGTGCATGTATAACCTCTACTACCGAGTCAGTTTGGGTATGACCCTGAAGCTCTCATGTTTTCTTTCGCCTTACTGACCTTGGAACACAGTATACCACCGTTTCGCCGCTCCGTATAGCTGGAATCCCCTCTGGCGCCCGAGTTTTCGTGATTTTGCATTCAGGTCCGACATTGAAACCTCTGGGGCATATAGCTGGTGAATAGTATTGCAATCCGTGGCCAGCCACATTGCTTGCCCATGCCGGCGGGTTGCACGAAGATGGCCCAGCCGTTGGAAAGGGGGGGATATGCTCGGGTGCCGTTGTGGCCGACTGGAGCCAAGTCGTTGGGCAAGGGAAATCGAAGGCTGTTGTCATAGCCGCCAGCGGCGCTGAGATTATTGGGCACGGCATTTAGGTGGGATGGAGTTTGAGATGATCGTGCTAGCTCGACAGCATCTCAAATCATCATCCACAGGTATTCCACATCGATTTTGAAGAGGAACAAGTACAGCCGGATTTTTAATGGGAAGAAATGGGAGAGGCCAATACAAAATACTTGTGCAGCCCACCTGGAAAGATACTAACGAGGGTCCCATCATTTCACTTGGATATTTCGCCGAGAGAAGGCGTTTCATCGTTTAGGTGGTTTCTTCGTGGAATCCAGTCTTTCCACATCGTGAAACCGTGGTTGTTGTGGTGATAGACATAGCTCAACGCCACAAACTTTGTACGAGATAGCAATGTCCACATAATTTGCCTTTGACACGAGAATTATACGCGCTAGAATTTCCAGAAACAATTACGCTGAAGCGACTAACCCTGTGACGTATAAGATCGCGAACGCCTCAAGCCGTCCCGCCATGCATTTCTCATATTCAGTGGATGTACCCTTCGTTTACTGATAGTATAATCTCGTGCGCAGCATTATGTGGTAGATCAACCCCAGACGAACAGTCCATCTTGATTAGGTGCAGTCAAGGCTAACGCTCGAAGTTACTACGAGACATCGATTTAAGGAGCTTGGGCTGACAACGGATCGTAGGGGAGGTTATCATTCAGTTAGCACTATTCAAAGGCAATTTCTGCTAGCTCGTGATGGTGTTGGCAGTCAACATTCTGGCTAGTTTGTGGTAGACACTCCTCTCATCCTCGTTACTTTTTTACTCGCCATAGTTTAATGCATTGAGAAGTTGCAGTATAAGAGGACTTTTCAAAGTTCGTAGACGGACAAAATAAATTCGTATTTAATTCTGGCATGTATTGAAGTATCAAGCACACATCGCCAATATTGGACTAACCTCAAAATAAAACCTTATCTGCACCGTACTAAGATGATCAGATGTTGACAAGCAAAGCAGCACCACCAAATAGAGCAACAGCACCAACAGCGCCAGTCGCCAAAGGCGCAGCGGCTGCAGCATGTGTAGCACCGCCTGGACCCGTAGTCGCAGCCGGATTAGTTGATGTAGGCGTGGTAACACCACTAGTAAATGGAATGCCACCTGTTCCTGTAGCTCCACCGCTGAACGCAGGAGGGGCAGTTGTCGCGGTAGGATCAGGAGTAACAGTATTATTGCTTGGATTCAACACCCTAACACTGTAAGCGGAAGCTCGGTAGTATGGAATGCAAACTTACTGGTTAATGACATGAGCCACACCGTTGCTAACCAGCACATCAGGTAGGGTGACCTTGGCCGCGTTGACGTACACGTTACCATCATTGACTGTAACCTTCAACTCGTCCCCATTGGTAGCACGAAGGGAGTTATTGCCGTTAATCAAGGTACTGTATAATACCTGCCCTTCAACAATATGGTAACCCAAAACATTGGCCAAGTCTTCATTGGACAAGCTGCCGACCACGCTCCCAATGGCGTTAAAAGCGTCATTGTTGGGAGCGAAGATGGTGACGTCGTGGCGAGTGGCGAGGGTATTGTCCAGATTAGAAGTCTGGACGGCACCGGCAAGAGCGGTCAGGTTCGCTGCCGTCAAGGTGGCCGTGTCATTTTGGGGGATGCTGAGGACACCATCAATGATATGAATGGTGCCACCAGTGAAGTTGACATTCTAGATAGTGTTAGTATGGTTGGTCAAGTTCACATATCGTTGTGTAGGGAAGTTCACTGGCTGGACGACGGTCACTTTCTGTTTCAGAGCACTGTAGATGTTGACGGAGTCACCATCCGCTTGGGCCTCGACTCTTTGACCGCCAGTGACATTCGTAAACGTTTCGTTAGTGAGGAGGGTAGGGATAAACTTCGCGTCATCTGTGAAGTTGGATGCGAAGTAGGTGCCCGTGAGAACGTGATATTGTAGCAAGGCAGTCACGGTGCCGGAATCAGCGAGGGAGTCGGCCGCGTCGACATCGCGCAGAATATTGTTCAAGGCATCGTTGTTGGGTGCTAGTACAGTGATGTTGGATGCGCTGTTGAGTGTGTTGACGAGATCGGGATACTGCGCCAGAAGACCTTTGGGGCCGTCAATTCCATGGTAAAAACCCCAAGAGTCAGGGAAACATACCATTCAACACAGATAGGGTATCATTCTGTCCGTTCAGAGCCTCGGTCAGGGATTGGGCCGCACAAGTGCTGATCAGCGCCAAATGGAGTAGTTTCTTCGACTGCATCGTAACTGCTGTGATATTGCGATTCCAGAAACTCGAATGAGAATTTCAGCGTGCGAATTTCGGTACAATATCGAAACTCCCGTCGCCATGTACAGGGTGCAGCTTCCGTCCTCTTTAAGAAGACGACACAACGTTCACAGATATACGCGGTACTTGCAGCATGCATCTCAAGACTGCTGCATCCAGCAGACTCAAAGACGTAAGACAAGCGAATGACTAAAGTCATGATGTCGTTGAGCAGGGCCGAGAGGAAAGGAGCTCCTTGATTGAGGAAAGACCAATGATATTGTCCCCATGGTTTCCGCGCCCAGACATCCCCGACCAAAGCTAGATCGAGCCGTATTTTCCGGTCCAAACCCGTTCTATCCGCGCCAAAGCAACGGCGATAAGTCATCGTCTTCGGCCCATGTTAGGGTTCGGCGAAAGCAGTTGACAGCTGATGTTGAGTAGAGTGCGGCGACCAGTTGAATAGTACACAAGGTCAGCCGCTGTCAGATGAAACTCAAGAAGAGAGTTCCCATAGCCAAAGTCATGGTAGTTCATGGGGGATTGACCCCCAAATCATCATTTGTGGACTTTTCGTAACGAGCTGGGGGAAGAAAAGTCAATGTCGTCAGGATAGGTTCGAATGAGCCCCCTTCCTACGCGCTTGATCCCTGGCTAGCAACACTATTTCAGCCAGCACTCGACACCCTATTTCCCCGCAATTCGGCAATCGGCTTGTGCACCGCCTGCCGTACTATGCGTTCCAAGGCCGCATTGGCAGCTCCGATTGGGGCTGTGCCCACAGAGCAGGTGTGTTCCCCGAAAGCATAAACCCTCTCCAAACTGGTCAATGCGTGGGCGATGGATCAGGTATTGTGATAAGGGAAGAGAGATCGGGTGCTTCAGCTCGACTGAACCTCTAACAGTATCTGGCTAAGCACTCTAGCAAGATATGTAAGCACCTCGGCTGGTTTTTGTCATCCACAAAGCACAGGGAGCCACCAGACAAGAGCATGGCATCGCAAGTTGAGTATATCATGAGATATTTGGCAGAGATCAACGCCGAGAATCGTCAGCTTGCACTTCTGCAGACTTTGGCTGATCGTGTAAGTGGGGTATTACGCGGCATGCTCGATGAAAAACTGTAGTATCTAGAGCTTAATGACTTGAAAGTATGAACTGTGAATCGACTTACTAAGATGCGGCTTTTCACCAGTGGCAATGAACCAAGATGGGAGAGAATCCACGAATTCACGGTGTCCACCATTTCTCTGTCGCCTACTCTTGGGGCCACAAGTCGAATCGAAGATGACCAAATTCGGATCGAACTCAGTCGGTCACAGCCTGGCACCCACCAGTGGATCTGATTATTCGCTTCCCTACTTGAGCTTGAGTACTCAAGCAGACAATTACCAAAGCCGACCGCAATGTGTATGATGAGGTTGACCGTGCGACCCAGAAGCTCTGCACTAAAGCTTCCAGAGCTTTGTCTGTATCACGAGCCTTTGATGCTTCATATCAGTCGTGTATTCCTTTTGTTTATCCATGAGCCAATATATGGTTTAATCCGGACCACCCATGCATGTCAAAAATATCGCTATGTTTTAATAGTATCCTTCTTATGTGTAGAGAAAGTGCTATTGCACCTGCCGGGTTTAGCACCCCTTCCCGATCGGTATCGCACGGTCGCGCACCCTTATCAGCAACCATAATATGCATATATAAGACTATTTCCGGGATATCAAGTGCTACATGGAATATCCGCCTTCTGAAGCCAGCTATTTACAGACGCCCCCCAAATCTCGGAGGAGAGGCGACTCGATCGATCAGAGTACAACCATAGCTGAAGGCGTGAGCTTGATAACGACTGGTTTCACAACGTCTGATCTTGTGACCCCCAAGCCCACTGCTTCGGAGCCTCAAACTTCCGAGTCCAGGACTTCTGACTCCACGACATCTAAGTCCATCACAAGTGCTGATCAGAATATAGAGTCGGCGACGTCCACCTCAAGCCAATGTTGCATAAGTTACCAGCGTTTTCGTTGCTGAGAGCACCTCCTCATTCAAATTTTCTTCAGAAGCTTTTGTTCCACCCCCGTGACGACCGACAATACAGCGACATTTGGCTCTACACGTAGTCGACTCAAACTGATGTATAATTCCATTGTCCCTACATATTTAGAACCGACTAGCATCTGTACAAGCTCGACCACATTTAATCTCATCCATTGTAGTTGGCACTCCAGTAACAAAGAACAATACCGCGAAATTCGGGTCTACCTACGAAGATGATTCAACAGCTGACGTTATCCCTAGTTCTTAAGTGTCGAGTAGACGAGCAACTCGATTTATGTCCCTGGCGCTAGTAGCACTTCGTCTGTGTTGGTTACTACCAGTATCATCTCAACGAGCAGCCCGACTTCGGTCCCTGGCAGCCATACCACTCCTTCGACACCGTCTACATCTTTGTCAATAACCAAGTGTCACGTACTTTCAGCACCACCACCGTGGCTAGGGGCAGCTCAACCTCGTCAACCCTGGCCAATTTTATTTGGACGCGGAAGAGCTTTTCGTAAACCGTGTATTCAACAAGCCCTTACCAATCGTAATCGCTTAGTTCCAGTTCATTTTCTCCTACTAACGTCATTACCCCTCAACCAGACACGTTGCCCACTATCACACTTGTGCTTACTTATACAATATTCCACAACTAGTAACGAGAATGTGACGAGAGTCCGGCAGTGGCAGTCTTGATACGTGACCCCATGGGGGGTTACCCTGTAGCTATAGATAAGATAGATAAGATAAGAGCTATAAAAGAGCTCTGCCAGGCCAGAATAGCTGACCTGGCCATCCTTTCCCAATACAACAATTCACACCCCATATGCACTCACATCAAGTATACATACGTAATGATACCAAAGCTTTGTAATCTATGCGACAGTGGTATAATAACGAATTTACCCTGAATCCTAGCATTTCAACTAAATAGTCGCAATCTAGACTTTTCAAAGCCTTAGATACGGCTAATGATGCGTGCACCTAGGGGGGGAGATGCTATAATGCAGCAGTGCGCAACGTTATAGTATCTAATTGAATGGGATTCACCTAACCAGTGGGTCCCCCTACGTTTTCGTATCAGCTAATGTTGATAATAGCGGCATTATAGAAGGAAAGTGGTACTTTAACCGCTATAAATCCAGTAGATAACTTATATAGGTCCAGAAAGCTGTGACGGGCTCACTGCGAAACTATACAGCTCAACATGGCCAAATACTGTTAATTATCTAACTGAGGAGGAAAGTAAAATATGCGAGTTGTCCCGGGAACACGGACTATGTTTTGTATGCCCTCGATGGTTCCTTTGGTGGATCCGGACGCACGGTCCTTGCAGCTCCGGATCCCATATCAGGCACAGCCTGTCACACTACACTTCGGAAGGTCAATCAAGAGCTAAGCCGTCGTCGAAGGACTAAAAATCGACAGCTACAAGATAGAGGATCTCTTAGTTTACGAGACGGTCAGGACTTACAGTCTCAACGGGATATTGAACAGCAGCTACAGGATGATATACGTGTAAGTCGTCGTCGTACGTGTAAGGAAAGAGCCGTTGTGGCGGGCCGGTCTCAGCTGACAAGCTGAGTCGGGAGGGATTCGCCCCGATCCGGTAAAACCCCGGAACCGCCCAGCTTAAGAGGAGAACTCGAGACGCTCGCACCTAGTTTAGATTCTTCAAGAATCAGTCTTGCAATATACGCACCCATACACTGGCCTACTTTTAGCTACCCTTTGCACTACCTGACTATTATATTGTGAGACGTGTGGTATCCTCGTTACAATAACGCTAAATAGTCGTGTACTGTATAATCACTTCATCAGATAGTTTTCTCGTCCGTAAAGTCAAATTACGGGATTAAAATTAGTCTGTTAGCCGAACAAAGGGAGTCAAGCTGTGGGACAGATCAAAATTCTGCGCTATTGTGCTAAAGTGAGGGAGTCGGCCCGCACAGATCGTAACATGAAGTCTGGATTCCGTGGTGTTAGCATTCACCCCCGTGGCCTCTAGAAAACGCCGAATAACGACTTTGTTGAGCATAAGGCCGATATACTAGATACTAGGTATTCCTTAGCTACCTCCTTGTCTTTCAAGTTTGAGCTCTAGGTACGCTTGGGCTACTTGTCGTCGGGATCTTACTGAGTTTCTTTAGTAGGTGTAAGTGTTCTGTAACTTAGTAATATCTATCGTCGATAACCATTTAGTATAGGGTAACGGTTCAGCCTTAGTTGTAAGCTTAGTTGTAAGAGCACGTATTATGGTTAAGACCGCCTCTCTAATCTAATCTATCTGCTCTTAGATAGAGACTCCTACGGTGTTAATTTTAGTATATCGGTAATATGGGTACTAATTGTCAGGTGCAGATAAGCTACGTAGCTTGCCAGATATTACACGCAAAGGTGGTCAAAGATGTCACGACCTGGGTTGCATCGCATTGGTAGAGACCTCGATTAGGTGCTATCGACGAAGATTCTACTCTAAGGAGCGAAGGAAAGAAGATGACAACTTAGGTTTGAGGGAGCGCGACTAAGTCGTCCACGCTTGGCGGGGCTCCTACAGGGGTTATGATTGGCTTCCCATCTGGCACTGCCATGGCAGGTGTTCCAGCTGTAAGTCACCTGGTTGTAGTGAGTCTGCGAGGGTTGACCTTCACAAAAGATTTGTGAGGTTGTAAAAGCATGACATTCTATCTAGTCCTATGGAGCACGAAGGTTGGACTTAGTCCCAAAGGGCTAAGTCACGTGGTAACCTTGGTGGTCTTAGCAAAGCCCACAAAGGTTGCCTAACACCCCGCTCTTAAGGAGGGGCATTGATTAACTTGTCATTATCAAGTCCCTATACTACACTACTGGTACCCACCTGATGACTAGCAACCGACTTCTCTCTAGCACTCTCGTTCTTCACTCTGTACTTGAAGTATCCGCGACACCAATCTCCTTCTTCGGGGGGTTCTTAAATAGTAGCCTAGGTTTACCCGTCCGTTCAAGCACACGAATATTAATAACTATCTTAATAGCTCTGTAGTCGGATCCATATTGCATAGGTAAATAAGGTACATTATTATATGCCTTATAAGCTCTCTTGAGGAAATAGTGATGTTACCGTATCGAGCTTCTTAGTTAGCATTGTTATTCTACTTTCCTTAGTGCCTTGATTTGAGTTAGTTGGACCTACATAGTAGAGAATAAGCACAAAGCAGAGAAGGAGAAAGTGTAGATGTGATGCCTACAGCAATCTTTCACCAATATGCAAAGCTCTTGAACTCTGACATTTGAATTCATACTTGCCGGATCCCGTCGTGTTTCGTCCTCGAGCCCGATTACTTGTTCCTGAAAGAAGTACCGGCTGAAGAAACTGAGTGATTCAAACCGCTTGAATTAGAGAAAGAGGTATGCGCTGTTCGATCGATAGTGCGGCTGGTGGTGCGGCGTCCCGAGGCTTCTTGCTACATTCGGTTGTAGCGTGTGTTCTACATATTTCGGGAAGCGGATATTGAAGTCTGACACGCGGCGTCTGTGACGTAGCGTTGTCCGTCGAAGATTGACATCCTTCAATCAGGATATCGTCCGCCAAATGGAGCTTTGGGAAAAGCACGTTCATGTCGGACACCATTTCCTGGCGCCTAATGCCGAAGGCGGGGGTCATTATGAAGTTATATTATGTCGGTGTCGGCTGGTGTAGTTGGTCACTTCGCTGGTAGATAAGTCCCGATTTGAGCCTCGCCCACTTGGGTCGGTGACGAGTCGCGGGTTCGAATCCCGCAGCTGACACACAAGGGGGTTTAGTCAACCCTTACGGCGCGCTGCCCACCTTGTTGACTTCGCCTACCTAGCGATAATAGGGAGATTGGTGCAGTTTAGGATTACGAGCATCCTAGCCAGTCGACCGTCAAGCACTACGTCGGCGGAATATAACTCGACAGCCGGTCCAGAATTCGAATCGTTAATCCGACCCCTTATCGGACCCCCTCTCGCCGCGATTCTTGCGAGCGTCTAGACCACGTTACGGTCTATCCACTTGAGCGTATGGTTGAGATGTATACGCTCGACGAGAACCCCAATTAGCAGATACTACGACTTGTCGCGACAAAAAAATAGTCGAGCATCTTCTGCACATCAGCAGCATCCCACCCCTGAGGACGAATTTAAGTGCCACATTACCACACTTATCGGTAGTTCAGGCAGGGGTTGTAGCACAGACTTAGGGAGGGACAGGAGGTTTAGTAGTCATTTGGCTACAAGTTTACCTGTATAACCGCCCGACGCGGCTTAAGGGCCCGCTATATCATCTATAGCCCCTTAAGGGAGTACTTGTAGAGGTACCGAGGGTTAACACCTACGGCGTATTTAATATTATTTTATTATGTCGGTATGCATGCAGTCGAACGATTTCGTAGAAGAATGTGGCCCAGTCTCGGTAAGAAATCATCCCTATCTAAAGTGGCTTGCTGGTCGCTAATAGCGTAAATCAGAGACTGTAGAGCACTAAAGGTGTTGGGAGTAGTAGTGGGGTGAAGGCGATTGTCTTAGACGCCTTACACTTCAATGCAAAATAAACATGGCGCTCCAATTCTTATATAACTCAGGACAGCTTCGGATGAGGTAGGCTGAATAACGCAGACGGTACACAAGCACATGCTGACATTTATATGTGCAGAGCAACTGAGCTGGGCGCATGAAGCAATCAGGCATTCTTCAGGAGCCTCGTTGCCTCATCCATGGCCCCTCGTCTATGTGTCTTGTATGCAGATGACAGTTCAGGAGCGGTGTCGGATGATACTGACATCGGGTGCTACGTGAGAAATAGCGCTGCTGTCTGGTAGTTCATACGAATGCTCTGGATAGCGAGGGTGGAATGCCATACCGACATTCGTTAGTCCCAGTCTACCTCTTCACACTCTACCCAACTCCCAACTAGTGGCTCAGAGTCGAATATATGCCTCCTCATATCTAGATCCATCATCCCTCACGTCATAACCACCCAAAACACCGACTCTCCTCTCGTATTTCTTGAAGCCGACAATGGGTCTGCGTATTGTCACCACACTCCCATCGGGCAAGTGTTCCCTGCGACTTGCGATGGTGATCCCCGGGTCGATGATAATGAAGACGGCCATGATAAGGACCTCGACGAAGAGCACGATCCACGTCGCTGGTGATTTAACGCCCTGCGTGGCGGCCACGGCGATGAGGAGGGCCGTGAAGGGGATGATTACTGCGAGCGCGGTCCATTGAGGATATGGACGGTTGTACATGGTTTGCGGTGCCATATTGTTTGACGTGTGGTGAGTGAAATGACGGTGGATAAACTAAAAGTGGCAGACGATGGGAGCCAAGACACGAAAATTGAGGTATGATTGCAGCAATATAAGGTAGACTTGTTGAATTTTGGAGTCGACCGCATTTGCGGCTGAGGGCTACTGTAGGTGGATATTTTAGTATGACGTTGTGAGCTCTGTTGATGCGGGCTGCTGCTGCCTGATTGGTTGATTGGTGCTGGCACTGCATTCAGAGGAGAACAGAACAACCCCGGGCGAGAGCCATGAGACTCTCGGGGGTGAAGGACGAAAAGGAATAGAAAAGTAGGCGACCAAGAGTGTGTATTCATCTGCAATTAAACGAATGCGTTGTCAGCGTCGTACGCGACTTGTGTCTCTACAGGCTACTTGGCTACTATGTAAGAGAATGCCGAGCGCCAAGACTGATCTGCAGTGGGAAGTGATCCTCCATCTTCCAACCCACCCCCTCCACACCACCACCCCACCTACCCCAGTCTTGTTACTCGTTAACAACCTCAGCCGCTCCTTCCGCCAGATTGACACAACCCACACAAAAACCCACCTGTTCCGTAAATCATCGCTATTGCATCTGCTTGACCTCAAAGCAATGGCCTACGCTGCATCGTCTTGATCGCTTGCAGCCCCAGCATCTGAATGGACCAGTGCTTCACGGCCCTCAGTTGCAATTCGTCAGCGGCAATCCCGTCGGCTCAAAGTCCTCCAGGCCAGAGTCGACACTGTTGTCAGCAAACAAGCCGATCGACGCAAAGCCAAACGTCGCCTCATTCGCCTGGTCATACATCTGCACCGACATGACATTGCCATCGGGCCAGCTGTCGCCCAAGCCGCACTCTATCGCAGTTTCAATCTGGTTGAATGCCCCAGCGCCGTCAAACTCGATGTCGGCCGGATCTGCAAGGGATGCGCTGCTGTCGAATCGGCCCTCCATCAGTGAGGATGATAGTCGTTCGTGCTGGTAGTACTCGTCGCGCTTCTCCATGGTCGCCAGGTGAGTTGGGTGGCCCGCATACGAAACCGTGAAGGCAATTCCCTTGCCCCCCGTGTCGCGAGACGTGAGTTCCATTTTGCCGTACCTCTTGTGCTCGAACCGGAACATAGGCGCAAAAGGGTGCTCCATCGAGTCCCGCAGAGCCAGTCGATGGTTATCAGGCGCGTAGCCCACGAATTCAACTTCCCCAGCCGCAAGGTTGCTCAACGCCCGGTGTATGAAGTAGTTGTGCGCCTTCTGCGCCGTCTCCTCGCGACCCTCGATGCCTCGCTTCTGGAACACGTTGAGCGCAATGTTCTCAAGGCCAGATTGGTCCCAAGCATTGGCGGCAACCCCGAGAAAGCCACGGGACTGGGCGAGCTTCTTGGCCGCCGAGGCGATGCCGCCAACACCAACGATGGTGCTGAGTATACCCCCAACACAGTAAAGGATATTCTCCGGCTTTCCTTCGTTCTGAACGCAGCCTTGGATCGCGCCGGCAAGACCGACGCCTGTCAGCGCGAGATTGAATACCTGGTATGCCACTCCGAGAAAGAACGGGATGGCAAGGACCACCGTGCCGTCCTCGGCTGTGCGCACCTGGCCTATCGTCATGACCGCCTTACTGACTGCAACAGAGGGGTCGCTGAGGTTGTGGTATAACCCGTTCCAAGTGTCTGGATGGCCTGCGTCGTGGGCGCTCCAGTCAAACCCTTCGGGGGTCCATTTGTCGATGACGGCGAGGACTGTGGGCGCAAAGGCCAGGAAAGCTGCCAACAGGCAAACAACGAAACTGGACTGCTTGGCCATAATTATAGGAGAGCGAAGGATGAGGTTCTTTAGATAGAAGACTGCTTGAAGCCTGCTAGAAAAGTATGAAGACGGAACAGGGGACGAGAATCGCCCGCCGGTTTATATCCATTCGATCAACCCCAGGAGCTCTTCTGGTTACTGTGCCCATCACTGCGCAGGTGGACGACAGATCAAACCGGCCACCGGAAGTGAGGTAGCATGCGATAAGTCGCTGACCTACTGTAAAACCACACGCAGAATCAACTTGTTCCGCCTGAGATCGTCGTTACTTTGGTCACCCGCGTGTACCCGTTCACCCTTTACGTAAAGTTAACTAATCACAGCGCATTATCGGTCTAATAAATGCGATGCATCTCATGACTTAGGATTGTCCCATCATATTTAGTAGGCTCGCTGTTGATCAGTAAGCAATATACCAGAATATTTGAGAAAATGCCTCGGTGGCTGCAGAAAATGTAACGATGATGATCTGTATTGAGATCATGCTGTGAAAAAAAATAAGAAAGATGCAGATCGTTACCTTGTACTCACCTTCAGCTGGGGCATATGTCCAACGTAAGAGCTTGCATTCTATACTAGTCCGAAGACAGGAACTGGAATACCTACTCCTCTGGCATGGGACAATCATCGCTGAGGCCATGGTGGTATTTATTATTAAGTGTATCTTATCACTGCTTCAGACATATGTGAACGAATGCTAGGAGACTATAGTTGAAATGCGAAAGAGGCTGTAGCTAATTCTCAGGTCTTGTCAGATTGGGCGTCGTATAAGCAATGAAGAAGATCACAGTCTTACCAATGGATAGCCGCTTTGCTGTATGGTCTTAGCGGAATTATCCTACCAGGCTTTCAATGCATTAGTCTAGCACCTAAAACACAGGATCCTGACGGGGTGAGTTCGGTGAGTGTGGACTGTGCGGCTTTCCACTTGTGCAATCATGGAGGTGATAGGATTGTCTGCTCCGTCCGCTATTCTGATGGCACTCTGAGTGCCACACATGGGATTGATAGTAGTATCATCTTTTCCAAGGGCCCTAGGGAAGAAGTAATCTCGAGGTCAATGTGTGGAAATCAAATGAACACTTAAAGTAGGTACCCAGGAATTATAGGAGCTAAAATAGGAAGGATACCCTGGAAAGACATAAGCACGTTCTTCCTGTGTGTAAGCGGGCGTGAAAGCGGGTGTGACTGACGGACGGCGGGGCTATTTTGTAAGCAAGCTAGCGTTGCAGTTGGAAGATGGAAAACATATCACTTCACCACTAAAAATAAAACAAAACAAACCGCGGGAATGATGATTGTAAAGGATTTTGTGATGGCAAGATCATGATGGAGAAAGATGAACTAACCGCATTGACCACCTTTTTGCATGCACCCCCATTTTGCAGGGTCTAACTGAATCAACCTAAATACTTCGTCCATATTATTTATATTGTAACGGGGTAAGGCCGGACATCAGGGAAATAGGTTACGGGGCTAAGAGAAAGTTTATTTTCTCTTCTTTAAGAGGCACAGAGGCAGAGTAGGACACGAGTCCCCCATCTTCACGCATCATCATCCTCATCTTCATATCATCATCTCCTTCTTATCTATATCTTCACCTTCGCTTTTCAGTCAGTTATTTAGTTATTTTAGTTATTCAGCTTATCTTTACGTTAGAGATCCTATTATCACGATATGAGTATCAGAGTCACATCCGACCAACTCGCGGACCAGACGTGTAAGAGCGAGGCTCTTACAACCAGTACCACGATCTTCGTCTGATCAGACCAACAGATGGGATCTGTTGGTCCTGGAGCCGTCTGCTCAGTGTGTTAAGTGGTAGGTACATCCTACTGACCGCCTGACCCCGTTTCAATATACAAAACATACTTAATTTAAGTGTCCGAAGACTTAGATATATTCTTTCGAGTCTGGCTCGACGGGCTGGCGTATATCTGGAGCGTATTTACCGAGTTCTTTATATAGTTTCTCGTTTTAGATACGTAATTTGGCATTCTCGGCGGCCTGGAGTGTAAGGGCCTTGCCCGTCTTGCCTACTAGGGTACGAATCTTACGAGATACCCCGCCCTCGGCTTTCTCTATCGAATGTAGTTGGCTAGATAGTTGCTGCGCTTTATGAGGAGTAAAATCAACTAAAGGTGGTGATATATGAGGCGGAGGATCTGGTGTATGAGGCTCCGGAGGATCACAAGATACGTCGACTAGTCCTTCGGAGCCTAGGGGCCATATACCAGTCTTCCGCCAGCCAGATTTAATATTTTCCGTAGTAAAGGCTCTCTCCGAGGCACGTAGATATGCTTCTAGCATACGTTGCTTGTAAATTGGGGCTGTAGCCTTGTAGGAAGCGTAAGCCCTGAGCTCTTGGCGGTAGTAGGTCTTCAAAGGTGAGAACGGCCCGACATCGCACGGCTGGAGATCGTCACTGCAGTGTGAGGGTAAATACAGCACGGCGACTCTATTCGAGTAGGCTTTCCACATAAATTCGGCATGAATATTGTAACGGGGTAAGGCCGGACATCAGGGAAATAGATTACGGGGCTAGGAGAAAGTTCATTTTCTCTTCTTTAAGAGGCACAGAGGCAGAGTAGGACACGAGTCCTCCATCTTCACGCATCATCATCCTCATCTTCATATCATCTCCTTCTTATCTGTATCTTCACCTTCGCTTTTCAGTCAGTTATTTAGTTATTTTAGTTATTCAGCTTATCTTTATGTTCGAGATCCTATTATCACGATACGAGTATCAGAGGCATATCCGACTAACTCACGCACCAGACGTGTAAGAGCTTCACTCTTATAACCAGTACCACGATCTTCGTCTGATCAGACCACCAGATGGGATCTGTTGGTCCTGGAGCCGTCTGTTCAGTGTGTTAGGTGGTAGGTATATCCTACTGACAGCCTGACCCCGTTTCAATGTGTGTCTGGTGGCCGTCGAGGATAAGGAGTCGCCATTCGGTACCCCTAGGCTTCGTCTTGGGGAGAAAAACCTGATCTAACCACCTATTTGCGGTAACTTTATTACTCCAGCCCTTACTCGTCGCGGTGCATTCCCACTCAGGGATATTTTGGTCTGGGAACCACTGTGCTTGGACTCTCTTGCCGGAAGATACGCAGACAGGTGTACCCCGTTGGGTATGCGAAATTTACTCTAACCAGGAGCACCACGACGAAGCATCCGACTTTGATACGCGTACCCGGCGTCGCACCAGACGTATAAGAGCGAAGCTCTTATAACCAGTACCACGATCTTCGTCTGATAAGACTAACAGATGGGATCTGTTGGTACTGGAGCCGTCTGTTCAGTTTGTTAGGTGGTAGGTATATCCTACTGACCACCTGACCCCATTTCACTACTGTCCAGCTACAGCGAGTGCGCGATGATATTCTCGGTGCTATTGCCGACCTCGCCGGCCCCTCCTCCGACGGTTCTTCCCTGTTGTCAGAGAACAGAATGCCATAGGCACCGGTGGGTGTCAGGACACTGAACGCAAGACACCGGTGGGGCGCCGGAGGGGTGTTTCGGACAAAAGACTCCCGAGTCATGATTACAATCTATGTGAAGCTTTGGGATGACGAGAGTCAAGATCCTTGGCATCGCCGACCCTGCTGTTATGCCGGGTCCAAGCGGCGGCCTAGCTATCTATATAAGGACCATCTCGAAGTAGGATAGGGAAGGAGCAGAGATCAATGCATCACCGTGGGCACCCCTACCTGAGACCGCCAGTGACCACCCGGTATTACGTAGGAGGGACGCCCGTTACTCCCCATCACTCTGTACTATTGCCTTCGGCCTAGCCGTACCCTGACACCTGTAGGGTGTTTAGGTATTATATATTAGGTTGTTTTTGTTATCGGAAGTCTATAAGATTTACTCTGGTATACGCGGTTCTGATAGTTCGGGCCTCTTCTCTCCCTTCTTCTTCTTTTTTTTCTTTTTGTGAGTTATCGCTTCTGTTAGTACTATCTTACTTGCTTCGAACTACTGTCGGGGTCCGTCGTGCTCAGTAGTACTGAAACGGGGTCAGGCGGTCAGTAGGATATACCTACCACCTAACACACTGAACAGACGGCTCCAGTACCAACAGATCCCATCTGTTGGTCTGATCAGACGAATATCGTGGTACTGGTTGTAAGAGCTTCGCTCTTACATGTCTGGTCCGCGAGTTGGTCGGATGTGCCTCTGATACTCATATCGTGATAATAGGATCTCGAACGTAAAGATAAGCTGAATAACTAAAATAACTAAATAACTGACTGAAAAGCGAAGGTGAAGATATAGATAAGAAGGAGATGATTATATGAAGATGAGGATGATGATGCGTGAAGATGGAGGACTCGTGTCCTACTCTGCCTCTGTGCCTCTTAAAGAAGAGAAAATAAACTTTCTCCTAGCCCCGTAACCTATTTCCCTGATGTCCGGCCTTACCCCGTTACAGTACTCCCATATCTCGCTTCGTACTGGTCTAGGGCTATTATATCTTAGAGATCGGCTAGTGGTTACTAAGTCGGTGCCTGATATCTGTCACGACCTGGGTTGCATCGCATTGGTAGAGACCTCGATTAGGTGCTATCGACGAAGATTCTACTCTAAGGAGCGAAGGAAAGAAGATCACAAACTTAGGTTTGAGGGAGCGCGACTAAGTCGTCCACGCTTGGCGGGGCTCCTGCAGGGGTTATGATTGGCTTCCCATCTGGCACTGCCATGGCAGGTGTTCCAGCTGTAAGTCACCTGGTTGTAGTGAGTCTGCGAGGGTTGACCTTCACAACTGCAAGCTTGACTGATTACGGAAGCAGACGGAGGTTTGGGTTTGAATACTATCTATTTGAAATAAAATGTTACGGCTTAATACTAGCCTCTTTCATGATACATGTGGGAAGCTGTGGCCTCAGGTATGCAGGGATACGAGGCAGGCAGATACTGATTGTAGTATTTAGGGATCCCTTAGGGGACAACTTGGGATTAGTCTCATACGCACCTTCATAGTACAGTAGGTAACGAAATCGGCTTCCTCCTTGTTAGCCTCTTAAACATATTCAGCCCTCAGATTATTGCCTATTTTGGCGCTTATGTGACGGTTGTCACGTGATTGACCTATACTGGTCTGAACAGATTGATAAGTCGTTGCAGATACCAAAGTCAGGGTCTTTGGTATTGGTCTCTTTTGGTGAAGACATCTGGTACGGTGGCGTAGTGGCAAGGATTGCAACCCCTGACGCGGCGTGACAGCTTACACAGTACGTCCAGAAAAGCTTATTTCTTAGGAAGCGGGGGCGGCCGCGACTTACTTGCGGTTAGCTAAATTAGCAGCCCTTATATTTACATATTTCTCTATTCGCAGTGACGAAATAGTACAGCTAACTAGCCACAGAGATGCTGACAAATAGCGTCCAATTATCGCGAAAGCACTAGAACTTTCGAAAGGCGACCGTTATATAATATAAATAAGTGCGCTCCCCTAGGACCCTCTTTTGCAAAGATATTAGAAAATAGATTGTGTATTTACAAGCTATACGAGAGAAGCTAAATACTGGACCAGAGCGCTGGTTTATCCTCACAAAACCGCAAAATAATGACTTTTCCAGAAACGCATCCAATCACTACGGTAGAACCAGACACAGCTGAAGAAACTGGTCGAGAATCTGCTGTTAACCAGAACAAGTTTTTTCCGTGCAGAGTTATCCAGCAACGGTCCTTACTTATGCCGTAGCCAGAGCGACGATCTTGACCGTTATCAGCTAAGATCTGACTGGAAAATGATTTCGAAGATCTAGTAGTTATAGATTCTGTCGCTCTAATAGGATCTAGTGGACCTTGAAGAGAAATAGCACCAGAATCCATATAGAGATAAAAACCTCTAGAATCAAAAGACAAGGTGGAAGGGATTATACCAGTTTCTACTGTCTGCAAACACTGGCCCGTCGCCGCCGACCAGAGCCGGACCGTGCCGTCGTCCGAGGCCGAGGCCACGAGCTGCGAGTCGGGCGAGAAGGCCACCGAGTTGATGAAGCCGCTATGGCCCTCGAGCGTCTGGAGTTCTTGGCCCGTCGCCGCCGACCAGAGCCGGACCGTGCGGTCGACCGAGGCCGAGGCCACGAGCTGCGAGTCGGGCGAGAAGGCCACCGAGTTGATGAAGCCGCTATGGCCCTCGAGCGTCTGGAGTTCTTGGCCCGTCGCCGCCGACCAGAGCCGGACCGTGCGGTCGACCGAGGCCGAGGCCACGAGCTGCGAGTCGGGCGAGAAGGCCACCGAGCTGACGAAGTCGCTATGGCCCTCGAGCGTCTGGAGTTCTTGGCCCGTCGCCGCCGACCAGAGCCGGACCGTGCGGTCGTGCGAGGCCGAGGCCACGAGCTGCGAGTCGGGCGAGAAGGCCACCGAGCTGACGAAGTCGCTATGGCCCTCGAGCGTCTGTACGCACTGGCCCCAGCTATCTTGTACTCCTGATACGATAGATATCCAGCTAGACATATCTTTTTCAAAAACAGTTCGAATCGTACTCCTCCGAGGCGTAAACGCGAGCGCTGACGCGTATACCTGGAGAGGCGCCTGTTGGATAATAGAGGTCATAGCAAGGACAAAGCGGTTAGCATCGTTTAGGAAGTCAAGAGTCTTAGTTGCGTCCGACTGATACGCGTTAGTTTATAGGAGTTTTTATGCTTGAATCTGAAACTCACATGAGCACAGGCTCGTAGCGCCTTAATCGCCTGCAGACTCTCCGAAACTCTTCCCATCAAACTTAATGCTTCTAACCAATGAAGGAAGTGGCAGGTCAGGAAGTCACACACCTCATCCCCATCCGATACTTTCATTTCGGCCTGCTGTAGATGGTACGACCAGAACTGACAAGCGTACTGGACTTCTGGCTGTAAATACTTGCTGATTCTCTGTGGGTCTATCGATGAACGAGGTGTTCCTGGCGCCTGAACCTCACAGATATCAGTCCGAAGGGATTTATTCATTACGCGCAGGCAGTTCGTAGCTAGCCACTTGTGGGATTCTTTCTCATCCACCCAGAACTGGTCTTTGTGCCTTTCGGGATCCACTAGGAAATTCCGGAACGACAGGTGAAAGAGTCTGACGGGAGAGCCGGGAGGGGACGGGACATGTAGAACCGAGTGAAGATGAAGCAGTCTATTACTAATCATCTTCTCATCTTCGTCAAGTAGCTGCGATAGAGCATGGGTAGAGAGGGGATTCTCAAGGATAACGATCGAGCCAACAACAACTCGAAACTCTTCTAAGACCTTCTCCTTGTCACTTTCGTCAAGTCTGATAAGTTGTCGTTCCAGGACAGGCATGTATGTAGCCTCAAGCTTAGACTGCTTGTTTCTTGATTTATAGGCTAGGATCTCTCGAAGTTGTTCTTGGGGATCGCTGTAATTCCATTCTTTAAGGAGACGACAGATAGTGGCGGCAAAAATGAAGAGAGGACTTGCCCTCTTTACTAAAGTCTCGATATCTGATTTGCTTGGCCATTCTACAGGCAGTTGTTGATCTTCGTTTCCCAAGTTGTAGTCTTTTTTAATCTCGGTCATCTCGTGCTCCAGGAATATAGTCAAATCGCGATCAATAAGACCTTGGCGTATCTCATGGAGGACTAAATCCTGATACGTTCCTTGATTTTTCTTGAAACCCAATCGTATAGGCAGTTCGGGTCTGCTAGTGATAAAGATCTTTAAACACGAAGACGGTAGTTCCTTAGCACGGGAAAAGAGTTTGATGATCAGCTCGATATCCTTCTCTCTCTCGCACTCATCCAGGGCATCGACAATAATGACAAGCGTTGCAGGGGCCTGAGTGTTTAGAGTCATCTTTAACAAAGGCTCCAGGATGAGCTTCTCAAACTGCTGTGATATTGTCTTTTGCGTAATGGCAGGATCGGCATCGATGGCACTTTGAATATAATAGGCGAGGGACGGCGATTTATAGACCAACTGAGCGGCAATCGTAGTGAAGAACTTGGATGTTCCGCTTCGATCGGCCATGCCCTTCTTAAAGAAAAAGCTGCCACCGAGATGGCCGTTCTTAGAGAAAGACTGTGCCACGGTGCGCGAAATGGTTGACTTCCCGGTGCCAGCCATGCCGTTCAGCCAGAAGACGGGTTTGGCGCGAGCATCGACAGCCCATTTGGATATTTCATGGAGAAGCTCTTTTCGAGTGCCTTGGAGGCAATATGAGATCTCTTCTTCGGCGTGGGAGTCAAAGGATGCTCCTTCAACAGTGTGTGGGAGGAGCCTGTCGAATGCTGTCTCTTGGTCGAGATGGAGGCTATAGCTTAATTAGTTTCATCGAATCCAAGTGGAGATTAGCGACGTACCGCCCCTTGCTCACATCTGCACACATCTTTTTAATATTCTCTGAAACCTTGTCGAAAGAAGGGTCATTCGGGCCAGAGTATTTGTTCAGGCGTAGATGGTCCGTCGAGAGCGGGAAATGATCACAAAGGTCGATACATGCGGAGTCCTCCTCTACAACCTGAAATACCGTCGTTAATTATAATAAAACAGCGCATAATCCTGATTCGGTACGTACCATTCCTTTAATTAGATGGGGCATCCCTAATCTTCTTCCAAAATCGGTATCTTTCAATTCGAAGAAGCAGACCACCGGGATTCGAATTCTCTGCAAGAGTTTACCGAACTCGTTCAGCTTATCCCGCAAGGTGCGATCGCCGTAGCCTAGGGCTCCGACAATACCGATATGGGATCCAGCAATGTGCATGATTCGGGCTATGAGTTGAGCTATCCCCTTCATCTTAGAGCCTTTGAAGGGACATCCCAGAAATACGAGGCCGACGGTACGGTCGACTAAGTGTTTCAGTTCTGGGTCTGCATTAGCGTTCAACAGGCCCTGCCCAAATCCCGTTAGCATACATTGCAAATAGAGGATAAAAATCCTCGTTGGGAAGCTCGTGTTCCACTTACATGCTGGATAACATTACCGCCCAAGCTGTGTCCGATAAAAACTATCGGGCGGTTCGTAGTGTCCTTCCGGTACCAACAAAGGCTTTCTACCAGATCCTTGCCACAAAGAGAGAGGCGAGTTTTCGGGGCATTCGCGTGCCATCGCGATTCGTAGTTGTACACCATGATTCGGGCATTGGGCACCACAGCAGGTAGCATATTCGGATCCTTCAGCCAGTGAACATGGCTGGCTCCGTCTGTCCAGGTCCACGACCAATCCACGTTAGCCCCGAGGCCGTGGACAGCGACGATGCTGCGGGGAATCAGCAACCAGATAACGAGACACTAATAGCATGGGCAAGACCTACTCTACCTCGACCTCCCTAGTGGCTGCGTTGCTGGGCCCGGAATATAAAACTTGGAGCACTGAACGACTACTAGAAGTCTGTACTCATTAGCATGCCACCCAAATCGATACTTGGAAGGTACAGACTTCTTGCTTGCTTGCTTGGTGCTCTTCGTTCGCCGAATCTTGTTGTCCTAAAACGTATACCGCTCTCTTGTTCCTATATTGAAGCCACAAGTAGGGTAGGATTGCAGCGCCGACTAGGACGAGGATGTTCACAGCAGTGGCCGGGTCCATGGCCGCGGTTGCCGGTAGCCGAAGCGATCGAAAGTCAGGGTCGGAGGACAAGAACCTATTGTGCTGTTCGCAAGGCTAGAACGTCGCTTGTGTATTAGTAACCGTAGCGGCAGGGTATCATTGAAGAAGTGCGGGCTATATTCAGCGTAGCGGAAAGCTTTAGAAACTAAGAGAAAAAGGACAAGTGCACCAGTACGTAGCTAGCAATAGCTGCCTTGTTGTTTTCGCTCACCTCGGCGAAGTCCCACGGCCAGAATGCATTGAGTTGGCAAGGCACGATGATTGGCTACGGAAGTGCCGTGCCGACACGCCGCAGCCTCGCCTAGTCGTCATCTGCTTTTTATGTAGTAGGAATAGCATGCAGGTGATGAACATTTCTGAGCGATAGCCTGTAAAGTCGCATCTACGCGTTCAACGAAGATTTAACCTAGTCGGGTTGTCGGTTGGCCTCGCACGGTCCTATTCGCGTCGAAACGGTTGCGTTATAGAGCCACCACGCAGTCAAGTATCCCTCCTTATCTTATGCTCGTGTTAAGGCTCGCCGACCTTTCTGACGGCTAAGCACATAGGTGCCTTTCTCGACTAGACTTTTAGAGTCTACCGGCGATGACGAGCCCGATGGGCAGCTCTGAATCCGATCGCTCCAACCCGCATCGTACCGAACCGAAGCCCACGATTTGGCCCCTCCGCGACTCGATAGCATCACTTGGATGAAGAAAGAGTTAGACGTGGAACGACTGGATAAGCTTTCCACCTAGCTGTGGGTTGCTGGTCGGCCCATGCCGCCACGCCCGCTGCACGGATCTCTTTGTCGCGGAGCAGATGGACCTTCACCTTGTTTGGACGACAGGGCGGTTGTATCTTAAACCGATCCCTCGCTTCCTGACAGAGCCAGACTTCTAGAGCACTCAGCTGGCTTATCGACTAGCGTGTTATTGTGGAGAAGGGGCAGGAGACAGGGATACATGTATATACGACTATCGTAAACTCTAGAGATGCGGGCTCGGGTTCCTGTTCTCCTACGCCGCGCTGATTGTCCATAAAAGTGATTTCCTGCTTACAAAGGAGAAGCATCTGCTTCTAGAGGAGATCAAGTGGGCAGCTTGGAGAACCTTTATCGAGGCACTCGACACGGAGCGCATCTACAGTAAGATCCACGAGCGCTTCGTCTACGGAGAGCTCCGCCTGAGCCGGCTCAATAAACTGCGTATTCTCCATATAGCCTGTCTCTGCACAGGTATATGTCGCACTAGCATCGCTGCGGAGAGTTCTTTCACGACAACTTCGTATCGTTGGCCTCCGCGACGGTATATAATAATATTAAATACGCCGTAGGTGTTAACCCTCGGTACCTCTACAAGTACTCCCTTAAGGGGCTATAGATGATATAGCGGGCCCTTAAGCCGCGTCGGGCGGTTATACAGGTAAACTTGTAGCCAAATGACTACTAAACCTCCTGTCCCTCCCTAAGTCTGTGCTACAACCCCTGCCTGAACTACCGATAAGTGTGGTAATGTGGCACTTAAATTCGTCCTCAGGGGTGGGATGCTGCTGATGTGCAGAAGATGCTCGACTATTTTTTTGTCGCGACAAGTCGTAGTATCTGCTAATTGGGGTTCTCGTCGAGCGTATACATCTCAACCATACGCTCAAGTGGATAGACCGTAACGTGGTCTAGACGCTCGCAAGAATCGCGGCGAGAGGGGGTCCGATAAGGGGTCGGATTAACGATTCGAATTCTGGACCGGCTGTCGAGTTATATTCCGCCGACGTAGTGCTTGACGGTCGACTGGCTAGGATGCTCGTAATCCTAAACTGCACCAATCTCCCTATTATCGCTAGGTAGGCGAAGTCAACAAGGTGGGCAGCGCGCCGTAAGGGTTGACTAAACCCCCTTGTGTGTCAGCTGCGGGATTCGAACCCGCGACTCGTCACCGACCCAAGTGGGCGAGGCTCAAATCGGGACTTATCTACCAGCGAAGTGACCAACTACACCAGCCGACGACGGTATATATTGCTATAGCCTTGACGGCGATACGGGTAGGCCTCGCCAATTTCTACATTGATTCAACGATAGATCCTGTACCTCGTCGAAGTTATTCATGCTTACTATAGGATCTGCGAGTGGCAACGATATCCAAGTAATGTAGGATTTGACTATAATAGACGTTTTCTGGGGCCACGTGGAGACACCCAGATCCCTGTGTAAATTCAGTCAGAAATGACTTTGACAAGGCCAAGCAAACTAATCCCTATGTATATTCAGCCAAAAATGGCGCCAAGCATCAATCGCACGGGCAGATCTGACATCCCCCATGTGATGGCTAAAGCTGCCAAATGTGGCGCTAAGGCTTGCATTGATGTGCATCGCATCAGAATACACTAGGTTATAAGGCACACACACAGCCACATCTACCCGCCCAAACATAGAAGTCACAGCAGCAGTAGACATATACATCAATTAAGTACTTGAACCCTTATTGATCAGATAACGTGTAATACAACAATACGGCTCTTCGCTGCTGGACGCTAGGCCCTACAGTTACGCCACCCGTCCCTCGGTATGCAAAGCCCACTGCCAAGTTCGTCGTTCCACAGACAAAGTATTTAACGATCAGGTTGTAACACATACTTGCCTTCAAGAGCAGATGAAGTGAATCCTCAATGTGTCGTTAGAACTCGTATAATCAGACATGCGAATCCTGTATGAGTCGTTAGTCGCCAGGATTGGTACAACTCAATTCCCTAGTCAATTTGGAATCCAAACGTCATAAGCCATTCGGCCGACCCAGAAAGTGGCTCTATGGGCAGCCTATGTTCGACAAAAATGGCTACCGAGTCGGCACGGCCAGCTTGCTCGAAAACCGCAGCGGCTCTTGTGAAAGCGTCGCTAGCTCATTGCCCTCCACGTTCGACATCACGGGGGCGCCTCCGACGGCGATTTGGTCCTCATACATTACGGCGATCAAAGCTGGGGAGGCTACAACGAGGAATACCAGTGTAGCTTTTAAGGGTACGAGGGCGGTAACAGGGATGGCGAGTGCGGGATTATGTGCAGTTAGTGTGCATGGAGTGAGGAATGCTTCGGCATAATGCGAGATGCTAATGCGAAAGCAGAGGCGATGACAACACCACTGTCATGCCAGAAATGCTGGAGGCTGTGATTTTGTGTCCAGGAGCATGGTTGATCGATGGTGCTGTCGCAATTTTGACTCCGGCCATTGTGACTTCTAGGGGTTCTCTGAGGAACAACCAATTAGATGGTCTGGTTGAACCCGCCCAGTGTGCACAGGGCTACATAGTAGATCTGAGATTATGATAAGGCTTATCGCACATGCAATGGCGCAATCCGTGCATGATCTTTTCAGTTTTTGCTCTACGTCATCCATTCCGCATGTCAGCCACTCAAACTTGCAGTGTCTATTTGCATGCCAGAGGATATCGAAATCAGATACAAAGTAGCGATATTGAAATGACTGATAACATACGCAGCTCGAGGTCTGTTCAACATGATTGCGGGTCAGACAAAACTTTTCTCATTTGCTGTCTTGGGAAGCTCAATAGAATTGCATTGTGACCCGTCCAGAGTCTAGAAAACCCTGTTCCCGCTTGCGCCATCCCGACCTTTTCTGACAAATCGTCCCGGTCCCACCATGCATCTTTGCCTCCAGTTGCTCGCTTGCCCGTCATCCTCTCTACTTTCATAAAGCCATTCCCCCTCCTGCCTCATCATCGCATTTGATGCCCAAAATATCCTATGTATATCATCCGTCGTCTATTCGCATCATCCACAACACCTGAAGCCATGTCCGCCGCAAAGACCCGAGCCCAGCAGATCATTGACGAGAACGCCGTCGGTATGTCGCATCGCATCTTTGTCTTGGTTCTACCTCCCAACTTCCAATGCGCTTTCCGCAGATGAACGTGCTTTCCCTTCCCTCTATCCCGGTCTCTTTCTACTTTTCTTCTTCTTGCAAGATAAGCGCATGCTAACAAATGTCCTTCTAGCGGTTTTCTCCAAGTCCTACTGCCCCTACTGCAAATCGGCCAAGTCGCTGCTCGATAGCTTCGACGCCAAGTACTATGCCATCGAGTTAGACCAGGACAATGAAGGGTCTGCTATCCAGGCCGCCCTGGCCGAGATCACCGGTCAGCGCACCGTCCCCAACATTTTCATCGGCAAACAGCACATTGGCGGCAACAGCGACCTACAGAGTAAGAGTGGCGAGTTGAAGCACCTGCTTGCTACGGCGGGGGCGGTTTGACTAGATGAGAGGAACAATGTAATCAAGGGGAAGCTTTAGGACTATGAGCTGAGAGACGAAGATACCATAGATGGCGAACATTACATCTAAAGAACAAGATAGCGAGATACTAGAGTGTGCTTGACCTACCTAATATCAACGCGAGAATATACCATTGCGGAACTGAATACTATAACTCAAGGATACTCTGTTATGCATTGCGTGCTGTTATGAAATGTGATGAGTTGATTGAGCCGAGTGTATGTAAGGGAGGTAAATTCGTTACTTGTATAAGTAACCTCGGAGACTATTCGGCCACATTAGGAGACCCAACACAAGTGAGCTAAATCCTATCAACCGACCTGGGACCACCACATACGGTTGTGTGCTGTTCTATTGGGCGATATCAGGGCAGCAACCCGGGGTCGCTTGCTGTCCGTTTGAATACCAACTCTGGACAGCCTACTTCAGTTCGGTCAGGCAGAAGACCAAACTTGTTGACACGAGCCAGTAACGATGCTTGGTCTAAGCCCGTGTTCTCGACGTATTGGTTGAGCGCGCTCATGCTTCTTTCAAGGCTGCCAATATTGGCTGCATGGTCCACTCTGATCGATACGAGCTTGGTAATGTCCGATCCTGAGGGAGCTGCTCGAAAGAATCCTTCTCAGCCACTCAATGCAAGAATATGTAGCTTATAGGTGACTTCCGATCCAAGGTATTTATTACATGTATCTAGAAGAATGGGACACTGACATATAGAGCCTCATACCTCCCAGCTAAATCGGCCGAGGAGCACACACCCTTTAACAATGCCCATACAGTTGCCTAAGAGACGCCGGTTACCCCTGACCATACTACACTGGCAAACAACAATTTGAACAAGTCCCTCTCGATAACATTGACGCGAGCCCCGGCACTTAGAGTTAGGTTGGGTCTTCTTGTATTCAAGGTCCCATGGTGAGAATAGAGGTTGACAATACTATGTTATTCCTGTTGTCATGTACAAGCTATTTTACTAACTGCCTTGGTGGACCCCTGGCCAAAGAACTATTCATATCTGCCCAGGGCTCCTACTTAAGAGATGTTTCTCGTTCCTAAAGACCTGGTATGGATATGCAAGACCTACGAATCCGATGCCACAATCCCCTGGATACGGAACCCGACTCTAACATTCGACAAGCTTCCCACAAAGACGTGAACAGAGGATACACGCGATGCAGTGAGGGTGATCAGCCAGGCGGCGAGCCTAAGTTTACAGTTAATCCAGCCCTGGGAAATCTGTGTTCATGCAACTCATTTATCATAACCACAGGACCGAAGCAGCACCGTAGAAGTAGCGGGGGGTAATACTCCATCGAAGACATCGAAAATGCGGGGACACACATACACCAGAGAACAAGCAAAAGAGTGCAATGGTGAGGGTCCAACAATAAGCTTTTCACAGCGATCTACTACTTCTGGGGAGTCCTGAAGTAACTCCCCAGGTATCTGACCATTCACTCGGTGCTTTAAGAGGAAGCCGTCAAGAAATAATGTGGAATCGGAGCAGGGAGGGATCTCTGATCGTCTTATATAGTATTGCAAACAACACTCCACCCGAATCATCACTGCCTACATTAAGTCATGGAATTCACACCATGTTTCTGTGGTTAAGTCCCTGTGGGAAGATGATTGTTCTGGACGAGTACGGCCAACTGGCTTATGGAGTCTACAGGCAAGTCGAGAACGGTAGAAGGAAAAGTCAACCGCTTGATATGCCCCGAAGAACATCATCATATGTTCTCAACGGCTCCCGCAAGACCTGACGCGTGCAAATATCGAGATTTACGTTGAGAACAAACTGCAGAGCTCTGCCAGAATGGAGGACAAGGCCACCCTTGGTTAAATAAGTGCGTCACTATGATTGAAAGTAACGTAGCAAGTTTCATCGGGCCAAACATGACCGAATAATGGGCATAGGGCGAAGAAGAGAGAGATAGGCATGGTCGCGTCTTTTTGCTCTTACCATCTAGGTCTCAGGAGCTCGCTGAGTAGATGAGCGTAACGCGTTGAGCCGCGGCTTGATCAACCACATATAGGTATATTTCTAACAGTTCCACCCTTCCACAATGTCACACCGCCAAAAGGCGGACATACACGTCTTGAACCTCGTCGCTGGCGCTCTTTGGACCACCTGGTTATTGTCTGATTAGTAATGGGTGACTTGCGGCTGCAATTGAAGTTATGGGGAGATATCTAGGTAGTGTACTTCTGAGGTTGCTATCGAGTTTAAAAATTGTTGGAGAGACTTTGTCGTTCACCCCATCTTGATGTCCCCTGTATTATATAATAGAGGAAGAGCAGGCCGGAGATGTGAGGAGATGATTCAACGGTAGCGGTATTGAGGAGCCGGCATGTTTTCGGAGACGCTCATCTTCTCAGTAGGCTTTGAAGTTATGGAGGCTGCGTGATCAACCATTCTTTAGAAACGGCAGGATCGTCTCAAGCAGACTCTGACTCCTGGGCTTTTGGCTGGGGGGATTTGGGTTCAAAGCAAGTCCATATCATGATGCCACACTTGTTTCCGGGTCGTCAAAAGTGTCGAACAAGAAGAGGTAAAAGTGGACTCTCAATCTTCGTGCCCTGCTAGTTGCCGCCGATTCATTGACCATTAAAGAATAAGGCTCAACTAATTCTGTTCGCGGCCAATACTCATCTCCAAGATAGCTATGGGAAATTGGCCCTCAAAGACAGCTGAGTAGTCATTGGATCGTCATTTTTTTTCTGAGTGAGGTACGGTTCTGTACAGAAAGACAACAAGACTGGGCCGATAATATACACGAGCCACCCCGTCTTCCCCCCTTTTTCCCCCAGTCCTAATGTGTACATTTATTGTGATATTTCCTTTTGCCGGATATTTCTTCTTTTCGACCTTAACGCACTTATGCAGATCACATATCATGTCTTGTACTGCCATAACTGCGACTTCTCTTGCACTTACACATGGTGCGACACCACGACCTGAGCAGCAACCGTCCCCACCGGCCTCTCAACAAACTCCATAATGCCCTCAACGATATTCTTCCTAGCCGGCTCGCTCGCAACCTGGCGTCCGGCTAGGTAGTTCATCCACAGCGCCTTGCTGACCCTCTCATCCAAGACTCTACCCACCGTCCCCCTATTCTGGCCCTTGCCCTTACCCGCATCAAATACGACGGTCAAAACCCCCCTCTCATCCCTCACCATCAACAACTCACTCTTATTCGGCGCCTTACCGCGATTCCATAAAGCCCTGAACTCCTGCATCGCACGGGCGAAGCCCTCATCGGCATGCTCTTTAGGCAGCGCCTGCGTGCGCCCCATAATGGCCCTCACGAACCCGTCCCGCAAATGATGGAAATCCGTGTCCTTGACGGGCACAATGCGGAAGATACTCCTGGGCTTGACATCGTCCAGAATCTCGCGCCACAGCTTCTCGCCCTCGAAGGGGTCCAACAGACGGCGGCGCAAGTCGTCCCGTTCGCTGGGGACTAGCGTCGTCGCGATGGGGTTCACTTCCTTGACCAGCTTGGATTGGATGGCGGCGATGTCGGACGTCGCGATGTAATATCCCACCAGATAGACGTAGATGCCCAGAAAGCTGACGGATCGCATGCCCAGGCCCACGAGCGTATATTCCACTCCGTCGACTGTCTCTTGTCCGTTGCCAGTGCCCATGTCGAGGTCAAGGGTGCGCGGAAAGGACGGCACGCCTTTGTAGCCGGTTGGTACCATTTCCTTGCCGTCGGCATCATGTATGACTGTCTTGCGCTTACTTCCTCCTTCGGTACTGAACGGGTCAACTCCGGAGGGGAGACCTGTGTCCATCTTCTTGGGCTTCTGCAGCTCCAAGTAGAGCAGGTAGGCTGTGTAGGTGAAGGCGATCACACCGGCAAGTGCGCCGGCTTGTAGAAAGCGGTGGCGCTTGAGGTGGTAGTCATAGGCCTTGTGTCGGAGGCCATTGATATCGAGTCGCTCGACGGCGCGGGTTGACGTCCGCGGACGCATGAGGAAGGTTCGGGTTTGCCGTGGTGCGCGGAGGCATGATTGTGGTGGCCGGCGTATCGGTGTTTGGAGGGAGCGTACAAGGACATCCGGGCGGACAAGGAATCGTGTTGACCTCATCTTGTGGCCCTTTGGTGGGTGGTGATAGAGCTTTGAGGTTTCTGAAGTTGGCCTCGAGATTAATTGTGGGGTTAGTTTGCGGTGCTGTTCATGGCGTCATGTAGTTCAGTCAGTTCGTTCAGTGTTTGGCAGCTTTCGGAAGCTAGACGCTCGAACAGGAATGAATTGAATCCGCAGTTGCAGAGTGCACGTCGATTGAACTTTGAATATGCCAAGCCGTTCTTGGAGTTACCCTGTTCGATGAAGCTTTCGAGCATCAGATGGTCGTGGACTGCAAAACCAATATGGCTAAGATCGTCATCAGCCTCGCAGGTTGAGTTCCAGGTTGAATTCAAGGCGTGGGAACCGTTCCGGTCCCGAATGCTTCAGCACCCCGGCTCCTCGGCAGCTGTGCCTCCCGCTTCGAGCTCTGACCACCAAACCACCCTGTCAACTCTAGAAGCTTGATGACATTCGAGACGACGTGCAACCCAACGACAAATAAACGGCACACGCCGGTAGGATCATCAAGTCGTGCCTGGTCTATTGCACTGGAACCCAGAGTTATCCCACATTACTCAATTGGACTCTCAAGCTGTCCTATATTGTTACGCCCTTGGTGCGCCGTTTATTCTGTCACCTCCTCCTTGACAGGGGGCATGCGAACCTTCCAAAAGTTGTGGGCTGTGATGGCGGCAATGAGTGGTCGAACTCTGTTCTAAGCGCCTGACACCATCACACACACCTGACTTGCATGTGTAGACAACACATGCAAACTCCTGACGGTGTCACCTTCTCACTGTTGTCGTGATCATCTTCAGCAAATCCACTGGGTGACTCAACGTTTCGTTGCGGCTGCGATGGGAAACCTCACGTTCGCAGAGGTTGGGCAGCGATTGGAGGGGGCAGACATATGCTACTATGCAGAGTATGCAATTACTCAGAGCTTTTGGCGCCTCAGCGAAGATGGTCAACAAGAACACTCGCCTTCACGATCGGAATTTTCGATTTCAGAGGTCATAACCAGCCCACAAGTAATGTACCATCAACAAGCGGACTCGGCATAAAAACAGGAACCCGACATGCAGGGCGCATGTCCTGAGACGTTGTTGCAAGCATGCGACAATATCCATAGGCATCGTCGTGATTCTGTAAGACGACCTCGTACGCTTTGAGACTGCGGGAGTGCGCATCTTGACGATCCACCGTTGAACTCAGATGGCCATCAACAGTCTGCTGAACTGGTAGAAAACTCTAGCTAGCAAGACCATATCCGATGTGGCTTAGAGCACCGTGTCATTATAAATAAACATGCCGTGATGTGATGTATGTCATCGACCGGGGAAGTTAAGGTCCGTATTGGGGACCTGCATCTTGAAAGAAGTCCGGATGAAGCAGCGGGGAAGCAAAATGGAAGCCACGAGGAGGAATTGACTTGACGACCTACATCAACTAAAACGATCTAACGTACCTGAGTAGCGAGATGGTAGATAGAGTTTCGTCTGCTCCTGAAAGATCGCTGATAATGATGATTGTTTGGCATGTCTAGATAAAGACATGTTCAAGGAACGAAAACAAACAGAGCCTGATGACGAGATGCATACAGGTCCGTCCATTGCAGAGTGTCTTTGCCTGGGCAGTTCGCAGGCGAATGCATTTCCATGTTCATCAACTTCAGCACTGGAGGAGAGTGCTGCTTCTGGTAGGATATTTTTAGCACACATCCATCCTGTTAGTCGCACCTCCCCGCTTCCTGCATCCGCCAGAAGTGCTGGCGCACGCTGGACTGCCCTGATCTGATTGATTGATGCGACCCCACCCGCCCTTTCACTGCAGAAGTCGGGACCTGAAGGAGAGGCATCATCAATCTCTCAAACAACAAACACGACTTGACACGAACAAAACCAACTCTAATTCATCACAAAGGGCACCTGCGCCCATCGTCGTTTGTGGGATTTATCCAGTGTCGGGGTCCAGGAGCACCACCGAGAGCTCAACGGAAACTGTAACTACTACATCAGCGAACCCCAACCTCTCGATCGGCCAAACACCCCGTCACGTCACAGCCAGTCAGCCTGCTTGTTCAAGTCAGCCCAAGAATCACTGCCCTCATTCCGGACTCCTGTCTGGCGAGGCCGACAACGATGCGCCCACCGGCCCCGTCGCTCGATGTTATTGCCGCGCAATCGAATGCCGCTGCCGCCGCTGCTGCCATAGCCGCCGCGGGTTCAGGACCTCCCACCGTTGCCATGACGGAACCCGAGTCTCGCGACTCGCGATCTTCGTCGTCGACCAACTCGCCTGCCCCCGCTGACAACGAGGAATCCGACTTCTACCCCCTGGCCAACGATTCAGAGTCGTCGCTGGGCGTCGTGCCCAATCTGCAAGACATGCAGGTTAATGATCCGGAATGTCTGCCGATTGCTGCGACCCTGCCCAGCGAGATCCTCATCAGCATCTTCGCTCGTCTCAGCTCCCCCGACGAGATGTTCCGGTGCATGCTCGTTTCGAAACGCTGGGCTAGGAACGTCGTCGAGATGCTCTGGCATCGGCCTACCTGCACCACGTGGGAGAAGCACACCAAGATCTGCCAGACCCTGGGCATGGAGAACCCGACGTTTGCCTACACCGAGTTCATCAAACGACTGAATCTCGCCGCGCTGGCTAACGGTGTCAACGATGGGAGCGTCATGCCGTTGGCTGTCTGTACTCGCGTCGAGCGTCTCACCTTGACTAACTGCAAAGAGCTCACCGACAGCGGACTCATAGCCCTGGTTCGCAACAGCCAGAACCTCCTCGCCCTCGACATCTCCCAAGACATCAAGATCACCGAGCATTCCATTATCGCCATTGCCGAGAACTGTCGCAGGCTGCAAGGCTTGAACGTGTCTGGATGCAAGCATATTTCCAACGACAGCATGGTTATACTCGCCGAGAGCTGCAAGTACATCAAGCGGGTAAGTTTCTGGACATCCGGTCATCCCTGGTCCTACCAGCCAGGCACATGCACAAACAAACTCTCGATACGCTCAGAAAAGCTGACTGCTTGTCTCTCGTGTAGCTCAAGTTGAACGATTGCGACCAGTTGAGCGACAATGCGGTTGTTGCCTTTGCTAACAACTGCCCCAACATCCTCGAGATCGACCTCCACTCGTGCCACAATGTAGGCAACGAGCCCGTAACATCTCTACTCGCCAAGGGGCAGTCCCTGCGTGAATTGCGTCTGGCCAATTGCGATCTGATCGACGACAGCGCGTTCTTGTCATTGCCTGCTAATAAAACCTACGAACACCTCCGGATCCTGGACTTGACATCCTGCGCTAGACTCACAGATCGCGCCGTCGAGAAGATTGTCGAGGTGGCACCACGTCTCCGAAATCTGGTGCTGGCCAAGTGCGGCAACATTACGGATGCCGCTGTCTACTCCATCTCCCGTCTGGGGAAGAATCTTCATTACGTCCACCTGGGCCACTGCAGGCACATCACCGACGATGCCGTCAAGCGTCTGGTCCAATTATGCAACCGCATTCGCTACATCGACCTCGGTTGTTGCTCTCACCTGACCGACGAGTCCGTCACTCGACTTGCGACTCTGCCCAAGTTAAAGCGCATTGGGTTGGTCAAATGTGCCCAAATCACCGACGAAAGCATACGTGCGCTTGCTCGAGCAAATCGACGTAGCCGGCCCCGCCGCGATGCTGCTGGGAACGTCGTCCACGACTACCACTCTAGCAGCCTGGAGCGTGTTCATCTGAGCTACTGTACCAATTTAACTCTAGATGTAGGTTCATCTATTTCTCCCGAGCACGGTGGCTTCTACTGACAAAACTGCAGAGCATCATCGAGCTCTTGAATTGCTGCCCCAAACTCACCCATCTTAGTCTCACGGGTGTGCCTGCCTTCCTACGAGACGACCTAGACGTTTTTTGTCGCGAGGCCCCTGCCGACTTTACCGAGCATCAAAGACAGGTTTTCTGCGTCTTCTCGGGCACAGGCGTCGGTGGGCTCCGGCGATACTTGAACACGGGTGCGCAGTTCCAGGAATATCATGACCCATCCCGTCCAAGAGTTGGCCAAAATGTCAACGCGGTCGCGCAAATCGCCGATGTGGACGGTGTGGACGAAGGCGATGTTGTCGAGGACGATGATATGGGCGACGGTAGCGAAATCGCCCTCGATCAGGGCCAAGACGACCAGCCAACAGCCATTCCTGTGCCGCCGCCAGTTCCGGTGCATCCCGGCGGCGGCCTCTTCGGTCATTTAGCCAACCCGCTTGCTGCTGTAGGTGGTGCCGGTGGTGCGGGAATCGACGGGGGTATTTCAGGCTCGCCGCCTACGGTATCTCTTGATAACTTTGTCGTGCCAAATCCAATGATAGGGAACGGCCAAGCAAGTTTGGAGGAAAGCATCGCTGTTCCGCCGGGGTCTTTGCAAGCCTCGAGACAACCGTCAAGACATGGCACGCCGGTTCCCAGCACCGCCGGTGGCGGTCCCCTTGGAGCACCGAACGCAGCGCAATCTGGCCCCAGCACCGCCTTTCTCGCGGGACCAGTGGGGGATGCCGATAAGCAGGTGGGCTAGATGTTCTAGCATATGCGTATTTAAGCGCTAGCCACCGTCCTCATACAGCGAGTGACTGTTTATATAACCTGAGGTGTCCTGGCTGTTACTGGCATCGTGGGCATTCCACTAAACAAGCGAATGCCTATGTTTCTTGGAGAGAATCAGAATCGCAATGCGATAATAATGCCTACGATACACCTAAAATACCGGATTGCGATGCGATTTTCAGCCAGACCGTCGAGGACAAAATTGCCCCTGCCGGCATGACACGGCTGAAGTTCAAGCGAATGGTTTGTATCTGCTTATATCTACGAGACGAAGCATACGACTACTCAGATGCTTCTGAGACTGAGGGATTATGGAAAATGACGAAGTCCTTGATGGATTAATCAAAGTTGACGAGCGGAAGGGTGGACATTGGGAACTGCATTACACTAAGGCAAGTGGATTAGATACCAGTGGGCGGACTGCGCGAAGACGGCGAACGCGAAGAGCATTGATCGACAGGCTGGCGATTCCGCCCAAATTTGACTAGTTGGCTTGGACGGCGTTGCTATTGAGCGGGTGTTCATCCATAGAGATGTCAGGAATGTGAACCGCATTGCGTTCTCTTTGCTCCTAAATGCCTTCTTGTGAACTTCGTCTGCCTGTTCTGTCCTGGCTGCTGTGTGATTTCCCAAGCGAGTAGCGTTCGTAATGCATTACGCAATCCTAGCCATGAACTTGTCGATCCTAGAAGGCGTGAGGCGTGGGACGCACACTCCAGCAACTACCAGACGTTGATGACGACTCTCGCCAAGGTCGCCTCGATCAGGTCTTGTATGGACGTAAGCGGCATCCGAACGATCCTCAGACTGTTGAGTGGGTGTATTTTCATTGGGCCAAAAAAGCAGTCAGGTCTTCGATTACCTGCTCAATAAAAATACTTTTATGCTTCTAGGTACCTTTCGTTGAGATTAAGCTCTTCAGTTGACGGCGCAACACAGCGTATCCCCATCCAAATCGTCGACATCAAACCCGCGACTCGGGATACCTTGTTTCCCATTTCCGAATGGATAAATCAGGAACGACGACGACGTCGTCTAACCCATCACCCTCCGAGCCATCTAACCCCATGTCTCACACAGGTAGTATCTACCTTCCCACTGTACTCCTTTCCCTCTCTAACAATACATCTTGCCCATAACTCAATTCTTTCCCGTCATTCCCCACTCCAACGCCATCATCAAACGCTCGAGAGCGAACAGATGGCACTCCAGACGGCCGGGTTGCGCGGAGGGGGGGAAAGGAGACGAAGGTCATGAATAGGGAAAGGGAGGTAGAAACGGGGGGCCAGAAAGGGGTAGGGATCAAGGGCACAAGGGGAGGCAGCAGAAATCTAGGCCGTGGAAGAGGACCCAAAATCGATCATTCAGTTTCTAATAATGATATGCTTTTATCAACAACCCCCAAGGAAGGCATCTAATAGGCCACACGAGTCTCTCCTCCATCGGCCCCTTATTTATATCAGTTCGAAGGAAAACTATGAAAGCGAGGGAAAACAGTCATCAGATGGCCAAACGCACACGTCTGAGGACAATGGAAAACCGATCCCTTAGAGAAAGTTATGCAAGATAGAATACATGTTACCAGAGAGCATCATTACGTGCATCATATATTGAGGAGACGGGTAAATCATGAAAGTAGGTTGATTAGTCTACCTCATGGAAGTGCTCGCGTAGGCCAAAGCGGTCGAGTCATACAACCTCCATTGCGGCGCTTATCCATAATGGCGCCGCCAACCAGAAAGTGAATGTAGCTCCTATCCAGGGCTTCGATAGACGTTTCCCGGCCGTCTCATGAAGGTCGCATCCTTACACTAATGCCTTGTCCTCACTTCTTCTTAGCCTTCGTCTTGTCTACAACATCGACCCACTTGACGTCGATACCCCTCTTAGCCAAAACATCCCCAATCAACACCTTGCGCTGATCGCCTTGAACCACAATTTCCAAGAGCCCTGGCTTGCCCCCCGTCAGCGGCGCCACACTAGCTGCCCCGGCGCACTTCTTCTGCAGCTCCGGCGCAAGCTGTTGCGGGTTGATGAAGAAGGGCTCCAGGTTGGCGATCTTGGTGACGACCTTCGTGCCTGTGCGTTTCTCAATGGTGATGTGGACTTGTGGCGCAGGTCCGGCTTTGGGCTTCTGCTCCGATGCTGACTGATTCCTTTCGATGACGTGAAAGGGTTGGCAAAGGTGGCTATCCTCCAGGACGCGTCTTTGCAGGGCACCCTTTTGGATGCGACCGGCGGCGATGACTTTGCTGTCCTCTGGGAATAGGTTGGATCCGAGGATGTTGTTGGCGATGAAGGGGTCTAGTTTGATGCTGGAGGCTCCTTGGCCGCCTAGTTCGGGGTTTTTGTCGATGTATTCTTTCAGGGCGGAGAAAACCTGCTGTGCCGTGTAGAACTCGGTCTTGGAAGGTAGAAGAGTCGGTACCAGCTTCGAAGAAACGCGGTAGACGGTCTTAATCGCGATCTTCTGACCCAGAGATGGGTCGCTAGACGAGTCTCCACCATTCCCTTCGTTGCCCGCCTTCGAAACTGCCTTTGGTGTGGGCAACTTGTAGGGTGTAAACCTTGTCACCTGGTGGTCATCGAAATCCATGTCAACAATGACCGTCTCTCCGCCGTTTCGGTCTTTGGATTTCAGCAATTTTTCCTTATCCAGTTGCTTGATGAATTTCTTGGCGTTTTTCCATGACGTCTTCTTGATGGCGTATTGCTGGCTCTGGACTCGGAGATGTGGCTGAATCATATTGGCAATGAGGAACGAGGGTTGGATGGGGAAGTCGAAGCCGTAATGGGGTGCCTTGTTGCTCTGTTTGGCCTTATGTAGCGAATAGAGGAAAGCTTCGTGAAAGGCTTCATCCACTTCCTTCGTCGTGGGCTCGCGTTCTTCCTCTTCTTCGCTGGGAGCTCCTGCCGCATTTCCATCCAGCGCGACCCCACCATCTTCTTGGCCATTCTCGTCGCTGTCGTCCAATGTCATGTTGTAAACAGCCCCCTCGAGGGTGCCCGTCAGGCCTGTCCATCCATCCAGATGCTCAGGCGCCGACTTGCCTCCATTTCCCAGAGCACTCCAGTTCCAAATCTCGTCGCCTTCCCAGTGCAGTCCTTTCACGGCGATTCCCTTTTGACCCCTAAGGTCATCTCCCAAGTTGCACACGTCGATCTCGCATGTTCCGACCCACAAAGGCACTGTGCTTCTTCGCATGCTACTAACAGCGACGACGGAGCCTTTTTTGGCCCTCGGGTCCCATCGTGTGCCTTTCGACTTGATGAGTCCGGGAATCATCAAGTCCGCTCCCTGTCTGAGCCGCTGCTCGGCCACAAAGTCGGGCGTGTGCAAGAGCGGCACGATGTTGGGATTATTCCATAAGGTGTAGACGGTGGGCACAAGTTTTGTGTTCTTCTCGTACTGGATCCAGAGGACTCGGTCATCTTCACCGCGGTGTGCACCGACGTAGACAGTTCCAGAAACAAGTGCTGAATCTGGGCCGAACGTCGTGATAAAGCGAGCTGAAGATGTGGATTCCGGCAGAAGCAAGTTGCGCAATGACGACAATGTCGTCTGGGGTTTTGCTGGCTCGTCTTGGGAATCCGAGGGCGGTTCCAGCGACTCCTGGGGCGGAACAGGGATACCGTAGTCCCTTATGATCTGATCGGCGAGCCCGCGACGGTCCGAGGATCGCAGGGGTGAGAGGTTCTTGATCTGAGGCTTCTTCTTGAACATGTTGAGACAATGTCCAGAAGGGATGCTCCGATGAATGCTCGATGTTGAACGATGGAAAGTGACGCAAGGACACCGGCTTGTATTTGTTGTGCGGTTGCCCAGTTCTCAGTCGAGCAATTGTCAAAATGCAACCGCATATGATATTTCCGGAAGGAGGGGCAGATCGCGGGAGGCTGCACTCGCCCCACTGTGACTCCAACGGTGAGCTAAGGCAGCCTAAGGCATACTAAGGCACTTGCCCCCTGCTACATCTGGTTACTCATAAGTTAAAAGTGAACAAAACAAACAGCATCGCATGGGTGGAATCGTGTCTGGTGACTGTGGGATAGCAGTGTAGTGGGTCAGACATAGCCTGGTCATTCTGCTTAGGCCCTTGCTATTCGCAAACTGATTGAATATAGGGGTAGTTAATTACCTATTTATTCATTTGGCTCGGACGCAATGACCAGACCTCGCACGTTGTGCATAATATGAACAACTGCCAGAAACTCCAGTAATTGCCACTCTTAAGTGCGCATCACTTGTCAGTTTGTTCCGCCTGTTCAACTGAGAATCTCTTCAGAAGAGATAAAGGATCGCATTTATCATTGTCCGGTGCAGTTTCGTATCTTAGTTGAGGGACTTGTAGAGGTCAGACTTGGACGAGTGTTGTAAACTCTAGAAGTGTAGACGTCTAGTATAGTCAACAGCGGGAAGATCAAAAAAGTCCGCGCAACCTATCGATGAAGAAACAGAGTCTCTTTCTACCGATTTGTCAACCGAATTTCCATTGTCTTGTGCCCTGTGACGTGAATACCACTGTGGTTTCAACATCGCAGTTGGATAGCTGAAGGAGGCACCACAGAAACAACACACATTAAGAAATCCATGCCGCACCCTGTATCCTGTCATGGGCAGCTTATTATACACGCGCCGTAGAAGTATTCTAGTTCCAGATAACTCCCAGTCAGTATGCTAATCGAGACTAGCCTCGATCTCCTTATGCATTTGTACATCGTGAATGCGAGTTTGCCTGACTCAGGCCAGGCTGGCTGCGTAAAATGACAAGCACGGATATTAAATCCCCTCAAAACGCGCCCTGCAGACTACAAGATACAAACGTATCAAAAGTGAATCTAATGTAGGCAGTGGTTGATATTTGGTGTTGTGCAAGTTTTCCATACATATTGAGCAGGCACCTATGCGCCTCCCCGTTGTTTCTCTCGTTCATGACGAAGATTTCCAACTTTTATATGATATGTACTAGTCGCTTGTCAGGCAGACGCTGAGTGTCTTGGTATTGCTTGTTCGAAAAGCATAGGTTTGACCCCAGGATCACGTGTGCGCTTGCCTGACTTGTTATCCGCAATATATGTCATTCTTATGAGCAGGTGTGTGCATTCGTTTCAACTCTCCCCTGGATCATTGTGGTCCGCGGCAGTAGGCAGTTGGGAGCGCGGAAGGATACTTGTGGTCTAGCATCGCTGATAAACTTGCCAGGGGACCGTCGTCTGCTTTCATATGGCGCAATGGGAAAAAAGCCAGTGCTTGTTTTTGTCAAACTTTGGTCAGGCATATGGACAACCGCTTGACCCTATACGACGGTGATTCAACTACTCATTCGCAACTTCTTCAACCAAGAAACGAGTCAAATAAACCCCTTACAGCGCCTGTCCATTCACAATCCTCCCTCAATTGACCGCTCCACTCTTCGCAAACCCCGTATGCATACTCATCTCCGTCAGCACGGCATCTCTACTACTCCTCTCAAATACGCCCTCTTTATAACGCCTTACCACTTCCATTGATAACTCTCCTCCTGTGGGTACCTCAAAAGTCTAGCACATCCACTCGTTCTTCCTTTTGCAAATACCATCATCAGACGCGCCCGCCATGTCCCCAAACAGCCGTCACCCTCTGCTGGTGAACTATGCTAACTGAAACTGGAAGACCGCCTTGAGATCCAGGCGTCCGTCAGCATGGCGCCGACGTGCGACCAGGGGCCGTCGGCGCCGGTGACTAGATCGTATTCTTCTTCTTTTTCTAGAAGGAGGGGCCCATGGAGGTTTGTCTCCCATAGAGGTTACCAACGACAGAGCCAAAGTGCGGCAAGAAGCAAACCTGTACTACAAGAGCTTGATGTAATCAACTTGCCTCCTAACATGACCCTCAGCTCAGATTCATATTAGTTACTACGCCAGAGGTCTGTCCGATCTGTGAGCACACCCCCGCCTGAATACGCGAATCGAGGGGTTCGGATTAAGTTGTCCATGATGTTCTCATTCTCGGCATGTAGTGCCGTAGTTTTTACTATCTCCCCTGCCACTTAGAGTTGGCTGGCAAAATCTTGTTGTATTTTTGCTTTTTTGTGTCTTCTTACTGCCACCATGCCGGTGCCGAGAAAGCAAGGAGAAGGCCTCCTCTATTGGATTTAGTTTATGGGCACAGGCGGCTAGTCCTGCTGCCGCGTTATCTACAATTGCAACACGAAGAAAAGACGCAAAGATAGGGCAAGTGGTAGGCCTACAAATCCTGATATGTTCCCCATAATTTCCCTTGGCATTCTGTCATGGGCTGCCCTGGTAGTTATACGTGTGCGCCCGATCGCGTCTCACAGACTGAGATAGTGGGGAAATTCTCAAGAGATCTCTTCATTGATCGTATGTGCGTCAGATTTCCTGCCAAAGGTGGATTGCCATATGCACATCACATTGTGTTCCATGCGACTGGTATTCCAATGCCTGCCACTTCTCCCTTCTGACAGATAGCCTATGGATCCAGTTCCACCTCTAATCAGATAGAGATGGCGCGGAGGATGCAAAAATTGCACATGCTGCTCGAATATGATCGAATAAGGCACCTTTCAGCTGAAACGACCCGCTATAAACGTGTACATGCAGAACATCGAGTCACAGCACCCTGGGGCAAGTCAAAGGTTCACAGCGCACAGTTGCCAGCGTGGTCACAGCCCACCATGCCAACCCAGGGGGGCATAAGGCCGTGCCACATGTAGCGGTGAGGACCGAAATCATCCCCGCGGGATTATCTCCACAGGCAATTTCGCAGGGCAAGTTACTTGGTTACTTGAATGCGGGCGCGGCCAAAACAGATACGCCCACGTCGCCCCGCATCGCATTTCCAAGTCGCGTGTCGCTGTACTCAGCTCGCAGCTCGCTGCACTGCACTGCGACACAACGTGCAGGCGGGCAGAATCTGGTTGTTGCGCCTGCGTCGATTGTTCCAGCAGGGAAACCCCCTCTCACTATCCTTAAATTTCAGCTGCAAGCATTTCGTTTGCAGTATCCTGTCTTATATGTAACATTCATTATTATACCACCACCGCCACCCATTATGGCTGCTTTTATAGACTGGCGACGACTGATATTCCCCCCGGAAGAAACGGCGACGCCACCACCACCGCCACTACCGGCGCAGACGACGCCGCGCGACTTGCGTCATGCGCTTTTTTCTCTACCCAGCGCCGAGACGACGATCACAACGGTCGCAGCCATTCTTTTGGGGGCTTTCTGGACAGTGCTGGTTCTGTACTGGGTACGGGGTCGGAACAGCAACAGCAGGGATTCTCCCACCACCACCACACCAGCGAATCATACGCCAGAATATGAGCAGTTGAAGGATGCGCTGGCTCAACTCGTTGCGAAGGAGAAGGCCATCACGGCCATGAGCCAGCGCATCGAAGCCATCGAGAACAATGTGCAGCAGCGGCTAGACCGGAACACAGGATCCACCGAAGGCGATATGCAGAAGAGCCTGGATCAGCGGCTCGAATCGATCGAAATAAAACTGCGACAGAGTTTGGATGAGCGTAGCGAGGCGCTCAAGGACACCATTCGACAGAAGTCGGACCAGGGGCTCCTGGATGACATACATCGCGCGTTGGACCAGCGCATCGAGGCGCTGGAGGAAGGGGTCCGCATCATCGACGGGAAGCAGCTCGACCAGGAGGCGACACAAATCCGGGAGCGGAAGATGACGCTGCGCCTGGAGGCCGTGGAGGAGAGCGTCCGGGTCGTGGACGGGAAGACGAGGGCGTATAGTCAGCGGATCGACTCTGTGGACGACAGCGTACGCGTCATTGACAGCCGGACCAAGGCGCAGAGTCAGCGACTCGAGGCCGTCGAGGATAGTGTGGGTTCGGTGGACGGGCAGGCGACGCTGTTGTCGCATGATGTGAGCCGAGGGGGGTTGGCGATTGAGAAGCTGCAGAGACAGGTCAAGATGCTGCCTGACAATGATAGGTTGAAGGCCCTGTCGCGGGCGTGGGAGTCCAGGTTCAAGCAGTTGGAGGATCAGATTGAGCAGTAAGTATTATTATCCTTCGCTATGCTGCTTTCCGTTTTAAGAAAAAGGATAAAAAGCGTCGAGTATTGCAACTGGATGGCTAAAATACCGGCCAATTCCGTTCTTGTCACGAAGATATTCATGAAGCGATTCACAATCAATACCCATTTCATTACCGACTTCCATCGCAATATCTACTAACACAAACTTCCACTCAGATACCACATCGCCCTCGAAGAACAACGCGCCGAAAACGTCATCACGTTGTCATATTCCGAAATCGACACAGTAGAAATCGAACCAACGGGCCCCCTCTACGTCCAGCCTCCTCCCCCATGCACCCCCTTCAAGGACTTCCAAGCTGGCTCCATGCCCCTCACCCCTTCGCCCAGTGCAGGATCCTTCTCCGGCTCTAGCGTCCGGTCCGTGAGTCCTGCGTCCAAGATCCCGAGGAGTATTGAGCAGCGAAGGCTAGAGATGGCGGGGTTTCAGACGCCAACGTTTTCGTCGAGGCAGAAGTTGTTGACTTCGAGGACGACGAGTTGGTCCAGGTGAGGATATGGCCGGGCTGAAAGGGAAGAGAAATTTAATTTGTAAAGAGATGATACCACTGGCATATGGCGACAAGGGTCGTATGTCGGAAACAAGATGATTTAATAGTAAATACCACAAGAATATAGCAATAGTACCAGATCGGATGAAACTTGAAGGGAATTCTGCGAGAAGGTGATTGGCGCTTTTCTCCAAATGTGAACGTGAAACCAGGCCTGAACATAGACCTGCGGTTTCTCCTCAAAGGCAGAGGCTCAAAAAATTATTAGATTCAACAGTCTGCAACCCCTGAAGAGGCACAAGTTAAGAGGTTGCTGTCCCGCCCTTCATGATAGTCGAGGCTCTCCCTATGAATGAAATTCACTTAGTCTGCTCAACCAAAATGGGTTTCGGCACATCTCGGATCATGGTTTCTGCCACACATGTCGGGAGAACTGAAAACCACGCCATTCGAGTTGATGACGTGGAAATGGGTCTCGATCTGCTTATAAAGACGGATAGATCGCGCTACTAGGACGAGATCTCGTTGACGAACAGATGGTTTAAAAGATTCTTGAAGCAGCTAACCGAACCTAGGAGTTCGCCTAACCGCACTTCAGACCATGGCTGAGACTGTTGGGCAAGATCGCGCTGCTGATGTCGTCTTTTTGGCCCGCTGGAAAGATAAAATAGGATCTACCTGATAATTAAGGAATACTACTACATAGCCTAGATCTCTTTTATATATAGCGGATGTTGACGTAGGGATAGGGAGTTTGCAGAGTATTTTCGGGTTAAGAATATGCAGCCAGTCTGTTTCTGGAAAGATACAAATAGTCACGTGATTGACCAGTAGTGTGGGGCTAAGATTACCAGCCACTCGGGTCAGAGCCTTCGAAGAGGGCCTTCCTGGGGACACAAGAACCAATCAATTGGATCGGTAACAGCCATCACAAAGAGGTCACATCACCGTCACATAAGGTCACACTGCAAGATACGTGAATATCCGACACTTGATGAGAAGAACTGCAGAGGACAAAGGTTAAGAGAATGACCGATAACCTCTATGCAGGCTACAGGCTACAATATTGCTAGATATCTCTCGTTCAATTCGGGGTTAGTATGAAGAGACACGCCCCGTTGATTGTAATATCTTCACTGCATGAATAAAGGCTAGTAAGTGTCACGGGGCTAGGCCCGTGCACCGCATGTATATTGGTACTGCACGAGCTGGCTGATGTTCCATTCTTCGTGCTACAACAATAAACTACTGGTACCCCCATACACGACCCTGACAGTAAGAGCCTCGATTTGTCACGGGTATTTCAAGTACAGAGTGAAGGACAAGAGTGCTAGAGAGAAGTCGGCTGCAGTCACCAGGTGGATACCAGCAGTTGGCTTATCCGCACCTGATGCGACTCCTGTTTCTCTAATGTTTTTGTCATAGAATATATATATATATATACATATATTGTGGGATCGCACTGGTCCTGGCATTCTGGCTACATGCGAAGGCGAAGAAGGGAGGTAGAAGTGTGTGGGGGGGGGGGGGGGGGGGGGTTTCTCGAAGCCAGCCGCAAAGGGCACCTAAGTATCTCACGTATCTCAGGTGTACCTCACCGTGACCTCAGGCCACCAATTCCATATATATTGTAGAATTTCGTGTTGGAAGTGAGGTTCAACTCTCTACATGCTGCTTGTTGTTGCATTTTCCTGTCTAGCTATTGTTTTCTCGAGAAAAGCGTTATTCTAGAGCTATTTATTGGTCGATATAGGCCTGATACGTGACCCCAAGGGGAATCACCCTGTAGTCATCATGAAGATAATACAGGCTGCCTAAGAGGGCCTTCGGCCAGCTACATAGCTAGCTAACCACGCTTCCCAATAAACACACTTTACACCCCATATGCACTCGCCTCAAGGCGGTATAACTCTGTCACTTATCTTCCGTATTCCCCATATTAAATATACATTCGCAAATATATGATTCTAGTCTTTTTAGGCAGCCTACTACACGGCTAGCAAAAGCTTCTTAAACTTGACCTTTAATTATATGTATATATGTCAGCAATATTTAGTATCTAGTACTGCACTCGCTTGGAGATATACAAGTGTCCGAAATGCACCTGAAACAGCGCTGGAGGCGGGGTAAACTCTACCTATGTATATAGTTCAGATTGTCCAGACACCACTGTTGCACCTTGCATTACTTAACCTGGTTACATATTACGGTTTAACGTAGGAATCGAAGTTGTGTTTTGGATTTATCGAGATTTATCGCCATTCAAAATTACTAAAGCGGGGCCTTACTAAGGCCGGTCAGCATGGTCACGTATGTACCTGTCTGAAAGTGCCCGGCTGCTGACAGCTTGGTATGCTATGCCGCTCTCCAATGAGTGGACAGTTGGACGCTCAAATAGGAAATTGCTAATACACCAGAACCGCATGGGAAAACAACAGTCAATGCCTTGAAAAGAATTCGATGCTAGGTACATTGGACATAAAGTTCGACGGGTTTGACTTCAGTCCGTATATGCATGATGTTCGTGATGGGTCCGTTAGACTTAGCTGCCAAAGGCAATTGACAAGATCCCCAGAGGTTAGTTGACGGCGGAGCTTAGGTGGATAAGTGTGAAGAACGGATGAGTTATGTACTGTTACATTGACCAAATGCTGCTCTATCTCTTACCAGCGGGTATGGAGCACACTCAATGGTTGCTGAGAACAGTCGCCATTGTAGCAGCTTGGCAGCGGCCAATATTATGGCGCCATGAGCCCTGCCATGCTATCGAAGCTTGATTTATGAACGGATATCTTCTTGTCGCGCCTGTGGGATAGCATATGGCGGATAACAAGGACAGGGGCTGTGCCATGACTTGCCATACTACTTTCGGTGTCGGTCTTACTACGGCTGTCGGGGGATGCCGGGGATCAATTCTCGGCTTCCAGGATCATTGATAGTATCTGAAACCTTGGATATACGACACGCTTGAACCCAAGACTGTGATTGCAATCATGTCCAGAACGAGTTCGACCCAGAATCCCCCAGATATTGGCTTAACCTCTGAAGATCCACGCCGTGGGGCATGCCGCCACCAAACTGGTGTGCCGACGACTGCTATTCCCGGAGACCGTTGGTGCAGACATCGTGGGCAGGTTATCCTGTAGTTAATGTACCGACTAGACGGCGGGGTGCTCTAGAGGCTGTCAGGCGCTCGAAATGGTAGGAGCCATGGCAGAATTTCATGCATCACGTCATTGATCAGCTGTATTGAGCGTTAACTCGAGTAATACTGGAACAACAAACAAGATTAGGGTAGACCGATACCCACTTGTGGAAAGCTTAGCGCTGGCTGCGTGGAGATCACTAGTCATCAGGTGGGGGGATTCAGGGATACTATAATATGGAACCCAAGTTGATATGAACTCATCAAGTCGTGCAGCAATTCAACCAACCTGAGAGGTCGAAACTTAGGAAAGTCGGCATAAAAGAATAGAGTACTCAGCCAAAAGGAATGCCAATACTGCCGGTAGTGAACTGGTGGTTCGACAACAAAACAAAATGGGCAAGCTGTGGAATAATTTATATGTGGTCAGTTTCAGAAATAGTTCCACCAGCCCCAACGAACAGCCGGCTCGGTTGCTTGAACCGTAATCTGATCCGATTTTACGGGGCGCGAGCCAATGGGCGAAGTTCGCCGGGACCTTGGCAGATCATGGATGGGTCCTTTGATCCTATTGAAAGGGGAGACACGGTGGACAGCTGGGATGTTCAGGACGGTCCCATGTTTAGATAGGGACCTGCATTGACATCCCGACCCTGACCCAAACTTGGAATATGAACCTGAAGGATGAGCGAAGATGGAAAAGGGAAATTGCGGTTCATGATATCTCCTGGCCTCCTTTCTCTCTCCTTCGTTCCACGCCTCAACGAGGCTTCTCTTCAAATCGCTGCGGTTGCAGTTGCCTAGGCCCTCTGACCTCGACGCTGTCTAATTTTCACTTCCATGATGGCGTTTGTCCCGACCGGCGGGTTGGCTCCACGCTTGGCAAAACGGGTTTTTGTCTTGGTTTTCATGGTCATGGCCGTTGGCTCCTACCGCCTTCTGCGCGATGCCAGCTTTACCCACACCATTTCCACCCATTACGAAGACCTTACGAATAGTGTTTGGATGCAATTACACGTTAATGCTGAATATTTGTCTCAATCGGAAGCAGAGCTCCTCAAGCGGCCCGAGACTATCGGTCTCATCGAGCAGCATGAGGCGGCTGGTCTGTCGAAACAACAAGTCCTGTCCGAGACGATCCGGATCCTGGCCGAATACAACCGCGCCGACAAGGCCTGGATACGCGATGGGGAAATCGACCAGCAACGCCAGCTTTTCCAGAAGGAACATGAGGCCTTGTCAAGGTGAGTTCAGTGGTATGATGGTTACTAAGAAGGATGGGTTACTGATGCCTACAGCAGCAAACCTGGCGCTGATGCCTTGTATGGAACATCGCTCAAGGGGCTCTCTGTGAATGACTTCTGGAGAAGTCGATCCCATAAAGCCGCACTGACAGCAACTAACGAAATCCTTTCCTACGCTACGGACAAGCCTTACATCTATGATCCGTATTTACAGATGGAAACTGCCGCTGGGTTCGTGCAATGCCAGGGCCCGGACAACCAGCCCGTGGGCGAAACCTTTGTCGTCAAGGTTTTGAAGGGCACACCGCCCAGCTTCCCGAAGTCCGCCTTTGGCAGCCACCAAGTCCTCGACATGGACGACAACCTTTGCTTCGAAAGAGAGACTCGCTTGGCACCGTACGGGTATGGCAACACCAGCAAATGGAGCCATGCGAACTGGGGCCAGTTGCAGGAAACTTGCACCAAGAACAACTCGGGACGTTACTCAGAACGTGGACAACCAAACGTCTACTTGGGCCTCTACGGCGGCGAACGTCCCATTGGGTCATTGCAGAACAAGCTGCTCAAGCAGCTCTCCATGGCGGGGCTGGACGAAAAGAAGGAACAGCGGACCGCCGTCGTGCTGCGGACATGGACCGGAAAGGTCTACTCCGAGAACGACATCCTTGTGATCCGGTCCCTGGTAGCAGAGCTCAGTCTCCGCACGGGCGGACGATACCAAGTATTCCTGTTGATCCAGGACAAGGGAAACGACGCCACTATCTGGGAATCCAAGTCGGCCTACGACAGCCTCCTGCAGCGAAGCGTCCCCCAGGAATTCGTCGACATGTCCATCCTGTGGAACGACGCGCTCACGCAGGACACGTATAAGAAGCTGTTCCCCACGGTAGCCATCGTCCACGTGGCTCAATGGCTTCCCGTGCAGATCTTCTCGCAGGATCACCCCGAATTCGATTTCGTCTGGAACATGGAGCTCGACTTCCGGCTCACGGGACACCACTACGAGTACGTGGAAAAGCTCGCTTCCTTCGCCAAGGCCCAACCACGCCGCGGACTATGGGAACGAAACGAGCGGTATTACATCCCCTCCATCCACGGCGACTACGACACCAAATTCCGCAAGGACACCGAAAAAGGAACAACGGACGCCGTCTGGGGGCCGCCTCAGCTGCCATACATCAGGCCCATCGGCCCGATGCCCCCCGTTGCCGACCCCAAGGACGACAACTTCAAATGGGGCGTCGGCGAGGAAGCAGACATGATCACCGTAGGCCCCATCGTCAACGCGCCAAAGTCAGACTGGATCATCAAAGACCAAGTCTGGGGGTACAACGGCACGTCCACCCCTCGCCGCGGGACCATCATAACACAGTCACGCGTCTCGAAGCGGCTCCTCGATATAATGCACGTCGAGAACCTTCGGGGAAACCACGTTTCCTCAGAAATGACACCCCAAACCGTCGCGCTACACCACGGCTTGAAGACCGTGTATGCGCCCATCCCGGTGTATCTCGACCGGCCCTGGCAAGGCGAGGACCTAGAGCGCTGGTTTAATTGCGGCTTTAGCTGTGGGAGGGAGAGTGGCAACACGACGCTGGGCGCGCCGCTGGGGTGGGGCCGGGAGGGGAGGTTTGTGGGGAGTACCTGGTACTATCGGGCGGATCCGCCAGAGAGGATGTATAGGAATTGGATGGGATGGGAACATTCGGGGACGGGGGGCAAGGAGTGGGAGGAGCAGGTCGGGAGGGCGTGTTTGCCGAGCTTGATGTTGCATCCGGTGAAAAATGTAGAGCCTTGATATTGGGATGTAGAGAGAGGCTTAATTACCCCACATAGAGCCACGTAGCGTGCGGGCGACCTAATGAGCGATTTGCATTTTGATTTTTCCAAAACACGATGTTGTAGTAATGGACATGCAAGTGAGATATGATGGGTGTATGCTTCATTCATCGCTGTAGGTGCAGAGTGGAGCAGTGCAGTGGCACTGAAGGAGGCTGACGAAAATTTAGGTTTGAACTTCTCCCGAACAATCGGTTCTGGCGGAGTGAACTTTGCTTGGCTGTGCAAGAACGGTATAACGTAGGAAGCTAGTTACATTTAGCTAGGTTAAACGGGTATAAATGCGCGGCGCAACGAAGGTGGATTATCTAATCTGGGTGTAATCTCAACGATGACCACGCAATACACACCGAGCTTCGATATGATTTCTACAGGGACAAGACTGAAGAATTCAAGACCGTGTATGTCGAGAAGCCTTATAAGCAGATACCATAGCAGCTCATTCCTGGTTTCAGGGACACGTAAGAGCCAGACTCCAGATATGAGGTGGGTTGTCTGGACATCGCCGGTTCGGCATGTGGCATGCATTCGACCCAGCCTTCGATAGATATACAGGATAAGGATACAACCCTGTAGAGTAGATAGAGTACCAAAAACCTTATAGTCAGGCTGAGAATGAGTAGATCATGGATAAGTCAAGATGAATAGAGATTATCATTAAATAATACGGTTCTCTGGGGTTGAAATATTTGCCAAGGGGATACGACGATGTGAAAGTACTAGACTCTCATTCTGTTAGATCAAGTCATCGGTGTGGTGACCACATTCGTTGCTACCGCTCAGTTCGCTTCTTCTGCCACTCGGAGATGTGACTGAGTTACACCTAGTTTAAGCGCGTATTGTGTGAAGCTGGAGCGGTGGCCAGAGTCACTTGAGTCCCAGATGAAAAGGACTCCTATGAGGTTGAGACGCACCGCTGTATGTCATACATTGGTTTTTTATAGTATGAGCCCATCCTAAAGTTAACCAACCTTCTTTGGTCTTGCTCATCTCAAACTGCATGATCTCTTTCAAACGTTGCTAGGCAAGGCCCGCACGAGTGGGCATTCACATTGGAAATATGTCCTGTGAAGCTGAACTGCGAAAGGCCGATGGCCAATTGGCAAAATTAAGTAGTTTTGGGCTGGGGAACTTAGGTCGACTGGAGACGCGTATGTTCTCTCTTAATCTTGGGCGTTTAGAAGATGGCAGAGGGCAGTGTATCCTGTTCGGTTACCATCGACTTTCGATATAAGACTATATTGAACTATGATTCTCATTGAGCGATTCCTCAGATGCCCGTGGCTCCATTTGCGCCGTAATGTGCCGCTCACGACCTGAACGCGGATCGTGAGCCGGGTAAGGTGCGTGACTCGCGTTGTATCAACCCTTGAACATGCAATCTTACTAACGGCCCGTGCAGTTCCACGGAACACAACGGAACACACAGAACGATTTATAAATAAACGCAACGAACTGAGGGTCCGAGTTGTCCGCGTGGCATCACCAGGATGGCAATACTATCCAACCAATCCTGGTGCAAAACTCGGCCGGAGCAGCCACTCAGCCATTATGCACACCTGGGGCCCCGGTTACCTTGGCACTGGTGTGGAGTATATCTTGCTTTCTATAGGGGGTCCACGCTCACCCTGAGATATAAACAGTTTAAAGGTAAAAGCAGTTTAACAGTCCCGACGTCACGGGCCGTCCCTTTTTCTGAGTTCCTCACCTCTCGGGCCTGCATTCGTTACTGCCTCTTATCGCTGCCATGGTTTCCGCGCGGCACTCAGTCGCGTTGGCGAGTCTCCTCATCTGCGCTCATGCACAACCCTCCGTGCATCTTGACAATGGGTTGAGCGTCCAGGGCCAACTGTCCTCCATCGCGCCCACCGTGGCCGAGTTCCTGGGCATTCCCTACGCACAGCCGCCTGTTGGCGACTTGCGATGGGCGCCTCCCCAGGCGCTTGCTTCGAACAGCACCAAGTTCGCCAACGCAACCGTCATGCCCAAGTCGTGCTGGCAGAACATTACCATGGAGCCCGACATGGTGACGTACGATGTGCCCGAATTCAGCATCGGGTCCGCGGGCATGAGCGAGGACTGCTTGACGACTAGTATTTGGACGCCGGTTGAAGCGTTGGAGACGGCAGAGAATGAGGCTGGGTTGCCGGTGCTGATCTGGTTCTTTGGTGGAGGGTTCACCACGGGCGGTGTGGATGTGCCGTATCAAATGCCGGCGCAATGGGTGGAGCGGTCGCAGTCGCATATTGTGGTCTCGTTCAAGTATGTGCTTGGATGCTATCCCTCGACCTCTGGGCTTGTTGTTGATTGTGCTACAGCTACCGCATCAACCTCTTTGGGTTTCCCAACTCGGCCGCTTTGACGGAGCAGAACCTGGGTCTTATGGATCAGAGACTTGCGTATGTGTTTTCCCATCCAAGGCTGTCAGGTGCTGTTATGCTCACTTATCTGTCGGCAGCGTCGAATGGGTCCAAGAAAACATCGCCAAATTCGGCGGAGACCCAGACAAGATGGCCATCTGGGGACACTCGGCCGGCTCAATCGCAGTAGACTACTACAACTTCGCCTACCCTGAGGATCCCATAGTGAAGGGGTTGATCATGGACTCGGGAACTGCCCACCTCGACCAGCTGATGAGCTTGGATACCGCCCAGTCCAGTTTCTCTCTAGTTGCGGCCAATGTCGGCTGCGGTAACACGACCGACGCCGTGGCTGAGCTGGCATGCATGCGCAAAGTGCCGGCCGAGACCCTCGAGAGTTTTATTGTAAACTACCATTTCTCGGGAGCCACCCCATCACTTTCATTCTCGGTCATTGCAGACGAGAAACTCGTTTTCAGCAATTACACTGAGAGGGCCGAGGCTGGAGCCATGAGCGATTTGGTGAGTTGGCAGATGAATGACCCCTGATGGCACCAAAATATTTGCATTCTAACATAGGCAGCCTGCCATCATCGGCTTCAACGCCAGAGAGGGTGTTTTCCTGGCCACCTACAATACGTCCGGCCTCGACGAAGCCACCGTCGCGAGCCTCTCGTACTCATACTTTTGGTGCCCTAGTACCAAGACAACCCTGTATGTCACCCTTTTCTTCCCTTATTTCTACTTGCCCATTCCGTTGCCCGGAAACTAACAATACCACCAGTGAACGTGTGGCCGCGAACCGCACAACCCACCGCTTCTTCTACAACGGCAACTTCACCAACGTGTCGCCCCGATTTTTTGAGGGCGCCTATCACGGCAGCGAACTTCCCATGCTCTTTGGCACGCACGCAAACTTCCGCGGTAACTCGACACCGTTCCAGTATGAGGTCAGCCATACCATGCAAGACGCCTACCTGGCGTTCATCAGCGATCCCGTTTCGGGACTTGATGGTGTCGGGTGGCCGGCATATGAGGCGGCAGGAGGTGCTGTGCGTGCTTATGGTGAGAATGGAACGGCGGCTACTGTTCGCTCGTTGGTGGATATTGAGGATGAGTGTGGCGCGTTGGGATTGTTGTAGTGGATCACCGGCGATGTCTTAGGTATTCATACGTACTGTGATAAGCTGCAGTAGAGTCAATTGGATCGCTGATACAAGTACTTAACGATGTGCACTATGGTCTTTTTTATCGGTGTCTTTGTTCGGTGTGGGAGTTATTGTGAGCTGTTGATACCCTGTGGCAGTATGATAGAAGTCTACTGCTGCACACTCGAGTACCAGAAGGAGTGTGTACTGGTCACCCCTCTTACCAGCGGATTGCTGGGTTATCTAGGTAATATTGTGTCTACAACTTAGGGTTGTATTCTATACAGAAAGTCATTTCCTAACTCAATCTTTTGGCCTCTAGATTCCAGAAGACTACCGGTACGCGGTTAATAGCACAGGAGGTAACTAGTGTAATGAATGGAACTAAATGTCTTCGGTTTGACTAACTATTAACTGTGTGGTTTCGCGTCCCCCACTTTTCAACGACAATACAAGGAGTAGTGCAGTTGTGGGCTTGTCATTGTATGTAGGGATATAGACACCATATCGGCATCGCGATATCTTCTACCACAACTAGACGGAAGAGAATAATGCTTTCATGATCTCCAAGGAGGATTGTAAGACAAACAGGGCCAGTAAAGTTTATGGTGTTGGGGTGCTGGGAGGCCGAAATATCCCGCCCTCCTTGACTTGTTGTTTCATGCCGTCGGCCTTGGTAATTCCCCTCCCTTGGCATAGTCGCACCTTGATTAACTTCCCCTGATACGAAAATACTTTTTACTCACCGCCGTCGACCCGGATTGCAATACCACACACAATCCACTAGGCTGTAACGAGTCGAATACCAAGAGCATCACACGCCTCCACTTGGCTGACCGGGAGACATTGATGTGTATTCTTTCATAAATCACATTTGGGACTTAGACATAGTCCTAACCTGTTTTCGGTGAAGCACCCTCGGTAAGTTTTGAGCTTCTCCTTAAACTCACAAGATCGAGACAATCTCCGTCGGGATCTCACTCTCAATTCACCCGGAAATCCTCAACAATTATTCTTTACGGGAAAACATTCAAAGGTTTCCGATTTCCCCATTTGTCCTTTGGTAGAAGTATTTCATAATTTTCATTTTTGGGTTCTTCCCACCATTCAGCCTTCGCACGCAACCATCTCAATGCAACCCTACTTGTGCTTCTTGCCTTCACCTCTATGGAGTGAACACGGCAACGCCCACTTTTGGCGAAGACTGTGGATCTCGTAAGAGCAAATATAGCAAGACCTTGAGCTCCTTGACGGGTTCATGCAATACTATCGTCACTGGCTACACTTACGGCACCCAACTGACCACCACGGTTGTGTTTATGCTCTCTGCACCGACTCATACATCTGGTTTCTTACCTTTGCCCCCTCGTCAACTGTACCCACTGGTAGCACGGCATCGCAGCCGAGTGACTTGAGAAATACTCATGGCGCACTTACTACTACAGCGTCTTCATCTTCAACTTTATTACAGCCTGCGACGTCAATTAGTAGTAAATAAAAAACACTCTCGCTAGTGCTAGTATCTTTGATCTCCAGCACCAGGAACCCCGAATCCGCCGTCGTGAATTTAGTGATTCCATCTTTGTCGCTTTTTTCGGATACTGCCAGAGAGGCTACCATCACTATGTCTACTTTTGGCACTTTCACTATTTCTGGCACTCTAGGCGGCGAGGTTACGGTGACACTCTCTCTACCTTCCACAAAGGGTGCAAATATACCCACGATAGCTTCGACTTTAATGAGAATGGCACGAAGAATAAACAGGGCGATGACTGAGTGGCACTCTTAATCAACCCTGGGTTATTTGATGCAGCGACCGATGAGGCCCAAGATATCACCTTAGCTCGAAATACTTGGGACAAGGCGGTTTTGGCATCGACGGTGTGTACGTGGCTTCTTTTCTTAGGCCAATGGTCGTTGCACTCATCGCTAATATGTTATAGTTGGCGGCCTCAAAAGGAAGCAGTTCGCACAACCTGAAGAATATGAACAGCCGAGCCACATGTTGACCGGCAAGCTATAAAAGTTCCGAGAGTTCAGCGTCCCCCAGGTCAATTGTGCTGGCAAAACCGGATACTTTGATCACAAGGCAACACAAACCATTTTGTACCTGGGCGAGGGTCTCGACCAAGCACTCGGAAAACCGGACAACAGCATGGTAATTGTTGACGGCATTTTTGCACCGGTTATGTACGACGCCTTCACTACCCCTGAAGGCATTCCAGACCAAAATGACCTGACGGGCTCGATCACTGTGGTAAGTCAAACCCCTTTTCCTATGCCAGTATTAGCAACGATATTTCAAGCACGACCAATTGCTGTGATTGATTAACGTCATTCACTAGGCTGTTTTATCAAACTGCTGAACTCAGCCTTAGCCAAGAATCTGACTAATTCAGCTTGTCAGCAGGCTCAAGCATAAGGACGACTTGTATTCCTATGGGTCCGGAGGCAATGATATCAAGTACCACGGTACATCATTCGCCACCCCAAAAACAGTAAATTCCCCATTATTTCTTAATTCCATATCCGAGCCTCAAAGTCAAGGAATAATACCAGAAACAGGCCAGCCTACTCGCTTCCTTCATCGTTGAAGACCCTGACTATAATCCTATAGAGGGCCAGGATTTCTGCCAGGAGTTCTGAAATTTCTTACTGGGGTTGTGCTGCTACGTCTAGTGGATAACTCTATGTCTCTTGATGATCATCCTTGTCCATTCACTACTTGGCTAGTCGAATCTAGGCTGACCGTGTAAATTCATATTTTGTGGATAATACAGGAAAGAGCTACATTGGTGACGATGATAGGACTGACTCTCAGGAATCTGTAGCCACGGAAGGGATATCTATGGGCAGTTGGCTCAACCGCAACGCATTTGTTTTATAGAGTTTATATACGCGGTAACAAGTGGTGAACACATGGCCGCGTTGTATCTAAAGACTGCAAAACAAAGGAAAGAGAAAGAAGAAAATAGGAAAAACAAACCCCCATTGTTACGGAATATCAGTATGATAAGTGTAGTTTCTCAATATGTAAATATTCTAGGGATCAACGTCCCTGAATATGGCTTATATACGCAGCCCATACTACCACATCCATAAACTCAAACAGTCCCACACAAAACATACCCACCATGAGAAGTCTTGGATCCTCACCTTAAATTACATATCTTGACGGCCAGTATAACGGCAAGACCAATGCCAGTATCCTCGAGCTCAGACACTAAGGGAGCAACCTTAACTCCGAACTACCCCGAGGAATGTCTCTGCCCACCCAGATTACGCCCCCAAAAGATGCGCACATGAAGATGGTAAATCTGATGCCCCTGAATTCTTCGCAAATCCCGATGATGCCATCAAACTGCGAGAAGAGTTCTCCCAGCTGCGAATCAATATCCATATGAAATTCAACCGTTCCTAAGATCCAGCGCGGCATCAGAAGCCGCATCCCTAGATCTTGAGGCCAAGATGCAGGGGTTAACAGGCGCACAGGGGGTGAAAGCGGGGGCGCACATACAACTCGATGATAAACTGAAAAAGGTTTGTTCAGTGTTACTGAGTCGCCACGAATGAGAGAATAACTCATTGGATCCTCTCAGGAATGATCTGAACATTGTACCAAAGCTAACCCCTGAGCATTTGGTAAGTGGCATTTGAAAATCGGCAGTCGAGGCTGTCTGAGATGGGCAGGATTGCAGAGGCTTGCCAGTTCATGAGAATTAGTGGAACAAGCTAGGCTACGATGTCCATTCAATTCGAAGATAGCAAAATGATACAAACGACCCGCGTGTATGAATAAGGCTACTAGTACTCTATAAAACTGCTCTAGTTGATGTAATTTCTTGTGACTCTAGTCTAACTAAAACCCTATACTATGCAAAATTATTCATGCCAGTCCTATACTTATGTACTCGTGTTTACCTTCCTCACACCACGACCACCAAACCCCCAACCAATCTGGTTAGCCATCTTGACTTCTGTGCCGAGGTCATCAGCAAAGGCATAAACCAAGCCCGGGTTCTTCTGGAACGAGCGACCCGACATAACCACATCCAACCCCGCCTGCAGCAGCTCCTCAGCCAGCGTACCACTGGTGATGCCCCCCACGGTCGAGACATGCATCTTATTCCCAACAGCCTTCTTGACAGCCTTGGCAAAGGGTGCCTGGTACGCCTGTCCGCCATTGAGGTTGACAAGCGCCTTCGGATGTGCACCACCCGAACTGACATCGATCAGATCCACCCCTTTTTCTGCTAAGATAGGTGCCAACTTGCACGAGTCGGCCACGGTCCAAGTCTCCGGGAACTCGTTCGCCTCAGCAAACTCGAACCAATCCGTACCGCTAATGCGCACGAATAGCGGCATATCTTCAGGGATAACCTCCCTAACTCGCTCCACGACCTCAATCAAGAGCCTTGTGCGGTTCTCGAAACTATTTCCATATTTATCGATCCGTGTGTTGCTAACAGGAGTCAAGAACTCGTGAAGCAAGTACCCGTGCGCGGAATGAATCTCAATGACATCGAACCCAGCCTGGATCGCCCTCTTCGTCGCGTCCACAAACGCCGTCTTAAGCTGTTTAATCTGCTCCAGCGTCATAGCCTTGGGCGTTGGGTTGTTCTCGCTAAACGCAATCGCAGACGGGCCGTAGACCTCGTCAGGCCAGCCACCCACCTCCTTCACCGCAACGGCATTAGCGTGAAGCCAAGGCGCAACAGTGGTCGCCTTGCGTCCTGCATGCGCAAGCTGGATACCAATCTTCTGGTTCTGGCCGTGAGCAAATTCGGTAATCCGCTTCAAGGGCGCGATTTGGCCGTCTTCCCAGAGACCGAGATCGTGCGGCGTGATGCGGCCTTCGGGTTGGACGGCGGTGGCTTCCATGATTGTCAGCCCCGGGCCGCGCTGTACGATGCCGCCGATGTGGGTTAGGTGCCAGTCGTTGGCGTAGCCGTTTTGTGCTGAATATTGACATAGGGGCGGGACGAATAGGCGGTTTTGAAAGGTGGTGCCGCGGATGGTGAGGGGAGTGAAGAGTTTGGGGATCGATCTGTTTGTGTCTGTGAAGGCGCTGCCTGAGGCGGGCTCCTGGGCTGGGGTGAAGTAGGAGATGCGTTTGGCGGCGACGTTGTCGATTGGTTGCGCCATGTCTGCGATTATGTATGAGTTTGAAATGAGGAACGGATTGGAGGACTGTGCGTTGGATATTCAATGCAGGAGGGGAACAGTTGCACACTGGATGAACTATGAGACTTTAACATCAACGGTGACAATTAGTAAGCTATCACAGAATATGCAGCAGCGGGGAAGAATTATTTCCCGGCTTTACAATCCGATCATGCAAATTCTTTAGTGGGACGTTGTGCTCATAAGAACTTCATGCATCTGTGGAGGCCCTTCATCTACGTAACCGAAATCCACGATATTTTCAACACGTTGCAACTCAATGACTGAAAGCCAGCATTAATATAAACACCTATGATGTAACCTCGATTGATATCGCCAGCGTCAGGCCGCTGATACTGCACTCGTGAGATCATGCTGCTAAATGAAGAACAGGAGCGAGGCTTTCTGGATAAGCTCTTGATGAAGCTGGCACAAGCAACTTGCAGCTGCAGCTGTTTACATGCATGCCATTGCATGATGTGGAATTCATGACCCAAGTCAATCAGCTCCGCAAGCCAGCGCAGCGCCTTGTCGGTGATCTCGTGGTCAGGTCGGTATCAAAGCGTTGTCACTGCCATAAACCACCTTCTTACACATTCGTTATCCCTTTTGATGTACTAATGTGCCCAGATTAAGCACCTATACGTCAATTTTGAACGAAGGAGTCCTTGACTATTGAGCTCGTTCACAAAGGGGAAGCGATCTGAGGAAGTCGCCTAGAACCACTTAAATTCCACGAGAAAATCCCGATCTTTCACTCCGCTCATGGTCTGTTGACTTTGCTAATCTGCTCCGGGCCAGTACACCCTGCCCTCCTCTTCAGAAGGGTAATATTACTGACGCACTCGCCCTGGTATGTAAAGACCTAATCTCTCAATTATGATACATTAAATACACTTGCTGTGATAAAATATGTTCAGCGAGACTAGGTTTGCTTTTGACTGAATTGCTTCGCATGATGGCACGAACACTCGCATCAACATTCTGGGACACCGCTTCATCGATCTGCTCTGTCGACTTTGCCGTCTCAGACTCCATGAGTGTGATTCTAGCAGACCCAATAGGGCAATATTGTGCTGGAAATGTGCCACATGAAATCCGTCTGTGACGTTATGTGGCAGTTGTGCTCGCAAGGAGCGAAACAACTTCCCCATCAGAATGTACCATGGTCTCCCCCATCTTTCAGGCGTCTGGTAAGAACGTCACAAGAGAACAAAGATGAGTCTAGATTCCATGGCCGACTTGCATAGTCTCTCATTTCTTAGCGGGAATCTGTTGGGTGCCTTAGCCTCGCTTTTCACCCTGCCGGTTACATCTGGATATCCGACCTTGGGTAGCTATAATAATTGTTATTGGATTGTGTGGTTCTGCTATTATGAGGTTCGGCCGCCTTGGAAATGCAAATTTGCCTGATCAGCACATATGTACTCACGTAGACAAAGAATCAATGCTGACAGGTTCTGGCATCTGGGGTTTTGTTGACAAGGCACAAATTTGGTAGAGCCATATAATGCAATAGCCGTATCCCAAATGTAACCCACCATCTATACATGCAGATTCCTCACACGATGCCAAGATAGGTCATACTAAATTTATCCACGGGAACCTCGATTCTGCCCATAGGATCGAATCTAGCGCCCCTCGACATCTCTTGGCTGGATGGCTGACATTACAGTCTCACCTCCACACTCGCGGCGATAGCAAAGCAATATTGACACATCGAACGATTCGAGATTGTCCAGATGGTTCTCGAACAAAATATGTAGGAGTCTATTCACTCGGCATCATTTCATCTCCTGTTGTCGACTGTGCTTCGAGGTTTGCGCGATCGCACCTAGAAGGGTATCTTCAAAATTTATTTATCTGATCTTATTCACTATGTTCTCCGGCTGTTGACGGTTGTAGGGCTGCTATTAGTTTGCCCCGTCATGGGTGGCGATTTTTCAGATGCCAAGTACTGTACATATTAGCCTGATATTATCCATTCCCGCGACGTCGCATTCAACCTAGTCTAGCCGATACCTAGCCCATTGATTATTCGTGTAAGAGGCAAAATTGTCTCGCCAAAAGGTTATAAGCTTGACCTGGAGTTGCCAGTCTTTTAGATGGATATTTTTTTTTCACTGTCTCAACCATCTCAAGTTCTCTTGGGATAAATAACTTCTGTTCAAGTTTTGTGCAACTTTTCAACATGTTATTACCGAAGTTCCTTCACGTCGCATTGTTGCTTGGGATTGTTGCCGCCCAATCCAGCAACGAAATTGACGCTGCTATCGAGGCATGGAGATTTCCCGACTGGAGCGCATGGAAGTTCGTGAACTATTGCGCTGGGGAGACCCTCACAAATGGCAAGCAAGTCCTCGAGGGATCTTGCAATAGCATCCGTACGTCCAGTCCACACCTAAGCACCAAGGTTGGCGCATCAACTAATCATCTCGTCCATAGCACACGGCAATATCCCCGCAAAGAAAAACATGATCTCATCCATCCTCCTCAGCCCCAAAGCCGGTGAGCAGTTACCGGCAGAAACCGACTTCATCATCCAGGTCCAGACCCTCAACCTAGCAGCCGGTTCCTTCTCAGATCCGGCGACGGCCTACTACGCCGCGCCGCAGGATCTTAAGGATGGCAAGGTAATTGGGCACACACACTTTACCGTGCAAGATCTAGGAGACAACTTGAACCCTCAACAGCCGCCGGACCCGACTACGTTCAAATTCTTCAAGGGAATCAATGATGAGGGAGATGGGAATGGTCTGTTGCAGGCTACTGTGCCTGGAGGTCTGCCGGCTGGGAACTATAGAGTGTGCACGCTCACGGCTGCTGCGAACCATCAGCCTGTGTTGATGCCCGTTGCCCAACGGGGAAGTTCCGAGTAAGTTTCCTTTCAAGCTTTTATGCATCAGATGTTTCAGGAGATAGGGAGCGCGACTCGCAGAGTACTTTCTCAGGGCTTTGTGACCGGATCGCCTTCTGTCTCGACCCTCTCACAAAACAATTGCTGACCCTGCTGCGGCAGTGATTGCACCAAGTTCACCGTGGTTGCTAATGACAAGATTGATGAGGATAAGGGCGAGTCTTCATCACGTATACGACGGAAGTATATCGCATGAGCTGTGATTGCAGATATATTGGTGGGATAATTCGAGGCACCTGATTAAATGAGGGTGGCTTGCGGAAATCTAAGGGTCATTCAACATAGAAGTAATGCCTTGGGCGCAGTGCCCAACCCCATCGGCAATGCTTATGATCATACAGCGACTGCATGTTGAAGTACATGTAGTCGGCGTTTGCAAGCCTGGATCCGATGGAACACGCACCTAATCACGAACCTGATGGCATGGCTTGAACGCATTACTGCGCCCGCTGCCTGCTACTCGATAATAAGTATCACAGAACTTAGAGGCAGAGAGAGCGGGAGAGAAGAATGTTGTTTCAATTATGAGATGATATTGGGTTAGTGCGATATTTGAGTATAGTAAATTGACATTTCGAGGAGCAACGCCACATATAGTTGACACATCGCAAACCAATGTAGGACAATTGAATTGCAAGTACCAGGGCACCATGGAACCGCACTCACTGCCGACCGCACAAAGGCTGATAGGTGGATGTAGCCGTCGTGTAACTGCTGATTTCCGATAATTCACCGAGCGAGGGTAAAATTTCTGAGCTGTGGATTCCGGCCCACGAGGTACGGACAAATCTTACAATATAGTGCCTAAATTGCAGTAATTTCATCAACAACCAATGAATAGCATTCTGCTTGCTTCATGACTAGGTCCGTTGGCCCAATGGCAAGGCGTCTGACTACGAATCAGGAGATTGCGGGTTCGATCCCCGTGCGGACCTGTTTTTTGGTGTTTTCCGATAGATTTATCATCATCTTCGTTCTGCTATGTTATGTTTTTAGTCGCTTGTTTTCGTGTACATCTCTGGGAAAATACATCCCGAATCTCATGCTATGTTTTGGGGATGTTTACTATACTAAGCAAAGACAAACGGACATGAAGCCGCGGAACCACGTAGCTTAACATACTCGTCCTCTGCTTGCACTTGATTTTTCACTGGCTCTCTGGATATCTTCTCAAACCCCACAGGACCCAGCTCTTCTGGCAAATACCCCCGACTCTCAAAGTCCTTCCTTGGACTTAACCTGCCCCCTGATCTCATCCACAACGACAATCTGTTATACCGCGTATCTGCAACATACCATGGCTCAAACCCCACGAATTCCGGACTGCGATATAACCTCCTATCAAGCCCTGGCTTAGCCAGCGGATCCATCATTTTCATGCGAGGCAGGAACAGATGTCGTATAGACCACTTCCGCACCGTGAAGAAGCCAGACGTCAGAAATACCGCCCAAGCCGGCGGGTCCGGATACCCCAGTGCCTCTCTCACATTTTTCTCCTCAATGAACGACACAAAGATCGCCCGCATAAACCTATGCATGAATCTGGGCGTACTCCGCAAGAATAAATCAACCGTCGCATCCGTCACTATGCGATTCGACTCGATGTAATACATGTGCTTCCTCTCATATTCGACCTTCCATATCTTCAGCTCTTCCAACGTCTCAGGAATGGCACCGCCGAACCCCATCCGCTTACCAAGTTCGCGCCAGTACACCAAACGCGCTACCTGCTCCAATCTCGTCAAGGGTCTCCACCCATGCCTCTCGATCCACGCCATCGGCTCCAGCACAAACAACGCTAAAGTGTGCACATAATCCCCCTCAATGATCTCGTACCTCCCATGCAACCAATTCAACTTCGCCATGGCCAATCTCCCGCGCTTGGAATCAATATCCCCCGCCAGCAGCTCTACGAGAAAGACGGCCGTGTCTTCGGCGCGTTTACCAACTTTGTTCGGGTCAGCCAGCTGCCTTGTCTTGATCAGGAGGGGCGTGCCCGTGGCCATTCCATAAGATTTCACCAGGGCCCATTGCGTGCCGAAGACGGAGAGGAAGGGCTCGTCGTAGAGCATGGAGAGGTGCATGATTTCGCGGGCTTGGGGGTAGGTTAGTTTGTAGGGGTTTGTGAGGTACGGGGTGTATTTGCGCTCAAGTTGTTGCAGAGCGCGGAAACGGAGTTGCTGGACGAGCGTCAGGTATGAGATAGCGAGGGCGGCGAGAATAAGGTGCCATGGAAGCAACGCTAGGGTTGCGGCCAAGGGGGTTTCAGGCGCTTGCGATGCATTCGAATTATTCGCCATCCAGCTTTTCATTATGGAGATTTTCAACTTCGCGATTGAAATTGAAGAGAATAGAAATGAGTGGGTGGGATGTAAAGTTTTAACGGAGGTAAGACTACCCCTACTAACGTATAGGATTCTGGGGTAAACGCCTCGGCTCAACTCCAAACATGCACGCGGGGGAAGAGGCATCCCATCCTTCCGGCACTTGTATCAGCCAACACGCTGTCACATGCAAGCCAAGTATATCATCGCCAACGTTGCATTTTACAAAAGCAACGTAGTTGAACGCAGTCGAATGCTGACATAATTCGTCTATCGCGCTAGGTGCGATGATAGCGTGTTAGATATACATACCGATTGCACAAGGACGAGGCAGAGAAACTAGCCGATCTGCTAGATAAGATGATAGTTAGCGACCCCAGGGAATGAACTGGAATTGAAGGCGTTATTAGACATCCTTGGTTTGGGGATAGGGTCAGATGTGCGGATGGAGTATTACTGGAGCGCCCCTTTCTAACTAATGAAGTTCGATTATCGGGCCCTAGGTGAAGTTCATGTGAACTCTCGACGGTAGCAAGCCAAGAAAAGTGCAGATAATACTACAAAGAAAAGATATATTGTATTGAAATCATTAAGAATGTCAGTGGCACCAAGTTAGGAAATGAACATAATTTGGAAGCTTATATTTGCCCCCTTCAGCACTTCAGCGGAAGTTATATGTATGATTACTGACGTTTCTGGTCATTATCTAGCCTATATACGGGAGACCAGAGTCTAGATAGCTCTACAAAGCTCCTTGTTTGTATATGCCAGCTAGACGTAAGTGTTCCTGAGGACCATAGATCGCTTCTCCTAGCGCACGCTAGTTACTTTGCAATCTCTCTGTTACGTATCCATCTTACTCCAGCCTTGAATTAACCATGCTCTATTGCAATTCTTCAGCATCGGCTGCCGATCTCAAAAATGCAGTACAGATAAGTGAGGTCAACCGAATGCCGGTATTGTATTGAAATGGTCTGCTCAATGATGGACTGTAATTCATTCGCCACACTTGGTTCTCGGAGGATATCCTGGAACAAACTAGTAAGTGATTATTTCTCATACTAAGAAGTATGCATGCAGCCATATGAGATCCACGGGTCTCGCAAAATTTTGTGCGCCTCTGTGCACCAAATCCTTAACTATCTCAACAAGTGCTCCGCAGGACTTTGATTCAACGAATACCACTCCCATTACACCTCTCTAACGAAGTTGATTCAGGGAGATTCCTGGTGTCTTGGTGGTATATAATTTAGATCCATACTAAGAGCAAGGACTCCGTAGATTAACTTAACATTACGTATAGCAACTTCCAATCCGTTCCTATCTCAAGTCAGAAGACAGGGCTCACCAATAGCAATATAGGTTCCCTTAAAGGTGTATTAAAAAAAGGTCTTTAGACCTTGTGTCCGCCTCGGACGGGATTTAGATTATCGTAAAGTGATGTGACCCAGCCAAAGGTGTAAGGGAAAGGAGATTGGGGCCACGCACCTAAGGGATTGCTACATCATAGTGGCTTCACGACCATGATAGTCAAGCCTACCTAAGTGACAAAATGACATGTGGTTCCTTCAGTCGCTGATGGTGAGCTTTTGAGTGATCCCAGCTCATAGCTGATCCCTTGATAATTATGAGAATTGCGCGACACAGTAATAGGTTCTAGTTAAAGTCTTTGCCGGCTCGGACACGAAGTATATCCAGCCTTGAGGAGTTCCGTGGAGGAAATGGACCTCTTAGTTGTGCATGGGTTCGGCAGTGGACCCCAGCCCCCTCCCCTCAACGTCATCAGGTCTCGGTATCGGTTCTGAAACCTCGGCTACCACGACTTGAACAAGGTCTATAGTTTCTCCTGCGGTATCAGATAAGGTTTGGCTCTGATAGCGTAATCATCAGGCTCATGAAACAATGGCAGCGCCACAACGAGCAAAGACCTCATTATTTGAGCCGCATACCTTCAGTGCAAGTGGTTGAAGCCCGATAGTACATGCTCAGATTATTGGTTTACATCAAATGGATGTAATTTAAGACGAGCTCGAAACTGACCGTAGGGTTTAGTTTCTCAAGTCTCGTAAGAAATCCCCGGCTACTAGATAAGCTCATGGCTAGACACCCTGAGTGCGTTCAAAAATAGCTGGAACTAGATTATGAGAACGAGCATCGTTGCGTGCCGCTTCCTGGAATTTGGATCTCAATCCAGCTTGAAAAGTTGGTCGAACGGCTGTCAAAGACCCAACCCAGAGTTTTGTTATGGGCATTCTCAAAGTCATCCTCCCGGACCTTGATTCAGTCGAACAACAGGCTCCTGAGCACACGATGCTGCCTTTTCATGATGGTCGTTCGCTCAAAGCATGAGTGGAGAATGGTACTTAAGTCCATGAAAGTCCTAATAAGCCGATAATGATTTATTTTCCTGGTTGGAGTGTGGCCTCCGATGGCATCGATGACTTCTCATGTCATGATATTTGCGCTTTCCACTGAGCCGTGTGCGTAAAGCTTCGCTGCGACTTGATTGAGTTAGTCCAACTCATACATGATAGCGGAGTTCTGACGGCTGCGCTAGTCTTGGGAAACTGAATCATGGGAAAGCTAGGGTGGTGTAGTCAGACTCAATGGTTCGGTTCTTTCCAGCCATTTTGTCAACCGCCTTCCGAGAGACACGAGTCGAGCCATCACGTATATCACCTCTTTCCGGCAGCTCCGGAGACTTGGATAGCGTCGATCGTCCTCGACCGCGTTGTCTTCTTGATTTGTAATTTGCCAAGTTGCGCCAGTACGGTAGCAGCGAAGGCGTTATATTCTATCGATATTTCTAGTATCTGGTCACGTCTCTCGCACTCTTTTCACAATACATCGGTAAAAATGCTTCGAGCAGGTCTCCCAATATCTTTAGCAAGCAATTTCATCCGATGGACACCCCCTGTGTCACAACTGGCTGAATGGTATGCTTCGCGAGCCGCCGTCAATATCTCGTGACCAAAAAGAAGGGACTTGAGCGACGCTGACTAGAAGCACGAGGAGAGCACAGGTCTAAACTAGTAAGTTACAAAACACCCTATTTAGGTTAGGTTTAACTGCCTGTGTATCCTGGTCGATCTGACCTCACAGGACTCAAGTCACGAATATCAGGATTGATTTCGTGCCAAGTCAGTTGTGTGGTTCAGATCTCTTTTGATGGTGTTCTTTCTAGAAAGCTCAGCTATTTCCGAAGCTACGAAATGTTGCTTAAGAGCAACGATGTAGCCAATCAGATCCTCTGATTTGGATCCACATGCCTGTCAAACAATGGCCTGCATAAACAAACTGCACAACGCGCGAAATGCGCTGCTTAAATTCGACTAGGTGAAGCTTCAGCTAAAACAAGATTTATTATGTGGTAGTTCAGAAATTGGAGGTTGCAGTTGAAGGGGCTCTGTTGATACAATTTTGCTTGCAAAAAGGGGTCAAGCTACATGTTGCAAAAGGTGCAATAATGAGAGGAAAAAATGAGCATCATGCTAAAAGCAAATAGCATATAACTATTACCGCAACCTCCGTATACAGAATCTTGAGTCTTTCGCAAATTCAATACTGATGTAAGTTTCGACATAAATAATAAATAAATAAAGCTCCCAGGCTGTTGGTTGTGTGGGGGTGGGGAAGGGAGGGGCTGAAGGAATATGAGTAGCCTGTTAACTTTTGGGCTCTAGACGGTGAAGTTTGCCTTGGTAGGCCCTGAAGACCGGGGTTAGTATGATGTGCGTGACGCCAACTTGCATATTACCTAAGTGAATCGTTAAACGTATGCGGACGATGAGTTATGCGGGGAAAGCTTGGTGCTGCCAGTCGCTAAGCCCACTGCGACGCTGCCAATTGAGGGAAAATCATATCAACGTTGATTGGCTGACAATCTGGAAAATATCGGTCTTGTCTGTCGCCGATCTGCAACCATGACGGTGTTCACCCCCCCAATGCCCTGGAAATCTCTCTCATACTAGCAAGAGACACAATCACCGAAATCACACGATGATGAATCCATGGTCCACTGAATCCAGGCCCAACATCTGCAGTCATATTTAGCATTGGACCACGGGGACAATGGTGCTGAACAAAAGACGAAAGTGCCGGCCGTTTACCATCAACTCCCAGCGGACGCCATAATCACGATGCCTTCTTTTCGCATTGCCTCCCTGGCAAGCTCAGGCCTCGCAAGAAGCTTCACAACGACGGCCCGACGCCTCGAAATTCGCGATGTTTCGGAGCTTCCAAACCGAATAGTTCCCAACTACAAGAACAGCCCGACTTCGTCCCTGCTCTCGCTCGAGTGGCCGTCGCCGCCGCGAAACGTCCTGATCGTACCGAAGCTCTATGCGCCGCTGGTCATCTCGTCGGCCGTCGAGTTTGCGAAGCACATCCACAGCGAGTACCCGAACCTGCATTTGATTTTCGAGCAGCGCATCGCGTCGACAATCCACGATTCTCTTCCCTTCCCCATCTACAGCTCCGACCCGACACATTTCCCGACTAAGATAGATCTAGTCGCAACGCTGGGTGGGGATGGAACCATACTGCGGGCCGCCAGTCTCTTCAGCCTCCACGCGTCGGTGCCGCCTATCCTGAGTTTCAGTATGGGCACTCTGGGCTTCCTGGGCGAGTGGAAGTTTGAGGAATACAAGCGCGCGTGGCGGGAGGTCTACATGAGCGGGAGCCGAGTCGGTGTGAGCGACCTGCAAGGCCCACATACACAAGCTGCGACCAACGGCTGGAATGACGGCGGCAATGACGCTGTAGGAACCAGGGAGGGCTGGGCGACTATTCGCGGAAAAAACATGGGTACCACGCGAGCGAGCAAGATCCTGCTTCGGCACCGGCTGAAGGTGGGCGTCTACGATGAGAATGGCGCAAACATCAATGCGCATTTGATGCCAACGTCGACTGCGGCTTTGACCCAACCACTGCATCCCGTACCACCCGAAATCAAAGAGCTTTCCAACACCGGCGAGCCTGTGGTTCCAGACTTGCATGCGATCAACGAGCTTGTCATCCATCGTGGTCCCAACCCGCATCTGGCCATTGTGGATGTCTACGTCGGAAACAGATTCTTGACTGAAGCAGTTGCTGATGGAATCTTGATCTCTACGCCTACGGGAAGCACCGCTTATTCGCTCAGTGCTGGCGGGACTATCATCCACCCCCTCACGAAGACGATGCTGCTTACCCCTATCTGCGCACGAACCCTGTCATTCCGGCACTTGTGTCTGCCGCTCAATAAGAAAGTTGTTCTCAAGGTCAGCAAGAAGAACCGCGGCCGCGAGCTGGAGGTAAGCATTGACGGAAAGCGGCGAGCAGGTGTCACGATTGGCATGGAGATTCGTGTCACGGGCGAAGTCGTTGGCCAGGTTGGAGACGACGACACTTGGACGGGCGGCGTGCCTTGTGTTATCAGATCCAGCGGCCAAGGAGATGAGGGCGACGACGACGACGGATGGGTCGGTGGACTGAATGAGAGGTTGAAGTTCAATTATCCAGTTGGTTGAGCGTCTGACCAGAGGACGAATTGATTCGGACCGAGAATTTCAAGACTGAGTCGATTTCTATATCAGCATTGCTCATGGCCGCGGCTGCTGGGACTCGGCTGGCAGGCATTGGACGCTTGCGGTGGTCCTCGGATGGTGTGTGCATATTTTACGATCTGGGACGGATATGGGACAGTATTCGGGAAAGTCTGTGCATTGCAGTGGGGTTTAGGAAAGTGCACCTTGGTCAAGCCAAAGTCGCGTCATTGTGCGTCGGCCGAGAAGTCATTGCGAATGGACCCAAGATGTACACAAACTGTACCGCAGGTAATGTACAAGCTGACTTGGTATTGGAGTGTAGTGGAGCCATTGCTTTTCATGCTCTTGCTGGGTAGCATCAAAGACACCTTCACTTTGCCAGTGCTTCCATCGCTCGTCCCATTTTTATGGCATATTTTGCTTCTGCCTCAGTCAGCCCCGGACTCTGATGAATGGGATGCCTTCCTGTTTGAAAAAGCGTGGCTGTCTATCGGTCGCATGGACCGCTTCTAGGCGATGGCTTACTGCAAGCACGAAAGAATGCCCCGGTGTCACTCGCCTGGCAGCGACCAAAAGCTGACAGCCTACCATGGCAACAGCAAATCGACGCCAGCCTTACGACACCTGGGCATCGACGGTGATGAGTCCATAGCTGCAGATGCCAAATCACAAGCCGGCCGCAGCCTCGGCGTGATTCTGTCTCGGGACAACTGCCATCACTGTGATCGCTGTTGCTCAAGAAACGCCTTGCGAATTTGATTGAAACGTTGCTAGTAACGTAAGTCGTGATTTCCTGACTTGATTCTCGCCATGCAGAAGGCAGGATCTAATGCCCCCTCCAGACCTCGGGCGGGACTGCCAACCAGAGTACTACAACGAGTATTTTAAGTAGATTCAGGCCGTCCACAGATAGGCTGCTACTTCAACTGTCTGCCACTACATCTACCACTTGCATCCGTCCTTTGCAGCCTCGCCTCTGGACTTCAACGCTTCAGCATCCCGCATTTCTTCTGGTTTTTGGACCTGCATAGTTTTGGACTTGAACATACTTCGCACCAATTATCGCAGCATTTCTCGACTTCTTGGCCACCTGCAACTGGATACATAGGTTTGCACAGCCAAAGAAGAATCCCACGTTCTGAGACGCCCGCTACGTCGCAGAGTCACGAGGTTGAGCCTGGGCGGTCCCTCGGGCCAGATCCCGCGAAGCTTGCACCACGAGCAGGGTTCGAGGTCACCTCTGAGCATTCGTACTGGAGTTTTTATTCTGATGTTGAAGCAGACCAGTCGGTAAGCTCTCTTTGTTCCTGGGAAGCTTGGCCCAAATCTCGAGTCCGCAGCCTGCTTCGTGTTATGCCAAACATGGCATCCAACATGGCAGCCTATCTTCATCCCAGGGACTTGTACGATCGAATGCGAGATAGGAAGCGCCAACGAAAGTCGGGGGCTCAACAACATCACAGTCCACAGTCTTCGGCCTCTACACCAACACCCATGTCCTTTCCAGGCCCCCCCTTGCCGAGCTTTCCACCCGTGGCCAGCAATAATGGAGCTTCGTCACCATTTCAAGGCATCGAGCCTATCTCTAGTAGCCTTTCTTATACCATAAACATGGAGTTTGACACCCAGAACAAGCACGTCAGTCTGACAGCACCAGAATCTTTTCACCCTCAACTAGCTTCGCCCTTGCCGCCGCCGAGAGCGGGTGGTAACATTGCTAGCACATCAAACACTCCTCAGTCTTCAATGATCAGTTACCCTTTTGGCGCAATGGGCGGTCTTGCAACCATGCCAAGCCTGCATCCTCCCCCCAATTGGTCGCCTTTGCAGAACGACCATCCAATCCACTCGACATCCTTATTGCCAGGCTATGCTATTTCAGGATATGGCCATGCCCCCGGCACAACTATGAGCTCCTCATACACTCATAACGGTCCTCCAATGCCAGCGTTCGGTCCAGGGAACCTGGCTGAGCAAGTGTCGATGCTAGAAACGGCGTTTCTGGGGGTCGAAGCTGGGCTAGACGACCAAGGCGAGGATTATCTTCGATACAAAACACTGGGAAAATCTCTCCAGGCCCCAGCGGGGCAATTGGAGTCATCCAGCGGTGATAAGACCAACGCTGCTGATTCCCAAGCCCATACGCCAACCGATCTTGATAACCCCGATCGTGGAACGCAAACAACTCCGGAGCATTATGCTGCTCCCACAGAATACGAGCTGGCTATCTTGTGCGACCTGGAGCAGTTTGTTCGAAGCATGTCAACCCCCGCTTGTGCCGGGTGCGGGAAGAAAATGATGGCTCTGACACCTGCTGAAGTGGCCAAAATGACGAGGAAATGGGTTGGGGGCAACGGAAAGATTCTATGCGGGTTGCCTTGCACGAGTAACTTTTGCCGCTATGCAACTTGCCCCAGCTGCAAGGGGGTTGTAGACTCTGAAGACAACACAGTTGATAACATAAAGGTGTCTGACAATAATTACTCAATCCACTGCTGTTGTGATGGAGGAAGAGCATTTGCCTTGTGGGCATTGGCCTGTGGCTGGGAACAGGAAGAGATTTCGAATTGTCGCAGAACACGCCGTCCCGTTAAGCAATCGACTGGCCATGTACTCGGCTCCCCGGTTTCATCAGTCACAAGTCGCTTGGCCAAGGGCACCGGTTTTGGAGGCATGACGCAGAATTTGTACGGTCTACCCTCATGGTACGCTCGGCATTTCAAGGTCGAACCACCACCTTTACCGTCAGCACGACTAGACCGTAAGGAGGATGCTATCCAGGAGGCGTATTTTCGACTTGTGGCCCGGCTACTACCTTCGCGCGAGAGAATGGGCGAGTTTGATGATTCCCCGCCCACATTCCTTTCAACATTGGCTCGAAGTCCCTTGATCAACTTTGCCGCTGCCCTGCTAAGCAATGGCTCCATTGAGGATATTTCGCGCCAGTACCACCTACACGATGCCGTACTGGACTTCTATCAAGCCCTCGGAAGTCACACGACGACCGCGCCTTTGATATTTAATGACCGGTCGATTTACGATGCTCAGCATGGCAGTCTTTTCGCAGTATCTTTCAGCAATGGCAAGGGCAAGGGCAGGCAAAAGATCACACCCAAAGACTCGAGTCGACCTCTGGCGTCGTTGATGGCCCGACTCGCGTCCCAGGGTCGTATTATGCTTCAGCATGCCGACATCAATAGTGCAGAATTCCAGGAGCAAACTGATGCCAATATGCTTTCCTGGAGCCGGCGCGTCATTGATCTCTCCAACATGCTTAATGTTCATGCGGAATCGTTCAATCCCACTGCGTCTTCTTCTGCTGACTCCGTGGAAGACGCCAAGCGTAGTGTCGATCTAGCAGAGTATCACCGTAACAACGCCATCAAAGAAGTGGATGGGGGTCAAATCATGGCTACTTTCACATGGATAGATCTCGTTGATTCCGCTCTCAATCCGCGGTGTGGTCGTATGAAACGCCTCATCACTGAAATCTCAACGCTGCAAACCTGTTTGCCTGAAGGCATTTTTGTTCGCCACAGCAACTCACGGCTCGACGTGCTCAAGATTCTCATCATCGGGCCCAAGGATACACCCTACGAGTACGGCTTTTTCGAATTCGACTTGTTCTGTCCTCTGGATTATCCCCAGTCGCCGCCCAAACTGCAGTTCCGGACCACAAACAATGGCCGGGTCAGGTTCAACCCAAACCTATACGAGTGCGGTAAAGGTAACGTTCCGGCTCTTGACCTTCCCCGGTTTCCTTCGCATCTACCCGTTTCAACTTTTTCATTATTGCATCCTATCTCTGTCCTGGCTAACATAAACAGTGTGCTTATCGCTTCTTGGCACCTGGGATGGCGAACCTTGGCGGCCAAAGACATCCACCCTGCTCCAGGTTCTGGTCAGTACTCAGTCCATGATCCTGTGCGAGCAACCGTGGTACAACGAGCCCGGCCGAGAGCGTGTGCCGGGCCAAGAACAAAGCGACGAGTACAACCTAGAAGTCCGCTATTGGACACTACAACACGCCATATTGCCGTGGGTCAACGCCTTCAACGCCAGCAACCCGGATCCCCAACATGTCATGGCATGCTTGGGATGGGGACAGTGTTGGGGTGACGTGGTGCAGACTCATCTAATCGCAAATGCGCACGAGATATACTCGAGCAATTTGAAGGTGGCCCAGGTCGCCGGTGATTCGCGTAAAGGCCGAGATCTTCACAACTCCCTGCTGAACATGCGAAGTGCATTAGCAAAACACGGCTACCTGACCTAGAGTAAGTGGGATCCACGTCTCATCCTATCAAAATTTCCTAGTATCCTACTAACTTTATTCTAGACGATCAGAAAAAGCCCATCGATGTTCCCGCCTTTCTACCTCCGCCTCGGGCGGGACCTTCAAATTGGGCGACGAAGCCTGCAGTTCCGGGATCTGCAGATCAAAGCTCCCAATCCCTCTCCAACGAAAGTCTCGCCAGTAAAGGCGAGAAGGATGCCTACAGTGCAAGTTCAAGCAGCCAACGAGGCAAAATGAAGATAAAGAAAGCGATGAAGAAGGCAACAGACAAACTCGAGAAGCTCGCCCTCGCATGTGCGTATGATCCTCCCCTGGGCGACTAGGCCATGAGCGGACGCATGTTTGAGTAGGATGGGGGCCAGTGATTACAGTATGGATATCTGTTTACAGACACCCTGGTTTCATTGCACGAAGGTGCACATTATGGGGTGGCCAGCGTGGAGTTAAGGCATCGACTTGGGCTTATATGCTAAGTAGATATTTAACATTAGAGCGATTTCGTGCACTCATCTTTGACAAAACCGGGTATTGCCATATTATTCGTGCCAGTGTTGTGTGTGTGAAGTGTTATTGCTACCTTAGTCGCCTGGCACATGTGCTTCCAAGGGACATAAAGCTGAGGGGCCCCCTCTGATCTTACATGACTTAACTCGGTGATGAGAGACATGCGGTTTCGTGTCCGCGAGGTCCCGCGTGAATGAGGACGAGCCCCTGGGTCAGTAGACTCTATCTGAATACCCTGCTCAAGTCGACTTACACTGCCACAACCACCCCCGTCATGCCGTCAACAGGAGTTAATAATCCACAGCACGGTCGAGTCCGTGTTTAATTGCTTACGTGTCCGAGATACATGCGCTATCTGCCAACACCAAAATGCGTGGTTGTGCCGTATCCACTGTGTGGTACGAGATCGAGATTTCGAATAGATTATATGGGCTCCTACACACTTGTATCAAGCAGAAAACGATACTGCTACACTGAATGCCGGCATGAAATGTTCAACATCTACACCGGCGCATCCTGGTCTGCGATAATGTTAGGGTCAGAATATCCTGAGTAACCAGGATAATGATACTTCAATATTTTGATTTGGGAGGCAGTTCGACAGCTGGATTAACTGATAAGCATGAAGCGGAGACTATGGAAGGCGAATTTCTGGGCTCGAGAAAGATCATAATTGTTCTTCTCCAAGAAGGCAAGACTACTTATGCCATCTGGGGTTTGCCCTTCGCCTAGAACCGGTCTCCATGAAATACTATGGTCATTCTCGCAAATAATGTGAACAGGCGATCCATCGTCTGCAATGTGTATGGATAAGATATTGATATCCACCTGTGTTGCCTGATACCGAATAGCAATTCGTCTTTATTTGGTATACGTAGGGGACAAGATAGAAGGTATGGCACAAGTTAAGGCAAGGGGTACCCGATTGAAGATCCGAGGATGTAAACAGGAGGTGAATCTATTACTACGAATAAAGAAGCCGAAGAGTGAGAACCACCCAGGAAGCATGCATGAAATGTAAGAAAACGCATCTGTCCAGAGCCGATACGGATAGGGAAAAAAAAGCAGTAACTCGAACCACCAATTTTAACGCTACTCGCTGACATCCATTGCGTCGCCACTAACCTCCTCTGGCGGTGGTATACCTTTGTACTGATAGTACGACGAACCCTCCACCCTCCCATCATCCCCTACCATGTAGTAAAGCCGTTCCTCAGGTTTTCTAGACTGTGCATCCAAAAGAGTCACGACCTTCAACTCATGGAACAAACCAAGCACGGTCTTGTGGCCTTTCGCCTCCAAGAACCTCCACGCGATCTCCTTCCGGATGTACGCAGGAATAGAGGCAGGCTTTTCTCGGTCCTTAGGAAAGCTTTCAGATGGTGCCGCAGCCCCCAAACCCCCCTTGATAGCGTTGATATGGGGCCTAAGACTCAGAAAGAGGACGGGATCGAGTTTTCCCTTGAACGTAGCGAAAATGCTGTCTATGTCGGCTGCAATGTTTCTCTCGCAATTACTGCAGTTGCCATATATTCTGTACGGCTTCCTGACCTTTTGTTTGTTGCAAGTCCCTTGGCCGGTCATGTCGTTCCAGCAAAAGCCCCACCGGATTTTATTTTCGTCGTGCCCGCAATCGTAGGTTGATTTGGGGTATTCTATGCAGTTTCTAGGACGCCATTTTTGGAAAGATTCTGGCGCGTTTGGCGCTGGCGTGGACATGTTGCAAATGGGGGGTCGCAGTGGAATCCTACTGTATCGAGGCGGGAGAGAACGAACGCGATTTCAACCAGCCAAGATGCGAACTTTACTATGTTATATACGTGTCTCGAGTAATCAAAAAGAGCGCTTAAGAGTAATGGAACAAAGAATGGCGATATTCTGGGGTGCCAAGCGCCATAGTATCGTGTGATTGGAGCCACAATATGGGTTCGTGGAAACCAACTCCCAGCTGATGTTTGGGTACCATTTCAACAACAAAGCGAACTTCTTTATCTCGACGTCCTCGAGGATCAACAGCTAACGAATACGGTCTCAGTGGTACCCATGTTCCTATCACGTGCGAATGTTAGCGTGACTTTGGGTGCTTGTGAATGCTCTGCAGGCTCGCTTGTATACGGTCAGACGCTTGGAGACGAGGAATGGGACCAGACCCCCCGAATACCTCCAAGCAGAGAATAAAAAAGTATACCATATCAAGTCCAGCACATCCACGGACGACAGAACGGTCGCCGCACCCAGAATGTAGCAAAAGGGGCCAAAGACCATTACTGCCAGCCAACATCAATTAACCATGCCCGCTTGGCTGGTCCATAAGCCGCTATAACCTAGGCTAATATCTGGGTCGGCGACGAGAATAATCGGTTCGCATCCAGCGGCGGCCGCGGAGACCACGTATGCACTGCGACAGTGCTGGGGAAAAGGGTTAGCAGAGTTAGGCATCCTACTAAAATCCACAGCCCACGGATCTCAACCTCCGGGTTGATCCATAGTGCGAGGAAAAAACAATAGTTAAGGAGGACGAATTCGCAGTGCAGGTCCCACTTGTATGTAGGATGGGGTAGTTCACCCGCTATACTTCCTATCTTTAGACCTACTGTCTTCATAAGCCGTAGGCTTGCACAGGACAGTATAATAAACTAGATTAAACAGAAATCAATTAACCTTGACTGGCTATTACACTAGCTCCTAATACGGTAAATGTTTGTGTCGATGTTTTCTATGTCGATAGGGCTTACGGCCGAGGGGCGAGATATTGAAGATGGTACATTCCACGCAACCAACAAAAGTTGATGCGGCCTGCAGCCAGTAGATTTTGACGAGAGTCAAAGACAGCCGAGCCCACCGTCCGTGGAATAAAAGGCCTTATTTGTTACCGAGGAACGTACCCATGCTGGAAGAGCATGTTGGACTACCGCCGCTTTGAAGCTTTGTTTGCTCCTAATCCCCGAGACATCCATCCCTGAGTCCTGGCTTTGTGAGCTGATACGAGAGTGGATTTGCGACATTTCATGCCATTGCATGCAAATCTGAGACGGATTTCTCAAAGCAGATTCTACATTAACAGTAGCCCCCCAAGGGACTTTGTCCTTCACCCCATTAAGCTTCGCTTGTGTTTTGCCGAGCTGCATGCAGTCGGCGGGCGAAATTCTCGAGGCTGCAAGGTGCTCGTTGGATGCCTCTCCAGGCTTAGGACCGGAGTAATTTCCATAGTGCGGACACGTTGGTGTATATCGACCCGCATTGACTGGTTCTCCGGCCTTTGCCATAACGATAAACATTGAAGCAGTCCAAGTCCAGTAACTCCATCTACGCCGATGCGACAATGTCGCTTGATATAAGAACGGACGAGTAGCATTCGTATGCAGAGCCATAGATCCCAAATAAACATGGTATCCTGAAACGAACTGCTCAAAATAAAGTCCACAAGGGAGGTTACGCACATCAGCATTCCCACGACCGTGACGAGGACATAGTTACGTTCCACCCTGTACGTATACCACTCTTTTTCAATTAATGAAGCTAATGCACCAGTGGCGAACATGTTAGCTACGATGAGAAGATTTTCGAGTGTGCTATGGCCCCCCGACATCGGTTCGACACCACTACGGCGCTTGCGCGTGGTAGAGGCACCAAATGTTCTAGACATCGAGAATGAGGACCCACTTGAGGGTTAGCTGGAGAATTGGGAACAACAGAGAAAAATGTCTATACGGAACATAAAGTAACGAGGGCTTATTCCAAACCGGTTGTAATAGTAGAGGCGTATGCGGATTTGGGATGGGGGTTAAATAGGAAACTAGGCATACTCACACTAAGAACTGTAATCGCAGTATCAGCAGCAGGGTAATTCACCATGGCAAGAATCGTTGCAGTAACGATGATCGCACCGCATATAATGAGCGATATCCAGCGCAGCGTCTTCTTGCACGAATTCCGCCCGTGCAGACGGCGGCCTGGACAGCGGCTTTGATGCCTTCTTCCATCTGCGGTGAGGCTCCGAAAGCATTCGCCGGTACGTATGCATGGACATGTAAATATGAATATTCATCGGTGATTCCCGGTGTGTGCACAACTATGGGGGCCGACCCTGGTCGTACAGGATAAGCCGTTGTATTTCGAGGGGAGGGTTGGGAACTTTGATGCGCGCCGACTCGGGTGATCAGCAATAGGATAGTGCAGGGGAGTAGTAGAGGTGGTTCAGCATCAGGACTTGTGGGTAACATGCATGTTCTACAGACTAGTCTCTGCGTGGTAATTCGGTGCTGTGTCGCTCGAATGATTCGGCCTGCGCTTCCGGAATCGAACCAGGGGATGATGAGCTCGACCAACCACCAAACTGCTGCGGATGCAGCAACCCCTGCAACTCGGGATCCAAGCTGCCAAGCAGATACGTCCTGGATGACAGGCTCACTTCAAATCGAGATGCTAGGCGTGGGCCTAGTCCACGTGGTACACGGGTCTCTGTCTAGTCAGATTTGTTTTGCGCAACTGCAAAACAGCTAGTTCGTAACAGGAATTCTCAAATCCATTATAACTAATATCTAATAACGCATCATGCTCTTTTTGTAGTTCTCTAAATTTTCCAGTGTCGCCTTTCGCCAATGTCTATTGCCAAGCGTCGTGATATCATTTGCATACAGTCATGAGAAGTATCCGTAACAATCCCAACGATCCCAACAATCCATTCTACTCATCTCGAGTGTACTTGGACCGTTGCCGCCACTTTGATCCATACCTGAGGAGCAGTACAGGCACCGGGGCAAGGCATAGACCCAGCAGGGCCAGTGCCGAAACGCCGAGTCCAAAGCCAAACCGTTCCGCCAGGGGCCCGGTGGCCAGCGGAATGAAAGTGCCTCCTAAGCACCTCGTGACGATAACCGCGGTCAAGGCCGAGGCCGAATACAGCCCGAAGGCGTCGACCACATAGGCCGTCAGAGGCAAGGTTGCAAACATGAGGGAGAATCCCAGCAATGCCGTTGAAAGCATCAAGAGCGACAGGTGGAGATGCAACGCTGCCGCCCAGCCGTACGCAGCGACGGCGAAGGGCAGGGTGAAGCCACCCAGCATGGTGAGCGGGAGACGATATTCGGGCTTCTCGACACCCTTGTTGACATCCCGGAGGCGGATGTAGATGCGATCGAGCAGTTGGTTGCTCACCATGACGCTGATGAACGAACCTACGCCTGTTATTTGTTAGCACGAGAAAGAAGCAGTTCATTCGCAGAGTAACACTTACTGAAGCTGAGAAACGCCGACCCGATCTGAGCCGGGGATAAGTGATACCGCTCACTGAGCACATCGGGCAACGACGTGGACAGGACGTAAAAGTACGAGAAGGCCACAGACCCGAACAACGACAATATCTGCAGTACACCCGAGCCGAAAAGCACAATAAAGGGGCGCATCATGGCCTCCCAAAGCATCGTGCCGCTCTTCTGTCCCTCGACGTCAAAAATCGTCCTCAACATATCATTTCCGGTGTCCCTCCTCATCCTGTCCGCCTTGCGTCTCAGAATGGGCACCTTGTACGTCTCACGAAAGCACGTCAGAAACACGACCTCGCACGCCATCGCCAGGGCGGCGCTCATCCACAGCACCTGCCTCCAGCCCAAGTTCTCCGCCACCGCGCCGGAGATGGCGGGCCCCACGGCACCGCCAATCAGGGGCGCCAGCATGACGATGCTCATGGCCGACCCGCGCTGGTCGGAAACAAACATATCCCCCACAATGGCGGGGTTCAAGACATTCGACGCCACAGCCAGGCCAGTCAGAGCCCGCGCGGCGATGAAGAGTGGTGTGCTCTGGCACAGGGCGGCGAGCACGGTGGCGGTGATGAAGAGGAGGTTGGCGGCGTTCAGGACGGGGTAGCGCCCGAAGACTTCGGAGAGGGGCGCGATGAGCAAGGGCCCCGCGGCTTCTCCCAACTCCCAGATGGTGACGAGGAGGACGCTGGAGGATTTGCTCGAGTGGCCATGGTTGAGGTCCTCCACTATCTGGTTTGCGACTGGGACTACAGATATACACGTGAAGGTTCTGTGCTCGGGATTAGAATGGCTTTGACTGAAGAACGAAACGATGCGGGAACACTCACACGGTGAACGCCATGAAGGCCAAAAGAGCGACGATGCCCCATTTGTAAGCCTGGGGCCAGTCTACGGGGTTTTCCTCATCGCCCTCCGGGTCGAAGTCCACTATGTCCTTGTTGACATGTTGATGTGGCTCTTCGAGGGAGGTGAAGTGCGCATCCTGAAGAAGTGGGAGGGTCTCGTCCATCGTCTACAGATTCAATACTCTTCGTGTACTGAAAATGTTGAAGGAAGTCTCATGAGATTGGAAGTCTCGTGAGAATTGAAAAGTGGCGAGCAGCGGATGAAGTCTTTTTTTTATTGTTGTTGCCACGGTGGAGCACACTTGCATCCATCCGATTAGCGGATCCCCCTGTCGAAGCAGGGTGCGAGCTACATACAGTCAGGCTCCACAACTCTGGGGACACTTTACGCCAACGCGAAAATTCGCGCACTTCGCACCTACACCCTTGTAACGAAACCTCTAATAGTCTAGCTGTGTAAACCACTAAAGAGTCTGTAAGGGTTTGTGCTAGTAAGTAAGTCCTGCTGCGGAGTCCTCAAGCAATAATATCGGGGTTTGACGTATGGAGTATAGGGCTCTGGGTAACTGAAGTATTCAAGTAGGGTAACTGGGAATAGAGTCGTCAAGGCAGTTTGCCTCACCAATGGGTTAGATTGATGCTTAGATTGATCACTGAAGTAGAGACTGTCTATCTATGAAATGCCTGGGAGTCCTGTCCCTTATATACCCATCTCTCCTTCACTGATTGATTGATTGATTGATTGATTGAAATTTAACGTCTCATCACGTGAGACGTGCCGGGCGCAGTGCCGGCATGGTCTATGCTAGTCGAATCTATGTTACAGGGGACTGTCTTCATCTAACATTCCTGTTCAGTGCGATGGGCAGATCTCAGTAAAGAAATTGGTCTCCTCCGCCCATTGGCAAAACAAACGAGCTCCCTTGGCCGTGCCTAGGAGGGAATCTATACTATTCTTGGCTATATGCGCTTTTAGATGACCGGGCGTGGCCTTGCGGCCGCGCTTGCAAAAGTAGAAGTGGACTGGTGTCTTTGTCTTTCCACACCCGCAGTTGAGCAGTGCGTCGCGATGCTGGAGTCTCTCGTGGTAGGTCACGAAATCCCCGTGGTGCGACCTCGCTGCGAGTAATCTGCCTAGGTGTTGTCGGGGCAGGCCAAGTTCGGGGGGTCGCGGGTGGATAGCGATCCGTAGATCTCGATACTGTTGAGGGCAGGTAGTGGCCCATCGATCGTTGAAACTCTTCCAAGTGTAGGATCTCGCGATTCTCTTTATATGTGCGAATGAGGCCGGGTGTTGTGTCTTGGGTGGTTGCTCACAGGCCGCTTTGGCCTGGACATCTGCTTCTTCGTTTCCGGGGATGCCTACATGTCCTGGGCACCACCAGATATACACTTGTCCCGGGGATGTCCAGGGTTTTCGCTCTCTCTGTGACCAGGTTTTGGACAGCTCTTGGAAGGCGGTGAATTTTGCTTGACTGCTTCCGGGACTTGGACAGATGAGCCTACCCGCAACCGCGAGATTATCGAGGCAGATGTGGACGTTATCTGCCATGCTGTTGGACGGAAGCTTTACAGCCTCCTGAAGCCCCCGTAGTGCTGCGTGGGCTTCCGCATCGTATACCTCTATCTGAGAGCCCAGTAGTTCGGACCCGCAGAGTAGTCTTTTACCGGCCTGATAACCAGCCCAGCCTGCTCCAGCTAAGGTCCTGTCGCTATGGGTAGCCAGCGAGCCGTCTGTATAGATTATTATATCGCGCTTTGAAAACTCGTTTATCCTTGGTAGAAACGAGCGGGCAGCCTCCTCCTTTGACTGTCCTGGGATATAACCGATCTTGGCGAGGGTGATGGACCATTCGCCAGCCTGCTCCCAGGGCGGTATTTGCAGAGGATCTATATATTCTGCAGTATCTGGGGTTAGGCTCGCCATACGCCTTAACCTCGAATCGGGGCCCGTAGGATGTCTGAGCCTCCTGCGTAAGGGATGGCGGCTATCCAGTTTGTGTAATCTAACAGAAGCCGCATAGAGTTTTGCGTCGAGTGCGATTTCTGCTGGCGGTAGTGCCGCTTCCCGTTGCAGGATCGGTATTGGCGTGGTCCTGGATACAGGAAGCATGGCTCTCATTGCGGTATTCTGCGTTCGATCCATTTGGTCAGCTAGGGATTGGACCCGGTTTGAGATAATGCGTCCATTCTTGTTCTGTCCGGCAGACGGCCACCATGCTTCCGAGGCGTAGAATTGCACGGGGAGCACGCACGCGATTACAGCTTGACGGAGTAGTCGTGTTGGGGCCCTGACATTCTATCTAGTCCTATGGAGCACGAAGGTTGGACTTAGTCCCGAAGGGCTAAGTCACGTGGTAACCTTGGTGGTCTTGGCAAAGCCCACCAAGGTTGCCTAACAATGCCCCCTTCAAAGAAAATATCAATGTCATTTCTGTTGTACAGCAAAAGCTCTCTATCCGTCCTCTATTTGATCGGTTTAAGATACATCCGCCCTGTCATCCAAACAAGGTGAAGGTCCATCTGCTCCGCGACAAAGAGATCCGTGCAGCGGGCGTGGCGGCATGGGCCGACCAGCAACCCACAGCTAGGTGGAAAGCTTATCCAGTCGTTCCACGTCTAACTCTTTCTTCATCCAAGTGATGCTATCGAGTCGCGGAGGGGCCAAATCGTGGGCTTCGGTTCGGTACGATGCGGGTTGGAGCGATCGGATTCAGAGCTGCCCATCGGGCTCGTCATCGCCGGTAGACTCTAAAAGTCTAGTCGAGAAAGGCACCTATGTGCTTAGCCGTCAGAAAGGTCGGCGAGCCTTAACACGAGCATAAGATAAGGAGGGATACTTGACTGCGTGGTGGCTCTATAACGCAACCGTTTCGACGCGAATAGGACCGTGCGAGGCCAACCGACAACCCGACTAGGTTAAATCTTCGTTGAACGCGTAGATGCGACTTTACAGGCTATCGCTCAGAAATGTTCATCACCTGCATGCTATTCCTACTACATAAAAAGCAGATGACGACTAGGCGAGGCTGCGGCGTGTCGGCACGGCACTTCCGTAGCCAATCATCGTGCCTTGCCAACTCAATGCATTCTGGCCGTGGGACTTCGCCGAGGTGAGCGAAAACAACAAGGCAGCTATTGCTAGCTACGTACTGGTGCACTTGTCCTTTTTCTCTTAGTTTCTAAAGCTTTCCGCTACGCTGAATATAGCCCGCACTTCTTCAATGATACCCTGCCGCTACGGTTACTAATACACAAGCGACGTTCTAGCCTTGCGAACAGCACAATAGGTTCTTGTCCTCCGACCCTGACTTTCGATCGCTTCGGCTACCGGCAACCGCGGCCATGGACCCGGCCACTGCTGTGAACATCCTCGTCCTAGTCGGCGCTGCAATCCTACCCTACTTGTGGCTTCAATATAGGAACAAGAGAGCGGTATACGTTTTAGGACAACAAGATTCGGCGAACGAAGAGCACCAAGCAAGCAAGCAAGAAGTCTGTACCTTCCAAGTATCGATTTGGGTGGCATGCTAATGAGTACAGACTTCTAGTAGTCGTTCAGTGCTCCAAGTTTTATATTCCGGGCCCAGCAACGCAGCCACTAGGGAGGTCGAGGTAGAGTAGGTCTTGCCCATGCTATTAGTGTCTCGTTATCTGGTTGCTGATTCCCCGCAGCATCGTCGCTGTCCACGGCCTCGGGGCTAACGTGGATTGGTCGTGGACCTGGACAGACGGAGCCAGCCATGTTCACTGGCTGAAGGATCCGAATATGCTACCTGCTGTGGTGCCCAATGCCCGAATCATGGTGTACAACTACGAATCGCGATGGCACGCGAATGCCCCGAAAACTCGCCTCTCTCTTTGTGGCAAGGATCTGGTAGAAAGCCTTTGTTGGTACCGGAAGGACACTACGAACCGCCCGATAGTTTTTATCGGACACAGCTTGGGCGGTAATGTTATCCAGCATGTAAGTGGAACACGAGCTTCCCAACGAGGATTTTTATCCTCTATTTGCAATGTATGCTAACGGGATTTGGGCAGGGCCTGTTGAACGCTAATGCAGACCCAGAACTGAAACACTTAGTCGACCGTACCGTCGGCCTCGTATTTCTGGGATGTCCCTTCAAAGGCTCTAAGATGAAGGGGATAGCTCAACTCATAGCCCGAATCATGCACATTGCTGGATCCCATATCGGTATTGTCGGAGCCCTAGGCTACGGCGATCGCACCTTGCGGGATAAGCTGAACGAGTTCGGTAAACTCTTGCAGAGAATTCGAATCCCGGTGGTCTGCTTCTTCGAATTGAAAGATACCGATTTTGGAAGAAGATTAGGGATGCCCCATCTAATTAAAGGAATGGTACGTACCGAATCAGGATTATGCGCTGTTTTATTATAATTAACGACGGTATTTCAGGTTGTAGAGGAGGACTCCGCATGTATCGACCTTTGTGATCATTTCCCGCTCTCGACGGACCATCTACGCCTGAACAAATACTCTGGCCCGAATGACCCTTCTTTCGACAAGGTTTCAGAGAATATTAAAAAGATGTGTGCAGATGTGAGCAAGGGGCGGTACGTCGCTAATCTCCACTTGGATTCGATGAAACTAATTAAGCTATAGCCTCCATCTCGACCAAGAGACAGCATTCGACAGGCTCCTCCCACACACTGTTGAAGGAGCATCCTTTGACTCCCACGCCGAAGAAGAGATCTCATATTGCCTCCAAGGCACTCGAAAAGAGCTTCTCCATGAAATATCCAAATGGGCTGTCGATGCTCGCGCCAAACCCGTCTTCTGGCTGAACGGCATGGCTGGCACCGGGAAGTCAACCATTTCGCGCACCGTGGCACAGTCTTTCTCTAAGAACGGCCATCTCGGTGGCAGCTTTTTCTTTAAGAAGGGCATGGCCGATCGAAGCGGAACATCCAAGTTCTTCACTACGATTGCCGCTCAGTTGGTCTATAAATCGCCGTCCCTCGCCTATTATATTCAAAGTGCCATCGATGCCGATCCTGCCATTACGCAAAAGACAATATCACAGCAGTTTGAGAAGCTCATCCTGGAGCCTTTGTTAAAGATGACTCTAAACACTCAGGCCCCTGCAACGCTTGTCATTATTGTCGATGCCCTGGATGAGTGCGAGAGAGAGAAGGATATCGAGCTGATCATCAAACTCTTTTCCCGTGCTAAGGAACTACCGTCTTCGTGTTTAAAGATCTTTATCACTAGCAGACCCGAACTGCCTATACGATTGGGTTTCAAGAAAAATCAAGGAACGTATCAGGATTTAGTCCTCCATGAGATACGCCAAGGTCTTATTGATCGCGATTTGACTATATTCCTGGAGCACGAGATGACCGAGATTAAAAAAGACTACAACTTGGGAAACGAAGATCAACAACTGCCTGTAGAATGGCCAAGCAAATCAGATATCGAGACTTTAGTAAAGAGGGCAAGTCCTCTCTTCATTTTTGCCGCCACTATCTGTCGTCTCCTTAAAGAATGGAATTACAGCGATCCCCAAGAACAACTTCGAGAGATCCTAGCCTATAAATCAAGAAACAAGCAGTCTAAGCTTGAGGCTACATACATGCCTGTCCTGGAACGACAACTTATCAGACTTGACGAAAGTGACAAGGAGAAGGTCTTAGAAGAGTTTCGAGTTGTTGTTGGCTCGATCGTTATCCTTGAGAATCCCCTCTCTACCCATGCTCTATCGCAGCTACTTGACGAAGATGAGAAGATGATTAGTAATAGACTGCTTCATCTTCACTCGGTTCTACATGTCCCGTCCCCTCCCGGCTCTCCCGTCAGACTCTTTCACCTGTCGTTCCGGAATTTCCTAGTGGATCCCGAAAGGCACAAAGACCAGTTCTGGGTGGATGAGAAAGAATCCCACAAGTGGCTAGCTACGAACTGCCTGCGCGTAATGAATAAATCCCTTCGGACTGATATCTGTGAGGTTCAGGCGCCAGGAACACCTCGTTCATCGATAGACCCACAGAGAATCAGCAAGTATTTACAGCCAGAAGTCCAGTACGCTTGTCAGTTCTGGTCGTACCATCTACAGCAGGCCGAAATGAAAGTATCGGATGGGGATGAGGTGTGTGACTTCCTGACCTGCCACTTCCTTCATTGGTTAGAAGCATTAAGTTTGATGGGAAGAGTTTCGGAGAGTCTGCAGGCGATTAAGGCGCTACGAGCCTGTGCTCATGTGAGTTTCAGATTCAAGCATAAAAACTCCTATAAACTAACGCGTATCAGTCGGACGCAACTAAGACTCTTGACTTCCTAAACGATGCTAACCGCTTTGTCCTTGCTATGACCTCTATTATCCAACAGGCGCCTCTCCAGGTATACGCGTCAGCGCTCGCGTTTACGCCTCGGAGGAGTACGATTCGAACTGTTTTTGAAAAAGATATGTCTAGCTGGATATCTATCGTATCAGGAGTACAAGATAGCTGGGGCCAGTGCGTACAGACGCTCGAGGGCCATAGCGACTTCGTCAGCTCGGTGGCCTTCTCGCCCGACTCGCAGCTCGTGGCCTCGGCCTCGCACGACCGCACGGTCCGGCTCTGGTCGGCGGCGACGGGCCAAGAACTCCAGACGCTCGAGGGCCATAGCGACTTCGTCAGCTCGGTGGCCTTCTCGCCCGACTCGCAGCTCGTGGCCTCGGCCTCGGTCGACCGCACGGTCCGGCTCTGGTCGGCGGCGACGGGCCAAGAACTCCAGACGCTCGAGGGCCATAGCGGCTTCATCAACTCGGTGGCCTTCTCGCCCGACTCGCAGCTCGTGGCCTCGGCCTCGGTCGACCGCACGGTCCGGCTCTGGTCGGCGGCGACGGGCCAAGAACTCCAGACGCTCGAGGGCCATAGCGGCTTCATCAACTCGGTGGCCTTCTCGCCCGACTCGCAGCTCGTGGCCTCGGCCTCGGACGACGGCACGGTCCGGCTCTGGTCGGCGGCGACGGGCCAGTGTTTGCAGACAGTAGAAACTGGTATAATCCCTTCCACCTTGTCTTTTGATTCTAGAGGTTTTTATCTCTATATGGATTCTGGTGCTATTTCTCTTCAAGGTCCACTAGATCCTATTAGAGCGACAGAATCTATAACTACTAGATCTTCGAAATCATTTTCCAGTCAGATCTTAGCTGATAACGGTCAAGATCGTCGCTCTGGCTACGGCATAAGTAAGGACCGTTGCTGGATAACTCTGCACGGAAAAAACTTGTTCTGGTTAACAGCAGATTCTCGACCAGTTTCTTCAGCTGTGTCTGGTTCTACCGTAGTGATTGGATGCGTTTCTGGAAAAGTCATTATTTTGCGGTTTTGTGAGGATAAACCAGCGCTCTGGTCCAGTATTTAGCTTCTCTCGTATAGCTTGTAAATACACAATCTATTTTCTAATATCTTTGCAAAAGAGGGTCCTAGGGGAGCGCACTTATTTATATTATATAACGGTCGCCTTTCGAAAGTTCTAGTGCTTTCGCGATAATTGGACGCTATTTGTCAGCATCTCTGTGGCTAGTTAGCTGTACTATTTCGTCACTGCGAATAGAGAAATATGTAAATATAAGGGCTGCTAATTCAGCTAACCGCAAGTAAGTCGCGACCGCCCCCGCTTCCTAAGAAATAAGCTTTTCTGGACGTACTGTGTAAGCGCCAAAATAGGCAATAATCCGAGGGCTGAATATGTTTAAGAGGCTAACAAGGAGGAAGCCGATTTCGTTACCTACTGTACTATGAAGGTGCGTATGAGACTAATCCCAAGTTGTCCCCTAAGGGATCCCTAAATACTACAATCAGTATCTGCCTGCCTCGTATCCCTGCATACCTGAGGCCACAGCTTCCCACATGTATCATGAAAGAGGCTAGTATTAAGCCGTAACATTTTATTTCAAATAGATAGTATTCAAACCCAAACCTCCGTCTGCTTCCGTAATCAGTCAAGCTTGCAGTTGTGAAGGTCAACCCTCGCAGACTCACTACAACCAGGTGACTTACAGCTGGAACACCTGCCATGGCAGTGCCAGATGGGAAGCCAATCATAACCCCTGCAGGAGCCCCGCCAAGCGTGGACGACTTAGTCGCGCTCCCTCAAACCTAAGTTTGTGATCTTCTTTCCTTCGCTCCTTAGAGTAAAATCTTCGTCGATAGCACCTAATCGAGGTCTCTACCAATGCGATGCAACCCAGGTCGTGACAGCAGTCAGTCCAGCGGATCTAGAAGTCAGTTAGAAAGGGAGATGAGCCAAAAAAAAATGACGTAACAAAAACCATTTCCGGAACATCTAACTGCTTTATTCATACTTACTACTTAAACTATCTTCAAAGCCTCAAAAGTAGTCGTCGCATGAGGAACCCTTTCTCTGCTGTAGCGTATATTTATTCATGTATCCAATATATGCAACAAAGGGATGAGAAAGACAATTCTGCAAATACCCTGGTCATGCCGGTCGAATGGATCTCATCGATGCAAACTAGGAGCGGACTCTTGCTGAAGAGGATTCTGCCACCGCCTTTCCCAACGTGGCATGAAAGACTACCCACGAACCATTCCCTCCTCGCCTCGAGATTCGCCCTGTCTACATGATCCATCCTTGACTGAGAGCCATTAGTTACAGACGATATGACCTCATGTTACGCAATTCTCAAGATGCAACCAAGGTCAGCTTGCCCCAACCATCCTACGCGCGTGTGGCCTTCCACGTTCAAAGCAGCTTGAGAAATCTGTTACATTGATAACCAACCGCATCCAAGTGAGCTTTGAACCTGGAAATATGGAACCTTGTTTTTTTGTCCAATAATGATTTCGTCTCGGATCGTTGTCGGCCTTTTGCATTGGCCGGAGCCTTGCATGTATCTTTTTCAGATGGGCCTACGAATGAGAAGCCCGACAGTTTCCTGCAGCAGCTGACTTGACTAGGTGACAACGCATCAAAGCCGATTCACTTTTCAGATCATCGACATCCATCAACACCCCTTGGTTATAGGACGACCTGCGGGAAAGACCCTGGCTTGCTAGCACAGTCTGACGAGACTTTGCCGGTCTCGTGATTTGCCTCTCGAAATCCCAACAGCAACAGACTCGAGTGGCATTCGACGCGGCTGAGATTCAGAGATTCAGAGCACGCTTGGCACAGCCTGCCGTCATTCTGCCCCACGACTGCATCGACGACGGTGGAAACGCATCATCTTGACCCATCCTTCCTGTCAGTAGACGATCCATTTGACCCCCGCATACTGCGGCTTGTTCCACATCACCATAAAACAAACCTCCCATCCCTAGTCGTGGCTGTCCCTCCGTGGACAACCCGAATCCGCCAAGGTGGCTTCAAGTCAAACAGTACTGGCATCATCTGGTGCCCTCCAGAACTTGACTCAACTACTGCCGCCGTCGCTGGCAAACTACGTCGACGCAACCATCGGCCAACTGTCCGAAGCTCTCGCAGGATCGAACGAGTTTCTTGCTGCCAAGGGCTTTTCACCTACCGTTCTATACTCGACATTAGCCTGCGCTGCGCTGGTCGTTCCCCTCGGCATGTCTCGCTGGTCATCAAGCCGTGAAGGGCTTTCGCCCTTTGCCTCGCAGATGGGCGGTCAAGATCCCGTCATAACCGACGAAGACTTCAGCTACATCACCTCGGAGGATCTCGAGCAGTCGCTGCAATCACCGGCCCGAACCTACGACCCCAAAGGCAAACAGCCGCCCGCTGATGTCGATATCGAAGATGACATACTTTTGATCAAGAGCAAGGGTGTCACATATCCGAATAACTTCCCACCATATTCCATTGGCGAAGGCAGACTCCTAGTGCAGGATGTGCGGGATCGAGTCGGCTTGGTCATGGGGATTAGCGAACGCCGAAGCCGCCGCGTCAAGATGCTTTATAAAGGCCGTCATCTCAAGGACAGCGATGCACCGATCAACGGGTACGGCGTCAAGAACAATAGCGAGATTTTGATTGTCATACCCGAGGGCAAGCTATCAGATGACGACTCGAGCGAGTCTGTCGAGGATGTCGTTACCGACCCCAACGGTGACCAGACAAAGAGCAAAAAGAAGCGCAACAAGCGCAAGAAGAAGGACCGCAGCCCCCGCGACAGTGCTGCCAACCTCGACGTACCGGGATCCGGAGCAGAAGGTAGAAGATCGTCTGCCGAAGATTCAAGACATCCGAGCCGAGTGCCAAGCCCTGCCGCTCAGTCTGGCCCAATAGGCCAGCTGCAGACTATTGGTTCACACTTCAGAACTAAGTTTGTACCACTCTGTGACGAGTTCTCGGCCAACCCGCCCAAGGACCGGAAGAAATGCGAGGATGAGCATCGGAAGCTGAGTGAGACGATCATGCAGCAAATCTTGCTCAAGCTAGACGAGGTGGAAACCGGAGGAGATCCTGAGATCAGAGCCAAGAGGAAGGAATTGGTCAGCCAGGTGCAGGATGTTCTCAAGGGGATCGATGAGCATCTGCCCGAGGGTGTGACACGCCCAACATATTGAGCTCACAACCAATTCTTCTTTGGCTGGAAAGAGCTTGATCACCTGCATACATAGCATACAACACGGGTGGTTTGACCAGTTCGCGACAAGAATCTAAGATGACAGATGGGACTGTGAGCATGCAGCGTTGGATGGCATCGTTCCCAGGATGCTTGTAGACTACGTATTCTGTGAGACAAGCTAGATTGAGATGGTAATGAATCCGAATGAAAGGGGTGCATGGGAAGTGCTTTGGCTTCTGGGCATGGCAAAACTTTGTGCAAGTGAATGTTACGATAATGAACTTGTCTTTCATGCTGTGTCAACTAGAAATCATCATATGAAAATGCGATGGGCCTGTGATCAATAACTACTCTTTTGAGCTGCTGCAATGAGGCGTACATGCAGGTCAAAGTCGGTGAATAATTGCAGTACCGCCGGGTGAACGGACTATCTGCACGACCGCGACTTCCCTCTAGGTTTTGAGAGCCCTAGTGCACAGAAGTCGCAGCCAAAACCTTTCGCTTCGCCGATATTGCGCTAAGACCGGATAGGCAAAGCGGGCTTTTGCAAATCACACGGCCTCATCTGCCAGCCCAATTTGCAACGCACCAAATCTCGAGACTGTTGAAGTTGAACATTTGCGACCATCAACAACCACCGACCGCGGCACCCAGCGAGGATTCATTTTCCTAGCTCTCAAGGTAAGACGAACTTCAGACTTGGTTTTTTCTGGAGTTTGCCCTACGAGCTTCATTCCTCGCTTCTTCCTTCTCTTTTTCTCAAGAACCCGCGCTGACAATCTGTAAAGATGTCGACCTTTGAGCCTGTTGTGAGTACACACCCCTCCTACCCTAATCCGAGCACAATTGAGACGGACTGTGGTGTTTGGGAAGAACGAATTGGAATTGACGGGCGGTGGATCGGCCGAGGGGCTGGGAACTGGAAGCAAGAGACGGGCATATGGCTACCCCGAGATCGCTGGATATATTGAAACACGGGACTGACTTGATACCCTCCTAGGTGGTCATCGATGGCAAGGGCCACCTGCTTGGCCGTCTTGCCAGCATCGTTGCCAAGCAGCTCCTGAACGGCCAGAAGATCGTCGTCGTCCGCTGTGAGGCCCTCAACATCTCGGGCGAGTTCTTCCGCGCGAAGCGTACGTCATACCTCCTTCCATTTTATTCTGATCTGAGGGCTAGTTGTAAGAGCGCACGAATGGAACTGTATTATCAAGAGATGGCCATGCGTCGCAAGGAAGACAAACCGGAGGCAAGAGTTGAACTGATCCCCGACTACAGTGAAGTACCACGCCTACTTGCGCAAGATGACCCGATACAACCCGACTCGAGGTGGTACGTAAACCCAACCGATCCTTGCCCCACGCACGACGCTCAAACGAACTGCGCTGGGCCCCGCTCGAAGACACGCACCAGTCTAACAATTGACAGGTCCCTTCCATTTCCGCGCCCCGTCCCGAATCTTCTACAAGGCCGTCCGTGGTATGATTCCCCACAAGACCGCCCGTGGAGCTGCTGCGATGGAGCGCCTGAAGGTCTTCGAGGGTGTCCCTCCCCCGTACGACAAGAAGAAGAAGATGGTGGTTCCCCAGGCCCTGCGTGTCCTGAGACTGCAGCCCGGCCGCAAGTTCTGCACCGTCGGCAGACTCAGCCACGAGGTTGGCTGGAAGTACCAGGATGTTGTTGAGCGGTACGTGTATTCCGAGCAGTGGCCATGGCTCAGTCAGACACTTCTGCTTGATTTGGATACCATGGCAAACTTGAACGTCAACACCGGATAAGATACTAACTCTTGACATTAGATTGGAGGAGCGCCGCAAGGCCAAGGGTGCCGCCTACTACGAGCGCAAGAAGTTGGCACAAAGACAACTGTCTGAAGCCAAGAAGAACGCTAAGACGGACACCAAGACGACCGAGGCCCTCTCTGCATTCGGTTACTAATTCCTTCTGGCCTTCGCACTACTGCATTTTCGGGGCGAAAACACCAACAAAGACATCGACTCATTACACACACAAAACTTTGCAACTAGATCTGGCGTGACGGTATGGGGGACTCCATTGACATTTGCACTTGCCACGCCGCATTCATCTGAGGGAAGGCGGTAGGCCTGGTCATGAGGGATGGGGACATGTTTCACCGACCTTGCTTGGACCTGTGTTCATTCATCAGTCTAGGAACGGAAATGAAAATGAACCAAAATCAAGTGAAAAAAAACCGTACATATGATTGGTTGCAATGACTCATGTGAGATGCTCTGTCTGTTGTACTCACCACAGTGGTTTGCAAACCAGCATTCAACATGGGTTCCTTCATGGTCGGACCATGTGTTTGTCGGCAGAGTAGAGGAGAATTGGTGCGCATATACCTCCTTCTGATACCCACGGTCATATTTTATTGCCTGCAAGTGATCCCATCGTGACATTATAGCCAGTCCTTGGACAATGACTTGTTTTGCCCTTTTAAAACGCTGCAGCCCTTCAAGTCTTCAACGGGGTCTGTAGCAACCAGTATTCACGACTGTATCCCCACGGGCGAGCATCTTTGTGGATGAACTTATTAAGAGGATCCATACACGCCGATCCTCTTCAATGAATTGGCTGTGCTGGCAGACTGGTATTTCCCGACTGACTCCAGATGTCCTCAGTTTGTTTAGGGGCTGGATGATGATGCGTTCCAAGGCTTGTCTGTTTCTGAGCTGCTAGGGAGCATTAAGGAGATTGGTCTCGAATTTCGGCGCTGCTTGGCAACAAGACTGGGTGGTGTGGGAGTGGGAGTTGACGTCGGGTATAGATTGCGAGTGTAGGGAGTTCCGTGGATAGATAGCAGTCTTGGCTTCCCAAACTTGTCAAGACGAGTGCAGCAGTAGTACACCTGGCTATTTATGGTTGGAGATTTGTGTATGTATAGGTGTCTATGGCCAATCTTGAATACAGAGGGATGCTATCCAGCTCACCACGGTGGTGTCATTGGTTTTGGAAAAAGGGTTTGCTTTAGTAGTCTTTGCTCAAAACTGTGCTGGGTAACTCCTCTGTTGCAAATAAGGGTACTCGGGCCTATGTAGTTGTCTAGGCTAGTTGCCTGATGTTAGTATTGACCGAGACGGTTAGCGTATTGCTATACAGAAGGTACGTTCGCTTGAAGTAAGGAGTTCGTTATTCATATCCTTATCAGTCTTATGACAATGCTTCTATGCCCCTCTTCGATATTTGATCCTCGAATATTGAATGGATCCTCATGTCTTCACCATTGCCTACGACGTCACCGTCTTACCCACGGAGCCAAAGCGAGCATGGATGAAGAGGCTTAATACAGGTAGGTTTTCTCTATCTCTGTCCTATAAGCTCCCCTACAGACCCTTCTATGTTGCTGCATATTTCTTGCACTCCCTTACTCCTCCCCTTCATCGAAGATTTTACTGCCGAGATGGTTATATTCTAGAAACTCTGTTTGGAGGTTATTCTCGTTCGCCGTCGCGTCCTTCTTAAACAGCTCCTTTAGCTTAGCAAACTCTCTTCTGTCTCCATTCTTCTCCATCTTTCTTACACAGGGCTTCCCATCTGAGCCGCAGCGCTGACCAAACAAACCAGTTCACCAGCAGTCCCACCAATGAGTCCATGATGCCCAGACCTCGTTTAGGCGAAGGTCCTGTCATGCTGGTAAAGAGAAGCGAAGCCGAAATCGAGTCTTTGCAGATGATAAACTTGCCATCGTCGACTGCTCCGATGATGAGCAACGCAAACTTGTCCGAGGATGGATAGCTGGATAGCGGGCCTCGAGTTGCGCCAAGGACCTGTTAGTGCCTTGCATGCGTTTGGTCAGGGGTGTTTTGGTGTGCTGCTCAAGGTAAAAGCCGGGGGATATGAAGTCGCCGGGAAAGGCACAGTGGACGCTGTACGTGGACGATGGGCACGAATACCGCAGGAATTCCAGTCTCAGTGTGTCAGCCAGTGCGCGGGCTGCAACTTTGTCAGCTACACAAGGGAAATTGCCTCGTTAACACGGAGGACAAAGCAAGATGACCCCTGGAGGAGTTAGGTTACATATAGAATTCTTACGAGTATACGCAATAGAACCTGGTAACGCTACGAAGGCTGCAGCGCTGCTTATGATGACGACTTGTCGGAGTTTGGGTAGAGAGCTCTCCTGTTGCGCGTTCTTCCGGTCGTCTTCTATCCAGATGTCGACTAAAGATTTTATAGGGTACAAGGTTCCATAGTAGTTGTTCTTCATGCAAGCTTCGAGCTGATTCGCAGTGATGTCCACGAGAAACCCGTTCTGGGCGTGGTTCCCGCCCCCGGCGCAATACAACGCATCAGGGATTCGAGCCTGTGCTTTGAACAGTTCATTGACCTAGTAACATCATGTTAGAAGGGTTTGAATTGGTCGATATTGACAACATTTATGAAAGACACGTGACAAAGAACAACTTCCAAGGCTCTCACTTTTCATAGTCAGAGAGATCCACAGCGACTGCGTTGATCTCCTGGCTTGAGCTTCGGGCCAACTGTTGAATCTCGTTCCTAGCACCCTCGAGGACATCTATCCTACGACCAAATATTGCCATGTGGGAACCTATTCGATTCACCTTGTCAGGTTCGTGGCTTTGGACCACGCATAATTACTGTACGTGAGACAATACCTCGAGACGCAACAAGTTTCGCGACTGCCTTTCCGAGTCCACCGGAACCCCCAGCCACAAAAACAGTCTGCTAGGCTTATTAGTTCACTTTCGTATATCCACAAACAGGGGGGGTAGGGGGGGATGGGGATGGGGTATTCTACTTTGGCCTCTAGGTTTCCCGAGCCCATCATCACTGCAAAGTAGAAAATTTGATTAAAGTGTGAATTCAGTTAGTAGATATAGAGTCTATGCTGCCTTGGACAACTTCTCGAACGAACCCCTTTGGATCAATGGTAGGAGGAGCCCTGATATACCTAGGTCACTTCCCTGATCCATGAGCCAGAATACACTATTCATTTGACGGCTGATTCTAGGAAAGGGGCTTGCTGCTGTATGGATGCTTGGAGACGAAGGCTTATCATCATTGGCTCGCTCCTCGGTTCCAGAATTGAGGGGTTACATGTGTAAGACAAAACACGGACTCGGAACCCGTCGCCGATACGACAAATCCGGAAGATGACGCTAGTCGGGATTCCGCAAACGGTCGAGACAAACGGGCCATCATAGACAAGTGGAACTGGCGATAATAATCGAGTAAAGATACCAGGCAACCATTTTAGTCGGGTTGAAAGACGAATCGCCTCCACTTCACAGCAATCAAAATCAGGCGAACTTGATCGGACTCGCTCAACGCAATCTCATGACAAGAACGATTTCCTTTCGTATCTCTTTGTCTGGCAACCCGGAAGATCATCATGGCGGCCCAATCGATGCTCACAAACTGGATCAGGGGCCAGAAGCTGAAAGCTCCCCAGATGAAGAACGCGAGGGTCTTTGACCGGAACCTCGAAGAAGCTCTGGACGTCCGCAGGGCCGATCACGCCATGTTCACACCCAATATCAGCGCCTGGAAAAGCATGGAGGGCGTCGATTTCTGCTCCAACGACATACTGCACCTCGGCTCCACGGGCCAGATCCGAGCTGCCTTCGAAGAGGAGCTCACCCGACACCCCAATTACAACCTCTACTCGGGGGACGTCCGCATGCTGGACAGGAACTACGAGTACATCCAGCAGGTGGAGTGTGAAATAGCAGAGTTCCACGGCGCCGAGACCGCGCTCATCGTGAACTCGGGCTTCGAGGGTAACGGGGCCATCTTTTGTGCCTTGCCGCGACCGGGCGACGCCATTGTCTACGACGAGCTTGTTCACGCCAGCACGCTGGACGGCATGGTGCACAGCTTGTAGTTTCTCAAGAAGTCGTTTCGTCACAATGACTGCGAGGCATTCCGCGAGGTCTTGTCGGAGATCGTCGATTCAGAGCGTATGATCAGGGAGGGCACGCGGTGCGTGCTCGTGGCAGTTGAATCCGTCTACAGCATGGACGGGGATGTGTGTCCTCTAAGGGAGCTTGTTGATGTTGCCAAGGAGATTTGTCCTAAAGGGAACGTCGAGTTCATCATCGATGAAGCTCACGGCACGGGCGTTGTGGGTCCCAAGGGTGCGGGCTCGGTGAATGCCTTGGGCATGGAGAAGGAGATCGCTGTCCGGTTGCACACGTGCGGCAAGGGGCTGGCCTCTACTGGCGGTGAGTACACAGGATAATTGAAGTTCCTTGGTTCTCAGCGTATAGCATGACTAAAGAGAAGTTTCCTCTAAGCGGCGATCCTTGGCAATGCCACTGTGCGGGCTGCCCTGACAAATTTTGCCCGCTCTGTCGTCTACACAACCGCACCGACCTTTCTCATGATAGCTGCCATGCGAGCTGGATATAACCTGCTGCGCTCTGGCAAAAAGGAAAAGGTGAGAAACCCCATAGTGATATTTACCTTTCCGAAACTTAGTCGTAGAGCTCTAATGAATTCACCACCACCATAGGCTCAGGACAACATTCAGCATCTCGTCAAGAGGTTCGTCAACGCCGTAAGAGCCAACCAAATCTTCCAGAAGGCGTCTGAAATGGGCATAGTATGGGTCCCGTTGTGCGAAGATATGGAGGAACGCGACTTCCTCGTGCACATCGTGCCCATAAGGACGCGGCAACGCTACAGCTACTGGCTTGCGTTCCACCTGCAGCTCGACGGGTACTGCATTCTTCCTATAGACTACCCAGTGGTTCTCAAGGGTCAGAGTCGCCTTCGCTTGATTGTCCACGGGGCCAATACCGAGGAGCAGATCGACGGCATTGCGAAGGCCACATGTGAGTGGGCACGTGAGATGGTCGACATCGAGACGGGTGCCGACGCCAGTTCCAAGATAGCTAAATCTGCTCAGCAGGTGTACGCCTTGATGGCGGCAGCAGCTTGATAAAAGGCTGGTGGATGTTGTCAGAGAACAGAATGCCATAGGCACCGGTGGGACACCGGTGGGGGCTCTGGTGTAGGAATGTGCGAGTCATGACACGATATGGAAGTCTTGGTTTGCGGAACAATCGGGGAAACTAGTGCTCCGCGGCTCCGACGTCGGGTTCTAGCTATCTATGTAAGGGGCGGAGGCCCGGGAAGAAGATAGAGGGAGAGTAGAGATCAATGCATCACCGTGGGCACCCCTACCTGAGACCGCCAGTGACCACCCGGTATTACGTAGGAGGGACGCCCGTTACTCCCCATCACTCTGTACTATCGCCTTCGGCCTAGCCGTACCCTGACAGATGTTCAGTGTTTGGACTTGGATTGTATTTTATTTTCGCTGAGTGGCATTCATGGTGGTGGAAACATTGTATCGGTCCTTTCTAGACATTCTGTTAGATATTGAAAACACATATATAAATCAACTCTGATCGTCTCGTCTCAGGTACCAGGAATAAGTACACTGATTATAGTACGCCGTTAGTACGACCTGTAACTTGTTGGACTGTGGACGCGGCCAAGTTTTGCACGCTAAGAATGCTTGGATTTTTACGCATCTTGCTCTCGGCGAAATATAAACCGAGATCATAACCACTTAGGCCGATGAAGCTGTGCGGAATCAGCCAACGCATCTAAATCTATGCAGGAAATACCCATTACGTCTCAGCTGGCTGTTGGGTTCCCTATTACACGATTACGAACTAGCAGGCCCCTCCTGCGGGCCTGAGTCATCGTTTCCATTTCACCAGCATTCGGAATCCGCCTCCGAGACGTAGCCGGGTGTGTGCTCTACGGTCGCAGACGGAACTTCAACTCCCGAGTAGTACGCGATTAGAAACTCCCTTTGGTTCAGGGCATCCTGCAACTTTCGTATTCTAGCTAATACAAGCCACCCTCACACCTCTTGCAACTTTGCCTTTCTGGGTGCGCCGTATCCCACTGTAACGCGTGTTTCCCGAGTTATCGTCTAACAAAGTCGTATAGATTTCATCCCCACTCAATCACTATGATCTCCTTTCAAAGTATTACTATCCTCGGACTGGTTGAGAGTTTGATTGCTCTGAGACTTGTTTCATACGGGTTCATTCCTTGTCGCTATGACGACCGATGGGCAAATTCCTTGGCTGTGGCGGTCGGAATATTAGCCATCAACTACAACTTCATGTTCTTCTACTCGGCTATCATATACCCCAAGTTCTTCAGCCCCCTGAGAAACGTCCCACAATCCAAGGTTCGTCCGGTGTCTTCCATCCATTCTTCCCATTTTACCTTGTGCCGGAGTTTTGTGTGTGAAAGACAAGGGATGGCGAACCCGAAATCTAGTGGCACCTTTGGCGACTATTTCAAAGCCGCTTTATCCGGCAGGAGACTCTGGGTCAACTTCTGTTTGCTATCGTGCAGGAGACTCCAAACAACGGCATCGTCCATCTCGGAGAGTTGTACACCGAACGGCTGTTGCTGACCGGGGCGAAGCTCATCGCCGAGCTCCTCGTTCATAAACCTTATGATTTCGAGAAGCCCGAGAATGCCCGCAACTTCATGCGCCACTTCCTCGGCGACGGGCTCATCATAATCGAGGGGGACAGGCACAGATTCCTCCGCAAGAACACTGTTCAAGCGTTCGGATATCGTCAGGTACAAAATCTGTATCCGCGAATGTGGATGAAAGCGATGTCTCTTGTGGACGAGATCGACAACATCGCTCTGGGACGTGAAGATACGGGCCTGATTGAGATGATGACCTGGGCCAACAAAGTCACCATGGATGTTATCGGGATCGCTGGCCTTGGTCACGATTTTGACCTCCTGAGAAATTCGGACGACCCGCTCGTCAAGAGTTTCAATGAGATCACGGGCGACCATATGCTGTTGTATTTCGTCATGTCCATGTGGCTCTCGTTCGAGTTCGTGCAAAAGCTGCCGTGGAGCAAGAACACCATTTTCAAAGATAATCCACTGAACATGAAGAGTATATGCCATCGGTTGATCCGAGAGAAGCGGGAGGCTCTTCGAAAAGATCCCGATGAACCGGTCGACATCCTTTCAAACCTCATTAGGACGGATAACTTTTTCGACAACGAGCTCGCGGACCAACTCTTGACCTTCCTGGTGGCTGGGTAAGTGATTTCACGTCGAATTATCAAGTATAAAGCTCGTCCCTATACCAATCGTGGTCCTTTGTTCGTTAGCAACTGAATTATTCCTCTCCCCCTTAACCCCCTATTTCCTCAACCCCTAGCAAACATCACAGAACAAGCATGTTCCACATGGTACCTCCACGTGTTGACCAAAGTCTCGTTACCTAGGCATGATACCACGTCAGCCACGCTCACATGGGTCTGCTTTCTCTTAGCGCAACACCCGAACTGACAGGCGGCGCTACGCGACGAGATCCAACGTGAACTTGCGACGTCAGGTCTTTTTGGATGCGACGGAAGCCGCGACTTTGATGTTGCGCGGCTCATGGAAAACTTTCCTATCCTCAACGGTGTCATGCACGAGACGCTGCGTCTCTACCCTACGGTCCCAGTCACGACGCGAGTAGCTGCTTGCGACACGTCGCTTGGCGAACAACACATCCCGAAAGGAACCGAGGTTCTCGTGTCGCCGTGGCTGATCAACCGATCACCAAAGCTCTGGGGAGGCGAGGAGTCGGCCCGGACTTTCAACCCTCAGCGCTGGATCACCGATAAATGACCGAATAATGATGGCGGCGCATCCACCAACTACGCTATGGAGACTTTCTTGCACGGTCCCCGCAGCTGCGTAGGCCAGCTCTTCTCCAAGGCGGAAATGCGGTGCCTTATCGCAGCCATGGTGAGTAGGTTCGAGTGGACGCTTGCTATGGACGCGAAAGATGTCATTCCTGCGGGTGCTATCACGATCCGGCCTCAGAAGGGTTTGCACTTGAAGATCAAAAGAGTTTTCGGCTCGGAGATAAGGTCATGAACTCTAATGGCGCGAGGTGAAAAAGATATACTCTGATAGCGTTTGTATTTACCCACAAGTGGTTGGTATGTGCGTGCGTGCTTGCATTAGGGACCTCAAGCCTTAGTCCAACACAACCAGAACCTCTGGTTTGGTTGAGACGAGGTGTGGATCTTGGGGTGTGGAGGATGGAAAGGATAAAAAAGGGGAGGGGGTAAAAAGGGGGGAGGGGAGTTTTAGGTATTTGGGAAGATGTTTGGTACTTAATGTGGGATTGGTGGCCTACGGTCACGTGAGACACGCGAAATACTTTAGTGCCCTTGTGCGGCTTGGACTCCCCACCTATACTTCCCTTCTTCACCTTATGTAGCCGGAATGCCAGTACCAGTGCGATCCCACAGTTAATAAGTGATTATCCATATTTTGTTCTCCCGAGTGTTTTATGAAAGTTCGTGATCTTTTGATTCTCTTCAGCATCTAGAAATCGGACTTATTGCAAGCTATGACAAAGCATAGAAATGAATGTGTTACTGATCTCGAATTTAAAGGAACGAAGGAGACCATAAGGGCGTTAAGTACACAAGAGTGAGCATAAAAGGTAAGCCTATTAGCTGCTTGCTACAGAGCAAGTTAAGAAACTCTAAATCAGCCGTTTAAGCACCAAAGAGTAAAGAGTGACAGAGCACAATGAGTTAGAAAAGGGCTGGTGCCGTCCGACATTAATGTGTGGCGATTTTGACCACTTCTTCCCTTTTTTATTTTTTGTTTTGCTCCTCTAATTTTGCGCTCCTCGGTCCTCAACATGTATTTTCCCTGAGAATTGAGTATATAGCATGCTTCTTTGGTTTGTACTGAGCCGCCATGTTACGATAATTTTAACCATTGATCTTCTCCGTTATTTTCGTGATTGTCGATGCAATACGCGATGGATGGTTCGGTCCCCACTTCATCCCGTGGCATCACGAAAGGAGGATTGTTGTTATGGTACCTCCTCATAGAATTCGATAGAAAAACGTATGGGTCATCTGAATCTTGGTCGGGATTGATTGGCAGCTTTGGGGCCTCCATAGCGCTAGGTAGGGTGTCGAAAAGTGAGTCGAACTTGTCACCTGGGTCATCTATCAGTACTTGGTTGGGATGCTTAGCTAGTAATGAAGTTAGGGGCAAGAGGACACCTGGAAGAACAGGACGGTTTCTCACCTGGACGTGGCTGAGTCTCCCCGACCCAAGGGCACAGTGGGAGGGAGCATCGCCTATCCGCTTCGGCCAAGTTAAGCAGGATATCAATGAAAGCCACCAGTCGATTAGCATACGAGGCTGAAAACATACCAGCGACGGTCCGGGTCATGGAGCGGAACATGCGCAAAAGTTCCATGTCGTCAGCCAGACTGTCATAAGTCCCCTCTTGGCGGCTTCGGTGATGGGCCAGTATCTGAATAGCCGCAGTTGGAGGGCTTGAGATGAGATGGCTGCAGAGAGATAGAAGCAAGTAAGTGACTCGGTCCTCCCTTAACAAGTAACCCATGTCATTGCTTACTATGCTAGATTCACAAAATGTCCCAGATTCAATTCGGTTTTCCAGCTGTTTATGTATGTCTGAATAAGGCTCCGGGAGGCCTTCAAGACCTCTTGAGAGTTGTCCTGGTATCTAAAAGAGGTCGTGAGAAGCATGACGCGTAAGAATTGATATGGTATGGTACTTGTGGCTCTGGGAAGTCTTTCATGGCCTTCTGGGAACGGAGGTCCCACAGGAGCAAAGCCGATGAATTTATTGCACCAGCACTGAAGATCTCTCAATAGCTTTGAGGCGCTGCATTTCAGCTCCAATGAGCTCTTGAGTCTCGCAATTGGGGAGAAGAGATGTTCAAAGGCTTGGTATTTGATGCGCGCCAGCTCAAGCCTGGATTCGAAATGGACATCTGGGATGCTTAAAGTACTCATTACGTCGTAGTTGGGCTGTTTTAGTGGGAATTCCGACATCAGATCCCCGGAGCGGAGACCGGTGGCCCCAGCTGACAGAGGTCCCAAAGATGCAGAGACAGCGGAAGACACTACGTCGCTCTTGGAGATGGCCCTCGGCTAGACGGCCATCACCCTCTTCACAGGGAGGATCTGGGCCATCGAGACCAACTAAGCGTGATAGTTACACAGCCTGGTGAAAAGTTCGATACATTATATCTTCGGAAAGATAGTATTGCGCAATCAAGCACTATCAACCTTATGTCAGCACACAACAATCTATAGGACACTTACCGAATTGAAAGGAATAGTGTAGGTTACTGGATTATCATAATCTAGTATAGAAAAGACCACTGACCATTGACAACAGGGCTGGGATGTTGACCAACTTCGGGGCAAGGAGCCGATCCATGCTTTTGGTGGCTCTCCTCGCGTTGGTAACAAACGGTCTGGCCAGTTCAGCCTCCATCGAAGAAAATGTCTGCTCATTCGCTGATGACTCCAGAGGCCTTCGAGATATGGCACGCACAAATTTAGCTACTAGTGTTAGGATAATCATGTTGTTAGCTGATATGGCGCAGGCTACGTCATTAGCTCTGTGAGAGTCAATTTGAGCTCTCAAACCCTGGCGTGTCCAAATGGGGAAACTTGGGTTTATCTGATCGAAATAAGGCTCAAAAATAACATCCAGCATGGCCGTAGGGGGCATCGTAGGCGGTAGACCATCTTTGCCACCTGCCTCTTCGGAGACGTCATGCTGCGTTGTCAGAAGTTGGCCGAGACGGTTTTTGGCTGTTGCTGCATCGTGCTGCTTGAGCGTCCCCTCGTTGACTATAGATTCGAGGATGAATTCTTTGGCATCCAGTATTAGGCAGTGGAGCAACGTCGGCCCTGCATAGATCTGACAACCAGCAACATTACAGAGGGATCGCCGGCACACTCCCAAACCATTGCTTGTGGCTGCTTGGGCGTCCAATAAGAGGGCTTCAATATCGGAATTGGTCACAGATTGACTACCCAGTGACTCATCTAGCGAACCGATAGATTTCCTCAGGTGCAGTTCATGTAGGCTGTCTTGTATCTTCAACATAGTCTGCTCCAGCCTCTCGAGCTGGACATGGATATTGATGACGGCATGGGTACTGAGATCATGGTCAGAGATGATGAGTATTAGCAGAAGACAAAGAAGAAGAAGGGCGCGAAAAAATACCGCGGACTGGCTCGTCTTCTTGCCGTGTCCGAACCAGGTACACTCCTGCCCTGCTCTATCGCAGTTGAGGCATGAGGGACGTTCCCTTCCGCAACGTATCTTCCTTCCTCTGCAGGGATCGCATACTATGGATCGGCGTGTCAGTCTGCCAGAGAAAAGAAAAAAACCAGGAATGAATAAATTGGCGGCTTACCGGTGTAATCCTTGATATTTTGCGTCGGTAGTTCAAAAGGACGAGCTTACTTATGTCAGCATATGTTGCTAATTTCGCTGCCCACGACGCCGGTATTTGAGGTTAGCATACCTCATCTGACTCAGTATGGAGTCGCTTTCTGGGATTCATCTGGTTAGATGATGATTTGATAAAATGCTAGACTGTGGTTAGGTCGAGAATCATGGGTAATTGGATTTATGCTGTCCTGACCCAAGAGAAGTACACAAGAGATAGATAAAGGATCTTACAACGCTCCCGGCGCACAGGAAGGGGTATCTGTTTACCACTCTAGGATATAATAGTTGCAAGACCACGCTAAAAACCGCAAACCACATTGTACATAGTACGTATATCTCAATCTACATAGTATGCACTCCTTCATGCCGCTTAGGCTGGGGTCTCCACAGCACATGCTCCGGATATGTGAGTAGTACTAGTGATTATTTGCGTTAATGCGACAGTAGAAGCGATTGACGCAACCACCACTGAGGTTATCGAAGTAATCATTGTGGTGGCACTTGCCTCTGAAGGGGGAGGGAGGTGTGGCTGAAGATCCCGTTGAGGTCGTTAAAGTAGTCGCCTGGTCTGATTGCGTCTAGGCGGACTTGGGCTGAGTGAACTGTATCTGGCTAGAAGACTCTGGAGAGGACTGGATCTGGCTGGATAGATCTTGAGGAGATTGTCCCTAAGTTGATTATCCATACGTGGACTCCTCCTAAGTCGAAGTGTGTGTGGTTGTGTGCGCACTAGGCCGGGCGCTTCCAGATTGCTTTGAATTGGCAGATGAATCCCCCAATGAAGAGGTGTTGACCAAACATATCTCGCTTATTATAAGCATGGCCATACTATGCGATAGTGATCGACGAAAGGGTCGTATGCGTCTTAATAAAGTCAGATATGCAATCAACAGTCCCAGTTCTGTTTGTTACTGTATGAACATCTGACTGGCCATAATAAACGACCATATTGCTACACGCTACGGTGCTTCGGTCCGCTCATTACCTGCATAGGATACTCCGATCTTCCCAGAACGGGCCACACATCTATCTCTGTGTGTACCCCAACAAATTGCCAAATCTCGGAGATCCGCCGCAAAAACACAGGGTTTTGCGACAAGTCACCATGTCACCATGTCGCCGTTTAATTGCGCCTGCCTTCATGAGAGAAATGTTGACCAGACAGCCGAGACAACGCGTTGGGATCACCGCTCGCTTCCACTTGCGACTAGCCAATCTGATTGATCTGGGCAAACAAGCCATAATAGCTATCGGGCCCTAATGAACCTGCCAGGCCTTTGCGTTTTGAGTGCCTCAGTTCAGTGTCCGATTCTCCCAGGCTACCGCCACCACTACCATTCTGATGGTCAGCCTGCCCAAGGCTTGCAGCTGTTTCCTGATCCATCATTCAGCCTCCAGCCCCTGACCTCGAGCGCTTGATCCAGGTGCTGACTGCTAGGTCATGTCACCAACCAGTCTTCGCCGCAATTCTGCATGAGACACGGCAGGTCTTGCCATCGAAATCGACACTGCGACGGGTATAACAACCGATGAGCAACCGCAAGATCCGGCACCGGCTCCTCGGAGCAAGAGATCTCTTGCCTTTCACCTCTCATTTCTCGCCGTGATGGTCAATCTCTTCCTCTATGCTCTTGACGCAACCACGCTGGCCGTGGCTACCCCAGTGAGTAGCACATCGACGCCTTGTGAAACCTCTGCTCCCCTAACTGACCCAACCGTCAGGCGATTGCAGCCAAACTAGGTGGCACGTCGTTGGAGTCATTTTGGGCCAGCATCTCGTACCTTCTTGCGGTGGTCGCTACGCAACCAATGTACGCGGCACTGTCTGACATATTCGGTCGCAAGCCGCCTCTTTATGTGGCGTTGCTTTTGTTCTTCGCCGGCTCTCTTGTTTTCGCTCTCGCTACAAACATGGGTAGCGTCATCGCGGGCCGCACTCTACAAGGTCTGGGGGGCGGCGGGCTCGACGTGTTAAGCGAAATCATCGTGACAGATATGACGACCCTGCAGGAACGTCCCCTGTATCTCGGCCTGATGGCTATACCTACGGCAATAGGAAGTGTGCTGGGGCCAACTGTCGGTGGTCTTTTCAGCAGTCTCGTCACATGGCGGTGGCTGGGCTGGGTCAATCTGCCTCTGCTGGGCATTTCCTTCACACTCACCATCTTCTTCCTTCAGCTTCGACCACTCAAAACTTCGCTTTCGCATAAGCTGGGACGCCTAGATTGGACGGGTATGTCTCTTTTCACCATCGGCAGCGTGCTCTTCGTTCTACCGTTGAGTTGGGCGGACAACTTGTACGCATGGGAGTCGTACCGCACGATATTGCCTCTGCTGTTGGGTACTGCTATTCTCGCCACCTTTGCTGTCTACGAGCGCAGACCGACAGCGCCCATCATGCTGTATCGTATCTTTCAATCCAAGACTGCCTCCGCCACCTTTATAGGCGTGTTTTTTCATGGGATGTCGCTTTACTCGTTGTTGCAGTGGCTGCCTCTCATGTATCAAGCCGTCATGGCCCAGACTGTGCTGCAGTCCGCCGTGACGCTCTTGCCTACCAGCTTCATCAGCGTGATAGGAGCCGTTATCGGAATCTCAGTCGTTGGAATGGCAAATATCGGCTACAGATGGAGCATCAGGTTGTCCTGGATACTGACAACTGCTGGGACAGGCATCCTGGTTCTGCTTGATGCACATTCATCTACAACCTTTCGCACGGGGCCGCCCGTTATATGGGGAGCTGGCATTGGTCTTCTTCTCCGACTCCTAGTTCTTCCCGTTCAAGCCAGTGTCTTGCACGTTGACGAAACGGGACTCGCGATCGGTATTCTCTTGACCTTTCGTCTGGTCGGCGGTCTCGTAGGTCTCGCGGTATGCTCCATCATCTTCAGCAGCGTGTTCTCCCGCGACATTGCCGCTCTTGGTATGCTACCTGATTCGCTGCTGCCTCTGAGAGACCCCAACACTGCCATCGCATTTATTCCCACGCTCAGAACCCTCAAATTGCCCGAGGACACCTTGCTGTCGATTCGCCAGGCTTACTTGACAGCTATCCAGCCAATATACTACGCCATGACAGGATTCAGCGGCCTTTGCCTGTTGAGTTCTTTCTTCGCCAAGGATTTGAGTATGCGAAAAACCGAGATGGGCCAGCAGCAATTTGAGGGTTGATCGTTGAGAAGGCGACGAAGAGACTGAAGCTGACCCGAAATGAATATCCCATTTCTTCAACAATGTGTAGTGGATTAGAAAATACGGAAGACATGGATCTTCAGGTACAGGGCCATTGTGAGGCTTAATCTTTACGCAGTGAGAAGCGAACGCGGCGGAATTGCCTAATCGGGAGTTCAACAAGCCTCGGACAAGCAGGAATCTCACAGATCGAACATACTGTGAAGCGAAGGCCTAGCAACCATGAAGAAACCCGTAGCTACTCCCTAAATCGGTTTACGACTCAGTTTTGAACTCGCAACCAGGCTGCTTTTCCTCCGTGTCTTCCCGGCCTGATGTTAGAAGTTTTGGCAAAGAATCAGAGCTTGGTTAGCCGCGTTGACTTTTGATACTGTTATGAACCGTGACACACGATATCACTGTACACACACGCAGGACCCAGCTCGGCGAATAAGAACCATATATCATATTAATCCCGCCAAGACAAATTAAATCCCCTGATGCCATTTTTAACCGACTGAGTCAAGAGCGGGCCCGGGCCGCAGGAGATTGTATAGTTGCAGGTCATAAGCTTTTTCTAAAGCAACGGGACTCCGCAGAATTTCTCATCTTGCAGTAGGTCTTGCAATGTGCGCCCCACTACTATCTATGCAGATACGTCCTAACGGAAAAGTTTGCCGCTGACCCGTTGACACTAGATTCCTCACGTCACTCTCGGCATACGAAAGCTGCGGCGCTCGGATTCCGGGCGCTTGACGGCGAAAAACCCCGCGGGGGAGGGGGGGCCGGAGGTAAACCCACCAAGGGAAGCTCGGGGGCCTCGACGGGAATACAGCAGCAACCAGCTTGCGGCCGATGTCACAAGGTACAGCGGCACGTACGATGGAGATACATAGTGTAAGTCGGACAGCAAGGACTGTCTTGGATCTCATGAATTCGCGTATGTACTCTTTTAATCCTATCCACTCGGGTTCAAGTAGAGGCCAAATATCAGATAGATCGTGCTTACTGTTGCAGACCAACCCCATATCAACTTGACGAAGACGCCGAGAGGACACTATGTTGAACGGTCAGGGTAGAAACAACGGGAGTTGGTCTGACGGGCATACCGTTAACGACTCGAGCAATAGCACCATAGAAAATGGGCGCTCAACATTGAACGGCTCACATTCTGATGTGACAACAAACGGGCAATCTAACGGAGGGTTTGGAAGTGAAATCAAGCCAAATTGTGCGACGCCCATCGCTATTTGTGGCATGGCGCTTCGTCTCCCGGGGGGGCTTGCCTCTCCCAAGCAACTGTGGGAGTTTCTCCTGGCGAAGGGCGATACCCGGGGTCGTGTCCCACCATCCCGCTACAACGTATCATCGTACTACTCGCCTACTGGAAAGGTCGGATCGGTAGCAACCGAGTACGATTATTTCCTCGACGAGACCGTCGACCTCGGAGCTTTAGATACCTCCTTTTTCAGCATGACACGAAGCGAGGTGGAACATGCAGACCCGCAGCAGCGGCTCCTGCTTGAGGTCGCCAGAGAGTGCTTTGAGGACGCAGGGGTGACGAACTGGCGGGGGAAAGCTATAGGGTGCTATGTGGGAAGTTTTGGCGAGGATTGGGTTGAGATGTTTGCTAAGGAGCCTCAGCAATATGGCATACATCGAGTGGTCGGGGTTGGCGATTTTGCCCTTTCTAACCGTCTCTCCTACGAGATGGACTTGCAAGGACCAAGTTAAGTGGAGTCAGGTTTGGTACATCTCTTGAGCCAAGTATTCAGACTTATAGAATGTTGTAGCATGACGATTCGTACAGCCTGCTCATCCGCACTGACAGGCTTGCACGAGGCATGTATGGCCATCTCCCGCGGCGACTGCGAGGCTGCTGTTGTAGGCGTGTAAACCTTATCCTCGGGCCAGGCATGACGATTGCCATGATAGAGCAGGGGGTTCTGTCCAAAGATGGTAGCTGCAAGACCTTTTCCGCCGACGACAACGGCTATGCACGAGGGGAAGCCATTACTGCAATTTACTTGAAGCCATTAGCAGATGCTATCCGAGACGGTAACCCAGTCAGGGCAGTCATCAGAGGAACCGCTCACAATGTAGAAGGTAAGACGCCCGGTGTCCCAGCCGAGTACGGATGCGCAAGAGGCTCTCATCAGACGGGCATACCAAGTGGCTGGAATCCCGGATTTCAACGCAACTGGCATGGTTGAGTGTCATGGTACCGGGACAACCATCGGTGATCCTATCGAAGCAAAAGCTGTTGCGCGCATCTTTGGCGAGGAAGGAGTGTATATTGGGTCCGTGAAGCCAAACCTGGGGCACGCCGAGGGAGCATCCGGCTTAGTCTCGGTCATCAAGATGGTAATGGCTCTCGGGAACCGCACAATTCCTCCAAACATTCGTTTCACGTCACCAAACCCAGATATCCCGTTTGAGTCTGCAAAACTCACAGTACCACTTGATCCGACCCCATGGCCGCAATCTAAACTAGAGCGTGCGGGCATCAACTCTTTCGGCATCGGCGGCGCAAATGCTCATGTTATCCTGGACTCGGCTGCCAGCTTCAACGCGGCATCCGTCTTCCGGTACCCGACAAACAAGGCTCAGCTCCTGCTGTACTCGGCGAACTCCCTCAAGTCGCTCACCAAGATGTCGGCTTGGATGCCGATTACTGGCGCAAAAACTTGGAATCACCTGTACGTTTCCGTGAGGCCGCCACAAGGGTCTTGGAGCACGAGATAGGGAAGCACGCCGTGTTCCTTGAAGTCGGTCCCCACTCGGCTCTTGCCGGTCCCCTGAGGCAGATATTTATATCGGCCTCGTCATCCGCTCAATACGCATCGATCATGGTGCGGAATCGAGACTGCATAGAGTCGCTTCTCGCGGCTGTTAGTAAGCTCTGGTCATTCCATCTTCCTGGTCTCCGACTCGACGCGCTCATACCCAGCGGTACGTGCCTCTCTGACCTCCCCCGGTATCCGTGGAACCATGAGAACAGTTATTGGTTTGAGTCGAGGCTTTCCAAGGAATGGCGCCAGAGGGTGCATCCCTACCACGATTTGCTGGGTGCCAGAGTGCCCGAGAGTACCAACATGGAGCCCGCCTGGCGCAATCTGTTCCACCTTTCGAACGCCCCCTGGGTCCAGGACCACAAGGTTGGGGGTGATGTCGTGTTCCCTTATGCTGGCTACATCGCACTGGCCGGCGAGGCTGTGAAGCAGCTCACCGGCGTCACAGAGGGTTTCAGTATTCGGGACATGACGATCAGCCTGGCGCTCGTTCTGCCTGAGGGCAGGCCCACTGAGTTGATAACTTCTTTCCGCCCCGTTCGCCTAACTAGCTCGCTTAGTAGCCAGTGGTGGGAGTTCATGGTCGCTGCGTATAATGGTCAGGTGTGGAACAAGCACTGTGTTGGTGAGGTCATGGCTATATCAGCAACATCACTTGGATCTGCGTCCCCTGAGAAAGATGAAGATCTTCCGCGCAAGATCCCGCTCACGCCTGGTACGACATAATGCAAAAGACGGGATTGGATCTGGGCACCTCGTTCCAGATGAGCAGGCGCTGGAGTCTTCCATTGGCTCGGCGAAACTTGCAACGGCGCGGGTTAAGCTAGCGGGAGCCACTTTGCCCCAGGAGAACGACTATCACATCCATCCCACTGTCATCGATGGAACCTTGCAACTTATGAGCTGCGCCGCCACTAACGGCCAGGCTCGCAAGGTTAGTAACTGGCTTCCCACCAGTATTGAACGTCTCAGTATTACCAGGTGCTCCTCGCCGCTGGTATCCAGCGTGTCAGCAAGGACGACGAGCAACCATTCCCTTGTAGGTGAAGGCCGGTGCACTTCCGGCGAAGACGTAGTCCTGGAGGTCTCAGGTATCCGAATGTCTCTCGGCAACAGATCTGTGTTAAGCGACATGCTGGACACTCATGCTGCGGCTCGATACACCTGGGGTTTAGATATCGACTTTGTCGCGGCCGACCGTTTAAAAAAGCCCTCGCTCGACCGAAGCACACAGACGGTGCTCCTGGAGAATCTCGCTAAACTGTGTCTGCTTTCTTCGCGGGATCATATCTCTAGGAAACCTCAGCCGACCTCGGACCACCACTTATAAGCCTATGCCAAATGGATCGGGTCTCATTCGAATGAGCTCTCTTCAACTCATGCTACTCAGCCCATCGCCGACCAAGATGTCTCGGCCATTCTCGAAGATTGGGCCTGTCGCCTAGAGTGGACGCCCGCAGCATCCGCAGTTGTCGCTCTTCAATAGGTCTTCTCTAACGTGCCTTCGCTGCTGCAAGGTGGACAGACACTTGACCAACTACTGTCAGACGAGGTAACGGCCACCCTGGCCCATTTCACGAGCCAATTTGATATGTCAACGTTCATTCGGACCCTGGGGCATTCGAAGCCCACCCTACGAATTCTTGAGATTGGCAACGAGAGAACCGCTCCCGCCGCTAGCATCATCCAAAGCCTCACTCTTCCAGGAAACCAGGTTCTCTGCTCCAAGTATACATTTACCTCTAAGGGATACATCTCTGGAAAGGACCAAGAGAAGCTGTTTTCCGGCATGGACTTTTCTACCCTGGACATCAGCAAGGACCTTACGGAGCAGGGATTTGAGGAAGGTGAATACGATCTCATTGTGACCTCCAGCATAATGCAGGCCACCTCAGGCTCACCTGAAGAGGTCCTCTCCAATATAAAGAAGCTCCTCGCTCCCCAGGGACGGCTGCTCTTGCAGGAAGTCAATGCCTGTTCTACATGGGCAAGCTATGTCTTTGGCTCCCGACCGAGCTGGTGGTCCAACACCACAAGTGCCGCTGAGAATGGTGCTCAATCGGAAACCTTGACGGCCTATTTGCAGTCCAAACTCTTGGAGGCAGGTCTGACTCGGACCGAGTTCCTCGTAGAGGACTCGCTCTCGACAACCATCTTGGCAAAGCCGTTTGCCCCTGAGCCCAAGTCGGACATCAAGAAAGTTTCTGTGCTCGGCGCAGACCACGGCAAAGAGGATTCAATCGTGCAATGGCTCCAAGAGTCAGGCTACGAAGTTACAAAACTCTCTGTAACGGACTCGATACCTTCCGGACAAGACATCTTGTGTCTCCTGGACAGGAATGGCCCCTTTTTCGAGTCTCTTGATTCTGCTCGGTTCGACTCGCTCAAGGAGTTTCTGAAGCGGCTGGGCGACGCGGGTATCCTCTGGGTGACTACGCCTTGTTAAATCGACTGCCATGATCCTCGTCACGCCCCTGTGATCGGATTCGCGCGTACCATGCGTTCCGAGATGTTAATTGACTTTGCAACCTGCGAGGTGGACAACTTTGAGAACTGCGCTCAAGCCGTTGCCAAAGTATTCGCCAGGGTCCAGAAACGTGTTGACGCGGGGAATGAAACCCTCAAGCCCGATTTCGATTACCTGGTCAAAAATGGGCTGATCAACGTTGGGCGGTACTACCCGGTCGTCCTGCGAGATGAGTTGATCACATCATCGGGGCCGGAAAACAGAGCTGTTCTTGACGTCGGGACGCCAGGCCGCTTGAATACGCTGCAATGGTATAATTGTGCGCGGGAGAGTCTCGGCGACGATCAAGTTGAGGTGGAAGTGCATGCAGCTGGATTGAACTTTGGGGTAGGTACGCAAACTCCCTCCTCGCCCTTCCCCCGGTTCCCACCCTTTCCCCTGTCTCATTCAGCCCCCTCCATCGCATAAACGAACCCTCCAGTTTCTTCTAACTGTGCCTTGCCAGGATATCCTTGTCACTGTGAATATCGTCGAGCTCCCCATACGCCAATTCGGCATGGAGGCGGCAGGCATCGTCATGAGAGTCGGGCCCAACGTCAAGGACCTGAAGATTGGCGATCGGGTCTTCTGTCTGAAGACATCGGCCTTTGCCACCCACCTTTGCGTCCCAGAATTTTCTTGTGCCAAGCTGCCCGACTCGGTCAAATTTGACGAGGCCGCTTCAATGCTCGTTCCATACGTCACCGCTTTGCACTCGTTGGTGAACGTTGGTGGACTCACGAAAGGCCAGGTGAGAGAAGAAGTTTCCATGATAGGCCATCTTACATTTGGACTGTACTGATGCCGGCATTAACCTAGTCTGTCCTGATCCACAGCGCCTGTGGAGGCGTTGGCCTGACAGCTGTCCAAGTCGCACAGATGCTGGAGGCCGACATCTCCACGTCGGTAGGCAGCGACGAAAAGGTCCAGTTCCTAATGAATGAGTTCCATATCCCACGAGAAAGAATCTTTCACTCCCGAGACGACTCGTTCGTTGAGAATATCAAGCGCGCAACAAGGGACAGGGCGTCGATGTGGTCCTCAACTCCCTCTCGGGCGAACTGCTGCATGCGACGTGGAGCTGCGTGGCTGAGTTTGGGAAGATGGTCGAGATCGGCAAGCGAGACCTGATTGGCGGGACGAAGCTCGACATGCGGCCGGCTAACCGTAGTTATTGCTGCGTCGACATCGACCAGCTTTGGAGTAGACCGGACTTTCTGAAGAGGTGAGCAATATGCCAGCACCAGAGACTTCTCCTGACCGATGTCCTGAGTATTGGAATGACATACTTACTACTATTTATCTTCTAGTTTGATTGACAGTACAGTGAGTTTCACTAAGGAAGGACGTCTCAGCCCCGTGCGCCCAGTCCATGTGTTTGGCGCAGATGAGATCCAGGAGGCGTTCCGCTTCATGCAAAAAGGGCAGCACATCGGCCGCGTCGCCATCGCGCTCCGAAACTTGTCCAACGGCACCAAGATGAATTTCCAAGTTGTGCCGAAACCACGCGAAGTCCAATTTAAGAACTCGTCGTCCTATCTATTGGTCGGAGGTCTCGGTGGGCTTGGCCAGGCTGTTTCCCAATGGATGGTCGAACACAACGCCCGCGAATTGATCTACCTGTCGCGAAACGCGGGCAGCCCAAGCCTCAAAATAAAGTCTTTCGTCAGAGAACTTGTTAGCGCAGGGTGTAAGGTTAAGCTCGTCCCGGGAGACGCCACAAGAGCTGAAGACGTTGCCAAAGCGGTGTCAAGCGCCACACTACCCCTGAAAGGTATCTTGCAGATGTCCATGGTCCTCAGGGATGAGAACTTCGAGAACATGACCTACGAGGACTGGTGTATAGCTTCCGCGCCCAAGATTCAAGGGACGTGGAACATTCATCACGCAACACAGGGAGCGGACCTGGATTTCTTCGTCCTCTTCAGCTCTCTCTCGGGTTCTATCGGACAACCTGGCCAGGCCAACTACGCGAGAGCGAACACATTCCTGGACGCCTTTGTACAATACCGGACTTCGCATGGTCTAGCAGCCTTGGTGGTCGACATTGGCGCCGTAGAAGACGTGGGCTTCATCTCGCAGACCCGTGGGTTGATGAGCAAGATGAAGTCCACTGGCTGCCTTACCGAGCAGGAACTGCTGGATGCCATGGCTGTAGCTATGACTCGTGAACGACCATCATCAGCAGGAGCAATAAAAACAACGACAACAGTTAAGTCGGGGCTCGGATTTGCAGACCAGAACACCTTTGTGCTGGGTCTCGGCTCGGAAACACCCCTCAGCAGCCCCAAAAATCGTTCCGTCTGGAGGAACGACCGGCGCGGCCGGGTCCAATGAGGTCCTGAAGACTTTCCTGGCGGCGGCACGCGCGAACCCGTTGATGCTGAAGACGGCCGAGGCCGAGTCGCTGCTCGCGCTCGAGACAGGCAAGAAGCTTTTCGATCTTCTATTGAAGCCGTACGATGAGCTGAACACCACATCGCCCCTAGTGGACCTGGGCCTCGACTCCCTCGTCGCCATCGAGCTGCGCGCCTGGTGGAAGCAGATGTTCGGCTTTGACATCAGCGTCTTGGAGATGTTGGGATCTGGTTCATTGGATGCTCTGGGCCAGCGCGCGGCTGAGGGTTTGTTGGGGGTTGTGACGGAAAGGCAGGGGGGGAAGGAGTAAGTACAGATATTACACTTAATATGTTACATAAGGTGCCTGCAGTGCAAAGCTTCCCGATAAGACGTTGGCATCTGCATTCGGGAGGGCACAATGGTTATCCCGGCTTACTTTGTGTCAGGCGGCTTCACCAATGATCTCAGCCTTTTCTATTTTGGCCATTTCATCATTTGATAAACGCCCTCAAAGGCAGCCTGCCGCCTCAACGCAACAGCGTCAAAGAACAACGCAAGCTGTGTACAATGCATGGGGAAAGTATCGACTTTCTTCTTCATTTTGCATTCAAAATGTCGGTACCTGAGAGGTGCTATCGGACTTATTTGGAGCAAACGTATCACATTGTCTTGAATTGAGAAGCGGTCTCTGAAGAGGAAAGGGGTGAACTGACTGCTCATACAAATAAGCATGCCCTTGCATTCACAAAAAATAGTAATCAAATACTCTGGAAACACTGCTGGTTCCAGGTCAGTAGTTACATCATAAGGAAAATACCATAATCTTCTGTCAAGACTTATATAGTTTGTCGATAGGACCCTCACGGTCCAACAGGTGCCCCGTTCAATAAATCCAGGGAAGGATGGAAAAAAGATTGTGCTGAGATACTAGCGGAGACGAAGCGCCTCAAATGCCAACACAGCCTAAAACCCATAGAGGAGATATGGGAAAGATGCTGTACCGTAAGAAACAAAAAGGGGCGGGCAATCGGAAATAAACTTAGACGAGGCCACAGAGAGAAGATAGGAAAGGCCTCTCGGCTACCGGAATCCCATTTTAAGGGTGCTAGATGGGCCAGAAATATTGTCTTGATTGCCCCCGGGAGCGGGACATAGCAAGATACAACTCCAGAATAGAAGCTAAGCATCCCTCAGAGGGAAGGAGGGTACTCGGGTGCTTTTGCAGTAGGATTGATGAAAGCCGTAACTGCTATGAATGAAGCCCAAGGACAATGATAATAGGAGTAAACAGTTCGTGAAGATGGTCTCGACGAGTTCTAGCTTCGTTCGTCGTTCGAGGCCACTATTATATACGACGTAGCGACGTGTAATCTGACCAAAGAAGCTATGCACAAAGCGAATTGCGACCGAGCAGCGTCTTAATCTGTTGCTACCTCGTAATCCCGACATTTGAATACAGCCTGACTCCATCAATGAGGCCAATCGCCACGACATGCCTCTTCGCTATCTTACCAGCTAATCACTGGTTCTCGTGTTGATTGCAACACCGAGCCTGAAATAAAGGCAATGGGTAAGGCATAATAATCATGCGATGGCAGCTTCGTAACATAGAACCGACCAGTTCTCTCAACCCCTATGAGTCGACGACGCAAAAACGACAGCATATAAAGCCTCTACCTGAAACCACATTATCCACACAATCATCTTTATACCTTGGAATTTTATGCCTTAGCTTCATAAAATTACGAGATCCGCGCGAATAAGCTCCCGTAAATAGGGCACTGACAGATGGACTATAAGTATCCCATGCCACCTCCTTAGCCGGCGACCGAGTGTACTGAAACGAGCGGTTTCACCTCAATGCCAACTGTTAGTTCTGTAAACTCGACGCAACAGACCGCTTCGGTGGTCGCAGTGCCGAGATGGCGCCGAAACATAACCGTCGACAACTGTTAGTGAACGATTAGACGAGAAGAAGGGGAACGCCTTTCATCCGATATAACTAGGCCACTTGGGCGGTCACAGCACTGATGTGACGTCGAAACAGGCCCGCCCAGCCCGTCTAATGTTGATCAAGTCGGAAGAACGTGTCCGTAGGGCAGTGCGACCAAACATTGGCGCGAGGAGGATGCCACCAACTGCTCGCAGCTCGAAGGAGGTGCCGTTGAAGTAGTAGATGCAGTGAAGGATCTCTAGCGTCTCACCTGATGGATAATCTCGAGTGCCGACCTAAGAATCCTGTCTGTGACTTGTATAAAGAAGAAGGATAGTATCCATACAATCGAAGCGGTTAGCAACCGTGGTGTCTTGAAGCCGAGCAGTAGGAGATGGCAAGTCCGATTAGGTAGGGCAGATAGGAGGCCTCAAATGTCGTGGGTCGAGGATTATTAACAGTCTGATGGGAAAATGAGAAAGAAGTCAAGAATACTTCTGGGGGACTTGGAGGAGAAGCAGTCTCTTATATGCACGTTGTGGTTGTGACCGGGGGTGCGCGGCTGTGCGATACCCAATCGGGGAGGGGCGCTAAACCCGGGAGGTGCGGCAGCACATCCTCGACTACATGAAACTAAGAGAAAACAAAACAATATTTTTTTTAAAAAAAAAAGAAAAAAAGAAAGTCCTCATTATGTCGATTCTCTCCAGCTCTTTCCTCTTGCCCGTACCTACTTCGTCCCCGCCCCAGTCTTAGGGTTAACAGACTGCGGATAATAAAACACCTCATCCGGATCAAACCTCTCTTTAACCCCTCGCAACCTCTCCAGCCCCTTCCCCCAATATACCCTCTGGGCCGTCTCACGATCCAAACTGGTATCTGCATAATTAATATACATACCCCACTCATCCTCCTTCAACGTATCCGTAACGGCGCTCACCCAGCCATCGAGGAAGGTGTGCCCATCCGCCGGGTAAGGCGGGCGAGACACGCGGTCGTAGAATTCGATCAGGTAGAGCTTGTCGCGGTGGGCGTAGGAGGAGAGGGAGAAATCGCCATTGGTAACGGCAGAATGGGCGCCGCCGTGTAGGTCTATTTGGAAGTACCACATGCGTGAGGTGGTGATGTTCTTGGCGGTTGTGAACCAGTAGTCGACGAAGGCGCTGGCTGTGGCGCCGTGGAGGGAGGGGAGTTCGAGGGATTTGGAGTAGAAAGTTTCTTGCTGTTAACGGTTTTGTGTGTAAGTACTTCATCCTGAAGCAGATTTTTACTGATGATAACAATGTAGAGTGTAGGGAAGATATGGATAAGAGGGTAGTGGGATGCATATGAACAGGTGGAAGCCAAGCAAAATGAATAACGGACAACTAACCATAGAATAAGGATGCGTCTGATCCAACTTCATGTTCCCATAATGTGCCAATGCCTCCAGCCACCCCACGGTCTGCGCCTGCTGTATCGTACCCCCGGTTTTATTAAACAACGGCGCCAGCGCACTCTTCAACCCGGCCACATCCCCGAAAAACTGCCCCTCGAGCTGAGTCAAAAACCCCGACGCAAAGACGCGCATATTGAGCTCGGCCGGCATTGTGGTATTCACGTACTCTTCCAACGCCTCGAGATTGGCCACAGCGTTGCTCTTGTTCCACGGTAAAGAGGCTGCGAACCAGGTCACATTAGCGGGAACGGCAAAGGTGTTGAATTCGTACGAGACCACGACGCCGAAGTTGGAACCTGCACCTCTTAGGGCCCAGAAGAGGTCTGCGTTGGAGCTTGCGGAGGCGGTAATGATGGAAGAGTTAGCAAGGACTATGGTGGCGCTCTTGATCCAATCTGTGGCTAGGCCGTGGGTGTGAGAGGACATGCCGTAGCCGCCGTGGAGGGCGTGACCGGAGACTCCGACGCTATTATTATTACTTCCTGTCAGTCTCGTGACCCTTTTGCAGTGGTTGTTAAGGAAGGGATGGGGGCAAGTCAAACAGGGGTGAAAATGGTCACCTACCCCGGACAAGTCCCATGCGAAAAGTCCCTCTTGCCCTGATTAAACAACTCACTCGCCACGTGGCCCAATCTCGCACCCGCCTGAATCGTAGCAACATTCGTCTCCGTATTCAACGACACATTGCTCATCCGATCCAGCTCAAGAACCAGATGGCCGTCTTCCCCTCCCAGGCCAAGCGATGCATAGCTGTGGCCGCCGCACTTGGGCGTGACTTTGATCCCGAGCTTGACGGCGCATGCTATTGCCGATTGGACATGCTCGATTTTCGTGGGCACCGCGATGGCGACGGGCGTGAAGTTGACGCGTGTGTTGAAGGGCGCCACGTCGAGTTTCCAGTCGTCGGATCCGAGTACGTCGGACGGTGCCGAGGAACTTTGGAGACAGTCGTCTAGGGCGGCACGCTTGTTGAAGGCGGCTGCTTGGGACAGGGTTATGGCGCTGAGGCCTAGACATAATGTTGAGAAACAACGCATCTTGGGCGCTGGCCTTCGGTTTCTTGAATGGACACTGTCAGGGCTTAGAGGAACTCGGTTGGCAGCTCATCTACCAATATAACCAATTCCAGTTTTTCCACGCATGGGGACTGAATCTATATCTGTAGCCATGTTGAATCGTAGCCATGATAGAAGCACGACGGCTCGGTGGAGCGCGCCGGTACGGTCATCCGATGGTAAATTGAATATGGCGTGTTTTCTGCGGTATTGTCCTCGTGACAAGTAAGCACATTATGGTTAAATAGGAAAGCAATCTTTTGTTCCAATGTGAAATATTCATCGATATACAGTGGCGCTGATCGTCTTTTGAACGTTCGAGCAGTAATGGAAACAGCCTATATCAGACTGTACCATAGTCGCGGGATCCTTACCCGCAGAAATCGTCAAGCGGTAGATAGTATGCCCGAGTTTGTATTTGATACTGGTATTGAAATCCCATGATCATGATCCATGGCTGTGACACGCTCGCGCCTAGTGACAGTTCTATGAGTAGTGCTCGCCGGAAAGTCTAGTTTGGTTGGCGCTTCAATTTTGGTACTTTTTCGGTGAAGTGGCGACATTACCCATTTTCGAGAAGTCTGGTTCCCCTGAGATGCAGATGCAGATGCAGATGCCTTGCTGCAATGTGGCTCTTCTGTAGGTTCATCCAGTCGAGAGACACAAGCGGCACGAGATACACAGGCAGGGCACCCTGGATCTACCGACTCACATTACCCGGTCATTGGAAATATCCAGCCACACAGTAGCATGTCCGGGCATTTCCTCTACCCGATTTGTACAATATCATGCCACAAAGTCATGCCGAACGGGTTGCCGTATGAGATGCCAGATACGCAAGGAAGCCCACATCGGCTTTTGAGAATGCCATGGCTACCTTGAAGCCTCTTGGCATCTTAGGGCATAATGCTGCACTACCCTAGGCAGGTTACCGACGCATATCAGGAGGGTTGGATCCGCGTGTAGGGTTGCGGCCCACGGCTCCGAGATCGACAAGATCTGGAGATGCAAAAGTTGGGGAAATTCTTCGTGGGGGAACTCCAACCACAATTCGGCTAGGACCACATATGGAATATGGATCTCTTGATGTAGTGCCATTCCGGGTTATTACAGGGGCTCAATTAGCCTCAAGCCGCTTCTTGGCCATCCACCTGCCCGTACTGTTACAACCACCGGAGTAATTACCAATTCGGTCCACGGAGCCTGTCACTAAACACTATAGAATATGCAAAGTTGTTTGCTTTCAGCGGCTCGTAGCAGCGGAAATGAACTTTTGTTTAAGGTATACAACCCAATCCAGCACGTGAGCGGACAATGGACTATACCATGACAGATTTTCGTCAAACCAGCCGGTCTTTTAATGGCCTGATGTCCATAGCTTCTACGGAGGAACATGCTTCATATTATCGACCACGGGGCTGCTTTACTACCTCACGATGCTATCGCTGACCACCAAATTGGGCCTGTTGGCCCTCGGCTTCTCGCCTAGAGTCTTCGGCGCAACGCTGCTAGCATCACACTTCACCGGTAGAATCTACACGCTCTCCTTGGACACTACAGGCAGCGGCAATGGCAGTCTCTCCATCATCTCATCTGCCACTGGCTGCGGCGCCATGCCCACGTGGTTGACGCTGGATTCGGCATCGGGTACTCTGTACTGCTTCGACGAGGAGTGGACCGGCAGCGGTTTCGCGGCCACTTACACGGTGGGCGCCAACGGCTCGCTCAAGCAGACGGGCCAGGCGCCCACGACGGGCAGCTCGGTGCATGGCTGGCCGTATGGGGGTACCGATGGCCAGGGTTATCTAGCTACGGTGGAATAGTACGTTTTGCCTTCCAGGTTCAGAGTCTATATCCCCTATTCTTTTTTTTCCAAAAATGAAAGAAAAAGGAGAAGAACCAATGATGACCTTGCTAATACGCTTTGTGCCTAATAGCGATCCCTCAACTCTAACGACCTACAAACTCCCCCTCTTCCGCAACACCACCCGCCTCGCCCAGCAAAAGTTCACCATGTCCGCTCCCGGTCCCAATCCCGACCGCCAAAACGCCCCCCACCCACACTCCGTCATCCCAGACCCAACGGGGAATTTCCTTCTCGTCCCGGACCTCGGCGCGGACCTAATCCGCATTTTCGCCATCGACGCTGCTTCGGGCAACTTGAACGCCTGTCCTCCGGCCCAAGCGGGCGCCGGGGACGGTCCGAGGCATGGCGCCTTCTGGGCTCCCAAAGAGGGAGACACCAAGGGACTGAAGCTGTACACCGTCAATGAGCTGAGCAATTCTGTCTCCGCGTGGGAGGTTTCGTATACCCCTGATTCGGACGCGGGGTCGAAACCAGACTGTCTGTCTCTTACGAAAACGCAGACCCTCTCCACCTACGAGGACAAAACACCTCCTGCCAACAGCAAAGCAGCTGAAGTCCAGGTCTCCGGCAACTATGTGTATGCAGCGAACCGGAACGACCAGACGTTCGGTCCGCAGGAGGACTCGTTGGTCACGTATAAGATTGATCCCGAAACGGGGGCGATTGAGTGGCTAGAGGCTGTGAATGCGCATGGCTGGTATCCGCGCTCTTTTGCGATTAACAAGGAGGGGACTTACGTAGCGGTGGGGGGTCAGACGTCGTCGAATGTCGCGGTTTTGGCGAGGGATCCGGCGACGGGGAAGATTGGGGGACTGGTGGCTAGTGTGGATGTGGCAACGAAGGGGACAGATGGGGGGGAGGATGGGCTGAGTTCTGTCGTTTGGGATAATTAGGGGTGGCTGGTTGGGGGTGGTGGGAAAAAGGAAGTAAAAGGGCGAAAAGAGGGTTGGTAGGTATGTATATATTGTTCACTGTACGTACAAAACGGTGCGTAAAGCAAAAGCAGTAAGCTTCGTTTTGGAAAAGGATATATTATTCGGCCTCGAAGGTACTAGTAAAATAATTGAAACGGTTTCAGTTTCTTCACGTTCCAGGTGTTCATATTCTCTTGAGACAGTAAATTATATAGCCACAATAGCGACTAAATGCGCCACGTATAGAAAACTGATATAATACAGCTTTGAGATGTCCAACAGGTCTATTAAATAAAGCCAGATACATGTAATAGCTGTGTAGGCAGATTAGAGGTCAGGTTATTTGGCCGATCGTATTGTGGAGGCATTGCATTAACCGACGAGTATACTGCGAAACGGACCGCTATGTGTCGTCCTTTAGTAGTACGTTACGCAAGTTCTAGGTTAGACATTTGCCACTTATCTAACCGCCTTGACCCCCTTTTGCAACGCACTACCATTTGCAGCGGATTTCCATTAAAATAGAACCTCAATAAGATAATAACTATTCGACTTATAAGCCTAAAACTTATACCTTGCATAGTAAATAGGTATAAAAGCTACATATAAATTATTGCAGTATATTATTTACCTTTATATTTATATTATTTTTTAACATATAGAAAGGTTGGAGTCAATACATGTATTCATGCGTTAGGGGTTCAGTACCAGCTTGGAACAGGCATAATATCAAGAATTCCTTGACAATTATTCAAAAGGCCAGTTCCAGTTATGAAATTGCATTCGTTGCATCATTCTAATCTGGCAGTCCAGAAGAGTGCTAAGTCAGCATGAGAGCATAACTCCACCTAAGTGACGAGTTGAATGTGCGACTTGAGCACTTGTATATCACCCATATTTGGATATCCCCACTAAATAACTCTTGAGAATGGTTAAGGAGTATACCTGATACTTTATATGCGTTAGGTATCCATGTTGAAATGAGGTGTATATACACCCACTTAGAATATTGCCTTGATAGAAGCCGGTCAAAGTTAGTGAAGTTAGTATGGGGAAGCCAATAAGCAGTCAAGATTCATTTTCCATATTGGCTTGATTTTAATTCACCTATATCCCATTGGGCTTCCCGTTCAATGGTTTCGACGTATCCAGCCCAGTGATTCCATCTAATAATCTGATGAGTCTCCAGGTTACTCTACTTGGTGTGACACCATTCAAGAAAATGACAAATCCCCACACCTCTGTAAGCGTTGAAGTCTTACCTACGTTTGTCCAAGGCACTACTCAAATACCTAACCGTGTGTAACACCAGTCGCAGCAGCCTGACAAGCATATCAGTTGACCACCTGGACGCAGATGAGGGAGCCTTGCAGCCCCTAAGCTCACCCCCCCCCTTCCCCGTTTCCAACTTCGGTAGATAAGCGACCGATTGGAGTGTAGTAGACCCTAAAGTATAAACCATGTACTCTTCAACTCGTAAGTTGTGTTATAGTGAGATGAAAACGACATGCTTTGGGTGGTTCTACATGTTGACCTTTTTTGCACGTGTCCAGTGCACTTCATCTATTCAGCAACGAACAGCGAGGGAGTTCTCAAACCAAAGCTGTCCTGTTAGCATCATGTAGCGATCATCACGTGTATATTCCATCACGAGTCTTTGTGTGTCAATGCAATCGCTTGAGAAGATCATATGGTACATTAACTCCTTTAACATCCATCGTCTCTCTCGATCGATCAAAAAACCGACGAAAAGGGACCAATAGAACCAACGTTGCGATCTCAACTCCCCCCTTACCCCCCCAGTTTGGCTCCCACCAGCCATAGCGCTCTAGAAATCATTGCGGCGTCAAATATTTCCAACCTCCTTTCCACCCCTCCCGCACAAGGCCCCCACCGTCCATAGATACGTTCAGGTTTGTCAGACAGGCTTTAATGCAATACCGAAACCTCAAAAGGTGCCCGTCCAACATTGGTTTTCCTTCCACGTTCCGAGAGCCTTCAAGTTCTGGAAGACGATGACCCGTCGGGCCTTTCCCGTTCCCTCTCTGGCAGCGCTTTCTTGTCTTTCCGCGGCTTGAAGATGAAGTCGGCCATGATATGAATATGGTCAGACGGGAAATGCCAATTGGGGAAGCCAGGAACGCGGGACAGGTATTCCTGATCCGGCCGTCCCAGGAGTTCGATGGCCTCGAGAGAATTTGTTGAGTACCAGATGTAGTCGATGACTCCCGTGTAGGTTGGTGTGTAGTTGGTGAAGGGGAGATCCTCCTGGGTCCTATATACGTGAGAATATGCCGATCGCAGACTGAATGGATGCGATATGCCATCCCGCGTGAAATTGCCGTAGTTGTGGCCCTTGAGCTCGGGGTGTTCGCTAGATACCCTACCCTTGTCGAGTAGTTCATACACAGAGCTGTCCAGTACCGAGTTGTAGTCACCACAGACGAACAAAGGAATCTCGGTGTTGTTGCGGTAGTCCTGACTCGGCATTAACGGCTCGGTGTAATCCTCGGGGCTTAGTTCCGTGACCTCGTCAGTTTCGGGCGACCTGATCAGCTTCTTTTCGCTAATGGACACGGGCGGTTTCCGAGTGTAGCGTTCAGACATCTTGGTCACATGCTCCATCAGAATGCCCGTCTGAACGGCCTTGACATCAGCAAGATGGCCCTCCCAGCACAAGTGCGCGTTCACAACTATGAAACGGGCACCCGTGGTACGCGACTCGAAGAAACAAAAGACACCGATATGGTCTTTGGGCATCACTCGGTTGAAGACATCCTCCGTGGCCTTGAAATCAGGCCGATTGATAGCCTGGTTCCTGAAGTCGACCAGCTGCCTGTCGAGTAGAATATATTTGGTGTTTTTGTAGAAGATGGCACAGCCGTCGACCAGTCCCTGCTCGGTTTTGTCGCGCATGTGAGATACTCTCGTCTTTGGCCAGTATACACCCCTGTAATCATTCTTGGCTAGCTCCGGTGCGAAGAAGCTGTCGTATGCGTCACCAGCCACTTCTTGGAGACAAAGAATATCGGCATCACGCTCGCGCAGCTCTGCGACTATGCTATCCCTACGATGCTCCCAGTGCAGAGCGAGCGACGGCGTATACCCATATTGTTGGCTCGTGGCGTACTTGTCACACAGTGTGTTCCACGACAGAATGCGAATGCGTTCCAAGGAAGCCGGAACATCCTCTTGGAGCAGGACGGGCGCTCGTGGTTGAGGGGGCAGAGGAACTGGAGGAACTTTGGTTAGCCGAGAACGACACAGATGGTACCAGGGCGGGGAACACTTGGTACCTGGAGCATTCTCCCTGAGGAAGTGTATCAGGCTCGTGGTGCCTTCTTCGTTGAGCTTTTGCTTTAATTCGGGTTTCAGCGGGTTGTTGTAGTGGCCGAGCAGTTCTAGCGAGTGCAATGCGCCTAATTCGTACGGTAGATCATGGACCTGGTTGCTGAAGAATAACAGCTTGCGTAGAGGCGTGCACATACCGAGCTCCGGGGGAAGCTGCGTGAGATTGTTGAAGGACACGTCGAGGTGGTGTAGCTTCCTAAGGCGACCAATCGCCGCGGGCAACTCACGGAGGTTGTTGGAGGGGAGATAGAGCTCTTCCACGAACGAGAAGGTATTGAACACGGTCAACGATATGGCTTTGAGGCCCTGTCCGCTCATGTCTAAGCTCCGCCAATCCTGACGACCGTCCGACTTTTCAATGGCGACGGGCCGTCCCCTGTCTTCATCCTCCCCGTCCACCGCCGCCGCATCGTTGTTGCTGTTCGTGGCCGCCGTGATGGTCGGCATCGAGGGCGCCCCGACGCCTCGGTTCTCGGCAGCCTTGACCCGGGCGAAGAAATGGGGTTGGTGCTGGTCTTTCATGGCCTGGTCGGCCTTGTGGGATTCCTCGTAGGCGGCAAGCTGGATCCTCTGGTACTCGGTGAGCTGTTGGCCCTGGCCACCTCTCGAGTTGGGCGTGTGTCCATTCTGGTGGCTGCTCGGTGTGAAAGGCGTGACGTTCGGCAAGATGCCAGACGAGAAGCCCGAATGGTTCAATGCGGAAGCGGCGGTGTTGTGGGAGTTGTGGTCTTGGTTGAGGGCCTGGTGGTGCGGCTGCGGGTGGGTGTGGTGTTGATGGCCGCCCTGGGACTGTTGGACGAAATTGTACATCAGGGGATTCATTCCGCGGCCGCCAGGCGCGCCATTGAGGCGCGAGTTGTGGCCTTGCCCCGGTCCGAACATGCTGATATTAAAGTGTAGGTTTCCGTAGTCGAGATCAAGAGGAGATGGAGGGATGTATCCGCTAACTCGTATCCATTCATAGGTAAATGGAGTGGGCTGTCGTCGTCGTCCTTCTTCTGCATGGAAGATACGTAAAAGGTGGTCGTGAACACTCCTCGAATGTTGGGCGTCGTGGCGTGGAGGGGCTATCAAGGATTGCAGACCGAACGATACTCAGTATTGTATACGGGCGAGCTAGATGGTTGGCAATGTTTTTGTCGTCGCAAAGTATGTCGGCTGCTGTGCCATAGCAAGTCGTTAGCTATCGGAGTATCAAAGTGTGCTGCTGCTGCTCAACTCAAGTGGTGCAAAAGGTGGAGATCAAACGATGCAGAGCTCAGCGCCTGGTATTTGGTGCTGTTGGTTTGCAGCTTGCAGCCACCAAAGCATCTAGCTATAACAGCTTCGGAAGGCAATCTTGGCTTACTTTTGTCAAATACAGTTTTGGGGAGACGTTGTCAAAGTGAGTGTGAAACTATGATGATGTCTAGTTTGCGGCCCAAAACTATACTCGGGTGGTATTCACAGTGATCCTCTCCTGAAGTTCTTCAAGGCTGGTGATGTGTTGTTTTGGCGCCCTGCGCTCTGCGGGCCTCTTCTCAAACCTGACAGCACGGGGCTTCAGCCTCTTCTGGCCGGCTGGACTTTGCGCAAAGTACCTGACTTAAAGAATCCAATTGCTTGCAACTGCTGCTCGGCGTTGCACGGCGCTTGCCAGCAAGCTAACGGAGGTCAAAGCTTCTTCTATCACTGCTCTGTCCTTTTGCTGAAGGAAGGTGCCGGAGAGGTCACGTGGTAGCATCAATAATTAAAGATCTGACAATGTGGTCGGAGCATTGAGCTCAATTTGTCAAGGGGTCCGACAACTTAGAGGTGAGACTCGTGGCTGACCGGTGTGTGAACATCGTAAGACAATTGAGGTCCCTGAATAACGCCATCGTACGCATCCCATCGTGGCAATAAATACTGCAGACACAAGTGATTCGGAGATGCGATATGTACAATATTGGACTGCTTCGTATTACTTCATCGGCTGCCCATTGCTGCAGTCCTCGTGAGGGATGCTCAGGGAACCACCAGATTGATGACCATACTTTAGCTTCGTCGAACCGGGCTCTTATGTACCTTGCCATACGTCTCGCACATTAGAGATTCAAATCTCAGCACCAAACCACCTTGCAGGTAAAGTGTTCGACCTTGGCTTGGGAGAATGGCTCCATCCATCTACGATAGTGCACGCATTGGATGGGGTCGCGACACTACCCTGAATTTGACGCAAACTGACTACTCCATGGCGGTTTCAAGCAACTTCCCGCAATCCCGAGTTGCCTACTAGGCAAGCTGGATAGTCATTGTCGAATCGACTCGTTGCATCTCACGAGGCATTACAGTTCTGGAGATTTGTTTTCATCTGGCTTTCAGGCCACGCCTAGGACATCCGATGCGCAAACTCACGGCATGACATGTGCCAAGTATGTTCAATTCAGCTTCATATCGAATTCGCCGCAGGCGAAGGCCGAAGCCCAGAGGAGAGGAGAGACGAAAGACAAGACGGAAACCTTGGAAGAGAGCGCTGCCTGCCGCTCGATACGTGAAGGGCGTCCAGCACGAGAGGCTTGCAACCCCGGGCGACTTTTGTTCCCAATTGGTGCAAGTATGTGTTGGTAGATGCGACTCCTCCCATCTGGTCGGGTATGAAGCCGCCGGGCGTCTTGACATATGCAGGTCTGACGCGGCCAGGGCCGTGCATCTCACGATATCTTTGCCAATTAATTCTCCTGCAGGTGACTTCCTACACTAGCCGTAGACCACGTCTAGGTTCAAGTTCTCAAGCAAGTGCTGCTGTCCAGCGACAAAGTCATCGACCCGAGTCATTGCTGTTCGGCTGTCTTTTCGGCGCTATATATCGTCGTCTTCGTCCGGTCCGTTTGTTTCAAGTAGAAACATCCACTGCCAAGCTTTTGTTTGCTCGAAAGCGGCTGCTGAAGTCGGCTATCCCACAACTTCGCGAATCGAAGCGCGACAGCCAGTCGTTGTCGGATCCTGACTTCGATGCTGCCAACCACCGCGTGGTAGTATCATGCAGTAGACACATGCGGGAGATTGCCTTAAAGAACCCATGATTTATGAGATACAACCCCTAGCTTTTCTCCACATTCACACCACTTAGGACTCTCCGGTTACTGCATACTATGCAAATTGTGCTGATTCGACTTGCGCTTATGTACAGGAAACGCGGGGGATCTGCATACAAAACTGCCTAATTGGTTAATTGTCATGACTTGATCTACGGACCAGTGTTCACTTCACCTCCACTTTCGGCGCTATCGCTTCCTATTTGTGCGGTAAAAATAGACGTACAGAAGCACAAGTCGAATTAGTACGGTAGATGAAATTTCAAGCCCGCAGGCAGGCTACTGGATCCTTGGTGAGAACTACTCAGGTGACTAAAGCAGTTGGTTCGCAAAAGGGGAAAGCGTTCTAGACCTGGCCTTGCTCCTCACATATGTCCACCGCGGGGGCCATAATGGCATTTGCGTACATAACTAGATGGCGAACGCCCCGGTGGTTTTAGGCTCGAGACCTTCACATGCGGAGCTTCAAGTGCAAACAAGTCAGTAGTCTCCTGAGAACTTGCCGAGTAGTGTTGCACTTGGAAATACCAGTTCTGGGTGCGCACTGTCGATCCCTCGCCCAAAGTCCGTTGCACTGGGTCGGAGATCGTGCGAAGATCGATACACCCATGACATCGAACCGGTCGAACCATGTCCAGGGGCTCACCAGACATACTCGCATTAGAGTTTCTGCTCCAGCAAATATCGCGCCGTCTACGCACCAGCACAAGCCCGAAGAGGTGGCTGCCCGATAACTACCACAGCTGACAGACCTGCGGAAATTTTGTCAGTCTCCGCGTCGAAGAGTCGCACGGATTCGCTAGGGGAAAGGACAATAGAGTTCGCAGTTACATCTAGTCGAATCAGCTAGCCGAATACGCCTGCATCTTGGCGAGTAATGGGATGAACAATTCTGTTATCAAGAGCACATCACCTTCCAGACCCGAGCTTCAACTCCGGCGTTCATCAGAACACGACTTCCAAGGCTTGAGAGTTTCACCCTTTGCCCAAGTGGCCGAGTACCCTTACCCAGAGATCAACCAGACAAATGATCAAGCACAACGAAAAACAGAGATGACAACCTTCTCCAGCTGCTCTTTGGTCAAATAATTGCCGTGAGAAGCGACGTCGATGATGGTTTGATAATCCCATATTCAACCAAACAAGTGCAAGCAAGGTTCAGGGTGTTCACGGCCTGCGGGATGATCAGAAACAGAAGGTGGGGGGAAATCGAGACTTCAGTCAAGTACATTGGCGACAACCGAAATCTATGCTCGATCCCCTGCGTTGGCCGGCCCTGCATTGCAAGTTGTTGGATGTTTTCGTGACCGCATCCTCCCGAATGCCCGTTTAAGTTCAATTGGATATCCGGTACAAGGCAATTGAAACAAGCAGTTGTTGGAGACAGAGGCGCAGACGCGGACACGAGACAAGACGACGACGTACCTATTGGGCACTCGCAACCGGTGAGCGGAGTTTTGACCACAGCGGCAGCGTTCCCCGAGATTTTTAACTGGAGCCGCGGTGTGTCAATGTGGATGAGAGGAGATCGTCGTACCAAGCAAGACCCAATGCTCGCAGTGACACCCTTGGGCGAGTTGCGAAAATGGAGTATGCGCCGAGTTTGACCTCGTATGGGGCCCCCAACATCTATCACCACCCTCGCAAATCTAAAGACGACAAGGACAGCAGTAGCAGCAGTAAACAGGAGAAGGACGAAGACCAAGCGATGACGAGTAGACGCCGTGCACAGTCGGTAAAATCGGCCAAATTGACCACAGACAAGGACAGCGAAAAACCGCGGCATGCACGAACTGCCAGCAGCAGTGGTGCTAGTTCGACTTCTCGAAGCCGGGCCTCGCACGACGTACCCCTGCCCTTACCGACGTTACAATTGCATGACAAGCACTTTCAGACAAGTCCAGCAAGCCCAGGCCACAACAGCGGGGCCCGTCAAGATCAAGGTCGCCAGGAGCAGAAGCAGTGCCCCGCTAATGCCACCAATTCAGGCCCAAATGATTCGTTCCCCCCCGATTGGAAGCACCAGCACCAGGCTCTAGTTGGCAGTAGCAGCAGCAACAGCAGCACCGAAACCCCCATAACCAAACCGGTTCCCGTACAGGTATGCAGCCCGTTCGCCGTCAATCCGAACCACTTGCAGCAGCAGATCTCAAGAAGCGGCACAACACAAGTGGCAGTCCGCAGCACAATTGTTGGCCACGAGAAAAACCGTATCGGTTCCATTCGCAGCACCAGCAGCAGATCGAGTGTCGGCAGCACAAGCACAAACGTCAGCACAGACGATAACTTGACCATTGTAACAGCCGCAGCCGCATCGGCATCTACATCTGCATCTACATCTGCATCTCCGTCTGCAACTGCAACAACTGCTGCATCTGCCCCAGCAGCAACCTCTGTAGGTGCAAGTGGAGGAGAAGCCAACAGACGGGAGCGCGCGTCATCCAAATGTCCTCCTGCACCCATCCAGATCCTCAACCACCACAATCTCGGCAAAAACCACCAGCCGCCGCGCTTCACCCTGCACAAACGAGATCCAAACGACCACAGACTCCTCAACCTACCGCGGAGTCCTCTCGGCCAAACGACCTTCACCGTCTCCTCGCGACGCTTCTCCCAGAGCGGCCAACTATCACCCACCAGCACTACCACTGCCACTGCACCTTCTCACCCACCACCTCTTCCTCCTACGCAGCCGCCGCAGGTTTCACTCCTTCCGCCCTCGCCTCCATCGCCCGCCGCATCATCTTCATCTAGCGGTGCGAGAACAATCGTATCGTCGGTACCTGCGTCGGCATCGGGGGCTAAAGCCGCAGTCAATTCCCAGCACGACTCACATCCCAGCAAGAGCAGGTCTAGGTCTGGTCGGTCCGGCGCTGGCACGGACAAGACTGACAAGACCCCCTCGTCGCTCAGCCGGGGCGCGCTTCCAGGATCCAACTCCCTGGCTTCAGGACCGCACCAGCTAGCCCAGCCAGCGCAGGGTCATCATACCCATCACAAATCCTACCCACTTCCCACGCAACCCACGCCCCCAAACGACACTCGCCCTACCCGGGCCCATACTCATAGCCATACCCATATCCACAGCAAACAACTGCCTCCTATTCCCCTCCAAATACACAAAACACAAAATGCCGCCATAGTCCCTGATTTTGGATCGGCCTCTCATGTAACTGCTGCTCTCTCCTTCACCCGCACCGAGAGTGCCTCAACTGCGTCGGGCACCACTTATTCCGGTCGCACAGGCACCATGAACTCTTCAGAGAATTTGGCGCCCTCTTCGACCGGAGGGTCCATCACGCCCTCCAGCACATCCACCTCGAATAAGCCCGGGTCCGTCATTAGCCCCAAGCCCTTCGTCGTCCGCAACAACCGCACCTACATCGGCGACACGTCGCTGCCCTACATGCTGCCCGTCGATCTTGCCGAATTACACCGCCAGTCGCTGCGCACATTGCTCATGTTCCAGTTGTTTGGCGGACCCATTATTTCGCCCGCCTTCACAGCCAAGCCGCCAGCTCGCGTCCTGGAAGTTGGCTGCGGATCCGGCTTTTGGAGCATGATGTGCCACCGATTCTTCGCGCAAAAGGGTCACCGAAATATATCCTTCACCGGCATGGACGTCGCCCCCATGAGCGGCACCGGCGTCGACCCCAATTCCAAACCGGACAAGGACATGCGATGGCGTTTCGTCCTGCACGACATGCGGAAGACGCCGTGGCCATTGCAGGACGGCGAGTTCGACCTCATCATGGTCAAGGACTTTGCTTTGGCCTCCCCAGGCAATCTTGCTCAACTGTTTTTCGACGAATACATGCGCGTACTGAAGCCTGGTGGAGTGTTGGAAATGTGGGAATCAGACATGACCATACGAATGCTTCGTCCACACGTACCCTCCACGTCAGGTCCGCCCACCCACGAGTCGAGCGACAGCGAAAGTGACAGCGATAGCGACGAGGATGACGATGGCGACGTTGCGAAGCTTGGAGCCTACGTCATGACGGCCAACACGCCATTATCAGCGCCAACCAATACTTTTCTAGTCGAGTACAACGGCTGGTTGACCAAGGCCCTAGAGGCGCGTGCTCTATCAGCCATGCCATGCACAGTGATCGGGCCCATACTTCTCCAGGAGATGTCCCTCGCGGACGTGCGGTCGCGTAGGCTCGCAGTGCCGCTGTCTGAAGTACGCTGGGAGCGCGAAGGGGTCGGAGGTGTCGTCACCAAGGATGGCAAGAGTTACATCGACACCATGAAGGGAAAGGGACGGCCCGGGGATAGCAAGAGTGGCAAGACATTGACGAGGGATCAGGCGGCGCTCAGGAGGACCGCACTCGAGACCACGGTTGGTTTGATACTGGCCTTGGAGCCGTTGCTGCGCGAGTTTAGTGGCAAGAGTCAGGATGAGTGGGATGGATGGACGGGCAAGATGATGAATGACCTAATGCGTGATGGCGGAACGCGCTGGGGCGAGTGTTTGGAGATTGGGGCTTGGACTGCGCGGAAGAGGAAGTAGCTTGATTCAACATGGGACTGGCAAGCGGAGGACAAAATAACCGGTATATCAAGGGTGGGATTGTACGGCATAACCTGTTACTCTAGTGTGTTAGACGGGCATCAACACCAGTATAGCCTTATCATTTGAACTGGGTGCATCATTTTTCATGTCCCCTTTTAGTAAGCACATGGGCTGGCCCATCTCCCATGAGCTAAAATATTTAATATACAAGTGCTTATAATCCACAACACCCAAACCAATTAGACGATTGCTGCGTACTCGTGACGTGTCCTGGTCTCCGGTTCGGTCCCCTCCGGTAATCTCTCGGCGATATGCATTGCGTCTCTTTCCAACCCTTGCCAGCCCGCCGCCAGGTTATTCACTCCTCGGTCGTCCATCCGATCCCGTCCTGACAGTGCAGGCACGGCACATTCAATCTTCCGTCTACTTTTATACTCTTAATTCGACATGACATATTCCGAATTCGCCGGCTTCGATGCGGGCCGTTCTGCTCCGGTCAGAACTGAACTGAACCGAATCGAGTCCACATGGAAATACGGAGGGTTGATTGACTCCTGCTTCCTTCGATCAGCATTTAGTAAAGTACTTATGCACCATTTAGGCCCCCGTTGGTCAGGCGTCGTTGTAGCGTTTTCGTAGGGTTCGGTAGCGTTTTAGGTAATAGCTGAATGGGTGAAGGATTGTTAGTTGGCTAGGTTGGTTGGTTAGGGAGAAGCGGAAGGAAGAACCAATGTCAGTTGGTGAAGGAGGGGAGGAACCTGTTCTTGGATATAGGAAAGGGAGGTATTTCTCGACAAATAGGGTCGGCAGGAGAATGCGTTTTTGGAGGAGGGTGGGGAAGGTTGTATGAGTAAGTAGATAATTGCTGGGGGAGGTGGATGGTGTAGGTCGGCTATGGTGAGTATAGGAATGGGAATGGTGATGGGCCAATACGGCGAATATCGATGGGTACCACGGGCCTGGATGGAGGCTGAAGGTACTGGACAATGGATCTTTGCCACATCGTTGAACGGTATAGTAAATCCAGCTGCGCAGAGGCATAGGTATCGAGAGAGTGTACTCACAGGGCTTCGATCTCTGTAAACCATGCGCTGTTAGCTACTCTCTTCCTTCAATGCCTCGTGCATGGAACTATACGCCCTCTAGTGCCATGTAAGTCCTAAAATACCAACACAATTTACAAATTACATCTACCTGCTTCACAATTTATACCTGGGTATATTTACCTCGAAAGAAGGAGCCAAGCGCTGATAGAACGACTTGGCAGAACTCAAGTAGAAATAAGAGAGATCAAGGTGAGGGAATGAAAGTGCATACCTTTCCGTATGTATTCGGCCTTCGCGATGCTCTGCCGAATGGTCTCTTCATCACGTAGGTGCGCGTTGGACATGAAAGCCTTGTGCAGCCGTGGGCGGACAAAGGACAGACCACCTTGGGGGTAGTCTTTGCCGAGGTAGAGGAGCTCTGTTAGAATGTCAGCATGAAGCTCTTGAGAACACTGTGAGTAGAAAGAAAGGTAGGTGGTGGTGAAATCATTTATCGAGTAGTCTGCTACATTTGAGATGTACAACTCTTGAGCATGATACCTTTATAAATTGATATTACCTCGCGCCGGAGCACTGGATTAGGGGCTGACATGGTCCACTTGGTCTAAACCGATAGGTATAGGAGATATACCAGGTAGAACAGTTCAAACTAGAATACTATAAGCCATTGATTCCAGATTATCAACGATGTTTCAGCAATGAATATTTCAAGAGTTGTCAATGATGAGGTTGAGGATCGGCGCGGGCTACTGCCGAGGCTCTGTAAAGGTGACGCCATATCTTATCGGGAATCTTTCTATTATGGCAACGCCCCTCCTCTTTCCGAATAAAGCTCGGGACAGCTTTCACAACGCAACCTTCAAGCCGTTCTTAGTCGCCAGCAGCTGTTGGTCACAATATGCACATAGACTATCCCAATCTAGAATTCCTCCCACTGACGAGTTAATCCCACCATGCCTCCACGCCTACACTTAAAACCTCACATGCTCTCACCCCTGGCCAGAGCCGCTCTCCGACAATCCTCTTCCACAGCTACCAGCTCCCACACTCCCATAGTCGCCGCTCCTCCATCAAGATGGCATACCGACCTCAAGACCCGGCTGGGCAAATGCATCATGTTCGGCTGCTCGCCCGCGCAAATCAAGCGCGCCGCGGCGGTGCTGCGCGTTCTCGCAACGGAGTGGCGGTCTTTAGCGGCTGGAAGCGAGGGTTTCCTGACGAGAGGGCGGAGGGGGCTTGAGGGGAGGGAGGTGGTGTGGGGGGAGATGGATTCGTTTGTGAGTTGACCTTGTTGTTCAGGACATACATGTTCAGTCTGGCTCGGGGACTAGCCAAGATCACAAATCGACTAGTCCATGCTAGTAAGAATGCCAGCTGATATAAAAGCCGTCCAGCAACATGTCAACAACACAAATTACATCCGCTACGCCGAATCCTCGAGGGTAAACTGGATCACGCACTTCGCCTGCGCCGACCCGACCCACGGCGCTGAGTGGCGGGACTTGATGCGGCCGCGTACGACGGGCCTCATCATGAAGAGCATCAAGGCCGATTACAAGTTTGTACGTAGTCTCTATGCCCTCGTCCTGTGCAGCGCAACGTACATGCGCCCACGGTCAAATGTTCCGGCAGGCTGACGCGAATATCTACACAGCCAATAATCTACCCCGACACTATCTCCGTTTATCACAAACTGCGCTCTCTCCCGTCGGCCACCGACACGTCCCTCATCCTCGACTGCGTGATCCTATCGCATAAGCACCGGCGCGTTGCCGCGCGGACGGAGGAAGATATTGTCATATACGACTACAAAGCCGGCAAAAAGACCACCGTACCGCCCTTTGTGCTTGATGTTTTCCGGGATACGTGGAGGCAACAGGAAGAAGCAACATCGAAGGCTAGGGACAGGATATGGGGGTTGTTGGGAGAGGTGGAGGCACTGGAGAAGGAGACATGGGATTGCGAAGGGGCGGTGGAGGATTTGGGGGCTACTGGGGGTAAGAGTTGACGAGGATGAGAGACTAGATGCTTCCTCATCACTGCTGAAAGAGAACGCATGTGAGAAACGGGTCTTGTAGGCCTACATTCCGTCGACGACAGTCGTCCTGCTAGAGCTTGATAGATTTGTTACATATATCGGGGCAGCCTGTCGGTGCTTCTCCGCCGCGCCAAGAGTTGTGGATTCTGGGCTCGAAGGTGGCATTGAGCATCCAGCGCTGTACATCAAGAAAGTTAGTGAACATTGATGCTTGCAAGCATGGTCAGTATATATAGATAGGAGTCATATAACCTGAGTTTCGCCCGCCAGAGGCGCCGCTGCCCGACTAGACGATCTAAAACTGCAGTGTCTCCTTTGCCGCCGAAGTCTGCGTGAAGATCTTGACGTCTCTCTTTTGGTCCTACCTCTCTAGCTGATCAACCCATAAATGGAGAAGTATCAGCTGGCAAATCGATTCATATCCTCTATTTCGCAGGTGTGGCTCTACGGTGTGAATAGGGGACCCTCTCTTTCCTAGGAAAGATTCAGGATTTGGTTTGAGAATCCTTTCTGCCTCGGGCTTGGTGTGGGATTCTACTCTAGACAGGCCGGTGCAGATCAGACTGTACCAACCATTTTCACGCTCACGTGCGCATACCCACGAGACTCGTGCGGGTATGATTTGATTTGTGACGAGATGGAAGGTGCTAAGAAGCCTTAAGTTGCCCGCCCGATGATCTTAGACGGACTACTCGTAGGTTGCCAGATGAGATATGCGGTGTCTACTCTGTTGGGAAAGAGATATCGCCCTCTGTTGACGGCCACCTATAGCAGGTGATTTAGGAGACTTCACCCTCCCTCCTGTGAGCTGGGAGTGTGGGTGACATGCACCAGTTCTGTCATGACATTGGATAGAAGAGGAGAGATGTTGATGAGTTGTCGTCAAAGCGAAATGCTGGATGTCGTCCAGCCTTTGAGATTTTCGGTCAATAGAACACCGAATCATCGCCTCGACTGCCCAAGTCGCGTGATCGAGCTACCCGATCAGCACGACAACTTCCTAATCATCTCAGAACCAAACTCTGAGCCACCCTTGTGGAGATTCATCAACCATCCACTGGGATGCTGATGGTGCGATACCCCCTATCCACGCCGCACAAAGTTGTTTTGCCATTTTGGTGCTGCTAGTGAAGAGCAAGCATCGCGCATGAATAGTTGAGTAGTAGGTACAAGATGCTCAAAGGCCTCTGCCGAAGACTGAATGGCTACCTCATGCACATGCAGGATCTAACCGAATCAATCCCCTTTTGCAACGCACCCACCCCATGGGCATGCGAGATTGCCTCGTTAACACAACCCCCCTCCCCCTCAACTTCGCCCTCGAATTTCTCAACAAACGTGCAGCAAATCATGCTTGAGCCGCGGTTTGGCCCAGAGGATTTTAAGCAGCGCATTGCGCGCGCTATACAATTTATTCATATAGGCATCGCTAGTCCGTGGCGGCCAGCCGATATGGCACACAGCTATTCATTATGTCTCGTCGACTTGACGACGGCCAATCGCACCGCGCCGGCGTCAGCTACCTTCAAAAGTTGTTGCCAGAGCAAGAAGAGATTATCGTCAATTGAATTCTGCATGAAGACATTGGTGGGCACGCCCTTTTTTAAGAAGCACGTTAACGAATTCGCTACCGAAGTCCTTAAGGCTTAGGAGAGACTACGGGCCACTAGGCTCTTCATGGATCAGGGTCTTTCTATTTCATAAGCTTCAAGTGCATATTAAAGTCGGGCGCCGCATTGAGGTATCGAAAATACGTACGACCGATCCCGCGACTTCTAAGCCGAAGAATAAAGATGATGTAGATAAGACCAGTTTTTTAAGAAGATAAAGATAGTAAAGACGCTATTATTAGAAGCTCTGCTATATACTAGGTATTTCTAGCTGAGTCTAACGCTGCTAACAGTTTACTATTCTTAAATATAGGTATACTACCAAGACCGCAGTAGGCCTAAATATGTCTTAGCGGTAAGAAACTATAAGCTTCGTAGTTTCTAAAGGAAAACATAGTAGATTAAGAATAAGCTACTAACATAAGGGCTAGACTGATAGAGTTATTATTTACTATCAGACAAACTAAGTGATACGTGACCCCATGGGGGGTTACCCTATAGCTATAGATAAGATAGATAAGAGCTATAAAAGAGCTCTGCCAGGCCAGAATAGCTGACCTGGCCATCCTTTCCCAATACAACAATTCACACCCCATATGCACTCGCATCAACTAGTATTGTTGCTCTATAAAGGTTATAGCCTTTAAGCTAGTTATATTAACGTAACTGTGTATCTAGCGGCGTTTAGCTACTAAAGATACCTTAAAAGTATTACGCTACTCGTATTAAAAACCAAACGTCTAGGATAACTATTAATTAAATAATCTACTTTTAGCTTGTATCTTACGAATCTACTACGTATAGTGAAACGGGGTCAGGCGGTCAGTAGGATATACCTACCACCTAACACACTGAACTGACGGCTCCAGTACCAACAGATTCCATCTGTTGGTCTGATCAGACGAAGATCGTGGTACTGGTTGTAAGAGCTTCGCTCTTACACGTCTGGTGCGCGAGTTGGTCGGATGTGCCTCTGAGACTCTCGTTGGAATGATTCTCAGAACAAGACGTCTGGCTCTGGAAGTCGAATTGAAGCTCTCATTAGCACTAGATTGCTCTGATCAGAGCAAGATACAATCCTCTGTCATTGTCAAGGCTAGGATGAGGGCAGAATAATAGGATTTCGAAAGTAGTGTCTAAGTACACGTAGGAATGAACCGCATAATGGAAGGGCTAGCTAACTAGAATAGAAAACAAAAGTCAAGTTGATTGAATTAGATGATGAAAAGAGATGACGAGTTGTTGAAAGTCGTCTGTCATCTCCGTGTCCCTTAAGAAGTGTGGAAGACAGGGGAGTCCTCCCTGGCCCCCGTCACCTACTTTCCTGACGTCCGGCCTGGCCCCATGATGCGTGCACCTAGGGGGGAGGATGCTATAATGCAGCAGTGCGCAACGTTATAGTATCTAATTGAATGGGATTCACCTAACCAGTGGGTCCCCCTACCTTTTCGTATCACCCCACTACAATAGTAATACTATTATGTTATATTAAGCTAGAGCTAATGTCTAGCTTAATGATGCGAATGTTATCCTTCTCGCTATAATCCTTAATAGAGTCAATTTGTAATTAAAGATCAGCTCAGAAAGAATATTACTAACGTTTGAAAGATAGCTCGACCTAATGTAAGTAATGTATTACTAGACTTGCTAGCTATTTGTAGCACTTCATACACGTAAGAAAAGTAAATAAAGCCAATATGTGATGGTTACCAACAAGGTAGGTTCTCAGTGTTAGTACGGAAAGTATTGGAATTGCTACGATAGAGAAGAAAAGGAAAGTCTATCAAGGTCGTTGGAAAGGGGGCCGCAACTTATAGTGCAGCACCCGCAGTTGGAGCCACTGGATTGAATGTGGCCCGAGCGCCACATTAGCCCAAAGTGGGCTAGCCCCGTGACACAATAAAGCAGCTAGATACAGAGCTAGGAATCAACGATATTCTTTTAAAAAACCAAGTGAGGCCGAAGAAGAGAGCTACGAAAAATATTGTATTAATAGCTTGAAGTTTTAAGTTACGAAGCCTCTGTGGGATTGAGCGCCACGGTTATGCCCTAGGCTGAAGGTGGTGTAGCGGCAATTGCACTAGTGGGGTCAAAGCCCTTCCTCATAGATAAAATAGCTACACAGAAGATGTGAAGGTCAATCCTCGCAGACTCACTACAACCAGGTGACGTACAGCTGGAACACCTGCCATGGCAGTGTCAGATGGGAAGCCAATCATAACCCTTGTAGGAGCCCCGCCAAGCGTGGATGACTTAGTCGCGCTCCCTCAAACCTAAGTTGTCATCTTCTTTCCTTCGCTCCTTAGAGTAGAATCTTCGTCGATAGCACCTAATCGAGGTCTCTACCAATGCGATGCAACCCAGGTCGTGACAGAAGACACAACAGAGCAGATAGATAGATCAGTTAACAGAGGATCTACGCAGAGTCATCAATAGAGGATTGAATCCCTCAGCCTCTAGCTAAAAGTAAGTGGACTTACAGGGACCCCTGCCACTGTGCGGGCGGATAGTGACAGATACTTTAGAGTGATTTCGTCCGTCAGGCCCTGTTTTATCATCTAGCTGTACCAAGGGATCGTTTTAGGCGGGCTAGCCGGGCTCAAGTATCTAGGGTAAGACATTACCCAAAGTAGCTACCCTGCGATAACACTGCCGGTCCGTATGTGGCAGGGGCCCCTGCAAGCCCACTTACATGTGACCAGAGGCTTCGTAGGTGTGTTTTGCTATGTGAATCGATACTTGAATGGTGGCCTCTAATGTTAACTCTTGCAAAAAGAGGTGCTTGCAAAGGGGGGTCAATGCGGCTAGCGCGCTTTTCCTGGACCCATCGTCGTGGTAATGGAGGGGTCTGAATCCCATTTTCAGACGGTCATGTCTGAAAACGAGAGGTCAGTGGAAGGACCGCAACCGGAATGCGTTCGTTTTTGATAGTGGGAGGAAGCTGTAGACCATGGTCGTTCAAGGGTAAGAAAAGGTGACAGGTGACAAGAGAAGTTTGTTTCCCACGGACAATCCTATAGCCCCTCATTCATCCCCAGTGGATGTAGTGTAGGTTTCTCTGGAGACAGAAACAAGGTTCTGCTTGGTGATTGGCACAGGTTGAATATCTATTCTCCATCTTTGGTGCCAATTGTCACGCGTCTTGCAGTCTTGGGTGTGATGACATGTTTCTCGGAACGCTACTACGCTAGCGCGTGGAATGGCTCACCGAACCCCCGAATGGCCGTGCTCATGCCGCAAGGTGAATGCAGAAGGCAGGTGTAGATGTTAGCCAGCATGGGTCGGCGATATGCCATGGCAAGGGTCTGGAAGAAGAGTATTCGTCGTCTTGCGTCTCGTTCACGATTCTATCGGTGTCCTTGGAAGTCGTGTGGCATGTCACCCAACCAGAAATCGCGGTTGCGAGGCTGTGGCATTGAGGTAAGGGCCGAAGCAAGACACCCATTTGTATTCGAAACAAGGCTTTACCTCCCGGCGACTTGTAAAGAGGATGCGATAATCTTCAGTGTCCAACGATTTTCTTTACACATCCATCAACCGAAGCAGCTAAAAGGATACTGCTGCGTTCGTGTTAGGAGCCTGCATAGCCACTGTTTCAGAATCGGAGGCATGAATCGACTCGATTATCGCATTATCTGTCCGATATATGTCGTGTATCATGATCTCTTCCGAGTATATGTTGAAAATACGAGCATTGCACATTGCTGCACTCCGTACCCGGTAGTTGAAGACCGGGGTCAAGCCATTGTGCCATATCAGCCTATGCAATGCTGCCCCGAAATGGCTGTCAAATGCCGACAGGCGACGGGTTGGCTTTGCCGTATTCTGCTTAGCAGGGTTTGCGGGAAAGGGTGTGGGGAAAATGATGTGCTGTATCGTGATATTGACTGGTCCAAGTTCCATTGCTCTCTCCCGGTGTTGTTTGCGCCGTGAAACATCGTTCATTGGGGGCAGCAACCACATTGGCTATGGGACGATAGATGCGCATTTCGAGGTGACAAGTCAGGCATGAGTTAAGCGTCGCGTGCTTTTCGGCTGGGGTAGGGAGCAGAAGGTCGTGATGAATAAGACCTTTCGGCTCGAAACATCGTCTCACTACTTGGAGATCTGTGTGAAGAGAACCGGTCCTCAATTACAATATTTGTCTAATCCGAGTAACTAGAAAAGTTCACCGACCAAAACCTTCCATAGTCATCACATACCTCCAAGTCGAATTGGCATGGTGAGTTGAATCGAGTTCAGCTTTTAAACCTGCGTCTCTTTCCTTTCAGCAAGGATCGACAATGCGAGTTAAAATTACCTTTCTGTGAGTGGTTGTAATGTCCTCTTGACTTTGCTGACTCTGCTCAACTCCACACACAGTGCTCCTGTGCATCTACTAAGTAGGCACTGGTACGTAGTACGTAACGTTCGAGCCAGTCATGGATAGCGACAAAGCCTTGAAAATACCATAGAAGGGGGGTGTATTGGGCGATAACCTTGTTTATAGCGCCGGGTCGAGGCGATGACAGCGAGGGGATGCCTGCGCTTTGTTCGCAGCTGTCGTCGGCTCTTGATTTATTTTCCGATTGATTGCTATCCCAGGAGCTACACAATGTTGGCTTTGGGTCCATGCTTCGTCTGGGCCGGTCCGGGGTGCCAAGTCGCTAACATGTCACTGCTGTTGTGATTAGACGTGAGCTGGAAATTTGTCCAAGACACGTTGGAAGGCTGAGGCTGATGGATCTGTGGACTTGAAGTACTGCAAGACCCTCTCCAGCGCGGGCGCTATGCGAGCAATACTGTTCTCGAACTGACAAGACATACCCACGGGCTCCGGAGGGCACATGCTACCCGGAAAAGCTCCATCTCGGTGGCGAAATACCCCTCCGTCCATGCGTCCAGGTTATCAAGGGTGATGTGACGATGTGACGGGGCCTCGCCGATTGCAACCCAGTATACCCATGTGTCGGAGGACGTAGGAAAACGACTTCTCCAGAATAGGTGTAGCGGTCTGTACTTGGTAGCCCAAGTGGTAGGCCAAGAAAATTCTGCAAGATGGGACGGCAGAAAAATATGCTGAAGATGGGGAAAATTCGATGCAGTTTGTATCGACAGCGGCGGGACAGGTGAAGTTCGTTACGTGAACGACTCCATATTGTGGATATGAAAACTGACGAATGATCAAGAATAGCGCCGTACGAATACATCCTATTTTAGCCGCTCCCGCTCTACGACTCGTTCTTGGAAATCAAGTTAACTGTCCACATTCATCATGAGTTTGTGTGGGTTTTCCGACGGTGGTCGAGTCAGTCGTGAGATTTGCACGGCCCTTTGATTACCATACCCTTGGTGCAATTCAGCGATTCAAGCGGAAGCCAAATTCATGCTGCATGTTAATTTGTGCGCCCTGCTCGCCGTGGTACCATGGCGCATCTTGCATTGAGAGCTGCGCTCCAGGGTGGACATCATCAATTTATTCCACGGCAACACTGATGATGGGATGGTTGTGGCATCGGCGCGGCGCTGACTGTCTTGACAAAGGGTTGTTTTGGCAGCCTCGGAATCAAAGAAATTCCAGGACATAATTCGCCAATATTCATGGTGATTTGGTTTGCAGTGCAAGTGACAGCAACGCTCGCGTATCGTTGATTGCGTCGAGATCCCAATCTATGGACGCAAATAGGCTTTCGGGTACCCTGCATGTACTTGACCCCAAGTGCTGTTTCAGTGCATGCATGGCAGTCAAGCGGGCTCAGGAACAAGTATTCGATCAGTCTCAGTGCCCCAGGACAGTGTCTGGGCAAAATCCGGCGGCTTGCACGAGGCGCCAGAAGCACCGCGACCCGTCCCAAATGGAGGCTCCTTCTGCTTGTGCCGAAGCAAACCCCCCAAAATGCCCCCACAGGCACTGGTCGCCCCTTCCCGCACTGTGCATTTCCATCCTATTCCTTTTTTACTTCTACTCAGCCTTCCCACCTTAATTCATCCGTCTCAATCCATTGAATCTCCTGGTTATTACTATTATATCGCCGACAGCGACCACAAAAATACACCCCGCCAGGCCCTGTCCCACGAAGTCACTCATTTACCGTCGACCCGGAACTCAAGAATATTTAACCTTCCCTCGGGATCGATGCCGACATTACACCTCCCGGAATAATTCGAGTGCTGTTCCGGGAAGGACGCAAACCCAAATTGTCCCTCGAAACCTTGCTGTGTGGACTGTGGCTGTCAGCATCATCACCGGCTGCGCTGCTCAGGCTCGGAACACGTTTCTGGGTCGGATCAGCATCTCGAGTGCATTTATATGCCTCGGGCCTCGTCATCGCAAAAGCGACAGCAGGGTGCAGCCTCGAACCATCGCGACACCAGACACGAGAATGGATTGGTAGTTCCCGGGAAGCGCATCGCCAAGCAGAAGAGTCAGAACCACTTGAATGGCAGCGCTAGCCACCCCAGCACCAGCCCGACCAACCCAACCAACCCGACCAATTCAGCGTCCAGTGACGATGTGTCGTCGATCCCGCCTGTTCCAACCACGCCGCCTAACCCGAATGTTTACCCCAAGAATACCGCCGACATGTCTGCTGTGGAATACAGGGCCGTCGAGTCGCTGCGGAGAGGATCTCTAGGCGGCTACTCGGAGTCTTCCTCGGGTGAGTCGTTTGGACAAGGCGCCAATGAGGACAACCACCGCCGCATCGACGTGAATGCGACCAAGAATTCTAATGTCCACCGTGATCCCGGCCCCTTCGACTTCGCCATGACCGTCCTCCGCTCTTGCCCCCTGCAGGATACCATCGCCATTCTCATCATCCTGATGCAGATTCCTCCTATTGCTCTCTCCGGTATCTACATGCTCTTCACGCTGTTGACCTTCGTGACTACCACCAGCGGCTTGACCTTGAGCGATGTCTTTGAGTGGAATCTGGGCGCACCCTCGGTTGCTACTGTGATCTGCGTTGACGGCTTCGTTCTTCTGATATGGCTCTTTCTCTGGGGACCGATTCAGCACGTCATCCTCGACTTGGCCCAGATGGTCATCGCCCTAGGATTAGGAGGTGGTTCAAGTTCACGAGACGGAGGTTCCATGAAGAATTCAATGATATGTCTGAGTATGATTTTGCTCTCTCATGTTTTGCGTCACACAAAAATGAAGTACTCCCCGGTTGGCTACCTGCTTGGTTCGAGCCGCTTCATGACTCCCGACCTCGACGTCGACGACCCTTTCAGTTCTTACGAGTCGATGCGCGGCTATGATAAGGTGCGCTCCGGCTGGGTGAACTGGTTTAGGAGCATATTGGCCATACATATTTTGACGCAGGGGCTGGTCAAGTGGATTCGCGATTGGTATTTGAGGAGGGAGAGGCGGGACAACCTCGCGCAGAGCGTCGACCCAGAGGCTGGCAAACCCTATCCGGGCGACCTTGCCAATGACACGGGGTTTTCGACGCCCGACAGCGACACTGCTTCCGTCATCAATCCGCCACAACCCCCTATAAACTCGAAAAAGAAAAGGAAACAAAGTGCCCAGATTCGGAACGGCCAACCGCTGTGGGCCGCGATCGCAAGCACGAAAATTGTTGTTGTTAAAGAATATGAACTTTCTCATAGCGCTGCTGATTCCGCAGGTTCGAATGCCACCGACATTCACAACCTGGGTAACGCCCCATTCAACATTCAGCCCGAACAGATTTGGGTTTCTTATGTGGGCTGCGACGAAGTGTGCTTTAACACGAGCCACTTTCCAGGTCATGTAAGCCTGGACGGTCACCAGGGTGGTACCGGGTCGTCTCGGATTGACCTGACCAAGCCCTTCTATGTGCGAGTCAATAATGCCGTTTGGCAGCCTACCCGCATCACAGCCGTGCAGGAGTCCGAGGAAGATGAAGCCGGCCTTGGAATCAGGTGGAGTGGAGATATTTATGGGTTGAGGCCTATGTCGAATTACGAATGCGACTTCGTCAGTACTGCGACTCACGAGGTCATCTTCTCGACAAGCGTTAGGACCGCCCAAGCCAAGACTGCGGATATTGATGGCACTGTATCCAAGGCCAATGGACAGCGGTCTCTTCGCCCCGACTCCCCCACGACGACGCTCAAGACCTCCATCGCCGCCGCCGAGAGCAAGCTAACAGAGGAACTGGCGCGACAGAAAGCATTGCGAAAGGAGTGGCATCGGAAGACCAACGCCATGAAGAAGGAGAACGAAAAATTGTCGATAGCGGTTCAGTCGGCAGGTACGGGCGACGACAAGTTTCGGCAGAAAATCCAGCAGAACACGATTCAGCAGAAGCAGGCGGAGCAAGCCATGACTGCCCTGGAGAACGAACTCAAGGAGCTTGGGAGTATTCCGGAGTCCTTGAAATCTGCATGGAGGTCCAAGCAGGCCGAGTACAATGCGGAGAAGGCCAGGTACGACAAGGCGCACGCCGAGTTCAAAAGCTTCAAGGCCGCTGTCGACATCCGAGTCAAACTTCTTGCCGACGATAAAGCCAGCTTAGAAGCCAAGAGGAACAAGATCAATAGCCGGATTGCCAAGGTTGACGGGGAATACGCTCGTATTTCGGACGCGAATGCGCGTGGGCTGGACGAGGCTGAACGACGTCGCCAGGAACGTGCCACTCTGGAGGCCAACATTGCCAAATGCGAAAGCGAGTTACTTGAAAGGATCAACACTACCGAGTCCCGCCTGGCTGAAAAGGACCAGATCGTCGGTGGACTCAAGACGCAGCTCGATGCCTTCCACAGCCAGCAGCAGTCCGCCTTCTACAATGGAACTTTCGAATATGACCCGTCCGCAATTGGCCAGCTGCCTCCTGGAACCACCGCATCCGCTCAGGGTCTTGCGGCTCCGTATGACCCAACCACCGCTTGGAGCAACAGCGCATACAACGCCACCCTGTGGGGGCCTTCGGTGCTTGCACCGGGCTTCGTTCCTCAACAGTCGTCTCCGTTGGCCCAGCTCCATTCCGCGCCTCGCAGGGGCCGTTCTTCGTCGATGCTCAGCGATGTCTCCGGCTTTACTCAGTCTACTCATGACGATGATCTACCCATTGCCTTTGACTTGCAAGGCGGTACCGCACCTTAGAACCGTGCAGATACGGTACCGGTACATTCGCGACCCCCCCCAGGCCTTGTTTGATCTGGCCCGACGGGCTGCTGCACAGCGACGCAAACTCCTGGAGGTAGGGGAAGTGCTAGGGTTCTGATCACGTGGCTTGTGGTGCCATCGAGGCTGTTTCTGTCTGCTTTCGGCTAGTGAAATGGATTAGGCTATGCAAAAGTTATTCTTTATCAACTGTACAAAGCTGTGTTCGAGGTGACGTGAATATCTGCTGTGACCAAACCATGCCAGCCCATCCCGAGTGTAGTGATTGAAACCTACCGGTACTTTCGCCAGTGAACACTTTGGAATCGTTGCTGCATCCTACTGTGCTAACGATATTTGGAGGTGCGTGCTGACGCCTTCGTATTCACAATACCCCCAAATGCTCACAAGTAGTCCTCGGAAAGGCATTCCCCTAATTCAATCAGATCAACACGTTTCGGAATGCCACCCACGAGCAAGTAAACTTGCATACAAGTATTAAGCTAGACTACAGCTAGGTAGCCAAAGGGCCATTAGTAGCGGTAGGGAACACAGAGCCAATTAATTTTTGCAGTACAGCCGACTTCATGGAAGGGCGCGGGCTTCAAAACTACAAGCGAGTTTGCCCGAGTTTAAATTGCTCTCATAAAGGAGACTAGGTTCACGTTGGCAGCTCAGGAAGAGGAGCCACAGCGCCAGATGCTTTTGTTTTTAACCAACCCGCGTTTCGAAAGCATGGAATGCGCCTCGACTCGGTTCGATTTGTAGTCCTCGTAATTTTCCATCTGTAGCACGGATTGCATGTACAAGTTCTCTGTACCATAAAACACGGATTATGTCATCAACTCAATGAAGTGAACGAACGTGTCGTTTTATTTGGCTCAGAATATGCCCACATGAATTATATACTGAATTCAACATCGAGAAATGAGCCTCCTGCGTATTTTCTCTAGCTTCATCCCGCCCTTTTGCCCATAACAGCGCTCCAATCTTCGTCGCCTTGCTAACTAACCCTGGTGACAGCACTACATCACATCATATCAACAGGTGAACGAACAGCCGGAGCTTTCTGGAAGCACAAGAAAAACACGACTCACAGTACGGTAAGGCTTGTCCACGAGAATGCACTCCACGGTACTCTACAGCATCGTTTCAGACCACTACGTCCCTTACGTATTCAGGGGAGGTTTGAGTATGGCATACCCAGCAAGGCACAGCCGTCATTCTTTCACATTGCTGCGTGCCGCAGAAACCTTGATCGAGTCCATTGCTCGAAGGCACGCCGCAGCCTTTGGCTGAGTCCGGGTCGCAGGTTCGGCTTTGAGGTTCATGGAGCTCGACCGGGGGAAGAAGACCTTTCCGCGTCACGAGGCTGGCGAAGGCGGTCGGGGAGCAAAGGAGGAGGACGACGACGCCCAGGGAAGGAGCATAGAAGCGCATTCTTGGTGAGTTACAACTAGGGAGTAAAAATCAAGTGCTTCACGACTTGGATAATAGAAGTTGTACCTGGGGCCTGGCTGGCTGAGGAGGCGTCTTCCAGGGAAGTCTTCCAAGGAAGTTTAGGATATGCCGTCAATTTGAGAGAGGGACCAGCAGATTTGAAGAGGGTCGATCCGGCCGTCCAGTCGGCTACACCTGCTGCTTAACTCATACTAGCTGTCAGTAGCCGTGGTCCACTTCCTTCGCTCTGTGTATTGTGTTATCCCCTAAACGGATTCCAAACGTGGTACAGACAGGTTACAGCGCTTCACAGGCACATAATTACTTGTCACTAGGCAAGAAGCGGATATATAATTCATCTAGAACTGTGACATTTGATGATGGTGAAATATATTATGTCATTCGTGAGCCGGAGATTGTAACATCAACGCAAATGCGGATATGAGTTCTATATGACTACAGCTCGGCGTTGAGGCATGACTTGTCCATTAACACTGCAGCGGGACCCCGTACCACATATCATCGGCTTCTAAATTCCAAAATGTCACAAGAGTTCCCTCTATTGAAGCAACTTTAGACTAAACGGGAAAGTCTGCGAGTACTTGGCCTGTCGCACATGCTCTCGTGAGACTTATTCCGTGTTGTTGGGAGAGGCCTGGGGCGAAATGAGAACTTATTTGAGCAAACAACATCTGATTTCCAAGAAAATCGTGCCTTGCCCTGCTGTCTAATTACCATCCACCAAACTTACATCGATTCCTTACCACACAGAGACCAAACATCTACCCATCCACCAGGTCAAATCAGGATACATCCCCTTAGGGAAAACCATATGTACAAGTAGCAATGACACAACCAAAAGAAGACACCGCAGGCGAATCATTCAGTGCACCAACTCGACGAACTAATCGCATGGAGGAAATCCTTCGAACGCACGCGACGACACTGCTTTTCTCGAGCTTCCACCTGACTCTGTAATTGGTAAGTAGTCATGTTCCCACGTCATGTTCTCAACTTCCTTTTGCTGGTCTGGTAAGCTCCTCGGTTTGCAAAAATGAGACCGAGCTTTGCGTGGTCGAAATGATAATCCTCTTCTGCTGAATTTGAATTACTGGAAATGGAGATTGGTTGGCGGCTTGTTCGATACAAGCAGTACCGACGAGAGTAGATATTTGATTTCAGTCTTCGAATCCCGAATTCCGAGCCCAAAACCTAATCACTTACTTGCAATCAGTACTTATGTGCATCATGGCACTTGGACCGTATCCAGAATTGCGGCTCGAGAAAGAAGATCGCCGCAGGACTTGCACAAAAAGCATGCCGGGGGTTGCATGTTAATGAAGGTCACACCTTTGGTAAAGGTCTGCCTTTCTATATTCCATTGGGTATCCATGAGTATGCTGCCGTTCCTCGCCGACTCTCGGCTGCCATACGTGCAGCTAGCTAGCCTTCCTCGCAAACCGCTCCCTCAGCAACTTTTCCTGCAGCGGGGTTTCCTCAGACAAGGTTGCCTAACCCTTTACTCATTGCCAACGCTGTAAATGGATGGGCTCAAAATTCTCCATGGCTGGCTACCTTGAATCACTCAGCGAGCTGCTTCCTTTAGGTAATGTCCACTCCATCATGATACCTACCCATTTTGACCCCATTGGATATGTGTGAATATCAAGCTCTGCTCTGACGAAGCAATTGAAGTTCAGTTCGTGCGCTCATTGCATGCCGGATGCTCCTTTGCCCCGTTCATGAGATCATGTCCGTCTCGACATCCATTTCGTCCTCAGCTTTCTTGCTCTTGCCGTCCGTCTTCTTGGTCGTCTCCGGCACATCTGTCGAAAGAAGACAATCAGTGTTCTCCAATCTTCTTATTCCACTCCGTCCCTCCAAGGTTACATACCCTTCATCTCGACCTCTCCATCTGCCTGCATCTTGCGCTTCAGCGCATACCCCAGCTTCTTGTCAAGCTTTCGCTGCTTCTTAGCGCTGATAGCGGCGTTCGGTCCGCTGTTGGGCAGGAGTCCCTCTCTTGCACCGCGCGTCTGGTCTGCCTTGAGGATTTTGCTCTTCTTGCCCGCCGCCGAGGACTTCTGCCGTTTTGCCCGGAGCGTGTTTGCCCGCGCGGCGAGGCGGTTCTTGGATGGGCCGTTGGGGTTCTTGACGGACGGCATGTTGGGCGATTTCTGAATCTTTCGTGCTGGATTCGACGACCTGCTCAATTAGACTACTATAAGTGGGATGCGACGGTGGCTTTGGGCAAGTGAAAATTGTTGGAGGGGCAGGGTCTGTGGAGATACGTTATTCCGGCCAACTATTTAAGTATGGGGTGCACATGTGATATGGACCTGGAAGCCTGTGGGCCACCTCCCCTTGCCCCATTTTCCCCCCTAAAAAGCCAACCCCCAATTCTCCCAGTGTCCTTCTCAACCTGAATCAAGACAGAAATCCACAAAGACCGTAGAAGATTTGGCTAATTATAGATGACTGGTTCTCCACGAAAGCACTGGGATTGTTTCTAACGCTTTGGGCATCCTACTGTGCATAAATATTTGCAAGAAGGTCAGTTGCATCAAAGTGATCCCCTTTGGCACATTTGCATACCTTCACCAAGCTGTCAGTGAGCGTTCTGGCCCCGTTATATTGCACGTTGCCCGTCGGTATGGCATACATACTACACAGGGCAATAAAGAAATGAGATAAGTCGAACCTACTTCTCGTCGTTATTGTTTCTTTAACCTGAACGTGGATCTCGTAGACTAATTCATGCATGAGAGATTTCTGGCGTATTAGTATAATTAAGTATACCATTACGGCCTGTATTGCCTTTGACTCTCGTAGCTAATGTAGCTATTGCTGTTTATCCCCTCGACAAACATCACAACATCACTAATACTACTTTATACTAGCACAAAACATTATAAGATTTCTTTAAATTGTAGTTATATTTCTTATTGACTCCTGCTATATAAAGGACAGGGGCAGCGCTAAAGTCTCTATTATAGATACTATCGTTATGCATGAAGTTCCCATTTGAACGTAAGAGGCAATACTTACAGATTAATGTCCAGGGCCTAGGTTGCTGCAGAAAACAGGTGAATAAAAGAAAAATGTAAACGTCAAATCACTTGACGGATTCAGCAGTCGAGTACAGTATTGTGTGTAACATAACGTAGAGATGGCAGGTCTATGTCAAAACGTTACAAATAATGGTTATCTAGAAGAGGAAAAATCTCTAGAATTCCCTAATCTAATACTTACAAATTTCAACTCACAATTACGGAGGTATACCTTTAAAAGCATTTACATAAAATGAACCCATTTACCCTCGGAAATATTCCTCATAATCGTTTTGTTTCACGACAACGACAACCGAGACAGCCGCCACTGCTTCATCTTCTGCGACAACTAAATCCGCACCTATGCAGGCGTGAACCCAACTCGCCACGAAATATCCACCGCCTTCATCCCCAGAAATATCGAAACTGGAATTCGCGTCCAAAAGCCCCCCTGTCAATTCTCCAACATCGATATTGAACAGATCCGGCTCCCAGACCGAGTACACGTGTCCAGGGACACTGCCAACCCCACAGACATCTTTGAGGGTTATCACTACTTCCAACAGCATATACACAACGGGTCTTACACGTACGTCGACATCGAGCGCGACTTTTCCAATTTCGCTTTTGGTTAAGGGAAGACATCTCGTTGTATTTCATACGCTCCTGGGCCCTACAGCCAGGAATTATTATCTAGCCAATAATATAATCCCCTGGGTTGGATCCGTTCGCAACCTAGCCATCCGACTCAGGGGATACGAGGACAGTCTCGGAACCATGTGGCGCGCGTAGCCTTCCACCAACCAAAATCAAACTCCTCCGCACCGGCGTCACACAGCTGTTCCTTGTTTTGCCCATCTGGAACCGGGTACCACCAAATTTTGGAGCATAGCTTCGCGCCGTATGAGGAGTTTCTTGAGAGACATGACGGGCTAGATGTGTTGGTGACGGGAGTGTGCGGCCCGAATATACCCGCGTGTGGGATGATATTAATCCGATGGGGACAGGTCATATCGACATGACTGATTTACTCAGTTTTAGCTGGACACGGCTGAAGATGTGACGTGGAACACTCTGTGTACACACACTATCATGTCCATGGCTGCTGCTCAGGGGGAAAAGACTGTTATGCCGCAATTGACTTGATGGTAGATGCTGTTTCTTAATTTATTTATGGACTGAGCTTTCTGTCTCCGTGACGGGGGGACTATGAGGTTATGCAGACATTTTTGTTTTGGCACTTTTTTCCGTATAAGAATAATCGTCCACTGTATTAGAAATCTGAAGAGGCCACCCCCCTGTAGTCGGCCTGTCATTGGAGAGATAGTTCGGGAAAAAAGAGCATATTGAAGCAGATTATTCTTCGAGTATTAATCTGGGTGATCAATGTTCGAATTCCAAAGATGCATCGTCCCTGATGCAAGTGACGATCAACAGACCGAATGTCGATGTGCCGTCGCTTCTGCAAGCTGCCATCAACGCCGTCAAATAATAGGGCTGTCCACGATGCTTGGAATCGGGATTAGTAAACAGGTCGCTGTACCTGTAAGGAAGAAACAATCTTTTCGTACATTATTCATATTATTCCGCAAACGGTGGGCGCTTGAATTCCTATTCGGATGTTCCCAGCAACAAATTGATGAGACGCTCTAAAAGTGCTTTATTGCAACTCTCTCATACACCAACATGTCACGCTAGCAACTTAACAACCGCAAGAGGCCCAAAAGGCCCATGGCAAAGCTTAATACGGCGGAAAAGGTGTGTGCAGGCTGGAACGACCTACAAAGATGAGAACGACAAGACGGGGAAAAGGGGAAAAAAAACCAACTCTTGACTATTCTACCCCGGTTCAAGGTCATCGTCGTGGTCAAGAATAATACCAATAGTCTCGCCGGCAGCTGAGCCAAGAGTAAACGCAGAAGACTCAAGTGATGAATACTCACCCTCTGATGCGGTAAATGGCGGCTCGCGGTCGGGATCACCACCCCATTCGAGATCCGCAACAACTTTATCGGTGTTGGGCGTGAAGAGCGATTTGACTCCGAAGGGGCTACGTGGATTAACACTGGAAGAAGGAAGTCGAGAGTTGCTCAAAGAGATATTGCGAGGGATGGCGACGCAATTCGCCAAGCACAGAAGCCTGATCATTTTGGGGTGCACGAAAGGAGCCATCTCACAGGGACATGATGAAGGCGTTGCTTGACCTGTGAGATATAATGGTAAGTCATGAACACAATAGACGGCGTGCTCCTAGATGGCTTAGCTCGGAAACCTGGCCCGGTCAGTTTGTGTTTCGTCATGTCGTGGACTCTATCTCCAGCCCAACTGCGGTCTAACCCGGAGGTCTCCGCTAATCCCCCAAGATATTATGAATGTATTTCACCCCAACTAGGGTCTGATATATATATTCTCAGGTGAGCCTAACTTGCTCAGCGTAGACCAAATGCAGTCTCGGATGGGTCGATAAGGAGGCAACAGTGTAAACATGGGGATTTCCATGAGCAAATCCCATCTGCTCGCAGGATTGGACTGCAGTAACTTCGGACCCGTCGCACCCACCACGATCAGTCTATGACGGATGTATCGCCATTGCTGGTATGGCGAGCCTGCCTCTCAGGAGTAGTCCCCACAATCCGTAAATTTCCAGATAGTGTTTCTTTTCTTTTCCATTTTTTTCCATAGCGGAACCTAACTCTCAGCCTCCATCTGGAACAATTCGCTGGACCAATCCCGTCCTTTCTGGATTCACTTGTAGATAGATGTGATGAAGGAGATTGAAATAATCTTGTTCAACAAGCTTAAAATGGTTGCATTGTGGTGCAATTTGCATCAGGCCGGCGGCCGTTCTAGAATCGCGGCGTACAAGGGGACTCGAGGGCCATGTTCCGCCAATCGGATTCGCTCAGGACAGACGTTTCTGGAAAGCTGGGTGGTATAATGATCAAAGGACGGACGATGTGGGGTGCGTCTGATGTTTAGTCCCCGGTAATGGGGACTGAAAATCCATATTTGAAACGTGCTAATCGCGATATGGGAAGCCGAGAAAAGAACCTATCGACTAGGCGGATCCTGCATGGTTTCGAATCGGTTGACACCAACACTATACTTTATGCGGGTCTGGCAGGTCTAACAGGTCTGCAGGTGGCCTGGAATTATTAACATAAGGTGAAATAGGCAGTATGAGAGAGCCTCGTATTTCTCAACTATATATTGGAGACTAGTTGGCATCTTGGCACCTCGGCAGGACTGTTTTCTGTGATGATCACCCCAGACTTTCACACATCATAGGCGATTATGGCCCCATCTACGATCGCTCAGAAGCGAACGAGTAGCCGACGGCTTCATTTCGACATGTTGCAGCTCACTTATAAAAAAGGCTTGGAGGAGGCATACTCCAACTGCTTTTCATCGCCTTCTTCAGCGTCAGCGCCTCACAGTCTTTCATTCAAACCCAACTTACTTACACTCTTTAACCCGGGTGGTTAGTCATTCTTTTCAAACCAACCACGAATATCCTCATCAACTTCCCGAGTTCCACTCTCCCCTATCAATCCAATATAAGCTTCAAGATGCAGTTCACCACCGCCATCCTCGCCCTTTTCAGTGTTTCGGCCGTTCTGGCCACGCCGGCCGCCAACATGACCCCGAACGCCTTCAACGTGTTTAACAAGCGGGCCTCGTTCCCGGTACCCGCCTCCAAGGGTTCTGTCACTTACAAGTCGGCCAAGACCTTCTCGGGCACCTTCGACGGTGGCATGAAGACGTACGGCCGGGGCGTCAAGTGCACTGGCCAGGACGAGGGCGACGACTCAGACGCCGTCTTCGTCCTCGAGGACGGTGCCACCCTTAAGAACGCCATCATTGGCGCTGACCAGATCGAGGGTGTCCACTGCAAGGGCTCCTGCACCATCAACAATGTCTGGTGGGTCGCTGTTTGCGAGGATGCGCTGTCCCTTAAGGGTGACGGCGATGCCAAGATCATCGGCGGGTAAGTTCTCCTTTTTCTCCCTTGCCCTTTTCTCTTCCCACTCAAAAAGAGTAATGACACTGACAAACACCTTCCGCAGAGGAGCCACCGGCGCTGAGGACAAAGTGATACAACAAAACGGCATCGGTACGGTGAGCATCGACGGCTTCATCGTGGTCGACTTCGGTAAGCTGTACCGCGCGTGCGGCAACTGCAAGAAGTCGGGCGAACGCAACGTCATCATCAAGAACGTTAAGGCGTACAACGGCAAGCTTCTCGCGGGCATCAACTCCAACTTTGGCGACGTCGCCACCATCTCTAACACGTGCGCCACCAGTGTCAAGAAAGTCTGCACCGAGTTCAAGGGCACCACCCCCGGCAACGAGCCCAAGGAGGTCAGCTCTGGCGTCAGCTCCCACTGCGTTTACTCCACCATCAAGTCTTGCTAAATGGCTTTGCTTTTTGGTCTTGGGGATTTCTACTGCTGCTGGATGCTGTGCGGAGTGGAAAAGGGGTGGGGGTGGACGATGCAGCGTGCTTGAGTTGTGAGCAAAAGAGGTCGCATGATAAGAGACATGATAAAAGTTTTTCTTCATTATGAGGTGGCCTGGTGGCCATTTCTTGAACATACAATACCCGAGGACGGCTGTACACAATTCTTACCATAGAGGACCTGACTTCGGAGTGCGAGACGCTCCCTGAGCGGCGTCTTTACCTTCTACCGTTGTAAATATTATTTATTCTGGTAAACTCAATCACCTGCAGTCTGATGACCAACACGTGAAGTAAATCTTCGACAACCGTATGGTAATTCAGTCCTGTGAACAGTTGGGACGCATTGACGCGATGCTTGTCAAGGCGTGTCCTTAGTGTCGACAGGTTGATTAAAGGTAAGCGCCACGCACCCTAGGTTAGTACAGCATGGAAAACAGGCGCTAATATCACGCAACGTGACAGAAATAATTGCTCTAAAAAGGCCGACTTTCTCCAGGGAAACGACCGCTCCATAATAGCTTCCAGCAACAGCTCCAATAACGGCGTAATAGGCGTTGAAAGGAGAGTATTTCCGTCGCTGTCCCTCGCATATTGCATGTTTGTGGTGTTTATCTCGAGAATGAACGAACACAACTCACCTCTGCCTTCACGACACCGAACTCCATTAAGCCTCCAGCCTTGCATGTAAGTCAAAGCTAAAGACTGTTCTCCATAACTACCATGTTAGATCCGCACTCTCATGCCCCAGATGATGCCCCTTCGCGGACAAACGTCGACAAAGCTAGATGTAGATGAATTCTCGCCGTGGGTTGCATAGCCAAATTCGACTTCCAACACTGGAAATTTCGAGATCCAACTACAGACGCATGTACAGAGGCGAAAGTAGCCAATCTGTGGCGATACGACGCAAATAGAGCGTATAATAGGAGAATTTGGGGGAAGATATCCTCTGGCGGCAGACAAAGACGAGAACGAGAAAGAAGACAACAAAATACCCAGGGGGTCTATAGGGAACATATCTCATGGTCCATGGAGAACAGTCCCGTCCGCGCCTCCCTAGAGGCTAGAAGACGGACGGCGCAGGTGTGCACAAACTCAAAGGATTTGCAGAGACTAGGCTCGCAAGCCGTGCTGTTTGCCAAGATTAGGTAGAGCCTATGCCGTGTCTATCAATCGAGATGAAAAGTAGAACGAAGTATGAGCTTGTATCAGACTTATACAGCATGTGTCCCTTAGGGAGTAAAAAGACGCCACAGGACAACGGCATATGCTCCATGTGGGAGCAATTGGGTACGTGCTTTGGGTTAATCCGTGCGGTAAGGGGAAAACGTGTTTCTTGCAGTCATCTTAGAAGTACTGAATGTAGGCAAATCGACAACCAACCCGTCTACCCATCAGGCCTGCCGAATTCCATACTTTACTCATACGAGAGATATTAGTCATATAATTCTTCCCAACAACCAAAAATTACAACTTTATTAGGCGTAGAATCTAACTGAGTAGAAACCACTTCAAATTCTCCTCGTCATCACATCCATACCCACCCAACCCCTAAAACAGCAACCCACCCAACATCATACCCCCAATCAACGGCGCCGCCACGGGAAACATGCCTATCCCCCCTCCATATCCATTCCCATAGGGCCTCTGGTACGTCTGATATGGCCTTCCCACCGATCTTCCATGCATAAGCCCAACATCATAAAACCCATCAGGACGAATATGTCTCGCCCCTACCGGCACCGCTGCACCCTCGCCGTAGAACACCTCCTGCATCTGCGAGTTGATGCGCCGCACGCTCTTGACTCCGGGGTACCGCGACCCGGGAGGCTCGAGGTAGACGTCTGAGCCATTGTCGTCTTTCCCTAGGAGTTGGGGTTGGCCGGTTTGAATGGCTTTTTGCAGACCGGTGCGGAAGAGCAGGTGTTGGCGGTAGAGGTCCCGTTCTTGTTTTTCGCGTTGTTGGCGCGCGGCGAGGCGTTGTTCGTGGGTTGAGCCCGTGAGCTTGTCTTTGAGGCGACGGCCGAACCCTTGGTGTGCGGCTGCAGCAGTCGAACCATCAGAGGCACCAGTTTGCTTGTGCTTCTGTTGTGGTTTACCATGCCCAAGACTGAGATTTTGGTGATGTGTCCCCTCCCCTTCTTCATCATCCGTTGTCTCGGCTGTGATATCCTCCTGCATAGGATGGCGCACAAGGCCCTTGATACGCGTCCTCTCTTCCGCGGGCAATGATTTCATGTACTCGTCGTCGTCGTAGGGGTGATGCCAGATGGACCGAGGCGCCGGGTCGGCCCGCGTGTCCACGAAGAACTGATGATTGGTCTCCGGGTCGTAGGTACGCACCCAGCCTGGCGGCAACTCCCGTAGTTCATCTTCCATACTGCGACGGGCGTTCGGTGGAATTCCATTCCGCTCGATGCGCTGGAAGGGCGGGAGGGGGCTGTCCGCCGTGGCTTGTTCGTAGGACGGTGGGGCGGCGGACATTTTGCTGGTGTTCGCTGGACTGGTCCTTAGTGTTGTCAAGAAAAGTTCCAAATCTACAAAGTAGGTGCGGTATGAATGGCTGGTTGTGTTATGAGACGTATTTGAAAGCGCCTCCATCATTAATGGATGCAGATGCCGGCGACTTGGCGACGTCATCGTGACACCCCTAACCTTGGAATACGCTAAGTCTCATCGTCCACCACGCACATAGTTGGCCAATAACAAGATTGATGCAAGTGTCGGCCCGCGTAACATGGAGGCTCGTATCTGAACATAAATTCAAAACAGGAGAAGAGTTTACGATGCAGTTGACGCAAAATAAATGTTGCGTTCACCCCAGTGTCGCTCTTCGCTGTACATTGTCTAGTATGTGGATGACCCTGGAGAAAGATTGGAAAGCCTCGGTCGTCAAGGTTTAGGGCAGTGTGCCTTATATATCTTGTGTATTCTTTTGTTTGACTTAGGCGTTACGGATGAGTTGGCAACAGCAAGTTATTAAAAATAAAAACTCTGCCTAAGCTCACGATCGCATCAACTTGTCAAGTTGCAGAGATGAAACTGACACAATACGTCCCCTAGAAGCCAATTTAGCCGTGATTTTGTTACTTTACACTCTAATAATATGCATACAGATACTCCTGAAATATTCACAACCCTTGTCAAGAGTATTTGTGAGTATAGCCTTCCCAACGCACACCCCAGAATCTACAGCCTTCGAAGCCACCTATCCACTACTATCTCTTGAGACTGCCCCTTGCTAATGATTTGTTCGACTGAAAAATTCTCCTAGCAATCTCAAAACCAATCTTCTTCTGAACATGCGAATTCATAGCCAAGCTATCGAATCAGTCCCGAATTTTAACACTACCTTCAAACGGCTAATCCACTGCAAACATAACTCTATCCTTGCCCGTCCATCTCAGCTTATACAACAATGTTACCTCATCCCATGTTCGAATCTGGGTAAAGAAAACGGCAACCCCACGTCGCATGCTGCGCCGCCTCAGAGACAAAACCCCCACGCCACCCAACTCCTTCACAAAGCGCTGCAGTTTCATCTCCGCCGTAACGAAATACTGCAGCACGCAACTGCTACAAAACTCAAGCCGGAAGGACCGATTGCCGTTCTCATAAATGCGGGTACTCTCATCGTTTAGGTACGCCGCGGAATACGTCGCCAAGCTAGGATCAACAGTCTCTTGGATACCCGGGACCCGAGCATCAGGACCGAGACGGAGATACCAGCCGCGACAATGGCGGCGATAAGGGACTCGGCGTCGTTTATGCGGGAGGCAATGTAAGTAAAGTACATGGGAAGGGAAAGGTGCTCCTATTGTTGGTGTGGTTCACGAAGGGGGTTATGATGATGTCCAGGAAGAGAACGTTGCCTACGTGTTCTTCGAGGGCAAATTTGCCTAAGATAGAAGAGTATTGGTCGAAAGAAGGTTGGGCGCTCGGAGGTGAAGAGGACTTGTTGGGGGGCTTCGGTTTGGGCCGAGATCAGAGAGATGGGCAGCAGAGTCAAGAAGTGGCAGAGCCGATGGGTGGCAGTATGAGGAGCCATTTCTGATAGTTTGCGCCATAGAATATGTCACTTTTCGAAGAACGCGGTATGGAAGCGGACTTCGCATCAGAGAGATAGCAGATATGTTGAAAGACCAATCCAATATAGCATCCCTGGTCAACCAGAAACTGAAGCCCTTCGGGCAAGCCAACCGCAAGCTCTCAAGCTATTGGCGAGAGTTCTCTAGAACCAATCAGTTCTGGCCGACCAGTGCGGAAGTGGTCCTTCAGTTTAGACAGCGATCTATTGATAATCACCAGCCGTAGACCTGAAAGATTCCAAAATAATCAATTAGTAACGCTTTTATCTGGAATAATCAAGTCCGGAATTACTTTCTGCTAGTTTGGGCTACGTAAGCAGAAATTTCAGTTTCATAGTAGGCCATGCTCACATCGGCTACTGGCTCAATGGCGCCTCGAACTGCGCGAAGATTTGGGAAATATTCGACGTCTCGCTCTAATTGCCATCGAATCCAAGTAGACTGATGTATATATATGACATCGCCATTATTGGGCTGTGTCCTATGTCTCTATCTAGAGAGCACTCCCTTTACATATGCGCTGGTGCCATCAGATCAACCTGCGAAATATTCGCCAAGTGAAGAAGCCTTTTTATTTGTGAAGCAAAGAAGTCGAAATAATCGCATATTAGGCTAGTAAGATAAGACATCTCCTTTCAGATGGTTCAGTTTAGGTACTGAATTCCTGCATGGTTGGAACACTGATAGTGAGCAAGTTATTTCCCTTCTCGTCTGGATCATTGCCGCTTGCTCTCTCAGCTACGATTGCTTCCTCGATTCCTTATACTAGCCTTGGAATCGAGCTCATAGACCTCTCTTTATCCCAGGCAGCGTCGATCATTTTGTTGTGTGTCTTCGACCATATTTCCACCTGTGCTTTGCCATGTCCGATGAGATTCGAGTCATCGATCGCCAAAATAAGGCATGCGTCTAGTAATTGATCAAACAACCGGAATATTGGACTTTGAGACCGCTGAATAACTACTCGAAACTCGAGAGATAGTGCAACGCCATAGACCCTCCAGGTATTGACCCTAAATACGAACTCTGATGTCCTGTTTAGCCACGGGCTTAGTTTCGCCTCTATAGTATGGTAGCTATACAAGCTTGTATTACGTGTAGTGGGCAAAGCTGATGGCCCTTGGTCTCGACTTTGAGCCATAGACGGCCGTAGCTCCATAATTTCATGGATCTACCCTCTTTTGCACTTCCTTTTGATATTCAGTAAGGAGACTGATAGATGATATTTTATTTTCTTAATTCAATGTATTTTTAAGCTTATTTTCTTACTAGTATAAACAAACCCTCATTTAATTTGAAACTTGGCAATCTCACTTTTGATGCGTCAACAATAATCATTCTTAATCCTTTAATCTCCTTTTGATTTTGATCTCCGTGTCACGGTCTGGGGGCATACCTCCAGTACCACAGGCGGCCGTCTCGTTTTTCGGCGCTCGATCAGAATTCGATCCATCAAATTTTGTCCATCGGACAAATTCCATGTCAAATTCCGAAACGAAGCTCGCAATTGTCAACATAATCTGCTTCTTTGCATAGAAGCGCCCCGGACAAATGTGTGTCCCGCCACCTATACGAGATAAAAGTTAACTCGGCCCTGACGGTACGGGGAAGAAAATGTCCCGTATGGAAAATGTGACCCCGTACGTCCCGATAGAGATAACTGGCCTTTCGGCTTTGTGTTCACACCAGAGACCTCGAACTTCTTCTCATAAGTGTACCTGATATGACGGTAACCCCAGAACTCAGAAGCGGCATGTCCCTTCACCCCCCAGGCATCTTCGTCGTAATGGGCTACTAGCGTGGGCACGTGTAACATGGCACCAGGCGGCACCATGTGACCGTCCAAGCTGAATGGCTTCCTCACATCACGCATGAGATTGAAGCTCAACTTGCCTTGCTCAAACAGAGTATCTACATGTCGACAAAATCTGAGGTAGTGGCGTAATAGAGATTCGAGCCTCGCGGGTGAGTCGGCCGGTACCATTTCGTCGAATGTCTTTGTGTAGAAATGAACTATCCGACTGAGTGCCCATAGAAGATTCATCTCGTCATCAGTGATCTGAATATCACTCGCGGCGACATGACCATCGGGTGCACTGAGCACGTAATCCATCGTACAAAATATCTTACGGTCATCATTCGCATCCCCTCTGAGAACCTTGAAAATCACCTGGTCTACCTGAACGGCAGCATTCGAACAGCCAGTAAGGTACACATCAGTGTTCCCCGTGAATCTGGACCCGGGTTTTTCGGTGTTCTCAGGATTCAATATCGAATCCATAACCATGGTGTCGCGGTCCTCGGCAGACTCAAAAACAGCCTGGTTCACGCGAATTTTGGAAATGGTCGTGGGCAGGTGCAGATTCCGCAGCCGGCCATCTCCCGGGTAGCTGTATGCAAGACTGATGGCCTGGAACATGGCATCAAGATCAACGGCATGAACCAGCACTGCATCGCGGTCAGATGCGTTGGCTCTCTGTGTGACACAAGCTGCCCTGCCAAGCTTCCGCTTGTTGTCCATCAAGGAGCGGAACGGGCCAGTGAAATTGTACCCAAGGCTGTCCATGTGGTTGTACAGACGACTATGTTCGACGGGTACCATGTCTATTGGCGTCTCTTGACGCTCTGGAAACAAGCTCGTCGAAGGCTCTCCGAAGGAGATCTTCAGCAAGCCTTCAGACACAAGTGTCAGCTCGGGGTTGTCTCCGCCAAGAGCAGCCGAGTAGGTGAATCTCGCTATTACATGGTCCGGTAAAGTTTCCTGGATGTGCGTTGCCTCGATCAACACCTCAACGCCCGCATCGCCTCTGAAACTGATAGCTTGGTGGATGTGCATGCCATCGATCTCGATGAGACGAATGCTCTTCTTGTACTTGTCTCCCAGTGCACGTGTTACCTCGAGGGCTGTGGATACGTAGCCACCCGCGGGGAATACGAGCTGGTTTTGGACAGAGTGTCCTTAAAGCCACTCGAGTTCCGACCAATTTTTGGCGATTCGTGGGATGTACGACCGATGCTTTCCCATCTTGTCGGGCTTGCACGTCCTGCCAGATGATATTGACCTAGTGTGATGGACTGGATGTGCTAAGTTGCCCACGCAGGCCCTCGTGTACACAGTTATGCTACGACCTCTTTACAATGTCTACTTCCATCCCTTGCGGAAGTACCCTGGCCCCAAACTTTGGGCAGCTTCCTCAATACCTTGGGGTTTCAAGTTCATGAGCGGCGACTGGCATCACACCATCTTAGACCTGCATCGTCAATATGGCCATGTCATCCGGATTGGGCCGAACGAGCTATCTTACGATGTTCCGGAGGCCTGAGATGACGTATACGGTCGGTCCAAGGGCCGGAAGGAGATCCCTAAGCCGACGTGGTATCTGAGTCCTAGACGCAAAGAGATTGTGGGAGCCGAAGAGCAAGACCACGACGGGATGCGAAAGCTTCTGGGGCCCGGTTTTACCGCCATATCCATGTATGATCAAGAGCCACTCGTCAAACGGAATGTCGACCTGCTCATGGATCGCTTCGCGGAAAGAACCCGAGACGGCGGGGGCGAGACAAAGCTAGACATCATATTGGAGTGGCTCTCCTTTTGCACCTTCGACATTATCGCGGATATGACCTTTGGAGAAACATTCGGCTGCTTGCGAGAGTCTAGACTACACCCGTGGCTAGCCTGGGCCTTTGATGATATTAAGTTGAGTCATAAGCTCGTTCTGTCTTTCCGGATCCCTTTCTTCGCCATATTTCTCCCTCTTCTGGATATATGGAGGCTTTGGAGAAACGCAAGGCGTTTTGAGACAAACATGCGTGGCTACATCGACCAGCGCTTGGCTCGGGACGAGCCCGAGCAATGGGATTTTGTACAGTTGATGCGAAAGAAGAGGGGAAATATAGTATGTACCTAACCCGAGGAAATAACTCGTTTGGTATTGAAAAGTCTTACCGTTCTTCTTTCCAGTATATGAAAGATGAAGAGCTGTACCGCAATACCGGCTTGCTCACGCTTGCTGGATCTGAAACGACCTGCATGACCAGCACGGTAGAGCTTTACTATATCGGGACGTACCCTGAGGTTAAAGCCAAGATCTCGAAGGAACTCGCCGATGCCTTCACGAGCGAAGAGGATATTAATTTGCACAGTGCCGCAAAACTTCCATACCTCATGGCAGTCATCGAGGAAAGTATGCGACACCATCCTCCTGGGCCAAATTCTCTATGGCGCGTCACACCGCCCGGAGGCAACCGAGTCATGGGGGATTTCGTCCCTGGAAACGTACGTACTATTAGAATTTCAGTTACACTCTGTGAAGTATCTGAACAGAGCTAGCTGACCGCAACATCCTCAGACCGTCTTAGGGGTCCCCCATCGAGTCATGTATCGCAGTGAGCACAATTTCAAGCACGCAGACCAGTTCATCCCAGAACGATGGATGGACAATTCAGAAAACTCGCCGTTTTCCAATGATCGTAGAGAAGCCTTTCATCCTTTTTCTTATGGGCCTCGAGTCTGCCTGGCCATGAAGTAAGCCCGGTTGTCCACACACGCATGAGCAGAAATTACAAAGCTTCCAAAGAACTAGCTGACTGGAATTACACAGCCTCGCATATGCGGAAATGCGCTACATTCTGGCAAGACTGCTGTGGAATTTTAACTTCGAGATCAAACCGGATTGCCGCGACTGGACTACAAGTCTCCGGTCGTGGCTTATTTGGGAGACAACTCCTTTATGTTTAGTTTTAAAGCCGAAGAAAAGGTAGAACAACGTTATTTGCACGTATTATAGAATCCAGATGGTGATTGCTTATTGATTTACTCCATCTTGCCCTCGTTCTTCCAATATAATTACTTCAAATATCGCTTCTTCCTTACATGTGGCTGGTGAATATGTTTAGGTGTCTAATGAACACCGCGTATCGGGACTTAATCGATAGTACAGAGCAACATTATGATCAATGAAAATCACCCTTACCCTCTTCATCCACTATCACATGTGCTTGCAAGATCCATCTTCTGAATTTAAGCTAGCATGAGTTAAGATATCATGGTTCCTCGTCAAGGGTCTCTGCATGCCTTCAGGGGGTATTCGGTCGAGACGTTCGAGATGAACCTTGCGGCAATGATTCCCCTCCAGCTAATGGCGGGGAAAGGCCTCGACGAAACCAGGCTCCGTCTAGAGAGGACATATGGAAGTTTGCAATGTGGTATCCCATAGTGACCATCTAGAGTGACCCCTTTCTTTGTATCACGTTATTAAATAACAAATTTATGAAGGCATGCGGTCTACGATCGGACGAATGCTGACCTCATATGCTTAGTGTGCTAGAGTACGGCGTTTCCACAAACATACGTATAGCAACATGTCATGGTTGCCACAGCGAGGCAGACTGCTCATATGATATGGTCTGTTTACTTGGTTGCTCTGCAGGGCGTAACCTTAGTGTACGCATTTTCATACGCGACATTCACGTCACTCTGCAGGTCGAACTCAAGTCCAGCAATACGATCTGATACTGATGGTAACGTTCTTTTCGAATCGAATCAGATCAAATAAATCATTCCTTATTGCTACTTTGATTTGTTTGCTGGGACCTTGATCATGTTACGCACTGACGAGTGCTTTGAAATGGAAATGCCCACAAGTGTCTATCGGCATTCCCGGACGATTCGAAGAACAAAGTGTGCGTAGACAGTCATAACTGTAAACAGCGATGGGATATCATAAAATAAAGTGGTATCTTGCGTTATAAATGGCAAAAGCTGCCGGCGGGCTTTACCACTCCAACCTATCATCGTACGTTAATCGAACATCAAACCTCTCATTACCCTTCCATACTTTCGCCCCCGAGTTACAACTTGCAACAATTGCTCTCAAGTCGCTAATCATGCCTCCCGGTCCGCTCGCATACACTGTCGTGGGACCCCTGACGGTGTTCTCGACAAACCGACCCACCATTTTCTGTAGGTCTGGATGCGTGCCCGATTCTCGGCCACCGATGCGCTTCACCTCCAATGAAGAGCTGGACAGGGCCCCATTCAACGAAGACGATGAAGAGGAACCTGAGCCGGTTTCCTTGACGTTTGCGTCCTTCTCGCTTGTCTTGCTGTCATCGAGTAACGATGCTGAGCTCTGCTCGCGGGTGACGAAAATGTGGATGGGGACCTCGTGTGTTTTGGCCGCCTGCCGGATGATGTTGAGTTCTTGCTCCACCCATCCCATGTCGGCTCTTTTGCGGATTGCCCAGATCAGCTCGATTTTGCGATCAGTCATGGCCGGCTGTTGGACAAGGCTAAGCAGTACCGGGAGTACGTAGGTGATGCCCGTACCGCCGGCCACACAGAGTACATTGACGTGTGGTGTCAGGTTTTCTGCGATGGACTCGCCGTACGAACCGGAGAGAATCAAAGGTGTCGTCGCGGATTTATTTTCTGACAACTTTTTCAATGCCAACTCTGCGACTTTCTTCGTCTCGCCTTTCTTGGCCCTGAAAATGTATGAGTGGGCAACAACGCCGCCCTTGACAACTGGCAGGTTAAGTGGCGTGAACGGGTGGGACTGCCAGATGCTGCACTCAGCGAAGCAGATATAGAAGTGCTGTCCAATTTTCCAAGCATCTTGCGAGTGTGAGAAGTCCATGCGGACGACATCACCGTGTTCCGCATCGGCAAAGTGAGTGAGATTCGCATGTGCCGCCTTGAATCCGACGGAGCCATCAGGCAAAAACCCATAGTGGAGCATGGCCGACCTGGCATACCTAACGCCTCGGTCCAGAAACCAAATGAGCAGCCCTGGCAGCAAAAAGCATTTGAGTTGTTCCCAATGTCCCCAACACGCGCCAATGTAGAGCATGGCTAACACGTAGTGAGCCTTGCGGAAGAATTCGTATCCCGTCAACCGAATGGCGAACGGCATGCTCAGGACGAAAAGGAGGAGGAGCAAGGTCATGGCGACAAGTCCCCAGATCATGTAGGTTTGGGTGATCCATTCCACGGCGGTGGTGGGCTGAGGGTTGTACAGCTTGATCTCGACGATGCACCACGACATGGTGTGGAGGGACCCCTGAGCAAAGATGATGTATCCGAGCCATCGGTGGAGGAAGTTGAAGCTTTGATAAGGAACTCCAGTCAGCAAAGAGAGAATCGACTCTCGGCTGGATAGCAAAATGGATAAAGGGGTGAGGGCGTAGGCGAGGATTCCGACTCGGTCTGACCATGGACCGATGCTCGTTCGGGTGTTGTACAGACCGGGGGAGCTCTTGACAGGAGTTATCCAGGTTTTATATGTGATGCCAACAAAACTCCATATCAACAGATATCCTGAAAGGACCGCCAGAACCAGCACTTGGAGGCGGGTTGTTCTGCCAAAAACAGACCGCACCGAGTCCGGGAGGAGATATGAGCGTCCGTAGCAGGCCAAAGACCTCCTCAGACGGGAGGAACTGCTCTTGGCCGCCAACTCGCGCTCGGTGTCGACGTTGACGATTTCATCGGCCCGTCGTGATGGCCAGAGTCGGCGGCCAAGCGCCCAAAGAAAGAGTACACCGCCTAACGTGCACCATAGGATCCCGGAGTAAAGCATGCCTCGGTCATGGGACCCGTAGACGAGATCCAAGTAGGCACAGGATCCGGCATCGTTGGTACATGGAACCGCGCGCGAGACGTAACCCCAATGCGGCTCTAGACTCGATGCCTCGGTATAGTTCTGGATGTGGCGGGCAGCCAACGGCTGATCCATGGTCGCCATGGCTTAGGATGGTCGCGATTTCGCCTCAGCTGAAGATAAGTTGGCGAGAGGTTGGGAGACCAACGGCAGCAGGCGCGCGACAGCGAGGTCGACAGAGACGTCGAGAGTCGGAGGGGAGAGGTTGAAGGTTTGCGACTGCGTCTCTAGTCGATCTGCTAGGCCTGCACGACGCGGCGAGCGACGGACGGTTATATGAAGCGCTGGGAAGGCCCATTTTGACTTTATCCATACCTCTGGGATTGTCTCTTCCTCGAGCCAGGCCCCCCGCATCACCACGAACGCATTAGCAATGCAAAGTTGTTCTATCGCCGCTGCAAATTTGGCAGTTTGACCGAAACCTGCTCACCTTTCCACCGCGGCTGCACCATAACGCAGTGTAAAGTTCGACGCCAAGGTTGCACAGGCCTAAACAGGCTCCATCCCGTGGGTATTGCTGCCCGCCTTGAGGGCAATTGAGCACGTTTTTCAGGGGTGCTTAGCGCTACCAGATCTCTCCACTTGGACACCTGGGTGTTGCTGCTACGGTGACTGTCGGCCGTTGGATGGCTCAACGTCGTTGGCCCAAAAGTTCGGATACTCCACCACCTCTCACTAAAACCTCCATCACTTGCGCCATGGGTCCAGTACTTCCCGAAAGTTGACACTGTAATGTTCAGAGTGGACTGGGTCTCAGCTCCACGCTCCCCTCGTTTCGTATATGTTGTCCGCTGCCCCGTTTGCCGTTGCCAACCTTTTGATTGAATTCCGTATGAACATCATTCGAGAATCGAGAATCTATACTTGGCGGTTAGCGATATTCTGCTCTATTGTGCTCTTCCCAAGCTGTCGACCCGACCATCTGCTCATTTCTCTTCCTGTCGTAAAAGGCTGCGAGGCGAGCGAAACCCTCGCACTATTCTCACTTACTGAACTGCCAAAGTCGAACCATATTTTTCAAATCTCAAGAGCGCGTAAATTTCAACTTCGCGAATCACCGGAAAGCAGTCTTTGGCCAACATGGACGACATGGATATGAGCTCAAATAGCACCAGTGATTGCAAGATCACCGTACGTATTTCTTTAGACGCGACGAATTACGACCAATCACTGACATGCGCCACAGATGCTTTGGAATTGGTACACAATCGACGCATGCTTTCTCTCCACGTCATGGCACATCACCAACAACGGCATGTTCGCCGCCACTTGCATCGGCATCATGCTCCTCGTGGTCATCCTCGAGTTACTTCGGCGCGTCGGCAAGGAGTTCGACGCTCACATCTTGCGCCAATTCCAACGTCAAGTGGAGGTCCAGGCGTCGGCACCCAAAGACACCACCAGTAGCGGGAACGGCTGCGGAGACACCCGTCCGCCCCCACCTGCCCCCAGGCCCCAAGTCGTCGTCTTCCGCGCCACACCACTACAACAGCTCATCCGCTCCGTAATCCACGCCGTCACCTTCGGCTTGGCGTACGTTGTCATGTTACTGGCCATGTATTTCAACGGCTACATCATCATCAGCATCATCATCGGCGCGGGCATCGGCAAGTTCCTCTGCGATTGGATGGTGCACAAGGTCGTTGTGGGGACGGCAAGTGAAAGTGAAGAGCCAACTGGTATCGAGGAGCCGTCGGTGTGTTGTGGTTGAGCGCAGGTGGTGAAGAAGGATGGCTTAAAGATACCCAAATAGGGGCGTAAGGAGTTTCGGATTGCAGCGTGCCATTTTTGGGGCGCAGCTACTGTTTGATCAAGATTGACCCTCTCGAGGCTTGATCCTGTCGATGCATAGCACCATCGATACTGGCGTGATTGCCAATTAAATTCCATTCATCAAATGCTATCGTAAATTGACGAGGTGAACACACAGGAGACGTGCACTCCACCATGCGCAAGCCAAGGTTCTTGGACGAGTATATGATCGGGTATGTATGCCATCGCGCATCCCATTGACCCCAACAATGTTGAATGGTAGTAAGCTTGCCGTCAGCTATTGTCTAATACCAGGAAGTTATCATTCTCTTTCTTCTATAGGATTCATCTCGAGTTTTTATCATACGAATCTCGACCAAAGGAATGTTGCTTACCAGCCACAGATAAGCCAATGACACGATTTGATCGACCCCACGCATCAAATATGGGTACTTTTTCCCTTTTGGGGAAATGCATCCCGCTCGTTCGATGCCGGGCTGGACTAGTCCTGCGGGAGCTGTAAATTCTGTATGCCAAAGGCCACTGGCGTAGCTTCCGGCCTGGTTGCGGAGCTCTAGCCGGCTACTGGCCCAGATCTGGAGATAACATGTTCGGGGAAGATAACGGGGGATCGTCTATAGACGCCCCCTCCTACGACTCCTTTGGCTTCGTATAAAAGGACTTTTTCCACAACAAATAACAAATTATCATCCGAGACACTCATAGCAATCGAGTAGGGCTTCAGAATGACGAGAAGCCAAGACTTCTGGCCGATGGGCCTTTCAAACCCGCCATTATTGGCCCTATCCGCTGTCGCACTGGTCCTTGGGCTCGGATTCTTTCTAACCAGCAAGCTTCTCACACGACGCAGGCCCATCCCGGTCCCTGTAAATGAGAAACCAGACCCCTTCCCGAGTTCCATCGTATTCCCGCCCTCCCGGCGCCACACCCTGGCCAGGCTCCTCCCCAGCTCCAAGATCGCCACAAAGCAGAATGTTATCCCTCCGCATGAGCTGCGGAGGAAGCAGCTCACTACGACTAAGGTGCAAGATCTGGATAAGCCGGACCAGTATACGCCAACGGGGTTCTCCACCCAGGAAATCAAGGCTATGGGCCGCTTTCCGGACTATTCGGTGCTCAGCGGCGTGGCGCACCCCCAACCGAGCCATTCATTCGACATCTCCAAGGCAACGTTCCGGCCGTTTCGGCCGTTACGGTGGACGTATCACCAGACCATGGGTAAGAGGCCATCCCATTTCCTCCTTGTGAATCAGACATCTAACCAACAACACAGCCCTCATGAAGCTCGAAACAGACTACTGGCTAGAACTAGAACACAACTACCACCGCCGCATGAAACAGCGCCTTGCCCTCCTCGAGGAACACGGCGAAAAGGTTCTCTTCTGGTGTCCCGGTTCCGAGCTCGCCAGCCGCGAGCTCATGGAAATGGTGGTGCAATTTTTGTGCATCCGATACCCGCACTACTTCCAGCTCGAGCAAAACAACACGGTCTTGCGCAACCGGTTGCTTGACACCGTTACCGAGATTCCGTCCATGCACCCGCTTCAGGTGTTGTTTAACAATGTGCCCGAGGACTTTGCCGTCATGTGCCGAAATGAGGAGGATGGACTGTACTATTTGCGTAGCGCGATGATATGTAGTTCGGTGGGCTGGAACATTGGATTGCATAAGAACAAGGTGCTGAGGCGGATTCATGATAACGTGCCACAGTGGGAGGAGAAGATGGCGTTTTCTGTCGATCGGTAAGTCGTATCACGTCTTCATGTCCTTTCCTTACGCCTCTCTCTCTCCTTCCTCTTTGCCTCCCCTGCACCGGCGAGGATGTCTCACGTATTGATATAAATATTGACTAACACGCCCTCAGCTGGTTCACCAAACTCCCCGTCGACAGGCCCGGCCAGCGCTGCTCTTGGGGTATCGAAGACTGGGAAGCCTTCTTCTGCCCAGAAACCCATCCGCGCAGCGCCTTCGCCCACGACCCCTCCTCTTGCACCGTGAACGACCTGCAGCTACGCTGCGACTGGCAGACGCTCCGTCGGCTTCCCATCTCAGGCTCCATCATCTTCAACTTCAAGGCCGTGTTTACGCCCTTCACGCAACTGAAGGACGAGCCTTACGTGCCGAGATTGATGCACACCATTATCACTCGTACGAGTCGCGATTTGATCACTTATAAGATGGAGGAACACGTCGAGAAGATTGCGGTTGAGGCGCTGGAGAGCTGGGCTAGGAAACAGGAAGAGGATGGGGTTGTGCCAAGGGATTGGGAGGTGGGCACGCTGGAGGAGCATCCGTATTTTCCGGGGTGGAACAAGAAGGAAGAAGGGATGCCGGTTTGTCCTGTCTTGGCTTGATGAGGACGGGCGAGGCAGGGTGTTGGAATACCGGTAAATTGAGAGTGGATATCATCAGTCCGCCCTCTCTTTTAGGACTGGGGCTTGCAAGTTTAAGATATGTCTTAACTTCAGGGCATGGAATTTTGATTTCACTCATGATCGTTCCAAGTTGCAAATTCATATGCTTCGAAGTGCTGTAGCTTAGGATACATCCCAAAGAAGACAGATACCAGAAACAAAACATCTACAAGATTCGATATAATTACCCTCTACGTCGTAAAGCCACTGAAGTAACCCCCAAGATGCCCGGCTCCTCAAAGTATCTGTATGTACCTGTAGTTATGCCCATGCCAACTGTTGGCAATACAGAAGCATGGTATCCTGTAATTAGCTGCCAGTAGCAAGGGCATATGCTGTGCAGGCCCGATGCTGGGATGTGTCGGTTTGGATCAACATACAATAGCATCCCGGAGTCCACAGAAAGGGGATCAGTTCTTCACCCCGAAGACCAATAAGTACTCCTCGAGTCTATTCCACAATTTTTAAGTCTGTTTCAGAGCACGTTTTGGCAAAATGGAGACTGTAAAGCTACAACCGCATCGAGATTACACTGGGATCTATAACGTGTGTCTTGGTCAAACGTCGGGGCGAGAATGGGATCACCAACCGCAACCCTGAGTTCCTTGTGTGCTCCTGTTTGGTACAATACGCACCCAGCTTTCATCATGACTACTGACGTAGGCAGTTTTTGTGAATCATATTTTCGAATGAAAATATGTCACAAGTCTGTTTCTGGAGGGATGTAAGGATGTAAAAGGACGCACTCTTGATAACAAGAGGTACAGAGGACAACAGCAGAGAAAATTAGCACAGAGAAGCAAAGACGAAGAGGGCAAAAAGACCAGAGAGAGAGGGGTTCTTTGATTTTCAAGCTGGTTGGGTGCTGGGACTGGATATTAGGAGCCTACCCCAGAAGCAATTCAACGACATTCGAACAATCTACGTATATCAACACTCAAACGATCAATGAAACTACAGAGGCTGCAAATTCTGTTCCTGCACTGCCATGGTGCTGCTGACAATTCTAGGAAGTAGTTACACTCAGGCTCTCTTACTCGTCTTATTTTATATTCTTCGCCCTTTCATAAGTACGATTATTACGGCATTCGAGAAGACGCAAAATTTATAATCGAAGAAAAAGAAAAGACAATATATCGATATTGAGTTCATATTCGCCCAGATATTTATTGGATTGGTTATGAAGGTCTAAGAGCGCAGACTTGAGCAGCATTCGTAATACCTAAGCACCTAAGTTTTGACGCCTGAATCAACCAAGCAGCTTATTACGGGTCCGTGCTGTGAGTACAGGCCAGAAAACAAGAAATCCCCTCTCTGTCTCTCTGTCTGACAATGTTGTTCAGGTTCTTCGCAGTCCCTCAAACTCGAAATTGAGATCCTTGACCTAGCGCCACTGTGGCTGTGTACATGACTAACTGCCAGTGCAACCTCATCATGTCATCTGTGAGCTCCGTCATGACATTCAAAACACGACATTGCCTCCCCAGATCGCCATAAAACATTCATTCTACCGCATGGATTCCCTTTCTTCCTTCGTCGAGCCCTGGAAACAGTCTGTTCATAAGGCAAGCAGTGAGCAACCCAAGGAATTTCCGGATTACTACCAACCTCGCAATGCAGAATGTTTGATTGCGACTTCCCAGCCACGATCCTTTCAACTTGGCACAGGCGCCTCTATCTACACAAACTCTCTTCTTCCGGCAATTTTTGAAGCCCAACACGAGGTTACACTGGTGACATGTTTCTGGGCCTTTTCCAGCACACTTACCGCATTGAGGGACACTCTCGAGCAGCTGGCCGAACAGCGAAAGCAGCTCATCCAGACAGCTGCGGCAGGTGGGCCGGACGCAGATGATGTCCCTCCCCTCCGCATTCGCATCTGCTTTTCCTCAAGATCACTTTGGCAGAAATTGTTTCACACATCGTCCAAAGATGGATACGTGTACCCTCCTTCTACATGGCCCACCCAGCTTGGATTGCCAAGTAGAGGCATTCTGGAGGCCGGAGCAATCGAGCTCCAGGTAAAGAGCCTATTCTTCTTGCCTTTCAGCGTCATGCACCCGAAATTCCTTATCGTCGACCGCAAAAGAGCATGGTTGCCTAGCTGCAATGTTAGCTGGGAACCTTGGTTAGAGGGCTGCGTCGAGGTCACCGGCGACGTAGTGCCGGGCCTGGTGAGATTCTACCAAAGTGTATGGGACAGGAAGCTTGGTGAACCGGACTGGGACGCCAGAAGTAATTATGATCTCACGGGTGGCTTGGATACCCACTCCTCTATGCTATCTCCGCTTGGACTGGCCCGGATTCAAAGTCCAGCCAGTCGATTTGCAACCACGCCTGGCACGGCAGTACCCACTCTGCTGCTACCGTCATCGCACCATCGCAACCCAAGATTCCGTCCATTTCCTTGGCCGAGCTCACCCACGCCGCCCTCTACACCGCTCAATATAGCCATGCTCCGCCTGTTCGAGATGGCCCAGCACACCATTTGCATCCAGACTCCAAACTTAACCACAGCTGCAGTCCTCGATTCAATCTTGGACGCCGTAAAAAGGGGGGTCGACGTCACTGTCGTGACTAGCAAAGGGATGATGTTGCTGGAACAACTAGTCACTGCTGGAACGACAACCTCTATCTGTCTGCGATCCCTTATCCGACGGTACAAGAAGCTGATGCATGCGCAAGGCGACCGGGCAGTCCAGAGAGAGAGCAGCGATGCGAGGGAGTCCGATCCTGTGATCGACCTGGAAGCTCATCAAAGGCCAAATTTCGGCAGGCTAAAGGTCTCGTACTTCCATGCGGATACCGATAATCGCCGCCATGACATCTCCGAGGAGCCCGTTCACTCTCATTTGAAGCTGACCATCGTCGACGGACAATTCACAGTTCTTGGGTCTGGCAACATGGACAGGCCTAGCTGGTTCACCAGTCAAGAGCTCGGCATCATGTTTCACTCGGCGGACTTTGCGAAAGTCGTAAGCGATAATGTTGCCGAGGTTTTGAAGGGCAGGCTCACCACCGTTTTCGATTCGGCGCAGGAGTAAAAGATGACGTGTTGAGCTTTGAACCATTGCCAGTGCGCGCCTCACTGGCCATCATGAGCATTAAGTTGTGTGAATTGGAGAGACGACACGCGAACCCAGCGAAACTCGACGGAACAAATGCTGCGTTCATGGCCCGCCGGCCATGAAAATTATGTAGGTGCATTCAGATGGAATAGCAAGGCACTTGGGTTATCGTCTTCCAAGCAATGCCCAGCGTGGGATGTTTGCCCTAAGATTGAACAAGGTGGGATTCCTGGCGGCAACGCCATTCTGTTTCCGTCGGTCGCAATGACGTTATGGTCACCGCCAGCAGCGCGTTCTTATAGCACCTCGTATTGGCTGGCAGTTCGATATCGCTGCAGAGTCGGCGCAGCGGAACTGACCACCAATGGCTCCGCATGATCAATCAACCTTTACCAACATACGCTCAACATGCGCTTGGATGGGGGAACGTATTCGGCTGTGGCGACGTTCACAACCGCGGCAAAGTACGTAAACCCGGTAGTAAGTCATCAAGCTAGGCAGTACGGAGCTTCTGGCCAAAGGTTTTCGGACTGGCCGGACTGACAGAAGCCTTGTCACAATGTCTTCTGATCATACCGGGGCTTAGTAGGAGTTCAGCTGTTAGCGGTACCTAATACTAGTAAAATTAGTTGGCACCTTTGTTAGAACTATAAGATCCTTGAGGGCTAGAATATATTATATTTATTAAGTAATTAGTAGCGTACATTAAAGAGCTTACGTTCTCTATATTGTATTACGATTCGCTTTCCCAGCTCGCGGTGTGTTTCTCATTAAGACTAAAAGTTAGTATTAACCTGAGATTTACACTAAAAATGTACTAGAACTAAGCCAAATCCGCAGTAGGAAGGCAGGGCTTACTAAAACTTCACGGGCTATTGGAAACACTGTATGATCAAGGGCTAGGACTTTATTCATACGGTGGCAGGTACTCCTTCCAATCCGAAAACCTTTGGCTAGAAGCTTCGTACGTACGGGGCATGTTAAGAATTAGGTTGGAACCGATGGTAAGAATATCAAGGTGCCACTTTCTTTAATGATACCGATGTTATGGGAATCTGTCCTCCCAGGACCAACGCATATATTACACCTTAGAATCAAGGAGGGAAAATCCTAATACCCGCTTTGGGTTTGACTGCGGAGAATTCTCACACCAACAGAGGCACATAACTTCATGCCGGATGCACCATCCCTTCGTAACCTTGGAATGTCCGGGTAATGTCCTTCAGATACGAAAGTACATCTCACGTCCAAGGTGTCGATCCCATGACGGACCATTATTGTCGCCACTGTCAACTCGCGACGAATAAGGGCATGGATGGAGCTAAGGCAACAGATGGTAATGATCCGACCTGGGTCACGCTGCCGCCGGCCAACGCATGAAAGTGACGCTGATAAAGAGGTGAAGCCATATGTGTATAGTGCTGATAACTCTAACTTATCATTGTAATGAGTTGCTAAGAAACTATAGTCATATTGCTGAGTAGATATCACCGCTTTTGTTGATCATAGCGCAGTTGACGCCAGTGCCTGCGACGATCAATAATAAAGTGGTATCATACGAGATATAGCATTGAATTATGACCTGCAATACTCCAGGAGCCTCCATGATACCGAGGGGAGCGGAGTTAGAAGGCTCTTGCGCAAAGCCAAGTTGTATCAGCTCGTATGGCACACGATCCTGCATCCACGCCCTTTCATTTAACTGAAAATCAAGTCGAGGATTCTCTCGAAGCGGCTCCTATCTATCGTTAGCATGGTGCCCTTCCGTAACACTAGTGGAATGTCGTGGGCATAAGGTAGGTGTTGTGAGGGAAGTTTGTCAACTCACTTTGCTGGTATGGCAACATATGTCCTCTGGTACTCCTCAATCTCCAGCAGATTCTGATGGAGGTCTGCTCCAGCTGGCTTGTGGAACTTGGTCTTGTGGATAATTTTCCACCCGAGGAAGAGGATCGGGAAAACGATTATCATCATGTATCTAACTATTGTCAGTGCTGCATCGCAAGGGTATTGATACCATCTAGTACTTACGAGAACAAGAAACTTGGAATGTCCCACTTCCCGGGCAGAAACACGGTGTAGCCTCCGACAAATGTCATGATGAAGCATGCAGTTAGCCCGTAATAGGCGGTATATGGCTGCAGGAAACCCCTGTACGGCAACGATTTCCGGTCGATACCCTGAGCCTCCAGCGCCCGGTAGAAGCAGATGTACGTAATGCATATGATGCTGAAGTTGATGAGTTGCGAGGCCGTCACCAGACTGACGAACCAGTTGAGCACTGTCGCGGCGTTCGCGCTGACTTGCAGAAACGATAGCAACGCAATGATAAGAACGACCATGACAGAGTAGATGGGAACACCGTTCTTGAGACACTTAGTGAGGAACTTGGGTGCCTTCCCTTCGAGTGCGAGACCGAACAAGGACCGGGATGCGCAATAGACATAGGAGTTGCCGGCGCTGAAAGCTGCCGTCAAGACCATAGCGTTGACAAGATGCGGCAGAACAGGAATTCCCAGGCGCCCCATTGCGATGACATATGGCGAGGCAGCAGCGCCAGGTTCAGCATTGGCAAACGCGTCCGCCATGGTCTGGTCATTGTAGGGTACCAAAATACCAACACAGAGAGATCCAAGCATGAAAAACGACGTCAGACGGTAAAACACGGCATTGAACGCGCGTGGCATGACTTCGCGGGGATTCTCCGCCTCACCAGCCGCCATAGAGACATAGTCCGGACCCGCGATCGTGAATGAGGCCTGGATCAAGCATTGCATGAAGCCCATGAACCGACCAAGATCGCCGGTTTCATACCATTCCGCGAATGCCCCCGGAGCGTACCAATACTGCGTGATAAGGTTTAGCAAATATGTTTTGGAAGAGCATCTGTTCTGGACATAATTTCCGATCCATATCCAAAGGACGAAGGAATTTGGTAAGAACGCAAGCACAGGGGCGTGCTCCAAAGATGGGGCACATAAGGGTGTGAAGGACTTCATCAGTACTCACCCTGAATCCAAATCGATCATGCTGCGGGTTACCGCCCAACATAACAATGAAGGTGAAAATGATCAGGCCAACGATAAGTATGACCTTGCCAAGTGCGGCCCAAAACTCGCTCTCACCATACCATTGGACCGCCAATACATTGATCAGACCGTACAGGACGATGACGATGGCAATGATGCCACCGGCAGGGACGGCGTCGGACCAGAAGTGAATAATGAGGTTGCAGGCGGTGATCTCGAATGGCACAAGCACGGCCTCGAAAACGAAGAAGTTCCAACCGGCAGCGAACCCGAAGGCTTCGTCGACCCAGCGCCCAGCGAATCGGATGAATGGCGATGAGATAGGGAGGTACGTGACCATCTCGGCCATACAAAGGGTTATTGAGAGGATGACTGTACACCAAAACGAGAATGCCAGGAAAAGACTGCCGGGGCCTCCTTGAAGTAGTCCTCTGCCAAGCTGAACATACAAGGCCGTCTGTTCGGAACGACAGTTAGTATTCAACAGGCCGAGATTCTCGTCCCAGCTATAGCTTGACGTCGCTCGAGTGAGACTCACCCCGATGGTACCTCCGATGCCAATCAATTGAATATGCCGCGCTTTGAGTTTGCGGTGCGTCTGGTCAATCCGCACAACACCGTTCATCAACGACGGGACATGCGTCTGGCCTGGGGTGAATGCATCCTTCTCCGGGTCATGGCCATTCTTGTCGGCGCTGCTGTCGCCGCTGTTGTCACCGCTGTAACGGGGTGGCATTGTTGAGCTGGTATGGTCAATGCCCGTAGAAGCCATTCTGTTATCTACCCGTATCGTTCCTTGGGCCTCAACGGTCGATGGATCGAGTGGCGGAGGCTGAAATGGTGCGAATTTTCTTAAGAAGTGAAAATAACTCGACCGCGACTTCAATGAGATGGTGCTCCAGCTTTGCGCGATATGTGATGTGTCCGCGAAGGTGATGTATCTCTGGTTTGTGCGACCAGCTAGTTGACGTCAGGTCGACGACAATGACAATTCGTGGTAGAACGCGGTGGTGGAAGAGTCCAGTAGAGAAAGTGAGAGGCATACACTGATTATGAGCTGTTTTGCTGGCCAAGATTACGTGCCAACCCCAAGCTGCATCGCCAAGGTGGTCCCAAGGCGGCGGTTCTGGATATCCCTGTAGTCGTCTCAAATAGCCCACGCTGCACGACGCAAGATAACAAACGGTGGGGCCTTGTTGTGTTGTGTTGCCGATAACCATCGTGCCGACGGGATTTGTCGGGCTAGATGTCGGATCAGGACACAAGAACAGCAATGATATCCTATCAGCGACAACAACTTGGCTGGCGCATTGTATTGAAGTCCATGACTACGGTGGGGGAACCGGCGTCGATTCCACGCCGGATCTTGGCGGATGCGGAGGTGGAGGCGGATTTGACATAGAGGTATTTTCATAGGCGAAGGTGGCGTAAATTGACTCCATCTACGGAGCTCCTGGCTAAACATTTTCGGACTGGCAGGGGCCCCTGCCACCGTATGAACACAGTCTTCGTCCTTGATCATGCAGTGCTTCCAATAAGCCCGTAACGTGTTAGTAAGCCCTACCTTCGTATTACCGACTGGTTATCTCAGGTTGATGCTAACTTTCATGCATAAGAGGGAAACACTTGTAACGAAACCTCTAATAGTCTAGCTGCGTAAACCACTAAAGAGTCTGTAAGGGTTTGTGCTAGTTGTGACGGCCGGTGTCACGATGCCACGAAACCCACTAGCTGTGGACCCGTAGGAGCACTGGCCATCTGAAGGCGGGATTGAAGATCCTCAGATGTGAGCCAGCCTGTTTTAGTTTCTCTTTCTTTCCTTGTCGAGAATCGTTAAGTCAATACAGTGCATTAGAGTGTTTTGACTCTTCAATTGTGCTCACCGTGACACTAGTAAGTAAGTCCTGCTGCGGAGTCCTCAAGCAATAATATCGGGGTTTGACGTATGGAGTAGAGTGCTTTGGGTAACTGAAGTATTCAAGTAGGATAATCGGGAATAGAGTCGTTAAGGCAGTTTGCCTCACCAATGGGTTAGATTGATGCTTAGATTGATCACTGAAGTAGAGACTGTCTATCTATGAAATGCCTGGGAGTTCTGTCCTTTATATATCCATTCCCTCCTTCACTGATCCCCACTTGGTTGATTGATTGATTGATTGAAATTTAACGTCTCATCACGTGAGACGTGCCGGGCGCAGTGCCGGCATGGTCTATGCTAGTCGAATCTATGTTACAGGGGACTGTCTTCATCTAACATTCCTGTTCAGTGCGATGGATGATCCCCACTTGGATATGTTGGATATGTTAGCTATCCAAGCTATCCACCCTGGTAATTCACGTGACCTGTCGGTCCTTTCCTTTATCCGATGCGGGGTCCCGTGATCCTAACGTCTGTATCCACCTGGCCTGCCAACGGGCCTGTAATGTTGGTTCAGGGCCAACGGTTCGTAACAGATAATACCTATAATATAGACGAGAAGGGGATTAGTAAAGGGATCGGTAATAACCCTAAAGTTATTATCTCAAGAGGACGATCATGTTACGAACCGTTAGCCCTGAACCAACATTACAGGCCCGTCGGCAGGCCAGGTGGATACAGACGCTAGGATCACGGGACCCCGCATCGGAGGAAGGAAAGGACCGACAGGTCACGTGACCTACAGGGGTGGATATGTTGGATATGTTGGACAACCAACATATCCAAATGGGGATCAGTGAAGGAGAGATGGGCATATAATGGACAGGACTCCCAGGCATTTCATAAATAGACAGTCTCTACTTCAGTGATCAATCTAAGCATCAATCTAACCCATTGGTGAGGCAAACTGCCTTGACGACTCTATTCCCAGTTACCCTACTTGAATACTTCTGTTAGGCAACCTTGGTGGGCTTTGCCAAGACCACCAAGGTTACCACGTGACTTAGCCCTTCGGGACTAAGTCCAACCTTCGTGCTCCATAGGACTAGATAGAATGTCATTTTACAACCTCACAAATCTTTGACCACCTTTGCGTGTAACAATGGTAGCATCTCTTCTTCGACAAGGGACCTACTAATTTTTTCCCTGACGATCGTTGCGGTTGTCCAACGATCCAAAGGTGACGACAAAAGCAACCTACCCTACCAAAGCCCTGCCCGAGGTCACTCGGTTGAGTAAGCTTTGCTGGGGACCAAGGTAAACCGGCCTGGCAACCATCGAATTCTACACTCATCACAAATCGTACTGATCGCATCCATCGGTCTTTGCACTGTCACTGCAAAGATTGATCGAACCTTTCGGACTTTGCACTGTCACTGCAAAGCAGATTGTCGTGGTGTAGCCAAATCAACGACAAAGACGTCATCGCAAGCATTCTACACTCATCACAAATCGTACTGATCGCATCCATCGGTCTTTGCACTGTCACTGCAAAGACTGATCGAACCTTTCGGACTTTGCACTGTCACTGCAAAGCAGATTGTCGTAGTGTAGCCAAATCAACGACAAAGACGTCATCGCGAGCAAATTAATCAGCATTTAGACTTCATCCTCGCAAACTTTCACCCCACGGCCTTTGGAACCTTGACTTGGTTCAACCACAAATTATTATACAAATTTTCAATCCATTTGCCTTACATCGTATGATGAGCGATTTCTACCATCAGTAAGTATTGTCAATGCCGGCATTCCCAATCGAGAACATCGAAAAAGTCGAATTGCCAACGAAAGCTGCCCGAACCGAAGAAAAAGGAAAAGACCAAAACGGCAAGGAAAGCAACACTGAAAAATATATAAGCGGCCGTGTGGTGACCAGAAGAGCAAGAAAAAACAACTACACCGCAGAAGCTTTTTTCTTCTTCACACAGCACAACTTTCCCTATCATACAACCGATCACCAAAGCTTCACGGACCACCAATCGATGGACAAGCCACGAGGAACATTACAACGCGACTCAGATCTATGAGGATGACGAACAATCACAACGTGTGGGCGGCTCTTGTGGAGACCGGGCAGGGCTGAGGAAGAAGTTACGCAGGAAGGAAATTTTAAAGAGTGATTTGTCATTATGAAGTATGCGAATGTCGAAGTTGTCACAATTATTTATGCACTGAATGGCAAGTGGTATGCTGCGATTAGGGAAGGATGTTTGATTGGCAGTCAGCTTGAACGCCGATCGTAGATCGTTGAATGCTGGCACGGCTGTGAGCAAGCGCTAAGAATGTTGAGATGGGGTTGAGCAAACCCGGGTGCGATGAGTTAATATGGTATTGGTTAATTCTGTCTCACACCTGGGAATTGCGCGGCTTCTAGTTGCGAACGTTGAAGCCTTGCGGCGAGAGTTCGACCGTTGCGCGACCGCCGAAGCTTGCACACCATTGCTGGTCTGCCTGGTGTTACCACTAATCGGGGCTCCATTGACAATTGGCCGACCCGCTGGCATTTCCACCATTTCAAGCCCCGACCCTCACCTTAATCCAACTTCATCGCATTAACCCAATACCAACTATCACGACGCATTCTAGCCAAGCCAGAAAAACACGAGATGGCAGTTCATCCTTACACTACGTAACCGATGGCTCACAGTCTTTTTCCTGGCGTGCCTTTGCCTGGCAAGTGTCAATGAACAGCCAAGAGTTATTGCAGTCGGTTGTCGGCTTTGTCTTCAACTTTCAGAGCGTCACCAAAAATAATGTCTTGGTAATGCTGTCTTTCATCCATACAAAGAGTGCATAGTCAATGGTGCTGCAATAGGTTTTTTATCGGAAAAATCTATTGCATGTTTGTGCTCCAAAAGACACCGGACTTGACACTCTGAATCAATCTCACCTTCACATGACTACCCTCATTTCAGTTTGAGTCTTACATGCAACACCGAGGCAGACATTAATTACTGCACTTGCTGACTCATTCAAACATTCACCTACTCATTCAAACGAGCCTGACACGGGACACACATATCTTGAGACATGGCACCCGCACCAACCAGCGAGCCCATAGTCCAAGAACGACAGAGCATGCCCCACGGTTACGTCTTCGTCCCCAAAGGCAATGTCTTTATAACTGGCCACTGCCGCCGGCGCACCCAAGCTGCCAACCACACTGTCTACACCGTCGTCGACGCCTCCAGCAGAAAGAAAACCCTTGGCATCCGTGTCCCCCAAACCATCTACACCTCCGTGCGGCAATCCGAAGCCGCCACGCGGCAAGACCGCGCGAATGCAGTGAAAAAACGAGACGGCGCTCTGGAAACTCAGTTCTGTGAAGAGGTGCTGAGGCTGTTCCCCAATATCCCGAGCGAGGCGGTGCCGAAGGTGGTACAGACGGCGATGCGGAAGGGGAGCGGACGAGTCGGGAGGACGGGGGCGTTGGGGCTGGAGAAGAGGGCGATTTTGGGAGTCAGGGCGCATATTAGACATTGCGAGACGGCCTATGATGGGTTGCTGAAGAATGGGATGACGAGGGAGAGGGCGAGGGAGAAAGTGATTGGGAGGGTGGATGAGGTGGCGGGTCAGTGGGTAGGGAAGCAGAAGAAGGAAGGAGCGGAGGTGAAGAAACAGGGTGCAAAGGAGAAGGAGCAGTTTAGGATGAAGAAAGGCCAGACGGCCACAGAGTCGAAGAAGGTGTCCCTAACCAAGACCAAAGCGAAGCAAGGTGTAGGGAGTTTGCCGACGAAGAAAGACACGAAGGCACCGAATGCGGAGGTGAATCGCCGCCGGAGTAGTTCAAGGATCATGAAGAAGCAGAAGAAAGCCGCGACTTCTCGGACTATGGGCAAATACGCGGCTGCCATCGACATTATTACCAGTTCCTTTCAACATGATATGGATGACACGGATGGCGATGAGGGAAGCGATGATAGCGATGATAGCGATGAAAATGCGTGGTTGGTATCGGATGGGGAGGTAGATGAGGATGATATGGATTGGTCGCCGTCGTAGGGGGGCACACAGTATGTAGTGGCAGTGATTAAGAGTCGATGATTGGATCTTTGATTATTATGATGACTAAAGTAGGATTTCATTGAGCAGGCGATATTCGCCACCTTTCTTCACATACATTTCTCTTGTGCCAAAAACACCAAAAAAAAGCACTGGAGGAAATTTCATCACAGTGGACAAGAACAAGTAACCCTCGATTGATTCATTGATGTGTTGACACAATTAAATGACCGGTGTGTTCAATATGCGGACACCTGAGTGTTCCGATATTTTAATGGTGATCTTGCAACAACTACTGTTGGTGGTGGAATTGGGCAGATGGAAGCCACACAACACCGTTGGTACTCTCAACTTCCCGACTTTTAATCTAGGCAGCAACGCCAGAATAGTCGGAATTCGACATAACCTGGCCTTCTGAATCACGCCATTGAACCCACCTTGCCCCTTCCAGTCGATAATCAAATCCGCAAGTGCAAATTGTACCCTGCTCACCACGGTAATGGGCAGGGCGGATTTCGGGTTTCGAATTTCAACCCTGAATCCCGCCGTAACGTAATTTGTATATCAGCAAAACCTGTGATGCATAGTTGCTACATGTCTTGCTTACTCAATAGTGGATAATTTGACATTTGCAAGTTCGGTCTATCTACTTGCCCCTTTCTTTTGTTGCCTGCCGTCTACAGCATATAACCAAGCTCTCTGTTGAACTTAGAATGGACGTCGCACATGCCAAACCATCCCTCGATCTGAACGCTGTGCAACGGAGTAACGATGATCCATCCACGTCAGCAACACTATCAATAACATCGCAGAAGTTGGAGGCCGGTGATGAGGCTGTTAGCACGGCGAAGGAGGGGGAGGCAGAGGTGGAGGACACGGAGTACATCACGGGCCTCAAATTGTGGCTTGTCGTTGGCAGCCTGTCGATGATCTGCTTTCTGCTTTTTCTGGATCTGTCCATTATTAGCACTGTAAGGACTTCACAATCCTATGAACCACCTGATACACAACCCCTCGCCCGGTACGGTGCAAACTAATGTGATCCTTCGCACATTACCAGGCCATTCCCCGCATTACGAGCGAATTTCACTCTCTTCCTGACGTTGGATGGTATTCAGGTGTTTATCAACTGGCTAAGTGAGTCCAGTCTCTAGATGACTTTTGGTTGATGTGCAGCAAGCTGATATCAAGGATCTAGTGCTGCGCTGCAACCGCTCACCGGAAAGTTGTACTCCCGTCTGAATCTCAAAGTTCGTCCTTGTCCAGCCCAATGTCCTCTTCCCTATTTCTGCCTATCAAGCCCATAACAGCCCAGCACACGTCTGACATGACAGCCACCAGTGGAATTTCTTGTTCTTTTTTCTCATATTCGAGCTTGGCTCCTTGATTTGTGGTCTCGCCATCTCATCGTCCATGTTCATTGGCGGACGGACTATTGCAGGTCTAGGCGGCTCCGGTCTTATGAATGGGGCCATGACCATGATTGCTGCCTCGGTGCCTCTGGAGAAACGGCCAGGTGAGTGTGAAAGACGACCTGTTGCTTCTTCAGCTGGAGGACAACACTAACCATGATCTGATCACATAGTCTATACGGGTACTTTGCTGGGAAGTAAGTTGCCTTTTAATAGAGTCTTGCGAAATTAAAGCAACACATAGAGTGCATATCACTCACCCAGAACGTTACCAGTTGGACAGATGGGCATCATATGCGGACCCCTAGTGGGAGGTGCTCTAACTGAGTACGTGACCTGGCGCTGGTGTAAGTCTAACTTTCTACCTAGCACCATCACACCCACCCTACAAGTCCAAATTTCTCTAACTATGCATCGCCATCAGGCTTCTACATCAACCTCCCCATAGGTGGACTATTAGCCTTACTGCTCCTCCGAATCCACATTCCCGACTTAAGCATGAAACCGCCCGTAACCCTCTCTCTGGTCGCCAAAATGCTCCCGGAACTCGACCTCATCGGCTTCGCCCTCTTCGCCCACGCAGCGGTGATGTTCCTCCTCGCCCTGCAACTCGGCGGCGGCAGCGCGCGCCCCTGGAATAGCTCTGTCGTCATCGGTCTATTCTGCGGCGCCGCAGCCACTGCCATCGTCTTCGTGCTCTGGGAAAAACGTATGGGCGATCGCGCCATGATACCCGGTTCCATGCTGAGGAATCCTATCATGGCATGCAGTGTGGGTATGGGGTCGTTTCTCATGAGTACCAATATTTCTGGGGCGACGTACTTGCCCATTTACTTCCAGGGCGTCAAAGGGGTTGGACCGACGATGAGTGGGGTGTATACACTGCCGGGGATCCTGTCGCAGTTGTTGCTTATTGTGGTGTCTGGGGCATTGGGTAAGTATTGGCTCGTCTCACCAACTCAAAATGGGTCTCCCGTTATTTATTTCTACGTGGGTTGGCTGTTAGAAGGAAACACAGAGACTAACGAAGCATCATGCAGTACCGAAACTAGGCTACTACCTCCCCTTGGCTGTCTTCAGCGGTGGTCTGACCTCCATTGGTAACGGACTCATGTCTACTCTCACCCCGAATACTTCGACAGGTAAATGGGTAGGCTATCAAATCCTTATGGGCGCTGGTCGCGGCACCGGAATGCAGATTGTAAGTGTCTTCTTGATGGATCCAAATCAACACACCCTTCCCCCCTTTCTCTTGTAGTTTGTAAACTACCTCGTCCAACACACACATTACCACAATCATAAGCAGAACAACGAGAAAATTAAATACTTCTAACGACGTCCCAGCCTATAATAGCAACCCAAAACGCCCTCCCTCCTTCCCAACTCCCCGCCTCCATGGCCTTCATCATCTTTGCCCAAAACCTGGGTAGCGCAATTGCCGTCGTCGTCTCCACCACCCTCTTCGCCCAGACCGTTCTGTCCGACCTGCCGCGCCTGGCTCCCTCTGTTCCTCCGCAAGCCGCCCTCGCAGCAGGGAGCAGCGCTGAAGGTGTGCGCGCACTGCTGCCGCCTGGAAGTCCCGAGTTGGAGGGGCTGTTGAGCACGTATGCGGATGGGGTCGATAAGGTGTTTTACTTGATGAGTGCTTTAGCGGTGGTGAGTTTTGGGTTTGCGGGGGGTGGAAGGATGTTAGGGGGAAGAAACAACGGGATGGGGAGAAGGGGAGTGTGTAAGTGGGTGAGTTGAGGTGGTCGGGGTTGTTGAAATAAGGGGGAAGGGGATAGAGCGGTTTGTAATGGTATTGCTGTTCGTGCGAGATAGTAGGAAAAATGTAGAATTCTTGAGTTCTCCGGTATCTCACTTATTTATCCGCCTGTCCTGAGAGTTACCCAATTGCCCATCCAAGTATTATTATTGTGTTATTACAGTAGATACTGTGGGTAGTTGTGACCTAAGGTGTGGAGGGACCCAGGCAGGCACACGCACTTTCATAGTACCAATATAACCCCTAGTACTTGGATTCCGACCGATCCATCCAAAACAACTTAAGAGTGGCATCTTTATAAATAGTCATGGAGTTATATCCCGTCGCGCTAATGCACTATTCATTCTAATTTGGCATCAAACCATCCACCACCTGAGGCTCGGGACATATTGAGGGTTTCACTTCTCTCTTCGGATTATGGTGTCATCCCAGTCTTACTTGCCACTTGTGCAGTAATACGAATATGAAACGGCACTTTGGGGCGAGGTCAAAGAGACCAATGTGCCACAAGCATGTCCGTATTGTCAAGACTTTGGACTGTTTCGTTTCATGCACGCTAAACTGAAATCCACCAAAGATACGCACCATTGAAGGGACTGCACCTCTGCAACTTTTATCATCAGATCTAAATCCATCCCACACTCATCTAGCCAACACTCCACCCTCGTACCTCGACCATCCTTGAACAACACCTGGCAATCCGCCATAAAATGCTCCTTCGAACCCTCCACCTATTCCAAGCTACGCTTGCCATCTATGGCAGCCAGCAATATCTCCAAACCCTAAACAACCTCCTCGTGTACAAGAAAATCACAAAGTACGCCAAGTACTCCATGGTCCTCGACCACAAAATCAAGAAGAAAAAAGAGGTCAAGATCTCTGGCGGCGCCGCAATTTTGCTCTCCCTGACAGTTGCCTTGACCCTAGCTCTCTGGGGTTCCTTGTTGAGCGTACAGGTGCAGTACCTGATCTCGCCGGCTATGGTGGGCGCCGTGGAGACTTCGCGGCGTATTCTGAAGAAGAACTGGGCGAAGGGAGACAGCGAGACGGTGGGTCCGAGGATTTTGTTGCCGCAGATGCAGAAGTACAATGAGGCTCAGAAGGGGATGGAAGAGATTTTGTGGGTTTTGAGATTACTGCTGTTCAGTTGGATAGCGACGTCGGTGGTGGCGGCTATTAGGGGCTATTAATCGTGGGATGAGATGTAGATGAGCCACAAGTCGCTTGAAAAATTACACATCGTCTGGATGTGTCGCGCGTAAAGTCCACCATTGATAAAGCGGAGTGTCTTGGATAAACGTGATATTACAATCAATATACGTTAATACATCTAATGTATCTGTATATCTTCTCAGGGATTAAATGCGCGACGTGGTAAGATAAACATAGGGGACAGATCTGATGTTTGATCGGCCCGAAATGCAATGCTGAATATGAATAGCACTGCAGGGTTAGTGGTACAGGATGGCTTAGGCTAACTGCTCGCCCCTTCATAACTTACGATGACTCCAAATCATGCCTCTTATGTAACAAAGTGGTGGAAAATATGTCTTCTCTGTTATCCTGAGGCCAACTAAGTATGTATCCTAGCCAGTACGAAAATAGCTACGAGGAATTGGTATTTACACCAGTGGTAGCTAGACTGTGGGGGCAAGGTTTCCAGTATTACGGAGGAAAAAATGAGACGGAACTTTCGCCTTCTTTCTAGGTTTTGCAGCCTAGGAGAGGTTATAGGAGCATAGGCCCCTATTAACATTTTCATAGATAACAGCTAGTTTACTCCACTGCCTTCATAAGCAGTAGGCTTGTTGGACCTTCAAGGCTACTACATCAAGACTGCCAGTCTTGGAAGAACATATGGCCACTTACCGTACGTTATGGGCCAATATGAGCACCACCCATCGAACCACACAAGTCCTGCCTGTGGGACAGGCATCATTCATTCCTGTCTATATAAGGCCCTCATGGCCGCCGTCAACTTCGTTCAGGATTCCCGAGAGATCATGGAATCTTCAATACAAGACCATTTGCCCACAACCCAACACTTCTCGATGACTGTGCTGACTTCATTGCATGTGCTGGCAATTCCGGATCAAGGGTAAATCTTCACTTGGGAATATTTGGAACACAGTATAAGCTATGGTTTACATAATGTTAGACTGAGAGAAATACATCTTGGTCTTCAATAGAAATAAAATTAATTCGGAGTCTACATATAACCGATGAATACAAGTAAACCCAAAAGGCACAGTCAAATTCAGAAACCGGTGTACCATACTCTTCGGTATCCATTTAGTCTTGTGGGGTGAATTCCTGCTTGTCTCTCCAACTTTCTTCTTAAGGCTCTGTTCCTGTACCCGTATTTTTTCACGGCGATGTCGCAAGCATCTGTCTTCTAGTTATGATTGTTATATTCTATATCAGAAACTTCTCACAAAGCTAATGTTGTTATGAGGTGCACTTTCAGTACCCCAATGGCTTTCTTCCACAGTAGCAGTTGGCTTCTCCGGACGTCAGTTTAGCCGAATGTCAGGGTACGGCTAGGCCGAATGCAATAGTACAGAGTGATGGGGAGTAATGGGCGTCCCTCCTACGTAGCACCGGGTGGTCACTGGCGATCACGGGTAGTCTCAGGTAGGGGTGCCCACGATGTTTCATTGATCTCTACCCTCTCTATCTGCTTCCTAGACACCTCCCCCTTACATAGATATCTAGAGCCCGGAGTCGGAGCCGTAGAGCACTAGTTCCTCCGATTGTTCCGTATACCAAGACTTCCATATTAGGTCATGACTCGCACCTCCCTACACCGGGGCCCCACCGGTGTCCCACCGGTGCCTGTAGCATTCAGTTCTCTGACACCGAATCCTCGTGTTCGAGTATATTTGGGTATTTAATCACGAATTTATGCCTGCTAGACTGTGAATACAGCAATACTTGTATCACTGCTGTCTATATGGTACTGAAACTTACAGTGCCCCACTGATTTGCTCGTTCTCACATATCTTAGGTATCCCTCTCTATATGGTCCTTGTTCGGGGATATCGTAACTGTAGTGGTTGATTCTATTAGCAAGATGCCCCGAGTTTTGTATACTAACACTGTTGGCTTATGTGGTGTTTGTATTGGTGTTGCTCTATTCGCTATTTAAAGTGATTATTTTTCTTTTGTACCCAAAATATGACCTTTCTGTCTTGAGGCATTGGCTCTGATAGTCATTCTCAGCTGCTTGAAGTTGAAACGTGTTACCTCTGAGATTCTCCACGGCTGCCTCAACCTCATCATAACCGCCAATGCGTCAGCACTTGATACGCTAGCTGAGAGAGGAGAACTGAAATCGTGCAAGGTGATGAGCCAGTACAGACAAGTGGGACCGGTGTCGCAGCTGGGAAGCGAGATGATGACTCGCCGCGCCTAATAATGCCCTCCGATGTGGAAAAGGCTACCATGATTGTCCAAGAAAGGAACAAACCGTTGCACGCAAGACTTAGGACGGTGTTTGCAATTTGCAGGGTTTTCACTTGCCGATAGCTATCTCAATTATTTTAGGGAGACGTCTAGAATCTGTTGAGAACCCGTTCGGTGGGACCTGGATGCTCCGAATGGTCAGTGTTGCTTGCGCTCATTCCAAATGGGTTTAAGGTTCTGGGTCGTATTGGCATCCAAGTCGATATCGATGGCCAAAATATTCAGCTTGGTGAGGTCCAGACCGTTCTGGACCTCAACATTATACGGCCGACATAAACAGGAACATACAAAATTATGATATAATAAAAGGCGTACTTCGGCGGTATTATTAAGTTATACTAGTTCTCCTAAGTACAGTGGAATATTAAGCTAACTACATACTATTAAACCCTTGGTGCGCCGTTTATTGCGTTTATTCGGTCACCTCCTTGTCCCATTCATCTTGTCGCCGTTTTGGTGCTCAGAAGACACCAAACTGAAGATTCTAGGTAGAGCTTTTATGAGATTGCCAATCTATAAGGACTCTATACTGTGCTTCAACAGCGATGAAATGTCTTTGATGGTCGCAGATAATCTAATAACCTCGATTATGGCTGCTTGATATCTGCCCAAATTCGCTGCTTGTCTGTCTGAGATCCTCCATAGATCATAGAGGCTAGTTCTCACCCTATCGAGCTAAATATACGAAAGGACTGGGCCCAAGTGCCTGACCTGAAAGAGACTGCAGTTGTGTGTTAATGTGTCGCATTGGGGTCATCAGTAGTTAAAAAAGTGCTGACGAGATCTCTTCCCTCAGCCCATTCTGTTACTGTCCGGCAGCGACCTCCCTCAGTTGGCCTTGGCGAAGCCGTACTGCGTCAGATACGTAGCTCCTACTGCAACCACCATGTATGCCAGCAGTTTCACGCTTCCAATCCATATAAAGCCGTTGCTCGTCCATGATGCCCACATGAAACCGCCCGCAGCGAATATGAGGGCCCCGCCAGACAGGGCAGCCACAGCAAAACAGGGGAAGAAGTCGTTAAAGACCCAATACGGCCAGATTGTGCAGATGGTGCCAGCCACGAGAAACAGAGTGCCAATTGCCGCGTCTTTCAATGCAGCCTCAATGGAAGGGTACTTCTTGATCCCGTAGATGGCCTTCATTCGGAACGCGAGGGCAGCCTTGTAGTCGTTCGCGAGGTCTGCGGCAACTCGCTCGTAGGTCGTCTCGGAGATGGGCGTCTCAGTGTTAGTGAGGTCCTCAACACCAAGCATCTTGCGGACCGATTCGAGGACGAGAGTGGCGCGGACGTGCTTATCTTCCTGGTCCATGAACTCGCGGTGCGCGAGCATCCGCGCCCAATTGTACTGCTCGCTGCTCACTTTGTCAGTACTGTGTACCTCATGATCATATAATCCCATCAATCGCAAAGTGTTGACTGTCGAGAATGAAATACAGGCCTTGTTGATGGAAGTGACCGTTGTTTCCACCTGGCTGAGGCAGGACCTTTTTATGTTTATCTGTGTCCCTCTACTTTTACCGCCTCGGTGTCGATAGAGTCTCTTCCCATGGATGTAAGTGAACGGACAAAAGGCCTTTTTGATGAAAGCGAGCGGATGAAAGGCATTATCGATAAAACTAACTGGATGAATGGCCTCGTTGATAGAAGGAGAAATGAAGGGAAACTTGCATCGCCGCCTGCATGCCGAGAGGCAACTCAATGATCCATCGGGCGATGATGATCATCACCATGCACTTCAGGACCGCGACTGTCATGGCGCCAGGGTGGCCATCCTCCAGGCCGGGAGCATAGCTGAACTGAGTCATCATGCTGCTGACGACGGCGATCATGATGCCGGCGGCAAGTTCGTTGCCGAAACCAAACATGATGGTGGCCGCAACAGAAGAAACGCCCGGGAGGGCCTTTTTAGTTCGAAACAAAACCAAAAGAGAAAACCAGAAAAAGAAAAAGAAGAGACGAAGAACAGCGGCAGACAGACAATGTGATAGTGGCGATGTTGGAAAAGGAGAGCCGTGCAAGCAGCCTGCAGTCTGGAATTCTTAAATACCCTGCCTAGACGAGCTCTCAGACATTCCTTCCCAACCAGTCCACTTACACACGCGCCTACCCTTCTAAACGTCCACGGCTGAAATAACTCGGCTCTAAGCGTCGGGTTACTCCGAGCTGACCAACGTCCCTTCCGTGGCGAACTACAGCTTTCGCAACTGACCCCGAATGCTGATTCCTCGGTGTATGCCAACATCACTGGAAGGTGCTTGTTACGATGGTCAATTACCCCCTACTCAATATGCTTGCCAATGACGATTTCCAAAGGCACGGTCCTCAGTCTAAATGGATCATAGGCTATCCCAGACCGATGGTTTAGCAGGTCGCAAACGCAAAGACCTCAAGAGATTCTATTGTCCAGCACCATAGAGCCACAGCGAGTGGAATACAGATCAACAAGTTCGTCAAGGCGCTGGCGCTTGAAATAATGAACACGATAGCAGATCGCCCAATATCCGCGCTTGGCATAATCGGTAACGCGGAGCTACCCCCACGCTGCTCTGCCAACTTGATGGTATGGTTGGCACGTATGTCGACAGGATAGCCTGGCAATTGGTATCAAAGATGTTTATCTCCACATCACTAACCACTTTAACTCAATGCCAATACGAACTAGTACGCGCAATACCCGAATGTGGTGTGGTGTGGGGTTCCTCGAGCCATGCATTTATTTGATGTTAGAGACGTCCGTAGGTCACATAGCAAACATGCCGGCGGTCCCAAACTGCTGTGCATATTCGGCCAGAAAGAAGAATTCAAAAACAACCGCAGTTATGTCGCACCATTCGTCTCTAAAGACTGCAAATTTTCCGTTGAGCATACCTCAATATATTCGGCTGCTAGTACGTTCGTGTAGTAAAGACGATTATTTCAGATTAGCCGGGGCAGCCCGCTAGGACTATAGAGTATATCTGGTAGATGATCCATGTTTCAGAGTTCTTTATTAGGGGGTACAAAGAAGCGATCGCCGTAATAGATCCTGCTTTCTATAAGCGTCTTGTCGGTTACCGAAATATAGGGTTCCTTACTAGCTTTCCTAATATATTTAACTTTAACCGTGTGAACATGTATATAGTATTATTTATCTAACGTAGTCCACGGTCCAATTGCACACTTCGGCAGATTTTCGTACGCTACCACTTTGACCTGCGGTTTTTCACCACATAACTATGGTTGGTTCTTGAAATGAAAGAAATATGATTCTAGCATTACATGCGCTTCAATCTGATCCAAAATTAAGTGTACGTTGCGCTGGTCAGATCTATAACGTACCTTTTAGAACCCTTGCGTATCGACGCGACGGTAAAACCGCTCGAGCGATTACGCGATCACTAACGCAAAAGTTGACTCCTTCCGAAGAAGAGGCAATCGTACGACATATAACCGACCTAGATTCGCGAGCATTTCCTCCCCGATTGAGTGGTGTTGAAGATATGGCCAACCGATTACTTCGAAGTCGTGACGCGGGACGCGTCGGCGTCAACTGGGCCTCGAGCTTGGTAAGACGACAACCAGACCTCCGGACGCGTTTAAATCGAAGGATAGACTATCAGAGAGTCCTCTGCGAAGACCCCGACGCGTATCGCGCGTGGTTTGACCTGGTACGGAATACAATTGCGAAATACGCGATCCAGGAGGAGGATATCTACAACTTCGACGAGACCGGTTTTGTGATGGGCCAAATCTCGTCCGAAATGGTCGTGACGACTTCTGATCGGCGCGGAAGGCCTAGAGCAGCCCAGCAAGGAAATCGGGAATGGGTTACAGTTATTCAAGGCGTTGGGTCGTCCGGTTATGCCCTCCCTCCTGTCAGAGAACAGAATGCCATAGGCACCAGTGGGTGTCAGGACACTGAACGCAGGACACCGGTGGGCCGCCGGAGGGGTGTTTCGGACAAAAGACTCCCGAATCATGATTACAATCTATGTGAAGCTTTGGGATGACGAGAGTCAAGATCCTTGGCATCGCCGACCCTGCTGTTATGCCGGGTCCAAGCTGTTACACGCAAAGGTGGTCAAAGATTTGTGAGGTTGTAAAAGCATGACATTCTATCTAGTCCTATGGAGCACGAAGGTTGGACTTAGTCCCGAAGGGCTAAGTCACGTGGTAACCTTGGTGGTCTTGGCAAAGCCCACCAAGGTTGCCTAACACAAGCGGCGGCCTAGCTATCTATATATTATTATTATTATTAAATACGCCGTAGGCTCGAAGCCCCCGGTACCTCTACTAGTACTCCCGTATGTCAAACCGTGCCCTAATGGCTGGACTAAATACATACGCTGCCTCGTCGGTTCGCCCTATTGGCGACTGCGTTGCGTTCACTACCATACTACGTTGGTTCTCAACCTACCAACAAAGTCCCCCCTGAGAAGATCGATGCTATCTGGGCCTTGAAGCTGTCCGACCCGTCCCTAGCAGCCACCTTACAATAGTCCCACTAACTACTGGTTCTCCTGTTGCCGTTGCGAGGTCTCTGCGAGAGTATAGTGGCCGTGGTGCGATGGCGGCCCGTAATCGTTCCCTCGGTCCTTCCAACAGCCCGCAAAAGAGGATTACGTGCTCTGCCGTCTCAGGGGCATCGCCACAGCGGCATAGCGGCGAGTACACGCCAAAAGCCCCTGTCTTGAATAAGAAGGCTGCTAGTCCTATTTTTTCCGTCCTGATCTGGCACAGCGTAGACGCCTCCAGTCGGTTCAGGCCGAAATACTTGCCCCCTTTCGGTATCTGCATCGAAGGGCCCTCCGGTTCCTCAGCGATAGCGCGTCGCTGGCGATCGTGATGCTCTGCTCCGGTGAGCCATCTCTTCCTCCAGTGGCCGAGGAGGGCAGCCGGGACCTCCTTTTCCTCACTCATCCACTCGGAGCCCCGGGCCTCCTTCTCCATAGTGTACCCTGCTATCTATATAAGGACCATTTCGAAGTAGGATAGGGAAGGAGTTGTCAGAGCCACAAGTGTCATCCGAGGCGGGCCGGCTTCCACCAGGTAGGAAGCCGTTTGTGGCGAATGAGGAGCCGGGAAGCCGTTTGTGGCGGCTAGAGAGCCGCTTGGGGCGAATGAGAGCCGTTGAAGCCGTTTGCAGCGGATAGGGAATCGCTTGGTTGCAGATAAGGAGCCGCTGTCCAAGATATTGGCCGAAGTCGGAGGAACACAGACATACGGAAGCAAACATCCAGAATCCAAGAGAGAACCTCGGCTGGCTATAAGTAAGGAGTCGAGACGGAGGAAGATAGAGAGGACAGAGATCAATGCATCACCGTGGGCACCCCTACCTGAGACCGCCAGTGACCACCCGGTATTACGTAGGAGGGACGCCCGTTACTCCCCATCACTCTGTACTATTGCCTTCGGCCTAGCCGTACCCTGACACCTCCGTACATCATTTTCGCCAGCAAAACCCACCTCTCTTCATGGTACGAAAACAGCCCATTACCGCCTGATTGGGTTATCGCAGTTACTAAAAATGGCTGGACTACGAACGAGAGAGGCGAAGATTGGATAAAACACTTCGATCATCACACCAAGTGTCGTACGAAAGGTACTCATCGCCTATTGATCCTCGACGGTCACGAAAGCCATCACTCGACCGATTTCGAGGTATATTGCAAAGCTAACAATATCGTCACGCTTTGTATGCCTCCTCATTCGTCGCATAAGCTCCAGCCTCTTGATTTTGGTTGTTTTCGCGGGTTAAAAAGAGCGTACGGAAAAGAAATCGAAGATCTCATGCGAGCACATATAAGTCATATCTCGAAAGAAGACTTTTTACCGGCGTTTTTAAACGCGTACAACGAGAGGTTAATGGGCAGTTACATGACGAATTTCGTCAAATTGGTGGTCGTACGAGGCGGCGAATTGCGCGTGTACGGCGCTGTAGAATCTGCGGCGAGCCCGGACATAATGCGCGCACTTGTGGAAATGATGTAGAGACGTCTGAAGATAACGATTCTGAGTAGTTTCAATTCATGATAGGCGTTGTGGTTGAATTAACTTATACATTGTCGTATAAGGTCTGCCAAAGTGTGCAATTGGACCGTGGACTACGTTATAGCATTTTTATTAGCTTTTCCTTAGCTTTATAAATGTAGTATCTCATTCGGAGTATTGGGGGCGGTATTAGTATAACGAAGTTGCCTAGGAAATAATTGTTGGATTGTGGGCAAATGGTCTTGTATTGAAAGTGTCATGATCTCTCGGGAATCCTGAACGAAGTTGACGGCGGCCATGAGGGCCTTATATAGACAGGAATGAATGATGCCTGTCCCACAGGCAGGACTTGTGTGGTTCGATGGGTGGTGCTCATATTGGCCCATAACGTACGGTAAGTGGCCATATGTTCTTCCAAGACTGGCAGTCTTGATGTAGTAGCCTTGAAGGTCCAATAATAATCGCTATAAAAGCATTCGGGGGTTCCTAAATATACTAGTTCGTGTCTGAGTCCCTTGCGCCTCTCTGTAACTAAGGCTCCACTTTCCGCCAAGCAGTAGACTTAACTTCAGGGATGAATATAAAGTACAAGTCTCAACCGCTATAACTAGGACTTTAAATAATGCTTAATATATACAGTAGCGGATTAAAATGCGACCACTTCACAGCTAGCTAGAACATGACCATAGTACGTGATTAGTGAAATCCTGTTTAGGTATCATATGTTATTACCCTAAGCCCAGAAGTCGTAAGACTTCGGCCTATTTCTGATTTGAAACGTCAAACGCCGGTGGCCACCTGTCCACAAAAGCACCCTATCGCTACCTGGTATCACAATCCTGTTGTCTAAATCTAACATGCCTGGCCGTGTATCCGAATTTAATCTATCCCCGATGCTTTCCCAAACTCTATTCCCTTTCTATTCTATGCTGTCTAAAGTGTAAACAGCCCACTCCTCCGTTTGCCGAACGGATAAATAATAACCGCAGACCCGAACAAGCCAACCGTAATGCCGATGGCAATCTGAATCATGCTCGCTGCGACATTGAAGACCAAATTCTGAGAGTCGCTCGAGACAACAGACAACTGGATCAGCTGCTAGTGGTCAGTGGTGAAAGGCAGACTGGATGGGACGGAATTGACTCACTGTAGCAGTGCCGTTTATTGCAGTCGAGTTGGAGTTTGTCAGCTGGTTAGCCGTACTCAACCCGCTGAGAAGGCTCCCGGATGCAGCAAGTCCACTTGGCACTTGCACGAAAATGGCTGGTAGAAGTGCGGCGGCGGCCACTCCATGACGTACTCTGCTGTACACGTTGGCCGTGATTCCAATCGCAAACGCACCAAATGTGTTGCTAATCTGCGCGCTCGCGGGGAACTTCTTGCTGCTAAAGTAATTGACTACGTATCCGATCAAGGCGATGGCAGTCATGACCGGCATCTGCTTCCACTTGGCTTGGTTGACAATCATAAGGCAGAAGGCGAACAAGGGTACGAACACAAAAAAGTACTTGTCCTCCATCGTGTCATTGCAAGTCGTGCTTGAGACGGCGTTGGAATCAATCATACCGTACATGGCAGTGCCGACGGTGATACCGAACCCGAGGAAGAGCGAGTAAATTATGGCGTATACCATTCGAATCGAACCCGGCACGATTGATTTCGACTGAAGCTCGAGAGCTGCGCAGAGAACGAGGTAACCTGGGAGAATGAGTGCGATAGAGCTCTGTGCCAGTGCCGAGAAGCAGAATAACTCTCCGCCCCGTATGCTTCCGAATAGCCTGGCGAGGAAGCTGGTGAGGATCGCGGCCATGATCTCGAACACGTTGCTGTATAGGTCGGACAGTGGAGCAATGATGAGCTGCAAAATGCCGACTAAGGAACCCAGTATGAAGGCAATCGGCATGTCAATAAGCCGACCACCAAAGGCGAAGGGTGCAACGGTGGCGGAGGCGAAGCCGTACATCATGACTCTCACCCATGGGTGGAATCGATCCTTCTCCTCTGTCACCTCCTCGAGTCGGGGTATAGCTTCATCCAGCGGTGTGACGTCGTGCAGGACCTCCTTGTATATCTCGTGGATATCCTTAAGCTTCCCGAGATTGACTCCCTGCACTGTTCGGACGATCTTCACCTCAGTCGTATGCGTCATTATGTCATCGAAGGAAATGATCATGCACCCTGGGATGTAGAGGAACTGGCCTCGTATCTCCAAGACCTTCGCAGCCATATTGAGGTACTCTTCGAGACGGTGGGTTGGAGCCCCGAACAACATCAACGCCCTGCATAGTTTGATGATATATTCCTGGCGCTTCAAGATGTCGGCAACGTGTATCGTGATTCTAGCCTCCTGTTCTGCTCGTTTGCCGATCATTGCGGTGAATTTGGAGCTGGCGCTATGAGTTCGCTTGTGCTTTGGCCGCGTTTTGGACTCCGCCTCTCCTTGCTGTATTCGTGGTCCGACATTCGGGTCCATAGACAGAATGGCCGACGCCTTTGTGAGATTGGCGAGTGTGTCCTGCGACCGGTTCTTCTCCTGCTTGTACCACTTGCGGCGCGTTGGAGTTGCTGCACCTGACGAACCGGGAGTTGTGAATCCAGGGGTGTTAGTTCCACTGCTGTAGTCCCTCCGGCCATGCTCTGGTTGATCGTTCTGCAAATGGTAGAGCTTCAGAAGAGATGACAAGACACCTTCACGTCCATGGTCGGCATGGTGGTCAGGTGTATCGTCACCCGAGGCATGCATCAGCGGATCTCTCGTCTCTACACAATTTGGTCAGTGACGGGTGAAAGAAACAAATATGGGTCAGAATGCTAACCTGGTTGACTTCGATGCGAAAAATCCGAGTTCAGAACCGTGTGGGCTCGGACGAGGTTGTAAGCTTGGAGTTCCAGATCGCGTCTATCCTGTGACATCGTCTTCGCAGTGCTGGGCTGGCCCTGACGATTTGCTTGTTCTCTCGCTGCCATGAGATTGTTCAGGGCTATGGAATTTGGACCAAGCAGACCGCCCGCGCTGTGTGTTGTTTCCTCCGAGTCATACGAGCTGCGCCTGGTATCTTGAGCGGACCAAGGCCCCAACTTCTCAGTATCCACACCTTGCGCCCACGCCTGCGCCCTTTGGTGGGCAGCGGCAGCTGACTGGGCCTTTTCCGGGCTGATTTCCGGGTTGTCGTTGTCCATATTGTCGAGAAACGAATTGTACGAGCTCCCTCGGACGATGGACGGCCGCGGTCTCTTCACCATGGGACCAAAGTAGTCCTCAGCCTCAGAGGAAGCCGCAGTCCTTTCCCTTTGGATAGCGTCATGGTCATTGTTGAGTCTTGGTGTGTTGGGGAGCGCTTCCCCAGCGGTGCTATTAAATCGCACTCGTCCCTTCTCCTTCTTCCCGCCATTTTGGCTTGGGCTGGTGGTGGTGGTGGTGCCATTTGGTGGCGATGTGGTCTCTTTCTCTTGGGAGGGAAGTAGAGGGGTCTTCTGCGGTTCCGCCATATCTATATGATTTGAGTATGAGGAGTGGTAGCTAGGTTTTGCCAAGCTGATGATTTAGGCTACTAGTACAGACGCAAGTAGATGAAGAAATTATAGATATCGGAGAATGCTTTATTGTGGCGCCAAAGCAGTTGCCGGAGATAAGATATGGCGGATGAAGTTCAGCATAGTATCGTGGCTTCCATAAACTTTGTTATTGGTCAAACTTGCTTATCGGCCTTTTTTTTAGGTGCTTCCCTCTTCCCTTTACCAAGCGAATCAGCAAGGTGAACAGCGCATCAAGCGTGTAATAGTATGAGAGCGTCCGATATCCCAGTGTAGTAGCGAGGGTCCTATTGTTGGTAATATCCCAGCGTGGTAGACCGGCGTAAGCTGGCTATTCCAGTCCACCGCTTGATATGTAAATGAGAGACGGGCAAGTGGAGTTGATATGTTGAGTTGGATCAGCTCGGTTTTCTCCAGAACTCGTTTGTCGTCTTGAAGCGTCGAAAGAGAGACAGACGGGGTTTGCGGGGAGCGATAAATTGATCGTGTCGATCAATCGAGATGGCCACGTCAGAATGGGATAGGACCAAGGGGAGAAGAAAGAAGCCTCGAAGAGAGAGTACTCCCCATATGCACGGGAGGGAAGCAGCAAAGTACAAAGAGAACCCATGACTCGGTGGAGAACCGCGACAGCGGCGCGACAGTGGGTATACGATAATATGGAGATAGCTGGGCTGCGTGTTGAGCTTGCAAAGCTCCTTACCCAACCATGGTGGCGATGTGAAAACCCCTTCTTTGTAGTTCGAGTGACAGGGAACAGGTAACGGGCCGATGTGGAGCACTTGCTCTTGCCAACCCAAAGATAGCTGAAGAGAGCTCTTGAGATCTGCGGTGGCCTATTACAAATGTGCGGGAGCTTGTCGAAACGACCCAGAAGCTGCTTACGGGCGGCGTGGGCATTGGGTTGAGTGCGAAGCACACCTGGCACGCAACCTTGGAAGAAATTTGTTTTCTGACGAACCCCACCAAATTCAATGATCAGGATCATTGGGCTCGAAGATGCAAGCCCAGCCAAGGTGTGAACCCGCTGCAGTGGAGCAGGACATAGCCATATTCGTGCCAATCCCCCTTTCCACAACGGCTGCGTGACGCGAAAAGCGGGACGACGGGCTGGAAGACGAGGAGAGAACAGTCCATATGCTGTAGATGGAACAATTAAACACCATGGAGATATCGTGAGCGGCTGCAGCATGAGGAAGATGTTCCACGTGGTGGGGTTGGTTATGCGGCCGGACATGCCGATCATGGCTCGGTCAGTCATGTGATACTCATTAGTTGCGACGACGATAGTAATTATAGCCAAAAATGCGCTGCAATGTCCTCGGATGGCTGCCACTGCAGCGTCGCTCCTGTGTACAGATAAACGGTCGTGACTAATTGGCCCCATGGAGTTGAGCTGTCTTCGAGCAAGGTAGCAGCCAGCAGAAACGCCAACAGAAAAAGCAGCAGGAAAGTGGACACGGTGGAGTTGGTGCTGGGGTGTTTCAAGATGAAGAAGTTGTTCGGGCTATGGAAAAATGTGAAATCAGAGAAGGGCCGCATGGAGAAAAAGACCATGCCTGATTGGGTATCCCGAGGCCTCGTTGCGATATGCTAGGTTAGCATATTTGCTTTCGGGTTCCGTGCAGACAGCAATCATCGACCCTGATCCCTTGACACGCCGCAGAGCCGCATGAGAGGGGCGGATAGATCTCACCTGCATGTGCGAGGCGGTTATGCGTACAGCATGGTTGCCACTTTGCGTGGAATAAAAATGTTTTAGTCTCAATGCAGAATTCTCTACGCAGAATTTTTTATGCAGAATTCTTTATGCCGAGTCCTCGGGCGCGGCTTCAGATCATCAAGTGGCATGTGATGACAAGGGTATCGAAATGTTAGTAGCGCTCGACATGAAATTTTTGAACAGCTCTTGGCGGCAGGAACGAGCTGTTCTCATTTTTCAAGTGCTACAACTTTTGGACGGCTCGACCCATAGGGACATGTGACGGGCAATGACATTTCCGAGGTTTCGGTTGCGCAGGAAAACCGTTGGCTGTGGTCGGGCAATGCAGCTCCGGCACCGGCTCCATCAACTGGTTTCGCTTTCAAGGTTCTTGAGTTCTGAAGTTGACGTGGACGAACTCCTCAAGCACCTCCAACAACCAACGACGAATATTCATCGATGATCCACAATACCAATACCACACACAGCATGATCCTATTTCCAATAACGCTCGCCTGCAGACGCATGATGTCTAGGGCAACAGTTACTGAACCGCACCTGGTACCCCAACGCATTGCAAGCAGCGGTCAATGGCGACCCGGCGCTCGCTGTTGGACAACGAACGCACCGGAGCGCCGTCGCTAGATTCGAGGCGTGACACCGTGTTGCCATTTCTCCAATCAAAGCCGCGCAATGACTTCACCGGTGGTTGCCAGTATGCTGGTAGTTGAACACGGGGACGAACGTAATTTTCAGGGCCAGATCGTACCACAGCTGCACTACAGGAGGTAGTTTGGACGGACCCGTACTTCTTACTTTGTAGCAGTGTCCAGAATCCATGTGAGTCGAAAACCAGCGGCAGAGTGGCCGGCCACAGTTCAGACTTAAAATATTTCCGTCGAGACCGGAGCTCGGGTTTGACGGCAAACCAAGAGTTTAGACGGATAAAGTTTGTTCGGAAACTCGACCGATTCAGATATCTAGTAAGCTGTCGTTGCCATTAAGTAAGTAACCGAGCACTTCGCCTCTGTTTACGGTGCTTATCATCTTGTGGGGAACAATGTCATTCTGCTAGTTGCTGGCAATAGCTCTGGAATCCGTCAATGTGGATAGAGTGATGCTGCTCTGGCTCGTCTCATTGCTTACATGTCAGTATGACGTCCTTCAAGCTTTGATGTCACCACTCAAAGACAATAGTCCAAAGCCGCCGGTTTTGCTCCTGCAGAGTCCTACAGAGGTTTGTAAAGTTCAGTTCATTCCTAGAATTGCTTGCAAATTGAAACAATAGTATCCCGTCGTGAATCAGATGTACAATAGCTTATTCGCAAGGTATCGTCCAGCAACTTGTGCTTGCCACGTCGCATACAACCTACCTAGGTATCTGAGTGAGTTGATTACCGAGGCCGCGCCGACAATGCTGCATTACCAGTCGGTCGCCTATACGGCCAAACAAGCGGGTTTTCCAGTTGGTAAGTACCGTTACATATGGCCTAATAGTCAGACTTCAACCTCTTGGCGTGTTACATACCATACTAGCAGCAGAACAACATGACGTTGTATGCTTAAGGCTCTTTCAGCTAATTACTTTTTATTTGTTGCTTCTCTTCTACAGGGATACTTTCGATACATAACTTCTTGCTACATCTAATAAGCCCGATAGTACGTAGCATTGCAAGACCCTCCTGGTTCACCGCTGCTTCACCAGCAAGATGAGCGACCCGCGGAATCCAAACATCTATAATCGAACCACACCACAATGGGGCCTAATGCAAAGAGAGCTTTTCTGGGCCCCTAATGAAGGCAGACATCCGCCTCTGAACACAGGTGTGGAGTCATGGTTCCCCATTCGTGGTCGCGGCTCACACAAGTGCAGATCCAGACAAGCTCAAGGAGCTCGCCAAAGAGCGTCTGACGGAAGGCGGTTGGTATGCTGTGTGCCCTCATCTCGGAATTATATGCACATCGTATTTATCCACCTACAGGTTGTGCTCATCGTGTAATGCTGGGCAATCATGGACACACTACGCGAACCGGCTCGCCTTCTACCGCCACCAAGTGATCCCCCGGACGCTGGTGGACACAAATCATCGCGACACGGCCACCTCTATCTTTGGACATCGGGTATCGGCACCCATAGGCTTCGCCCCAATTGGCATCAACCGCATCTACCATCCCACGGGCGAACTCGCCCCCGCGAGGGTGGCTCGAGACCTGAACCTCCTCTACTGCCTCTCTTCAGCTGGCAGCTATAGCATCGAAGACACGGCCGCAGCCAACGGCAGCGGACCGCGGTTCTTCCAGTTGTACTGGAGCCCAGACGACAATGTGGCTATCTCGATGTTAGAGCGCGCGCACAGGTCAGGCTACACGGCATGCATCCTCACCACCGATACGTGGCAGCTGGGTTGGAGCCACGACGATGTTGCCGTTGGCAATTATGCGTTCTACCACGAACATGGCTCGGGAGACCTGGGCCTGCTGGATCCTGCGTTCTTGGAGCAGTTGAAAGAATCCAGGCTCGATCCTGTAAATGACAGGCAAAAGGTTGGCGCTAAGTGGATTGATGAGAATATCTGGCATGGGTATTCGCATTCGTGGGAGCGGTTGCCGTGGTTGATGGAACAGTGGAAACACATATCGCGAGGCAAACCGTTCATTCTAAAAGGCATACAGAGCGTTGCTGATGCGAGGAAGGCGGTCGAGATGGGGGTTGATGGTATTGTTGTCTCGAATCATGCCGGGAGGCAAGTCGACGGCGCCATCGCCAGCTTGGACGCTCTAGAGAAGATCGTTGATGCTGTTGGAGACCAAACATACGTAAGTTTTCAAATCGACATGCCCCACTGCCCTCAAGTCCGCCCCTGCAGCTACTAATCCTCCCCAACACAGATCATGTTCGACTCCGGCATCCGCGGTGCAGCCGACGTCTTCAAAGCTCTCGCCCTTGGCGCCAAGTTCGTCTTCATCGGCCGGCTTTGGGTCTGGGGACTGGGCGCCGCCGGCGAGGAAGGCGTGCGGCATGTTGTCAAAGGCCTGCTGGCCGAGTTTGACATCATGATGAATGTTGCCGGATACCCCAAGATCAGGGATATTAATCGCGATGCAATTGACTCGCTGCCGAGGGGAACATACTTTCCGGGTACGCCAGACCTTACCTAAGGCCTGATTGCCATGGACTTGGACACCGGGAATCGGTGGCTTGATATGCTGCGACACAAGAGAATTGAGTAAATTGAGCATGCGCAATACTTTATAGATACCGAACTGATATTGGCAAAGTAGTTGGCCTTACAACTTGTCTATAGTCTTCTCTATTCCATTCGTTTATTCTGACCTTCGCAACTGCTGCCATGAAAACTACACGCGGTCATATCTGCCCGACTCATCATAGCGATGGCTCACTTGCGAATGCGACTCATACCAGCCAGTGGGATCGACAAGTGCAGGGATTCCCCCCCTTACGTTACCGGATAATGCAAGGCGAGTGTCAATGGCAAACTCAATTTCAGCCAAGAGCCGCTTACTCAGGAAAACCTTAAAGCTTACACATGCTTGGGCCCAGACTATTGCAGTTTTCCACTGATTTCAGATGGAACTTGAAACTCTGATGGGGGTATGCCGGAAGAGACAAGATATCGGATCATTCCGATCCCGCACCTCCAGAGCTGGGGTCCGAAACCCGGCAGGTGGTGACGAACTTGATTGGACGGAAGTAGGTTACGTTGAGGGCTGTGTTGGTACCGTATAGACGGCAGTGAGGTGGTGAACGAGGCGAATATTTTGGCAATCAATACACCAGCTAATAGTGGCAGTGCAATTGGAAATTACAAACAAAGCATTGAATTGAAGTGATCCCTCAAGAGTCCGAAATATCAAGTGCATGGATTTGGCCGTAAGGACATTAAAACGTTAAGCAATGACCCGTGGTTTCGGATTGAGTAGTGATGTGCACAGTCAAATGCAGATCCCTACATTCTGTAATATATCATCATTGGGGCTAGAAAAAGGGGTTTAACCGGCCCAACGGCTTGGAAAAGTTGGATAATAAGCAAACAAAATTATTATTATTATTATTAAATACGCCGTAGGCTCGAAGCCCCCGGTACCTCTACCAGTACTCCCGTATGTCAAACCGTGCCCTAATGGCTGGACTAAATACATACGCTGCGTCGTCGGTTCGCCCTATTGGCGACTGCGTTGCGTTCACTACCATACTATGTTGGTTCTCAACCTACCAACAAAGTCCCCCCTGAGAAGATCGATGCTATCTGGGCCTTGAAGCTGTCCTACCCGTCCCTAGCAGCCACCTTACAATAGTCCCACTAACTACTGGTTCTCCTGTCGCCGTTGCGAGGTCTCTGCGAGAGTATAGTGGCCGTGGTGCGATAGCGGCCCGTAATCGTTCCCTCGGTCCTTCCAACAGCCCGCAAAAGAGGATTACGTGCTCTGCCGTCTCAGGGGCGTCGCCACAGCGGCATAGCGGCGAGTACACGCCAAAAGCCCCTGTCTTGAATAAGAAGGCTGCTAGTCCTATTTTTTCCGTCCTGATCTGGCACAGCGTAGACGCCTCCAGTCGGTTCAGGCTGAAATACTTGCCCCCTTTCGGTATCTGCATCGAAGGGCCCTCCGGTTCCTCAGCGATAGCGCGTCGTTGGCAATCGTGATGCTCTGCTCCGGTGAGCCATCTCTTCCTCCAGTGGCCGAGGAGGGCAGCCGGGACCTCCTTTTCCTCACTCATCCACTCGAAGCCCCGGGCCTCCTTCTCCATAGTGTACCCTGCCGGTCGGAGTAGCTGCGACGCCTGCTTCCTCTTCGCCGGCCTATCCTGCCGGAGTATATGTGACGCCTTAGCGCTCGCGCTGCGAAGCAGATTTCTCTTCCCGCTAAGCCGTAGCCGTTCTTCAAACTTAGCAGCCCGGGCACTAAGATAGAGATCTAGTGGCGGGATTGCTGCTTCTGCTTCCAGGTGGCGAACTGGCGTCGCTTTGTGGGCGCCACAGACTACCCGGAGGCACTCGTTCTGTATCCCCATCAGGCTCTTAGCTGGCCCTGCCGGTTCCTCACTTATAGTATGCCACGCGGTCTCCCCGAAGGCGATCGCGCTACGGATAACCACCGTATATAACAGCCTCGCCCGTATAAGATCGCAGCCCCACGACATATTGACTAGCTTTGTCAGGGCTAGCTTTTGAGTTGCCATTTTTGTTTTAACACGCTCAACATGGGCGTGCCACGTCAGTTTGCGGTCGAACCAGATTCCTAGGAACCTCGCTGAGACTACCGGCGACACTGTGGCGTCTCCAAGACGAATACTTTGCGGCAAGGGCTCTCGGGCCCTAGTAAAGTGCATTAGCTCACTCTTATCAGGGGCGAACTCCATCCCGTGCCTCACTGCCCACCGCTGACACGTAGCCCATGCGCCCTCCAACCGGCGGCAGGTCGTGTCTGGATCGGTGCCGACGCTTAGCAGGTTCGTGTCGTCCGCGAACCCGACTACTAAAAGTAGTGGGTGCTGCTCCGCTAGCTCCTCGTACAGCGTTGAAATGTATAATATAAACAGTATCGGGGATAGCGGTGACCCCTGGGGGACGCCAGCTCATAGGGGGATTGGCTCTGACTCCTTGCCATCGAACCGGAGGCGTACCGTCCTATCCTCCACGAAGCTGCGTACCCACTCCTGAACCCACTCCGGGTAGCCTTTCCGGGCTAATATAGAAATCAGCCGTCTGTAATTAACCGTATCGAATGCCCCCTTGATGTCCAGCTGTAGCAGCGAGGCGATACCCCCGCGTCTCCACGCCGTATAGACCACGTCCTCAACTATACGTATTGCCAGTTCGGTGGACCTCCCAGCGCGGTTACCCATTTGGCCGTTTGGTAGTAGGCCGGCCGCCTCAGCTACTTTGGTAATACGCTGGCTCATCGCCGTCTCTATTACCTTCCCTACCGTGCTAAGCAGGGCAATGGGGCGCCAGCCGCCAGGGGTTTGCTTCTGAGCTGTCGTTTTATTAGGCTTAGGGATAACAACCACCTTCGCTGAGCGGAAGCGTTCCGGGTAGTACCCCCGCCTAAAGCTAGCTGTTGCCAGATCCGCTAGGATCTCCCATAGGGGTTCACCACAGGCCTTTAGCAGGCCAGTGGGGATCAGGTCGTCGCCGGGAGCCTTCCAAGCAGCCGTTCCTTTGATGATAGGCTCGATATCCATTGTGTTCACCTCCCTAGGGACGTTCAGCTCTGGTCTCGTCTGTAATAGGCCGCGATCGAGGTCCGATAGATCTATACACGGGTCTGGGAAGAACCTCTCAACTAGTAATTTTGCCTTCTCGTCATGTGTACGTGCCGTAAGCGTGTCGCCGGCGTCCCTCCGGAGATCTGGCAACCCGTGGGCCGCAGGGGGGCCCAGCTCCGTAGCCTAGCCCACCTCTGCAGTGCCCACAGGCTTTTGTGATCCTTCGCCGTCCCCTCGAGCTTCTCGTGCCAGCTACGCGTCTGCGCTTCGCTGATTTCGAGCCGTTGTTTTTGGCCGGCTCTTGTATATTCGTCCCAGTTGGTCTGCGACCTTGCCTGGAGGTAGTCCCGCCGTCGTTTCTTCGTCTCAGCGCAAGCCTTGCTAACCTGCGGGCACCACCACGGGACCCCAGCGCCTCGGCCAACGTGCGTCTCGGGACCGCCACGTCGGCGATCTCTTGGAGGTTCCGGATAACCCAGTCAACAGCCTGGTCCAACTCCGTTATCGTCTTAACCGGCAAATAATTCATAAATCTCTGGCTTGATTCGGCTACGATGAGCCACTTATCCGCCATCGCCCAGTTCCACCCTTCGACACTGCGGCGTCCCTCCTTGACTGCTTCCCCGTTGGATATTACCCTAATCACTTGGGCTCTGTGGTCTGAGCCCTCCAGGCCCGGGTCCCCATCGTAATCAATCCTAGCCCCTTTCGTCACCCAGGCTAGGTCGATAGTTGAGTCTTGTTGTTTGTGCCTTTGCCGTGTGATTTCCCCGAACGGCGTAACGAGCTCTAATCGCCAGCGTCGCGCAAACTCCACTACGTTGTCGCTGCCCCGTGACGACCGTCCGTGGACGTCCCACAGCGGGTGATGTGTATTGAAGTCCCCTACGAGGACTTGTGTCCCCTCCGGCGCCCATTAGGGAGGTCTTGGAGCGGGCTGACCCAGCGGCTCCCGGTCTGGTTTGGTGAATAGATAGACCAGATCGTAAGGGCGTCCGGGCCTGCCCCGAACGTAATACTGCTCCAGTCCATCCCGGTACGGGGTCGCAACGTAGCCACGTCGTATCATTTATGGACATATAGCGCAGCTCTGCCGCTGCTGTATACTACTTCGTACCTGGACGACTTCGGGCAATAAATCGCCTTCGTCTGCCGGTTGATCCATGGCTCTTGAGCCGCTATTATATCATAGTCACCCCCCTTATCCAGCGCTAGCGTTGCGTTCGCCTTTGCATCTGCGATATTCCAGTAAAGAATAGAGACTGCCATTAAGCTGTCGATGGTATATCTTCGTTCGTACGTCCCTTAGTGAAGAAGCTACGCATTGCTGACGCAGACCGTTCGGTTCGCTCCTGCTCCACTCGCGATCCGCCTAGGGGGCGGCCCCGGGGTCGTACAACTGTAAACCCGTGTCTGGTTAATGAGCTAGGTGGTGTGAGCCTGCCCTCACTAGATAACCCGTCCGAGTAGCTGCGGACCTCAAATTGTCGGGGGCGGTGAGCGTACGCCTCGCGTACGCGTAGCCGCTGCTGTTCTGCCGTAGGGCAGTCCCTGTCCCACGCCGTGTGCTTCCCTTTGCAGTTCACACAACGTTTTTTGCCGCTAGGTGCCTTCTCGGGGCAGTCTTTTTCACCCCCTGGGTGTGCCGTTGCAGCGCAGACGCCGCAACGCGCCGTATTCGTAGCACTGGTAGCACTGTCGAACCCGAAGATTGCCGTCGTACGGCTCGCAATCGAATATCTGGGCCTCCCAAATAAGCCCTTCGGAGCATAGTTCCATTGCCGCCTCCACGCTATCCACGTGTAGTATCAGGGCCGCATACGGTGCTTGCGGCGCCCGGGGGAGGTTCCTTTTAGCCTTAGAGAGGTGCTTTGTATTGTCCCGCTTCAGGTCTTTAAGTAGCTGGCTCTCGTCGTGGACCTCTCGCAGC